AGTATAAATAACGAAGTAAAAGCCCGTCGAATAGCTAAGTTAGAGAAGTTAGGATTAGTAAGGGTAACGAGTTTTAAAGATCTTAAGAAGCTACGTATAGAGCGTATAATAAAGGAGGTAGAGAAAGTAGCTAAAAAAGCCGAGAAAGAGGCTAAAGAGGCCGTAGGTATATTAATAGAAATAGGAGGTATAGAGAGTAAAAGTAAGCGCGGTCGTAAGCGGAAAAATACGGTAACGAATATCGACGTATTAGAACCGATAGCTAAGGTAGTACGGACGAGCGAGGAGTAGGTAGTAAACCCTAGATAGTTAATATCGTAGGAGGAAGAGTATAGATATATACTAGAGCTATTCCGAGTATTAGTAGTACGTATATAGTAGTTAGAAACCGAAATAGAGTCCGATAGCTTTTATAAAGTATTTCTAACCTAACTTGCTATAGGCTATAAACCTATAGTCGATTCGCTCTAGACTTAGCTAATTCGAGTCTCTAATATTTTAGTTTTCTTTAGTACGTTATAAAATATAGTAAAGTATTAAGGAATTAAAACGAGCTATCTACGTAATAAAGCTCTTAGAATAATACTAGTAGTATAAAGTAAATCGACCGGGTAATTTAGGGCTAGAATTAGCTTAGCTAATACTTGTTAACTATAGCACGATTAATAATATTACAGCTAAGCGCTAGCCCGAAGCGTCTTTGCTTTATTAATAGGTACCTATCGGCGCGGCGATCTTACCTCTATAATCGATATACGGCCGCTACTAAGCTAAAAATAAGGTTTGAACGTAATAGTAAGGCTACTAGCGCTATAAACTGCTTCTTAATATATATTAGTAGTTCGAATATCCTATATTCCGGCTCTAGTACAGTTGTCGACAAGTTAGGCCTAAGATAGGCCTCCTTAAAGGCGAGCGACGACGTCGCTATAATACTACTCTATATTATCGGAAGGACTTAGAGAGGCGAAAGAGTACCTAATCTAGCGAGAACACACAAAATAAAGCGCAAAAACGTATTAGTAAGAGCTCGATAGTCTTATCAGTTCAAAGTACCTTGCGTTTGGCTCGCTACGGAGGGTGGCTCGTGACGTCGGGATGGACGTTAGCTTGTGGACTTTGTGGGTCTTGCTGCTAGACGAGGACTGCAGCGTGAAGTCGGCGGTGGAGGCGTCTTTGCGGATTCTCTCCATGCCGAAGAGAATTGCGGCGGAGCCGGTTGCTAGGGCGGAGTTGACCATTTTCGAAGGTGGTTGGATGTGGGTATTGCGTCGTATGGTGTCTTTGAGTCGCAGATCGGTACGGTCAAGCAAGCGTGAGGGATGTTTGGAGCTGTTGGGGTGTTGCCGACGTCGTCAGAGGCAAAACCAATCGTGTCGAAGCTCTTATTTAAAGACAAAACGAGGTGTTGCACGTGTTGTGTGCTCAAGAAAGTGACTCGAAGCAAGCAATTCTCTCCGCCGTCACTCGGGCAGCTCTCCAGTGCATACATAAATAGCATTCACCTTCCACTCGTGTGGAAAATCAACAAATCGCGTACACGCATGATAAGATTTGAGCATGCAGTCTCTGCCGCAATGCTCTGCCTTATATACAACCAACCTACATCCACCCATCAACACTCACCCCCCTCCTCATCCACCCACCCGCTACCTCCCTTCCCTCCTTCACACCCTCTCCGCTACTCCTCCTCTTCATCACCCCATCCGCCTCCCCGTCCCCGTCCCCAACAGACACCACCCTAATCAACCTCTTCAAATCCTCCCTCCTCCGCTCCCTCTTCCCCTCCCTCCACCCCTCCAACACACTCCCAAACAACCCCGTCCCCCGCGCCGAGTGACTCTCCGGCTCTAATCCCAGTCGAGGTCTCTGCGGGGTGGGGATATACGTCACCCGAGAAGAGTGGAGACTCGTCGGCGAGCGCGCTTCGTCGAAAGTTCGCTTGGAGGTGTCGCTCCAGCCTAGATGCGTTGTTGTCGTTGTCGTCGTCGTTGGGGAGGGTTTGACGGGACTAGGGAAGAGATGCGGGGATATTGGGGAGGGTTTATTGGTCGAGGAGGATAGAGTAGAGGATCTCCTGCGCGATTTGGCGGGCCCGAAGCGCTGGAAGAAGGTCTTGTGTTCTTTCTCTGATGATACACCACCCGCGCTGGAAGGTTTCCTCGAGGCTGTGGCTGTGGCGATGATGGGACTCATGGGCGAAGTATCGGGTGTGGATTCGGGGGTTTTTAGTTTCAGGGCGATGACTTCGGCGGCGAGGAGGGGTTTGCCGGGGATTGGAGGGAGAGGTTCAGTGTTGTCTTGTTTCTTGGAGCTTTTGCGGCGCATGATGTGGGGATAGAAGGATGATTCGCGGCTGTTTTCTCTGCTGTGGTTCTTCTTGATGCGTGGGTTTGGGTGCCATCTGTCGGTGTCGATGTGAGCTGGCTTCGGGCGTTTCATGTCGATGTCTGTGGGTGGTGAGATGGGGATCATGCCCGTTGTGCTGCTGTGCCGACTTTTCATTTCGTTTGTCTCGACAGATAGACGTAGACCGAATCCGGTCGATCGGTTTTCTGAGGATGCGCTGCCGTCACTTCGGACTCTCTCGTGGATGTTGAACGGTGAGACCGAAGAGTTGCTCCCTCGCGAGCTGCCTGACTCTCTCGACGGGGGTGGCTGCTTGGTTTGAAAAAGGGGCTGAGGTACCATCTTCATGTGCTTGCGAACGCTCTCATCTGAGCTGCAGCCTGGAGACTCAGATGCTTGTCTGTACTGCTGTTGACCCAGCAAGGAGTGGTATTCTTGCGCCAAAACCTGTGGTCCATCCTGCGACAGGGCATTCTTCGCGAGCGGGTTTGGGCTCGATCTCGAATTCCGCTCGTAAGACCTCCTCTCCACTGTCCGTCCTCTTGGCTCATCTGTTTCATCTTGGGAAAGTTGCCACCACGTTATCCTTGAGTCGGTGGAACTACTCGCCAGCGGCGGGGCCATTTCCCTCACCGGCCCAGTACCCACAGGGAACGAATTATAGGCGGCAATTGTCATGGGTAAGCTTGGACTTGGGAAAAGAAAGTCTCGCGAGGGAATCTCGGGCGGTGTACGTAATGCTCTCTCACGACCTTGCCGATCGACCATAGTTGGCAGTGGAGGAGGTAGCGGTGTCTTCTCAGCTCCACCGAGAATGTCGATGCTTTCGAGCCGCATGTGCCCTTGAGATTTGACTTTCGTCAATGCTTGTGCTCGTAGCTCTTCTGGCAAGAGACGGACGGCGCCAGGTGCATGCATTGCTTCTTTCGCTTTCTCCAATGACACAGTGTGCACTGACTTTCCAGGGCCATGGCGGGCGATAAGAGGGCTAAACTTAGGTAAGGTTGGCGAGATTTGTGAATCGATAGGACGCATAGGTCTCGGGGGAACAGTTGAAGAATCTGGCCTTTCACCCGGCAGAGAAGTAAGCATGCTCTGACTTCGAGATTGCGGTGGCGAACTTGATGCTACTGTCGTAGTCCTCGGGCTTTCGATCAGAGGAGAGAATGTTCGAGCCTCCAAAAACGGTGTCGTGGCGAGATCCGCAGTTGACAGATCCGGCGAGCTGGCACTGTACGCTATAGGTCGAAGTAAGAGAGGCGAGTCGGCGTCAGGATCTTGGGCTTTGCCTGGTGGCGTTTGAGGTGTAAATTGGCTGGGTGTTCGACTATACACGCTTGACGTGCGTCTATCCAGTGCGTTATTCGGGAAGTCAAAAGATCTCTTCGGCGCCAGAGGTGTCGGTGGCAAAGGCTTATTCTGATCCGAATCGACGGACGGCGTCAGCTTGATGAAGCTCTGGAAAGAAGGAACTTGTTGCTCCAGGCCACCCAACGAAGAGGATGAAGAGCCCGAACTCAGCGGCGGTCGCTCTCTCGAGTTCAGCGATGACGATGATGAGCCCCCGGCATTGACAATAGGCGGCCGCCTCAGCGTCCCAGGGGGCTGCGGTGCAAACATGTTCCACCCACTGGTATGTTTGAAAATCGACGTCGGCCTGTTATCAAGGTACATAGCGAGTGAATGTGGCGTCCTTTGGGACAAAAGCTGAGTTTCTGCCCAGCATCCTAAGAAATGGTGTCCGGACAAAGAATGATGTTAGTGACGGAAGAGCATGTGGCTCCATTGCGGGGAGACAATAAATCGAGTTGGGCTTTGCACAAAGAGCGATGACCAATCTCAAGCCAGATCCGGTACTAGTCACTGGGTTTTGAGACCGCGTTGAGAACTTTTGAGAGGCTGTGTCTGGCTTTTATACGTCGGGCGAGGGTCTGGCCATAATGTCAGTCGCATACTCTACGTGGGTCTTCAGTACGGGACTCGCATTCACACCAGTCTAGGCCTTGCCGGCTTTCTTTAAAGTGCCAGTACCAGCACCATCCTCATCTTGAGCTGCTCCCGCTTGCTCCAATTCATCCGGAGCAGGAGCCTGAGGAATATCCACAAGAACAGCAGGGTTCGACTTCCTCTCCAGAATAAGCTTGGCTCTCCGCTATGAAGACATCAGTGTCCATTTCACTTTGCTCAAACGTAGTCTGGTCTGACCTCCCGCTCAGCACGACTGAGACCCTTCTCAGCCTCCAGCGCTGCGAGTGCATCAGCTTTCGAGCCGCGCCTCGCCAAACGTAGCTCATCAGGTGAAATCGATGTGCCGTCCAGCTCGATGGGTTCATTGTTGATGGCGGCTGCTGAGATGGTGAGTTCTGGCCTGGTGAACTTGATGGGTGAGATTGGCGTTTGGTCGCTTGATGAGGAAGCCATGTTGGTGATTTTGAGGTCGTCGTTGGGCCTGAGAAAGCTTGGTACTTGGATGGTGAGCTCCTCGGGGCAACACCGCTGGTCTTTCGGCGGACGTGACGGCTCTGATAACGCCGCTCTTTTGTTATGAAGCTGTAAGAAGTGTGAGCGTCAGCAAAAGAAGTATCGTAGGTACCAACTCCTCGGCGGAATGCGTTGTTGTCGTCGTACGGAGGAACAAACCCGTCAGCTGGTCACAAGTCTGACCTCACCCCACGCTAGACATTCCGACCGCGAAGACACAAACTTTGGTTGGTGAAACTCGAACGAACTGAAAAAGCCTCTCGGATCGGGCAGCGAGATCTGCACATCAGGTAAAAGAAGATTCTATTCTTTCCTCCATTTCCCATCCGTGAAAGCAAGTCATTGCTTTTCTGGTATCATCTGTGTGCAACCTGTTACAAGATCCCTGCGGCAGCCGTCAAAATAGCCGCACATATGTATAAGTATCAAACGACAGAACGCTATCAATCAAATCAATCATGAAGAGCTGCCCTTAATGGGTGCGTCATGCTCTACCGCTGTCATCTCCACGCCATCCTCTTGGAATTGGTGTTTTCCGGCGTGAGCCTCCAAGTTGTGGATTGCGCTCTGCAGCGCGCTGGTCAGGTCGATGTGGAAGAAAGGTCGGTTCAGGCCGTGCACGACCGTGACTTTGCCGTTTGCACGATGCTTCTTCAGGTGTGTGTTGACGTCGGCAGAAGATCCGCTGTCCGAGATGTTAATGCTGTCGACCTCTCTTTGACCGTGCTCGATATCCTTCGGCAGGTACGCTCTCAGCTCCTTGTTCTCGTCTGCCTCTGCCTGGGCCGCGGCGCTCAGAGAGCCACCCATCTCAGCGACACTGAAGATCGGCTTCCATCGTGAGAACTCGTTGTCTTCAGTGGCTGGGAATCCGAATCCAGCTGAGACCAAGGCACGTTTCGTCCAGCGATTGTTAATGCAAGCGATGTGCCATTGGACTCGCTCAGGCGCGGTGTATCTATCGAGCTGGTTGCGCACGTCAATCAGATTCTGGACTGATGTAAGATCCACGTTGTTAACGGATGAGAAATCGAGGATGATGGCTTTCAACGTTGGTCTGTTGTCCACCACAACTTCTTTACCCTTCTTTGGGCCTGGGTCGTTCCAAGGCCTGTCGCCTGGTCGTGGGAAGCTGTGGGGGTTGGTGCGTCTCGTCTCTTTGAAGACGGTGCTGACAAGGTGGTCAAGGTAGTGGTTTGCGTTTGGATAGTTGAAGCCCTCTGAGAATCTGTAGATGAAGATTCCAGGGTAAGGGTGCTGAGCGCGAATGGATGGGTTTGATCCGTCCTGGTGGTCGACTGGCAGGAATATGTTCCTGGTCGACTTGTCCGGGTCGCTATCGGCGCCCAATCTCGTGTTTCCAGGCTTGTCCTGGCCATCGAGCAGGTGGTCACCAATGACCGAATGGACCTTGACACGGCCGAGGAAGCGACCCTGGGCCTTGAACGCTCTGAACAAGAAGAGCGCCATTGATGTGCTGATGGTAACATATACACCGATCTCGATAGTTGTGAAGATGGTGACGATGACACCGGCGAAGAAGATGATGACTTCCACTGGTGAGACTCGCCAGAACTGGTAGACAGTGTTTGGAGGGGTAATCAAATCACCGACTGCGTGAATGATCACACCACTGAGCGCAGCCTGTGGAATGTAGAAAAAGACCGCTGGGAGTGCGTAGATTGCGAGTAGCACCACAATCGCAGTAATGACACCGGCAAATGGAGTACGCACACCGGCCTTGGATTTGATGGCAGTTCGAGAGAAGGATCCAGTCGCTGGGTAAGCGCCCAAGAAGGGTCCAAGGAGGTTTGTAACGCCGATGGCGACCAACTCCTGAGATGGGTCAATCGTGTAGTTGTTCACCCGGCCGAAGGACTTGGAGATGGAAATGTGCTCGATAAGAAGGACGATGACGGAAGCAGGCAGCTCGCTGGCGAACAGGCTGATGATGTCGCTGTTGACGGTTGGAACGGCAGCGTTTTGGAAACCTCTTGGCACGGTTCCCAACAACTTGAAGGGCGACTTTTTGGCGTTGTGGTTTGGTAGGTGCAAGTTGACAAGCCAGCTGATGAGGGTGTACAGCAGGATCACGAATGCCGTTCGCAAGGTGTTGCAGAAGAACCAAAGCCTTCTGCGGTTCGGCTGCTTCTTGGCGAGGTAGTTGAAGATGAACCTGATGAGGTACAGCATGGTGAGAGAAGTGAGACCGAGGGCAGCATCGAGCTTCGACTCTCCGAGGTGCTTCAAAGAGTTGATGACGACCAGATAGGTAGAGTCGCGGTTGTTGACGGAGCTGAGACCCATCAGATTTGGGACCTGGCCGACTGCGATGTTGATGGCGGATCCAGTCATGAAAGCAGAGATGGCCGGTAGCGAAATGAGCTCAACAAGCCAGCCTAGACGAACGAGACCGATGAAGCACACGATGGCGCCTGCGATGATGGCGAGTGCAGAAGCCACGACGTGAGGTGGGATTTCGGGAGCCTGCGCCTTGACCTTGTTAACGACGTTGCCGGTGATCGTAGACATGACCGCCACGGGCTGTTCAAGGTTAGCAAAATTGGTACAGTCTTGGTGACGACGTCGCAACTTACGCCGATCGTGATATCTTTCGAGGTAGCGAAGAACCAGTAGATAAGAACGCCCATGAACGATGAGTAGAGACCGAATTGGGGCTCCAACTCGGCGAGCTTTGCGTATGCCATACTCTGAGGAACAACGACAGCTCCTACTGTGATACCAGCGACCAGATCTCCAATGAGCCATTGTACGTTGTATCGCATGATCCATTTTGTGAAGGGGAACAGATTATGGACGTAGTTGAAGACCTGTCGTCCCGTTGGGACCTGCTCCTTCACCCAGTCGATGGCGGAAGGTTCGTCCTCGATGTAGCTGTCGGCGCTGTCGACCGAGAAGACAGACTCGCCGCGGGTCAGCTTCGCAGCGCCCGTCTCGTTGCGGTAGTCAAGCTTGATACCAAGGGCTTTGGCCAAGCCGTGGCCGACCTTGGTGCTCGTGGAAGCCATGGTGAAAGGTACGGGCGGGTGGGATGCAGCCGGTCAGTCAAGCACACGAGAGCAAAGTCTTATACGTCGCCCAGAATCTAAGGCGTCTGATGAGCTTGGTCTGACGCCTGCGCTCGATCGCGCTTTGCCAAGACAGTGCCACCCGCACTATGCAGGGCAGGGAAGGATCTTAGGTGGCCTAGATCAGACAAGATTGGTTGGTTGCGTTGAAGATGGGTGCGCCAGAGCGAACTCGATGCGTTCGCCAGAGGATTGCGAACAATCACGACAGAGGCTGCCAAAAGCAGACTCCAAGCCTTTGCTGCACCAGCGAGGCCGATCACGCACTGGACGAGGCTCGCCCAAGCGATATGGCACCGTTCGTCGTGGTGGTCGCGTGGTGTATGCTTCCAGGTGTTGCTTTGGTGAGGTCGTAGATATTTCCCAAGGCGTCGTCGGATGGTCGGCTAAGGCAGGTCAAGGTTACGGACACGGTTAAAGGTAGGGAGTGAGGATGAAAGGTTCGCCGGTGAGGTTGATGTTCCTGTGAGACGCCCGCAAAGGAAGTTTTCCTCTTTTTCTCGCGTTGACGCACGTTGCGACGAGGCCCTCATGTCCCATTACGCATCCTCCCGCGGTTGGTCGGTCGGCGTGGAGGGCTGTCGTCCCTTTCCAACTTAGCTGCCATCACGCCATGCGGCCCGGGTCCACAAGCATATCCTCGTGCGTGGGCCAAGGCCCTGCTGAGTTTGACAAAGACTCCAATCAAATGGCGGCCAGAAGGCGTGATTCTGCTCACTGCAACGGACACGCTGCGGCGTGCTTCGAAGCGACGGAAAAACGTCTTCTTCTCTGACGCCACAAGGCTTCGCTAGAACTGCATTCGCAACATCCTTCTCACAGCGCCTCCGGAGGTGGGTGAGGCTGCTGCATTCCGGTCGTGCTGGGAACCGCTGGCGAGGCATGGATTTTTCGAAAATTGGGAGAGCGAGCTGGGAACGAGGTTGAAAGAATCGACAAGCCGAACGTGCGCTAGTCTTCATCTGGCCGCCCAAGTCCAATACACCACATGCGCAGGTATGATCTTTGTCCACGAACCGTAAGGTGTGCGCCATCAGAGCAGCGAGTGTCGTTATCAGATCCAGATGGATTTCTGTGCAGTTCATGCCATTCACTCACGCATCCTCCGTCGCATAGTTGGACCCTTCAAGCCTAGCATCTGGATCGCACACCATGCATGCCACACTGCCTGTTACCACTCCCTCATGGATAGTAATCTGCAGGCAAGCTATTCTAGTCTGCATCTCCAGCACCCTCACCATCTCCGTAGATCTCCGTAGTCTTCAGCATCACCCAAAGCTTGTGCGGCAGCAAGTTCGGGGGTATCCCAGATCGAGCCATGGCTGCCGTGTCAGCGAAGAAGAAGAGGGCGGATCTCTACAGAGACACGCAATGGAATCTGTACAGCCTTTCGCGGTCGGTTGTCCGCGCTGCGATCGGCCTTGCAGACCAGTCTCTTCCACGTGTAGGGCGAAATCTGGGTTACGCATCTGCACGTGCGACGGTCCGAGCGAGACATTCTAGCGCGAGATCGGTAGATGGAAGGGCAGGGACTTTCACGATCGAGCTTGTGCCCATGAGTCCCTTCACGGACGAGGAGTGCAATTGGCAAGACTGAAGATGAACCATGGCTCCGGTACTGATAAGATGGAGTGCCAGTGGAGGCGATGTGAGGTGCAGTTCGGATAGTCGGTCACAGCTGCCCCTCCTCCGCAGATCCGACTGCCGAGCCCAAGTTGCTCGGCAACCACGACGCGTCCCGCAACTGACGCGCATCTCTCGTTCAATGCCGTGAATCTAGCGACGACGAGGACCACTTTAACCACACCTCCTCATCATCAGCAACGTCGGCTAAGGCTTGCAATCTCATCCATCGACCTCGTCATCGCTGGGACGTCACCACGAATAATGGCCCACCTCGAATTGCTGCTCCAGAAAGGCCCGCCAGACGGCGACCACCTAGCCGGCCTGGAGGAATTACGGCGCATCATTCTCCTGGACGGCATCCCCGCCAACAATGATGGAATGGTAAATGAATATATCTTGGATCTGTAGTTCATCGCATTGACACGACATGACAGTCCGAACTGAGGATCTACGTCTGGCTCATCCTGCTGAATGCACCTCCGACCAAAACAGACGACTACGAGAGCCGGGTCCTCGTAGGCGCATCTCCTGCGTACGAGAAGATCAGGAACGACACCTTCCGCACACTCACGACAGATCCTCTCTTCCGTCGGCGAGTCACTGAGAATAGTCTGACAAGAGTCCTGAATGCCGTCTCATGGAAACTCCACGAAGCGAACGAGGCCCGCGTTAATGGCTGGAAGTCGCCTCCTACGCTCGCAGCGCCGCAAAGTCTAGACGGCAACGAGGATCTCTTCCATTCTCCCACATCACGAGCTGGACATGGCTCAGTCGCTGGTACAGAGACTTCCGACGCTGGCCCCGATGCAAGCGTGGTATCATACGTCCAAGGCATGAACGTCCTCGCAGCGCCTTTCCTCTACGCCGCCAGAAGTGAAGCTCAGGCTTTCACTGCATTCGATGCTTTCATCACCAAGGAATGTCCTGGTTACGTGCGGGCCAGCATGGAAGGTGTACACAAAGGCCTGGCGCTGGTGGATCAGATTCTCGAGATCGTCGACCCAAAGCTCGCGGCGCATCTTGCTTCCAAGGGCATGAAGGCAGAGATCTACGCCTTTCCCAGCGTGCTCACATTATGTGCATGCACGCCCCCTCTGCCGGATGTCCTTCAACTGTGGGACTTTCTCTTCGCATACGGAACACATCTCAACTTGCTCTGCATTGTATCGCAGCTTGTCCTCATTCGAGACTCGTTACTCAACAGTCCAACGTCAGTCACACTCGAAACCTTTCAACGAATTAGAACTGACATGGTCTAGACCAAAGCCAGACTTCAAGCCACTACGAGCCCGCAAAGTCATCGACTACACCGTCAACTTCGCCCGCAAGATACCATCAGACCTGTACGAGCAAATGCTCGTCCACGCAAAGTAAAGGATTAAAAGGGTTCTAGAATCCTGCTAATCATCACTCATCATTGATCCCACGCTTAAAAGAGCCTTTATGATCCTCGACTCCTTCAAAAACCCGAAAGCGGCTCATTCCACGTACCAGATCAGTCACACATCCCCTGAAACTCCAATTCAGCGCCTGTGCTCATCCCGAACATCAAAACAAAGACGAAACCCGTCTATCGTCTACCTCCCCGCCTTCTCCTCATCACTCACGGTAATAACATCATTCCTCCGAATCCCCGTAATCATCTCCTCCGACGCATTCGCCACACTCCGATCAATACTCTGATCATCATCGGCCGAATAAATCTTGACCGAATACTTCACCGGCTGATCCCACTTGTGCACATCATCCGGCATCGAAGGCATCACCCCAGGTCGACTCTCCGCCGTGCCCCGCCGCTCCATCTGTCCCGCGAACGTGGGCGGTGGTTGATGTCGACTATGCGCGGTGCCGGCGCGGCTGGTAATTTTGGACGCGCCGAGGATCATGGCGGCGGACATGGAGGAGCGGTTGTTGACGTTGGTGTCGAAGTTGCGCATGAAGCCTAGCACGAAGGGGAGGGTCGCGGTGAACATGGAGTAGGTCAGTTGCACTTCCTGCCAGATCTGCACCCAGGTGTATTGCAGTGCGTGCCCGGCGTTCTCGGGCGCGTAGCGGGTTTCGATGGTGGCGATGCGGGAGATGTATGCGAGGACGGCGAAGACGATGATTCTGGGTTGAGGATGCGGTTAGTTTTCTGGTAAAGGCGAAGTTTGGTTCGGTAGTTGCGAACGATGGGGATGGGGATATGTCTCACCCTGGCCGAAGCGCAAACGCAAGCAGAGACGTCAGTTTCTCTTCCTTGCTGATCTTCCTCCTCAACAACGACAGCAGAACCATCGACATGGTCACGATGCCCAATTCCTGCACGATATCCACAATCGTCACGACGCCCCATCTCGCAGGCTACACAATCGCCCGTCAGCATAGCCCCTCCTCCCAAAAAGATTTCACAAGAACTCACCCCAAACGCACAACTATTCTGCGGCGCCGTCCCCGGCAAAATATGATTCGGCGGACATCCAATGGACAACACGATAATCGCCGCGAGCGTCCACACGGCTTCCGTGCCCATGAGCACCGTACACGCGATGACGGGGACTCGTTTGCCCATGCGTCTGAAGAGGCGGCGGATCGGCCAGGTGACGCCCATTTTGAGGAAGCCGAGGACGAGGATGTAGAGGACTTTGGCGGCGGTTAGATTCTGCACAGCGATGTCAGTTGGATGTGATGTTGTAAGTGGGAGGTAGGCGAAGTATCATACGCTTGCGATGTTATTCTGTTGCGCCTGCTCAATCGCACTCCACCTCTTCCCCAACCCCAACACCAACGACGCGATCACGCTCGCAAACTGCCCGTACGCGAGCATCTGCGCGAGGAAGATGGAAGCGTCGTCCCAGCTGTATTTGCCCCATCGCACCCAGATGCGCACCGCGAGGGTCAGGGTGGTGAAGCACACGAGTAAGATCGCGGTTATGCCGATGTAGACGCTGTGGTCCGCGTCGCTTGGGTCGGTGAAGGCGCGGGTGGTGAGATACATGGTCGCGAGGCGGATTCGTACGCCGTGTGGTGGTTGATGGGTGTTGTTTCAGATGTTCCAATATCACATTGTCTTTCTTTTTCTTTGCTGGCAGGCTGTATAGAGGAGGAGGGGTAAAGAAGAGAGAGAGCAGTTCGGTACGACACGATAAGGACACCCATGGTCGTTGTACCTCTTTCTCCATCAGGGCGCCACATGGCAGGATGTAAGTGCGACATTTTGATCTTCATGCAAAGTTCAGCGTCGACGTTGGAGCTTGATAAATGCGGTCGGCTTGTGAAGGATCCGAAGCAGCACGTGTATAGGGGCTTTTCCGAAGAGGGCAACCGCCTGGAATTTTGGAATTGGTGAAGGACGAGTTGGTGATATTTGAGTGGACTTTTCTGCCTGGAGGGAGTGGATTGCAGACATGCTTGACGTACTTCTGCCACGAAGAAGTTGTGCCTCGGGGCTTGAGTTGATTGTGTCGGAACATCGTCAGCATCTCAGATGATGAGAGTCGTCCTCGTACACATTCGTATAAAAGGATCGGTGTCTCTCCTGGACAAATCTCACCACGCGTCCTACTCCTCACGAAGTTTGCTTCGATTAGCACACACTCTCTCTCTCTTCCGTACACCACGTATGCAGCGACGTTTGCGATATTGGGGACTGACGAGGCAGCGACTGGCAGCTCGAAAAACCAGCGACTCACAGCAGTGCTGTACATACTGTCAAAGTTGCTGATCGAGTTTGAGCAGATTTCTGCGACTTCTTCTTCATCACCTTGCATTCAGAAAGTGTTCTTTCCTATTCCGTTCACTGCACTCTAAGGTCGTGCCTCGCCAGAAGAGGGAGAAAGACGTTGAAAACGTTTTCGCCAGCCGTTGCGCTATTCAATGTCAGATCGTGCCGAAAACCGCTGGGGTGTGATAGCAAGATTTCTTTTTTCTATCCCGGAAGTGCAGATTCTGCGATTAGGATGGCGATTCGAGATCTTGCAGCTCTCATGGTAATTTCAAAAATGGATGTATGATGAGCGAGATGGAAGAAAGGCGCCAGGTGTCAAGAATGCGTTAGAAAGTGGGCAAGAGCTGACTTCGGGCGGGGGAGTTGGCCGACGGCGACAATGAAGCAATTCACCAACACCTCCGCCTCCTCACTGAAGACGTAAACGAAGCCATCGCTGTATCATTGGAAGTACGACTCTGAAAATGCACACATCCAAAAACCTCCTCATCTGCACCGCCTGCGGCACCCAATTCGACCTCCCCGCCTCGCAACCCCCCAAAGGATGTAGAATCTGCGACGTGAGCTGAACAACAAAACCAATCTCCTCTCCATGACCTACCGTGATACTCATATTAAATCAAAAGGACCCCCGCCAGTTCGTCCCCCCAACAGGCCAAACCTGGACCTCCCTCTCCCAGCTCCGCACCAAAGACCACCGCAATGTCTTCACCCCCGACCCTCACGACCCGCGCCTCACCTCCATCCACACGGAACCCAAATTCGGCATCGGCCAGCGCTGTATCCTGCTCGAGACCTCCGCCGGCAACGTCCTGTGGGATTGTATCGCGTACTTGGACGAGGAAACGGAGGCGTTTATCAAAGGTAAGGGCGGGTTGAAGGCGATTGTGATCAGTCATCCGCATTATTACACGACGCATTTGGATTGGGCGAAGACGTTTGGGTGTCCGGTGTTTGTGGCGAGGGAGGATGAGGAGTGGTTTAATCGGAAGGATGGGGAGGGGTGCAGGAGGTTTGTTGAAGGGGGGACGGCGGAGGTTTTGGAGGGGGTTGTGGCCATTAAGGTGAGAGGGTTGTTAGCTGCTGTTCGACAAGGTCTTGCTTATGGTTTTTATAGACTGGTGGGCATTTCCCCGGGAGTTTGGTACTGCTCTGGGAGAAGAAGTTGTTCATTGCTGATACTCTCGTGACGGTCCCAGTAAGTAGCAGTCCACCGTTTGCTCGGGAAAGGGTCATGCTGACGGGCTGATTAGTCCGCTTTATATCATGTCGATCGCCTCCCTGGCACGACATCCTTTGCCTTTATGTGGTCAATCCCCAATATGATCCCTCTCCCGCCTTCTGAACTGCACAAGATGTGGTTGGCGCTGCGTCCCTTTGAGTTTGAGAGTACGCATGGAGCTTTCAATGGCCTTGATGTTCGAGATAAGAATGTCAAAGCGCGAGTGCTGGAAAGCATGAAGATCCAAGCGAAGAATGAAGGGTGGGAAGATGTGGCTATTCTCAAAGAAACGCTTTGAATTATGTATACGAAGCAGAATATCAACACTCGCCAATCGCTGACAGTGCAATCCCTCCTCACAGATGAACATAACCTCCAACAGCAAATCCATTCAAACCATCTTCCTCCTCCTCAACACCACCTCCTCATTCCGTCTCAACTCCTCCGTACTCCTCTCCACCGCCCGGTCCAAACTCGCCTGAATCCTCCCCGCAATCTCCTCCACCGGCGTCTCCATCCCCACCAACCCAATAAACTTGCCAACCTTCCTTCTCTTGATCCGTATCCTCTCCTTCTCCGACAACCCCGCGTACGCATTGCTCCCGCTCGCCCTCTCACTCTGCGACGCCAGCAGCGTCGTCGGCGCCTGCAGGTCCTCCACCGTCTTCATGAGGTCTTCGAGCCAGATGTTCTCGTCCGCGCTGAGCTGCCGGCTGTGGCGGCGGGCGTGTGGACTCGTCGCGGTGGGTTTGGGCTTGGCCAGGAAGTCTTTGTCCCAGTTCATGTTGGCTGGGTAATGGTGCGTCCAGGGGCCCGGGGTGGATTGGTGGTAGTAGTGGGCGATGCTGTCGAGTTCGTCCTCGGTGAGGAGGTGGAAGGCCATGAGGGTTTTGGGGAAGGACGGGTGTGGTGGGCCGGAAGGGAGGGGCACGAGTGGTGCGAGGCGGAGTTGGAGCGTCTCGATTTTCTTTGAGAGGGTGTCGTTGCGGGTGGAAGGCGCCATCGAGGTGGTGTCGAGTGGCTTCTGTGAGGTGTTTGCTGCTCTGGTGGATGTCCTGCGACCGGCGTAGGATGAGTGTGTGCTGCGAAGTCGATGATGATGAGCGGATGAAGGCGAAGATGCGAGATGCCATGGTCAATGTCGAGGTGCTGCTGTTATTATGAGCTGTCCTTTGTCTCGAGGGAAATGAGACTGGCTTGAAGCGTGCCTGCGAACTCAGACAAAGCCTTCCAAATATACCAATGATGCCCGTCTTTGTCTGAGTCGCTGTCGGACTCGGCGCTCACACACTGTCGCAAAGAGCTTATTCGAGATGCGTAGATGTCGCAGGTGCTGGCTGAACGGTGAGGGTGACGGTGGTCAGGGTGACGGCGGTGAGGATGACGGCTGAGACTCTTCTCCAGCGCCCAGTACAAGACTGGAACATTGATGAAAAGTGATTCGCATCTGCTGGCGGTAGTGGAAGACCAGCGACACGGTGCCCTGCGACATAGGCAAGCCCAGCGGCCGCAGGACCGGTGCCAAAAATAAGAATAATCTTGAATGAGTCCGTAGACTCGTTTCAGAGATTAAACTGAAAAGAACAGATACTACACTTGATCTAAGCTGCGAGGGTGTCAGTATTGTGGCGTGTGAAGAGGGTGAGGTGGTGTCTTACCCAAAAGGCAAACTGTAATGGAGGTCAGTACATGTTGCAAAGTGTAGGGGTCAGATGGGTGGACGTACGAGAGCTGGGGAGGAAAGAAAGTCAAGTTGCAAATTCGAAAGCTCCGAAAGGTGATTCGGCGGGTGGCCCGTGCTGAAGCTTGGGCCAGTATTTCTCAGGCATCACCAGGCAGCCATGCTGAGAACTACGCCCACGGCGAAACGTCGGGACAGTGGGAGAGCGGCAAGAGCGGCAGGATGGCGGGGGCATGTGAAATAGTGGGAAGTGAATGAAAACAACATTGAAGACTTGCCCTCGCTGGGCTTCACGGCGTTCCATTGACTACCCTCCTCGTTCCGGTCAAACTGGAAGGTATGCAATTGCCCTCTCTCCGACTTTTCACAAACCATTGTGCTGCCAATTGCCCCGCAAGCTGCTTAGACAGGCCTAGGAGTAACGGGATGAATATTACGATTGACTTGAACAGCTTCAGTCCATCCGCTTGTGGCTTCGCCGCCAACTTGTTGCGTGCAATCTGCTTCAGCTCTTCAAGGGCAGCAGACATGATGGCGGCTGCGGCGGCGGCGGTGTTGTGGTGGTTGCTAGTTGTTAGTTGGTGGTGTTATAGTGGTGAGCGGTGGTGGGTAGTAGTGTCGAGGAAAGGGAAAAGAAGTGTGCGTGGGAATGGGCGAGACATCAGGTAGCCGACCCACAATGGCTCTTGCTACTTACTCGCAGTTTGACACTTGACCTTCCGTAGACTATTGTGGAACTCCTGCATCTGTCCTTACTCTATCGTCTTCGCTGCAGAATTTTGATTACAGGACTGGCACATGGCATCGGATCATTTAAAGGTGTCCAACTCGATTACATCGTACATGGCGACGACGACAACAACAAAGACTGAAGACTGAAGACAGCAGACGCAGACTCCAACACCCCACAAGCCAGCTCAGCAAAACTCTGGACGCTTCATCTCCTTGTTGCCGGGACCGATTGCATAGCGCTCACGATCGACGTGGAGGGAACGGTGAGGGCGAATGCTGCCGTCGCGGAGACCTCGCTCGACGATATGGAAGGCTGTGAGGATATCAGCGAAGGTCATGAGGAGAGCGAAGCCTTGAAGACAACATACCGGCAGGGCTGCTGTCATCCCAAGTGCCATTCTTCTCGAGTGGACCTCGAGCGACTTCCTTCCCCCAACCAGGCACCTCGAAGACGTAGAGAGGCTGCCCAGACAAAGACCAGCGCAAATCGTACTTCGTCGTTCTACCTTCAGCATTCTGCTCGAAGTGCAAGATCCATCCCCATCTCTCGCAGGGCAACGGATGTGCCTAACTCGCGAACAGAAGCGTAGTCATCTCTTTCCCATCGGGGAGAGAGATGGTAGTTTCATTCGTTCCCCTTCGACCGGAACGAGCAGGGCAACATCTCTAAAGTTTGGCTTCGAGACGTCAGCCCTTACCTTTTCTTGTCCAGGCCATGGATCAGAGACCGAGCTCTTAAATCAGCGGCGGAAATTACGTACCCGACCTTAAGATCGAATTTCCAGACTTCCTACTTCGACTCCATCCCCTGAGCTTGAGAGCAGGCCAAGTAATCCAGAAGACCTTGCCACCTTTGCGAAGATCTTGCAGTCATGACTGAGAGCTGATCATTCTACTTGACGCCCGCGAGGCAGCTCTTTCTAGATCTAATGCACATGTTGCGGTCTTTGATTACTGAACTCGAGCTTTGTCGATGATGAGTATCAAAAAGTCCTAGGCACTAAACTACTTGTCTGCAAGTGACGAGTAGTAGATCATCGTGGTAAGCATTAAAAGCTAGTCGTAGGCCTTCGAATCTTAGGCCGTACAAGCAAGTTTAGGGCCACAAGGCTGAAAACTGGGAAGCCTCCAGATCTTTGACTGTACAACCAGGCTTAGGGCTGTATGGCTAGAGATCTGGAAGCCTATGATTACTTGCTAGTCACCCCAATTAGGAAGGAAGAATGAAGGTTTCTGCATATTCTGATGCCGAATCGTTACTTGTTCATTTGATAGTAGGAACTCAAGAATGAGACTCTAGGTCCTCGGCTACTGGAGTCAAGGTATATAATAAGTCCAGCAGTCTTTAGTAATCTCTTCCCGTGTCTGTACTCTCTACTCTGCACTTTACATTCTACAATCCTCGACTCCAGCTCGCCCACCATGCAAATCCAAGCATTGCTCTTGACCTGGGCCGCGTGCACCATGGCACAAAGCTACGACGTGGACTTCCAAATCTACCCCAACCAGAGTCCGTATCCCAGACATCCGTCCATGGCTGGGGCAGGGCACTAACAAGACCTCCCAGACTGCCAAGGCGGCGGCTCGACGGAAATCCTAGCGAATGCCGTCACCAAGAGCCCGTTCTTCCCCGACCAACGAAGCATCAAGGTCTACTCGATCCGCAACGGCAAGCATCTGGTTCTGTACAAAGGTGGTTCGCAGACGGGAGCCGCGCAGCGGTTCTATGATTCTGTTGAGTGTGTTAATGGCGACTGGCTTAGCTATGGGGTTTACAATGGCGGTCCGTAGAGGGGTGTGTTGTTGGGCTTTGATGGAGGCCGTGGCTGGACAGTAGGATCTCTGAAGGTGCCAGTGTTTGCAATGCAATTCATTGGCACTGTCGCTGAGTATGTGATGGGGAAGCGCTCAAGATATTACGCCATTTAGAGTTGTAACACCGTAGTCAAGCCCTGCATCATCTCGTTCACATGCCCTTGACAAGTCTAGCGGCACCCCGATAGTTTGGCATATTACAGTGCTTAACCCAACCTCAAAGTCGTGCCGAGATCATCGAACAGATGTCCTCCCTCTTCAATATATCCCGGTCGACCATCCTCCGCCCATCTCCAGCGCCACCCTTCTCCCAAGCCAACCTGACCTCCTCCGCCGGATCGCACAAATACGCCCACCGCTGCGTTGTGGGATCACTCCACTGATTCGGACTCGCAATAAAATGCTCCCCTCTTACCTCCGCTTCCATCAATCGATCCCTCGCTTTCTGCTGTGGTCCGTCCGCGAGATGTAGCGTATACATATGTCGATAGCTGGCTTCCTGCATCGCCGTAGCGAGGGATCCGAACAGATTCCCATGTTGCGATTGCGTCGGGGAGCTGGTGTCGAGATTGTATGAGGCGAAGGGCTTGAGCAAGGGCATAGGCATCTTCAATAGCAATAGAGGCGCCAGCTGCCATGGAAGGGAGCATGGCGTGTGCGGCATCGCCAAGGATGAGCATTTTCTTGCTAGGGGAGGTCCAGGAGTCGAGTTGGGGGATGTCCTGAACTGGCCATTTGAAGGTGGTTTTGACGAGTTTGAGGATTTCGATTAAGCTGTTTTGTGATGTCAAGTCAGAATTTGTGAGTATAGGGTACTGGGGATTTGACTCACGTAGGATCCCAGCCTGCGTAGAAGGATCGCATTATTGAGAGGGATTGCCGCGAATAGTCATCCCAGTGACAGGGTTCTTTCTGCTCTGGGACGGTGATCACTAAGTTCCAGTCTTCGCCGCCTTTGATCGGATAGCTCATGACATGGCTTTGGTCTCCTACCGTGCAATTCAACATTAGTGACCGTTCTCAATAGTACAATGATAGGGTCCAACCATAGACAGAGACTCTCGAAGTCCATGTTCTTTGCGATGAGTCGATTCTTCCTCATCTCCTCCACAGGAACGCACGCCCTGTACGCCGCAAACCCATGGCTGCGAAGTGGTATGCGTTCTCCAGTGATGACTTGCCTCGCCGTGGACTTGAGACCTATAAGGCGGGAAATCAGAATAGAGCCGCTAAGTTCCAAGACGACATCTCACCGTCACCAGCGACCAAAAGATCAGGAACTACTTCTTTGCCATTGGTAAACCTAATCGACGGTCTTTCTGGATCGTACGAAGCGACGGTATGGCCGAGATGTATTCTAACCCCAAGATCCACAGCCTTGTCGTGCAGCGCTTCGTGAAGATGAGCCCGGTGAATGACACGATACGGCACGCCGAAGTTCTCCTCAAAATCAGGCTTGTACCGCGTCTTGGCGATGACTTTGCCATCTTGCCACCGTTTCCACCAAAGATTCTTAGGCTCTACCGACTTGGCTTTAATGGCTTCTTCCACACCCCATTTGTGCATGATAGTGAGCGAGTTGGGTGGAACTTGGATACCTGCTCCAAGCTGTCATTTCCCGAGTGTAAGCAATGGAGGCACAGAACGATTGATCCTGGGAAAGACGTACTTCACTAAGCGCCGGGGCGTCTTCGTAGACGTGCACTTCGTGACCATCTCGACGGAGAGCCACCGCCGTTGCTAGTCCTCCAACACCCGCACCAACGATGGCTACCTTGAGGCGAATCGGCGCTTCACTCGGATGCTCATAGTCGTCTGGCCTCTCGCCTGTTTCGTCTCGCTCGGCCTGTTGAACATAATTCCAAGCACCTGTGGGGAATGGTGCTGGCTGTAAAATACAACATCGATCAGAATTTGCCCTGACATCATCTTCTCCATCAACGTACTGTGCTTGGGCATGGTATCCGGGGCATGTCTGCTGTGTCGGTTTGGTAGTGGCATTCAGAGCTTGCAGGTCCTAAGACATGATCTCGACTTGAGCTCTACCGTAAGTAAGGTGATTCATGGCGTCTTCCGTCGATCCAGATTGCTCATCGTTGTTGAGAAGATGTGTTGGACCCTCCAGATCGGTGTAGTTCGTACATGTTCGAGGGGTCGAGCGTTCGAGTCCGATTGAGTTTTGTTTCGCCTGTTAGTCCACATGCTAGCAGCAGAATGTATCGATGGTTACTTTTTGGGAGACCGGTTTTAGGTTCCTAGGTACCGATTGCGTCTTAGATCGTCGCCGCTAGTAGGTAAATCCCATGTGCTTTTAGATTGGCAACAAGGTCTCCTTCCCAAAGCGTCCTGAGCCGTATCATGACGTCTCTTTAGGATGTCGGTAATCTAAGGGCTGCATGTCATGCTTTTTGTAAAATCATGCAATTCTTCGATCTGGCTGAATCAACCGCTATGCGTACCCGAAAGGCCATTAATCCACACGCATTGCCTCGAACAAAGCTCTGGACTTGATCGTCACTCTTGGTCTCCAGACCTTGATCAGCTTCAGATCAGCTTTCTGTAGCAGCTCGATCCACTCTGATTCCGTTCGCTCACGAGATGAGAAGTTCAGCATCATAGTGAAATCTGTGTGGGCAACCACCGGCGTGTCGTCCGCACCGCTTTCAGACAGGACGTTCTCATTGATCAGAAGGATTGAATCCTTGCCCATCGCCTCCCGGACTCTGGAAAGCACTTCGAGAGCTTGCTTGTCAGGCCAGTCGTGAAGCACAGTGCGCATATAATATGCTCTAGCATCCTTGATCGGTTGCGGGTCGAACATGTTGTGTGGGTTGATTTCGATTCCGTTCGGCAGTGAGACTCCTCTCACCACCGCCGGCAAATCTTGAAGGACCAGTCGCCCCGGTAGATCTGGGAATTTGGTCTTCAATCTTGCAATGTCATGCCCCGACCCCCCGCCAAGATCCACGAAAACATGCGATTCGTCATTGAGCCTCTCTCTGACAGGGTATATATCGAACCATTGGTTGTGATCGTCATGACGAGGTAAAGACATCGTCGCATTGAATGGACGCTGTCTCTCCTCGTCGTCAGCTAGCCAGTGAAAGTAGTGGTTTTTCGTGTTGTTGGCAAATTGATGAGGTGCGTCAAAAGCATCGTCCGGGCTCATGTAATCTCGTGCCTTCAGGTAGTTGGGCGACTGGATCGCGGTGATCGCATGGAAATGTTTCACGACTTCTCCTGAGACTGTATCGTTGCGGAACTGGTAAGCGAAAGGTGCCAATGTGTATTCATCGTTCGACTTGGTGATGACCTTCTCCGTAATTAACAAACGAAGAATTCTCGTCAACATTGTCCGGTCTCCCTTGGTTTGCTCATCGAGCTGTCCAAGCGTCAGAGGATGGTTCAACCCAACGTCTGCAAAAGCGTCGAAAATGCCCATGCCCTGAGCAATCTTGATGATTGGCAGCGTTCGACAGGAGAATATGATTCGATTGACTGTTTGCTCTGGCTTCTCCAAAGTAACTCGCAGACGCTCCATGGCATCGAAAAGGTGTTCGGCTTCGCCATCTTTTCGGTCTTCCACGGGAGGCGGATTCGCAAGTAATGCTTCAACTGCTCGAGTAACTTCGGAGATTGATGTTGCCATTTCGAGATTGCTTGAGTTCGCCCGGGTGCTGGAACTGATGGTCTGCAGCGTACAAGAGTGGAGGTTCGAATATCATACACATCGCGATCAATAATGTAGTGTTCAAAGATCACATCATTGATCGACCCGGCCACGAGAGCTCTCACCTCGGGTTCATTATGGCAGTAGACCAAAAGCGGTCGGCAGATCCATGAAGTACCAGATTCATCGCTGTAGGTCGGGGTTTGAGTTTCTAGCTGCATGAGCAAGGCCCTCTGCTTTTGTCGATCGACTTTGTTGCCGAATGCTGTCATCAGTGAGACTTTCTTTTCCACGTCGCATCTGCGTCGCCGCTGATGCAATTCTACACCCACAAAGTCATCGTTGCTCGTGGTGGCTGGGTCAAGCTCTGCAAAAGCAATTCTTGTATCACGACGTGTCGTCTCACTGCGGATGCTTAACAGAAAGCTTATAAGCGCCCAAAAGCTTGGACGCGATCAAGGTATTGTGCGTTCTCATCTTCAATCGGCGTGCATTTATTTTCAGGAGCTCGTTGAGATCGCCGTGATAATTCTGGTCCCCAGCAGTTGAGCACTCGAGGTGTCGATACGAGATATGCCGACATTTGGGCTATGAACACGGTCATTCGCGTCCTTGTTTACCATCATGGTATACCTTGTACAGCATAAACTGGCTTGGAGCTTGCCATGGGTTCTTCAGCCGGTGCATGGCGTAATTGCAGTCTAGGACGTCCTTCGCTGGCCAGAATGTCTCTCTCTTGGACATCCAGTGAGGTCCCGCGATGATCTCAGAGCCAGAATTAATGTTCTTCGACTGAACACGTACATCTGCCACTATTTGAGTCATCAGTGGCGGCTTGCACAATTCTTAGCGGGATGAGAAGGCTGGCGACCGGGTTGCGCTCATTCGCGCAGTCATTCATGATCATTCGTTGAGCATTGCAGTATCATCCGTGAGCCTGCGCTGAAACAGAAGCCAGAGTATCATTTCACGTTTAGGTGGCCGGTTTGGAGGAGATTGGACGCCAAGCCTCTCGTTCGTCTGCCGATGTATGCCTCAGGCAGCCACGCGTGCTGCGTACTGCGTCGACGGTATCACAATTGCCCGTCAATTGCTGTCTCTTCCCTTCCACCTCACCTTCTACAAAGCTGGACTCTACATCGTACTTGTGGCTATGCTCCCGACGTCCATCGACTACTCCAATTGGTATCGACATCTTCTTCAGGTGTGACGGATCACTCAGCTGCTGTGGACCTGATCCGAGAAATGCGAAATGCTGGAGCAAGTGAAACCTGGTGGGACATCTGTTTTCCCTCCCTCCACAACTCATCGGCGACGGCTCCCCGGGCTGGCTTACGAATGATGCGTACTACTGTCACATCATACTGTACCCTCCTCTGTGTGTTCAAAGTGGAACGCATCGAACTCGCGTCTCTCCGCCTTTTTCTAAGCAACAGCGCTACTAATTACATCTTAAGCTGCTTAGAGGGCTTAGGAGTAATGGGGATAGATGTTCCACTTTCGGCGGGGCACGAGGGTTCGATACGAGTAAGTCTAGTTTGCGAGCGGACCGAAGAAAGGTGAAGCCGCGAGTATCAGTCCGGGCCCGACGGACCCGTCTTTGCAGCGAGCGTATAGCTACAGTCTGACCAGAGGAAATATGCAAGCGTCCTAACCAAACGAGATAAAGCCGAGAGCGGTGCTAGGCCGCCGAATGACATACAGCCCTAGAAGAGTGTCCAAAAGAGGCACCTGACATTGTCATGTAGTTCGGCATACCGATACTTTGAGGAGAACGACTTTAGGCCAGCTCGGACACCTCGCATTTACCGAAAGACCGCCATACGCCTACTCAATCTCCTTCAACCATGTCGAAGCTGTCATGCCTGTCATCATTAACTCTGCAGTCTGGTCCATGGGTTCCTCCTTACCCAGAGCCACCTCAAGATGACTCCGAGTCCTTTGCCGGCCAATGGTCCTAATGCCAATACTGCGGATCACGATCCTCCAGAACCTGTCGCCATTTGTGGATTGGCATGCCGTCTTCCAGCAGGCATAAGCCATCCTCGACATCTATGGGAGTTCTTGCTTGCTGGTGGAGACGCACGCAGCGAAGTACCAGCGTCCAGGTACAATGTCGAAGCGTTCTACGATCCAAGCGGAAAGCCAGGCACGACTAAAACTCGACACGGCTACTTTCTCGATGATGAACTCACGAATGTGGACACATCTATGGTGTCCATGTCCCGGAAAGAGCTCGAAAAGCTCGACTCTCAGCAACGTCTCATGCTGAACGTAGCACGAGAATGCTTTGAAGATGGCGGCGAGGTCGGTTGGGAGGGCAAGAAGATCGGTTGTTATATTGGCAGCTTGGGTGAAGATTGGCTAGAGATGCTTGTACAAGACACACAGAGCTTTGGACATTACCGAGTCACTGGACAAGCAGACTTCTCGCTATCGAACCGCATCTCGTATGAGATGAATCTTCACGGGCCTAGGTTGGTATAAGGCAACCCACAAACGATTTTCCTCGAATCTGACGTGAACCGAGCATGACAGTGCGGACTGCATGTTCGGCCTCGATGGTAGCGTTACATGAGGCTTGTGTAGCGGTGGGGAGAGGCGATTGCGAGTCGGCCATAATTGGCGGCACGAATCTGATCTTGAGACCCCACTGCACTGCTCAGATGTCCGAACAAGGTGTTCTTTCCCCTGACGGTTCTTGCAAGACGTTCTCCAGCGAGACCAACGGATATGGTCGAGGTGAAGCCATTGTTGGTGTTTTCATCAAGCCGCTCGAGCAAGCACTTCGAGATGGCAACAGCATTCGCGCAGTCATTCAAGCCACATCGACCAACCATGGCGGTAGATCAGCAGGATTCACAGTCCCAAACCAGGACGCCCAAGAAGAAGTTATTCGCCAAGCGTACCAACAAGCCGGCCTGGACATGGTCGACACCGGATACTTCGAGTGCCACGGAACTGGCACACCTTTGGGAGATCCCATCGAGGCCAAGGCGGTTGCTAACTGCTTCAGCAAGGCAGGGATCATAATTGGATCCACCAAGTCAAATTTTGGGCATACAGAGGGAGCATCTGGTCTTTTGTCTCTGCTAAAGGCTGTTCTCATGCTCGAGAACAAAGCAATCCCTCCCAGCATCAAATTTTCGCCGAAGAATCCAAGGATTCCGTGGGACTCAGGCAAGCTTGCACTTGCAGAGAGACCTCTATCCTGGCCGAACGATCGCGTGCAACGCATCAGTGTGAACTCATTCGGCTTGGGAGGCTCAAACGCCCACACCATCATCGACTCTGCGTCGAACTTTCGACCAATCACTGAGAAATCCTCGAAAAAGGACGAAACTTGTCAGTTGCTCCCATATTCCGCTGCAAGCCAACGGTCCCTTAACGCGCTTATCAGCACATATGCATCCTTTCTGGAAGAGTCTAGTTTCAATATCGCCGACATTGCGTACACGCTCGCCCGCGGTCGCGAGCATCTAAAGCACCGTTCGTTCGCCGTTGTTCGTGGGCATTCTGTCATAACTAGCCCGCCAGCAACCGCGCCTAGCCATCGGACTCCCAAAGTCGTCTTGGTATTTACCGGTCAAGGTGCTCAATGGCCTGGGATGGCTGTCGAGCTATTGATGTCTAATCCAACCTTTCAATCCGCCATCCGCTCCTTAGACGAGTATCTCAACGCTAGCCTTGGAGACGATGCCCCAGAATGGACCATCGACGAAGAGCTTCGGAGGCCTTCTGAGACGAGTCGTCTCGGTCTCGCAGAGTTTTCCCAGCCGCTGTGCACCGCCGTGCAGATTGCACTTATCGATACTCTGCGCTCAGTTGGAATCAAGGCGGATGCCATAGTCGGCCATTCAAGCGGCGAGATTGTTGGCGCTTATGCCGCTGGTGCCTTGACTGCGGGAGAGGCTTTAGTAGCTGCGCTGTATCGTGGCGTTGCGGCCAAGAAGCAGACGAGACCAGGTGCAATGGCAGCCATTGGCATGGGCGTCGCCGACGCTGAGAAGTTTCTGTTGCCAGGTGCTTGTATCGCCTGCGATAATTCTCCACGAAGCGTCACTGTTTCAGGCGATGCCACAAGCGTCGAGGAGGTCCTCTCAAGCATTCACAAGGCCAATCCTGACACGTTCGCGAGGAAACTTGCAGTTGATAAAGCGTACCACTCACACCACATGGCCGAAATCGGCGATGCATACAATGCGTTGATCCAGGAAAGAATAGTGGCCAAGCCTTTGGAAAAGCCGTTCTTCTCGAGCGTCGAGGGCAAGCTTCTTGATGCATCCGCCAAGCTTGACTCCCAATACTGGCAAAAGAACGCAGAATCTCCTGTACTGTTCAATGGAGCTGTAACGAGTCTCCTCCGCTACTTCTCGGATGATGAAATCATCCTTTTGGAAATCGGAGCTCACTCTGCCCTGGCTGGCCCCTTGAAGCAGATCATGACAGACACCTCAAACAAGGCAACTTACATACCTACCTTGATACGGAATCAAGATGCTTTTGAAAGTTTGCTGTGCTCTATTGGAAAGCTCTACGCCTCGCATGTCTCAACCGACATTGCGGCACTGTTCCCAACAGGCATTTGCTTGTCAAATTTACCTCGATATCCTCACCTCCCTTCGGACAACAGCTACTGGTTCGAATCTCGTCTCAGCAGAGAATACCGGCATAGGAAGTTTCCACATCATGATCTGCTTGGTACCAGAATTCTGGAAAGTACAGACATTGAGCCCGCATGGCGGAATCTGTTGCACGTGCGCTACAACACAGCTTGGCTCAAACATCACAAAGTCGGCGATGACATTGTTTTTCCATTCGCAGGTTATGTCGCAATCGCAGGCGAAGCAGTCCGTCAAGCGACCAAAGTGGAGAAGGCCTTCCGTCTACGACATGTTTTGGTCAGCACGGCGATGCTGCTTTCTGAGGAGGAGCCAACGGAAATCATCACCACCCTTCGTCCTCTACAATTGACAGTTTCCGAGCAAAGCAGCTGGTTCGAGTTCAGTATTGTAGCAAACAGCGGCAGCCAATGGACTAAGCACTGTAGTGGGCAAGTCAAGGCTGAGGGCGGACCCCTGGCAAATGGAATAAGCCCTGAATCATTCCCTCGTGTCGTCAAACGGGAAAGATGGTTCGACGCTGTGAGATGCCAAGGTCTGGACCTGGGCCATGACTTCCTGCATATGGACGACATTACCGCATCTACGACTACGCACGAAGCACGTTGTATCCTCTCTAGCAGGAGCTATCCCCTCGATACCTTGTCACGATATCACATCCACCCGGCGGTGATCGACGGTATCCTTCAATTGTCCTCTGTGGCTGCTGCAAATGGCCTCATACGGAGACATCGAAACTTCCTTCCTGTGTCTTGTGATCAACTCTTGGTTACCAGGACGGTGAAAGACTTCATTGCCAGTGTGGGAGTTAGTCGTATGGGGAGAGAGTCTACATCTTCAAGATTCTCCAATGGCAAGGGCATCTTGAACGGAAAGGTAGTCCTCGAATTCGACGGTTTGGAAATGCGCGCCGCCCAGGTCACTGGGGAGAACGAAGACAAGTCAGATCCACATGCTGCATCGCGCCTGGTTTGGGCCGCTGACATCGACTTTGTGGATGTGAGGTCACTGTTCTCGCCGCTACCTCATATTGAGACATACGCAAAAGAACTTGACGATCTTGGGAGACTGTCGATCCAGAAAATCCGCAAAAGCCTCTCTCATCTCACCCCGAAAACACTCCACCACCAGCAATATGCTGACTGGATCAGATCTCAACCCTCATCATCGGAAAGCTCAGAACATGACGACGAGAAGATTCAGCGGCTCACTGCAAGCCTCGTCAACAGCGAAGTTGGCCCTGTGGTCCAGGTACTCCAAGCTTTTATGGCCAACATCGACACCATAGTCAATGGCACACCATGGGAGTCTTTCCTGCCCTCCAACATCGTAGCAAGCTTGTGCAATACTCTGTCTGGTGTCGACAGCTCAGCTTTCTTCAAGACGCTGGGTCACTCTAAACCAAACCTCCGGACCTTGGAAATCGGCGGTTGGTCGAGGTCGCCATCAAATGTCATCGTTGATGCTTTGCAATCAAACGGCCGACGTTTTTGGTCACAGTACACCTTCGCTTCCACGGCTTTGCTCCCGGCTGAGAAAAGGCTTGGCCATTGCGAGGGCGTGGAGTTTGTCACTCTCGACATCAGCAAAGATCTCGGTGAACAAGGCCTCGAAGAACGCCAATACGATATTGTTGTCGTGCATGGAGCCCTGCAGAGACTACCCATCGTGGAAGGCTCTCTCCGGAACATCAGACAGCTGCTTCGGCCTGATGGCCGCCTCCTTCTGGTGGGCTTAGGTCCTGCGCCAGATTGGACGAAATTGGTTCTCGGTACTCAAACAGCATGGAAGAACGAGGAGTTGGATCAACGGGCCTTGGAAGGTCGTAAAATCACTGATTATTGGCAACAAAATCTCGAAATCGCAGGCTTTGGCTCTCTCGAGGCTATGACCCATGACTCAAGGGTGGGCTTTGAGTCCAATGGCATTTTGCTAGCTCGCCCGACCAACAGCCTCACCAACGGGGTCTACAAAGCCTTTGGTCTGCTCGTGAGAGATAAGTTGAAGAGCTGCCACCCGATAGAAGAGCGCCTACAGCGACACGGATACCAGGTCACCAAGCTTACTCTCAAAGACAACCCGCCGCCCAACACCGATATCATCTCTACCCTTGATCTGGACAGCCCTTTTTTCGAAAACATTGCAGATAACGACTACGAGGACTTCAAGACTTTTCTGGCCAACTTGCGCAATTCTGGCATCCTCTGGATCACAAAACCATGGCATACTCGGGTAGAAGATTCTCGCTATGCCCAAGTCATTGGCCTGGCTCGTGTCATTCGGACCGAGCTTCTTATTGACTTTGCTACTTGTGAGGCTGACGACTTCGATGCATCCCTTTCCCTTGTTTGCGACGTTTTCGACAAATTTAGCAATCGCGATGCCAACGACACTCTCAGCCCCGACTTTGAGTTCGCTATCGACGAAGGGATCATCAAGATCAGTCGACATCTGCCATTCACCCTGGCAGATAATCTGCTCCAAAGCCACGACAGTGAGCGAATGAAGATCGTTTTTGAGAATCCTGGACGTTGGAGTAGCCTCCAGTGGGAGCGCCAGGCTGAGCCTGAGCCTGCAGCGCTCGGCAATCGTGCTGTTGAGATCGAGATGCATGTTGTTGGACTCAATTTCAAAGACGTACTGGTTGGCATGAATCTCATCGATCACGTCGGGCGCTACAACGGACTCGAAGGTGCGGGTGTTGTTCGCGGAGTAGGCTCAGACGTCAAAGCATTCAAGCCAGGAGATCGTGTCGTTGCAATGGATCATCAAATGCTGTCTGCCCTGGTCGTAACCCACGAAAATATGTGCGCCAAGATCCCGGACTCGCTCGAGTTCTTGGACGCTGCCACAATGTTCACCGTCTTTGCCACGGTGCAGCAGTCTCTGATCAAGATCGGCCGTTTACAAAGAGGAGAGTCGCTCCTGATTCATTCTGCTTGCGGTGGCGTTGGCCTTGCTGCAGTACAGATTGCACAGATGATTGGGGCAGAGATCTACGCTACAGTAGGCTCCAATGCCAAGGCACAATACCTCGTGGACACCTTCGGCATCCCGAGAAATCGGATATTTTACTCTCGTGACAACTCTTTCGTCAAAGACGTCTACCGCGAGACTGGTGGGAAAGGCATCGATCAGGTCCTCAACTCACTCTCTGGCGACTTGCTACACGAGACCTGGAAATGCGTTGCACCCCATGGGAAAGTCATAGAGATTGGCAAGCGTGGGCTTCTTGGCCATGGGAAGCTTGATATGGAGCCTTTTGTGGCTAACCGCAGCTACTGCTGCGTTGACATCGATGCGTTCTATGACCACAACTCGCTTCGATTCAAAGAGTGAGTCAACCAGAGACACTTCGTCGTGAATATATAACAGCGCTGACGGAGATTCAGGTTGATGACAGAAACGCTTGAATATCTTGAAAAGGGGTCCGTCAAGCCGATTCCAATCGCCAAAGAGTTCGACGCATCTTCCATTCCCAACGCCTTTGAGCACCTGCTCCCTGGCCACCACATCGGTCGGGTTGGCATTCGAATTTGCGATGTCAATGGTCGATTGACTATGAAGACTGAGGCCTGCCGCAGCTCTGCCTGGAACCTTGAGCTCAACTCTTCAGGATCGTACCTTTTGGTTGGTGGCCTAGGGGGTCTAGGCCGCGCCATATCTATCTGGATGGTGGAACACGGCGCTCGCAATCTAACATTCTTTGGTCGTAGTGCTGGGAAGGGCGAGGACGATGAAGCCTTTATCAAGGAGCTCGAAAGTATGGGCGTTACTGTCAGTACCGTCCGCGGCAGCGTCACTAAGCTCGAAGACGTTGCTAGAGCTTTTGCTACCGCGCAGCCTCCACTCAAAGGAGTCCTACAACTCAGCACCGCCCAAGCGGACGACAACTTCTATGCAATCACAAAGGAGCAGTGGGACTATAGCGTGGGTCCGAAAGTTACTGGGACGTGGAACCTGCACCACGCCACTGCAAACCTCTCTCTCGACTTCTTTGTCCTTGCCAGCTCTCTATCTGCGGCCGTTGGGATGCCGGGTCAAGCCAACTATGCTTCTGGAAACAGCTTTCTCGATGCTTTCGTCCAGTATCGCAATAACCTCGGCCTACCCTGCTCTGCCATCAACATTGGCGCGGTTGCCGGTATTGTTCTCCTGGCCGACAAGGCTGCGCTTCAGCGCAGCGCAGTGCTGGTCGGTAACAAGACTGTGGATGAGAAAGAGCTGTTGGACGCTATGGCGCTGGCAATGACGGCTTCCATACCCCGAAAGCCACCAAGTGGCAGCTCGGATGGGCAATGCTCGTTCACAGATCCTAATGTATTTGTCCTAGGCATGGCATCCAGAGAGCCCCTAGAGAGTCCCTCCAATCGTACTGTTTGGAAGAAGGACTGTCGTATGGCAATCTACCACAATGGAGACTCAAACTCTGAACAAGCCACGTCTTCCACAGACCCGCTCAAAGTTTACCTAGCACAAGCACAAGCAGACCCATCGATCCTCCGCACGCCAGAAGCAGGGACTTTCTTCGCACGAGAAATTGGTAGTCGACTTTTCGATCTGCTCATTAAAGATGGCAGCGAGTTGGACATCCGCGTTCCGCTCGAGGACCTTGGGCTGGATTCTTTGGTCGCCATTGAGTTGCGTGCTTGGTGTCGGCAGGCGTTTGCTGTGGATGTCTCCGTGTTGGAAATGCTGGGCGTGGAGAACCTGGAAATGCTCGGGGTGTTGGTGGCGAAGAAGCTGGTACAGGCGACTGCCAGTAGGGGTGAGAAGGAGTGATATGTTGAGCTTGAGGACTCAAATCCACACAAGTGTCTGCTAGAACTATGCAAGAAGAGGTCTAAGGCCTCATGCTGGATTGAAGGGTCTCCGGTACGTCGACACGCCTTCAAATGCTTGCTCTTGGGATTTCATGTTGAGACAATACCGAAGGCACGGAACGCTACGGCAGTCAATGGAGAGAAAGTTCGTCGGCAATGCATGAGCTCGCCGTAGGCCAGCTTGTTGGCCTATCTCCGAGTGTGCGTTCTCGTGTCTCTCTATACCGATCAGGGCGCTAGCTTCTTCTTGCGTGCTTAGCAGGATTGTCACGTTAGGCTCAGGGCACTTGGCGAATAAGAAGAGCAGTTCCCTCGCATTAGATTAGGACAATATGGAGTGAGTTTGCAGGACTACATAACTGTGCCAAAGAGCCGGGAAACCCATTGCCAGTCTATTCCATTTCGGTTTCCATCCGAAACTGAGCGCTTGACAAAATGGCGACCCCACAGGTTGCTACCAAAGACGAGACCACCATTGGAGACTCAGAACTGGGATCAGATGCCCCCAAAGACAAAATTCCGCCAAAGTGGCGTAAAGCGGCGCCATGGACTCGAACTCTCTTCTACCGCACAACGCTCTTCCAGATCTTAGTCGTTGGTGTATGTGCCTTCACAGCTCCTGGGATCTGGTCAGCCATGAATGGTCTTGGTGTTGGAGGCTCACAAAGTCCCAACTTGGTCAACGCCGCCAACGCCATTCTCTACGGCTTTATGACAGTGACGTGCTTCCTAGGCCCTTGGCTGACGAACTTTATCGGATTTCGTTGGACTTTAGCAATCGGATCGCTGGGCTATCCTCTCTATGCAGCGGGGCTTTACTGCAACAATCGCTTCGGAACCATATGGTTCGTCTATGTGGGTGCAGTGGCATGCGGTCTGAGTGCTGGGTTCTTCTGGAGCGTCGAAGGTGCTATTGCCACAGGCTATCCAGAGCCACATAAACGGGGTCGATATATCGCCACGTGGTTCACATTCCGGAACTTTGGTAACATCATAGGGGGTGCAATCTCTCTAGGACTGAATGCCAAAGTCGACCACAAGGGAAAGGTCGGATACGTGACGTATCTGGTCTTCATCGCTTTGCAGTGTCTTGGATTCTTCTCCGGTCTTTTCTTGTCAAACCCCGAGAAAGTGGTCCGTGACGATGGGTCTAGAATTGAGGCTCCAAGAGGGATCAACTGGAAAGTGGAAGCGAAAGAGATGGGTCGACTGGCAATAAGCAAATCCATTCTCTTGCTTGTACCCCTTTTCTGGTACTTTGGGTGGATGCAAGGTACGATCTGTAAAGAGTTCCTCACATCTTATATCAAGCTGATCATTCAAAGCCTACCCGGGAACGTTCCTCGCCACGTACTTCACCGTTCGATCACGAGCTCTCGGCAGCTTCATGTCCGCCGTTGTAGGGTCTCTGGCAACCTGGCTCGGCGGTAGCTTGGTCGATCTGCCTTGGGCCAAGAAGAGGCAGACTCGGGCGGTTCTAACATTCCTCCTGATTGCGGCGATAAACAGTGCAACATGGATATGGGCCATGGTCATCCAGAACGAATATCGATTCTCGAAGCCTGTGCTGGATTGGTCTCATCAGAGCTCCTTTGGCCGTGGTTTCGGACTATACATGTTCCAGCGCATCAGCCTGGGAATGGTGGAGAACTACATATACTGGTGCATCAGTAATCTGTCAGACTCTCCAGGAGATCAAATCAGGTACAGCTCCCTATTGCGAGGAATTGAGACAGCGGGAGTTGCTGTTGGCTTTGGCGTTCAGGCTGTGCCAACTGTTCTGATAGCCACAGCAGCGATCAACCTTGCGCTGTGGTTCGTCGCATTGCCATTTAGCTATTTTGCGACTTTGCAAGTGGTGCGCAAATTCAATGAGTTGGATGCGGAGCGGAAGGCCAGCGAGGAGAGTTGAGGAAGGAGAGGCCTCTTCCTTTGTTGAGACAAGTTTTTGATGCAGACAGGCGTAGGACGTTATTTGTATCCACGTCACAAGCCTCTTCAAGATGCACTTAGTACGTTGGAATTCTTTTGCTGAGATCTATCGAGGCCGCAGATACAGGAGTGCCGAGTGTAAAGCCTTGTCGTAGCCGAACGCTAACCCCGGCGTAGCCTGGCTTGGCGAACAATGAAAGCATTGGGCGATGGCACGACATGTAATTGCTGAACAGGCAACGGAACTCGATGGATCTGGAGAGAAGCATCTCATTTGACGTGGAGATGAAGAAAGATCCGATTGAACTCTTGGACTCTGACACAGATGGGGAGCATCGAAGGAGCAGGATCAATCTTTGAAGAATCGCAGCAATGTTAAGCGATCGAGTCATCCCCCGATTTTTAAGTACGACCAAGGCATTCAGACCTCTACTTATACTCTACCAAGCCATCGTAACATGATACCATGTCTCGAAGAGCCCGATTCGTGAATTTGCTTGCCGCCTTCGCTAGCCACTGTGAGCGACGATTGCCATACTGTATTCGTGCTTCCTCGGCCGTAGATAGGAACACGTGTGCGAATGACAGAATTCATTTCTTGTAGGATCTAGCCGCGATCTAGCCCTGCTTCTGCTAGCTCACACGTCTGCTCATGTTGTGCTCCAATAATATTGCGGTCAAAATCTTGAGATCATTCACGCGTTGTCTCTCTATTATCTAGAGAGTATGCTGAGAGGCAGATGTTAAGGCTGCTAATGTAGCCTACGAGCGGTTCGAAGCTCGAATAGCAGACGACCGGTCTAAAGGCAAGCATACGACAAGTAGACATCGTGACAGACGAATAGCAGATTGATGAGATAGTATTTGACATTGTCGACCCGTATCAAGCAGAGCTCTTGTAGGCGCTAAGAGAAAAAGAGCAGTCCAGATACCTTCGGCTGAAGCTGCAGGGAAAAGATACGACATAGTAGCGTGGAGCTTTGTGCCCATATCTCGGAGGAAGGCGGTTGATGCATAGCACGAGTTTCAACGATCGCTGCTTTACTGTTGCCTGATTCTGGACTATTTTAGTTCACCGCTCTCTCTAACCACTGCTGGGCATGTGTGCGCTATACCTTCATTGAACCAACGACTCAACGATGGACCACATGATACCAGACGACAACAAGGCTCCCATGCGCGCCCGAACATACTATGTCATAAGGCACTACCGTGTATTTCTGGGCTCAATCACCGCCATCATGCTCGCCTGTCTCGGTGAGCTTGCTTTGGGGATCTACATTTGCTCGACGTTGGTCCCAAGCGATGCGTACTATACTGCCGGATACATTTCGTCTCCAACTCGAAACAAGGCCAAAGCCAGAGCGTAAGTTCGCACTTGTATATCCAGCGAAGGTAATTCAAGCTGATGCGTCACAATGAACAGTGCTCTAGTCTTCTTCTGGTGTACCATGCCTTTCGTACTTTCGGGGTGGAGCCTCTTTGAGGCGATACTGATGTTCAAGAAGCGTCTGTCCCCGACGTGGATAGCGAGTTCGGCGACTCTGGCTTGTATGCTTTGGATTATTCAGATGTCGCTTGAAGGGGGTTGTGTGTGGACATATCCGGGCGAGAGCATCATGACCTCTGGCGGAGGGATTTGTCCAAACGTATTTGCGCCAGCCCTTGGCTGGAACGATGGATCATTTGATACGTACACGACGGCGTGGTATACGCCCTATTCTGTCATTGCCGTGTTTTGTTTGTGAGTCTGGAGTCGACACCATCCCTCGAATAAGTTTGTTGCTGATGAGTGCTCACAGATACGTTGTGTACTTCTCGGTCGGTTTGAGGGCGGTGGTGGTCGACAAGAGAGACCACAAGCAGGCGAGTGTGCCATTGGTGCCGAAGGACTCGTCGTCGACGAACTCCATTTCGACTTCACTTGTCGCGGAGACACTTGATACAGAGATGTTCTGTGCGAGCACTTCTGACGGCAAGGAACCGCCAAGCTATGTTTCGAGCGATGTTGCTTCGGCCGACTCATACAATGTAAAGAGAGATTAAACACGACCTCTGACGGGTAGCACCGAGGAACGAGGATCGGATGGTGACTATAACGATGAGAGGGTCTTGGAATTGAGATGAGAGGGAGAAATAAATCACTTGGCTCCTGAGAATGCATTAGCCTAGCATAGAATGCGACGTTTAGATGGCGCTTGGTGGATGCAAGATGCTGTAGCCGATATAGAGCATTTTGAATCGACCCTGAGGAAAATAACAAGAACTAATCAAGGTCTCAGACTCATGACGACAGGTGTTCAACCCGTGCTGTCACACTACCGAATACGAATCGATCCGCGGACATTGATCATCGCGTGCAGAATCCTCTCGGCTTCTGTGTCGAAGCCCTACCGGGATTTCTGTGACAGGATGGCAGTCCTACAGCCCCATTAGGCTCTTTTGACGAACTTGGCTTATCTACCAATACTCTCTGCATAAGGTATAAAAAAGCCAGCTGACCAAAGATTTCGAGAACAGCTTGTGCATTTTGTGCCCAACGACACGGACATTCTGTGGGATCTTCGCACTCATTCGGGCAGGGACGACGAAAAACGCGCTTGCTATCGTGTCCCAACTTCGAGTCGCCATACTCGGCGGAGGTCTTGCTGGAGCTATTCTCCTCCGTAGCTTACTGCCCCTGAAGCATCTCAAAGTCGACATCTTCGAATCCCGACCTGCATTCAAGGAAGAGGGTGCAGCAATTGGTATTGCCACAAATGCTCTAAAAGCATTGCAGGACATCGACCCGGAGCTTTTGCAGTGCTTAGATCGTGCCGGAGCGGTCGAAGAAAACGACTTGCGCGCCTTCATATCTTCGGGTGCGGATTCTGGCGAGATATTTCACACGCAATCCAGTCCGCCCGGGGAAATTCTTGTCAAGAGCGTTGCAAGGGCGCCGTTTCTAAGTGAGATCTTGAAGACTGTTCCCGAGTCATGCATGCACACGGCTAAACGCATGATCGAGATCAAGCAGTCTGAGGACGATTCCTATACCATCTATTTCGAAGACGGCACAGAAGAGAAGTTCGATATTGTCTTTGGCACCGATGGAATTCATAGCTCTGTCCGCAAGTATGTGCTTGGAGAGGATGAACCTAGCAGTAAAGCTGTTGGTGCCGGGTGGTGGTTCTACTTTGTGCTTGTCCCGATGGAAGAGGCCAGAGCTATTCTCGGTGATTGGTATCTCGACAAGCCTCGACAGCAGGTGTTTACTGGTCATGGACACTTCACTCTGGTTGGCTGGACCAACGATAAGACCTCCATTTGGGGAGCCTGTGGAGCACGCATGGAAGAAGGGTTTGATAAGACCGCGTGGGAAGTAGAGATGACAGAGGAGAAGTTCAACAAGCATTTTGAGAATGATTCGGAGATGATTCACAACTTGGCTAAGGTGAGCTACGACGCACCCAGGACTCCCTGTTCTGACCCTTCTTTTAGTTGCTCTACAAGAGTGCTCCACCTGGTGTCTCTCCGTTCTGCATGTTCCATCATCCTACGACGTCGACTTATTTCAAAGGCCGTGTTGCAATCGTGGGGGATGCTGCCCACGCTCCGGTATGAAGCTATATCTCATGATTCTCCAGTCTGCTGACGTTTTGCCCCTAATCAGACTCCGTGGCAAGGCTCCGGTGGAGCGCAGTCTGCTGAGGACGCTGTGATACTGTCCGCACTTCTAGCACGAATCAGCAAGCGGGAGGAGATCACTGCAGCACTGAAGGCATACGACCAAATTCGTAGACCACGCTGTCAGTCCATTATTGACTCCAGCTACGAGGTTGGACTACTCGCAACGGGCGTCAAACCAGGTGTGGAGCTCAATGTTGAGAAACTCCGTGCAAAGATGAAGCACAAGTGGGACCATATCCTGCCGTACGATATCACGACTGCAAAACCTTGGGCGTTGGAGGTTATGGCAAGCTTGTTATCACAGCAAGGCTGAAGCTATCGTCGGATGGTGAACGTGGAGTTTGCGGATGTGGATGAGGAGACCCTAGATAAGCAGATGGAAAATGTGATGGAGATGATCAAAGATGAGGATGTGAAGGCTGTGTCGACGTTTTGTACGAGTTGGAGAGTGGTACAGAGGGTACAGTCTTGAGAGAGAGACTACGTCCACAATCGCATCTCTGATGGCTTAAACGGCTTGCGACAAATAGGGATAGATGTTTCTTTGCGTCTGATTCAGGATTCCACCACTACCCACGCTCAGATCTAGCCCATGATACGACGATCGAAGGACTGTCTTGGATAGAGCAGAATGCAGTTCTCTCTCGAAAGTCAACGGTAGTGACCTTTCTCACTATCGCCCCTATAATCGCTTAGACGCCTTCCAAGTAATATTGTGCCTCGCGCACGGTTTCCCTGGAGTCATCTTCTCGACCACTCTCGCAATCTTTTCTCGGACTGCTCGGACGGCTGGCAAGTCTCGGGGATGAATGGTGCATTATGTCCTTTACAGAGGACAGTGAAATGCACCGCTCAGGGGCAATCCTATCGCGGAGTGTTCTGACTGAGTGGTCACAATGCAACAAGTATCGGTCTTCATAGCTTGATTCTTGTCAACAGCAACGTAAACTACTATGAAAGGCACATTACAGGGACAAACTGCAGATCAGTTTGGAACAGCCACAATCAACGCCCACTGCATGTCCTCATCATAGACCCAAATATCTCGCAGCTTCATCCCACAGCTCTCAACTAGAGCACGCCATTGCTTCTCCGTCCGTTCCATGGACGACGCTGTGGACATCATTGCAAAATCATAGTGGAGTAGCTTGTGGTTGGCACCTGTCGGCGGTATCACTATTTCGTCGATCACAACCACCGAGTCAGCCGTCATTGCAGGACGAAGCTGCTGGAGGATCTTAGCCGCGGGCTCGTTCGACCAGTCGTGTAACACATTGCGCATGTAGTATACTTTAGCATGCTTGACAGGTTGAGGCGTGAAGAAATCGTGGGCCATGGGCTCGAGGTCGATGGCTGAGGCTTCCTCTTTGTCGATCATGTCAACCATGACAGTCTGGGACATAGTGGTAAGTGAAAGTCGGAGATATGTGCGTGGAATCCATCTTTCAGCACCTACAATGTCCTGCACTACCATCTTTCCTCTCAACTGCGGGAACGCAGCTCGCAGAGCGAAACACTGATGGCCACTGCCCCCTCCCACGTCTACCATCATAATCCGGTTGGAATTGTGGTCAATGTCTGACATTTCAAAGTCTTTCGTGGACACGGCATCGTTCATCCACGTAGGAAGGTGCTTCCTGTGCTCCGCCATGTACTCGAAGACGGTTGCGGCCCTTTCCGGATTCTGCTGAAGGAGATCCATGATGCCCGCGCCATGTATTTTGGCAAAGAGTGATGTGTTGGGATCGGTAGGATTGCGGTAGCCGGTCTCTGAGAGGTATTTGGGTAGGGTTAGAAGGTTCTTGCTTCCCTCACTGTTTCGTTCAGGGTCAGTGAGTATTAGAAAAGAAGGAAACCATGCCAGGGCATAGTTGATGAGGTGAGCCTCACTGGAAGTCCAAGCCCAACTTAAAAGATTTGGTGGCTGCTGTTGCAGTTAAATTCGAGGCTGCAAATGTCCCTTCCGATACTTCTTTGACAAGGCCAATGGCAGCGACATATCTCAGCAATCTGTCTGCACGACCGACGTGTTATTCAACGTTCAATATCTTCGCGAGGATCAATGTCGGCTTACGCAATAAGGCTGAGTCCGCGCCGCAAGCCTTTGCCAGTTCGCCAACTTCCCAAAATTTGCTTGGTTCTGCGGCAAGGGTTTCGAAAACGTGCAAGTTGGATGCTGATGTTGCTGCTGCATATGCTGCACCCTAGACTCGGCGGGCCGATGATTAGACTCAGGTAATACAATAGTATGGTTCAACCCTCGATCCTGAGCTACTTGCCACGAAGAACAATCGATGCTCAGTATCAATTGGAGCCTCCACAGCAAACATCACCGCTTTGGCTGCGTCATATAGCGCTCGACGCTCGGCGGCATTGCTTGGGGGATTTTCCGCCAGCTTGCGAAGGCTGGCTGCGGTCGTGGCCATGTCGTTCGTCTGATGTCGCTTGTATATTAGCTTTACGTCAATGAACTATTTAGTAGGTGAGCCGACACATAGGTAAAAATCTCAGGAAAGATGGATTAGAGCAGAGGCTTTTCTACTTGTCGTTCATTTTCGGGCCCGTATTGAAAGGATTGAGAGCGCATAATGGTCCCTTTTAGGTATGGCATGTGAGGATGATACTTTGTGATCCTTCGCTTCCTGTCTGATCCTCCTACTGGGATCTGGTAGAAGATGTCGCAGACATATCTGCCCTACAAGAGGTCCCATAAAATTTTTGTTCAGGGGCTCAGAGCCTTCCGTATCCTACTGAGATGATCTACCCTTCTCGTTCCGCTCAAAGTGGAACGTAACGAGCTAATATCTCTCTGCCTTTTCGTTAGAGACAGCGCTGCTAATTACACTCTAAGCTACTTAGAGGCCGTAGGAGTAACAGGGATGTATGTTCAACGTTAAGCAGAACACCGAGGGTATTGGACGTCTCTGAATCCTTGGCCCGCGATCTGCAGTCTCAATTGAAAAACATACAAGAGAACAAAGATCATCCGCTGTAGCTTGCACAAACAAGATTCAAGACAGTGTCCGCAACAAGCAAGCAACCACTAGATATTTGACTGCTTGCTTGAACAATATCCTTGATTTACCAATTAAGCAAGTACGCTGTAGGCCATCAAACATGAAGGAATTTAGCTTATTAGTCAATCAAACATTTAATACAGCACAACGACCTTACTGCCCCCAAATTCCACAAGAATATTTAACCCTAACAACCCTTAAAAGCGTGATATAGAGATGACTAAGCGCAGTATGATATATACATAGCAAGTGATAGTAAGTACGCCAAGAGATTTGCTATCCGAGATATCCGAGATATCCGAGATTAAGCAGTCAATTATCAATCAATCATGCGATAACAACAAGCAGTCATCAATCAATCGTCACCTTACCTATCAATCATATAATTTACATCCATCAAGCTGCTTGCTTGCTTGTTGCGGACACTGATTCAAGATGTTTCGTGTTGATTAGTGCTGCGTCCTGTGCCTGTACGTATCCAGTGAAGTTCACCACTTCCAAGACTCTGCCAGGAGCGCCTTTAAGTTCATGTGAGTACAAGACTCGGAGCCGGTCCTGGCTGATGCCGTATGTTCAGCCTAGTCTGCTCAAAGTATAAGCACCCGTATCGCAGCAACTCCCACCACGTTCCAGAGACATTATCCAATTCAACGTTCTCAGGACGTTCCATCATCATTCCAAGGGTGACGGAAGTGAATAATTGCGCAGCCTTGAAGATCTTCACCATGGCGGAATCGGCGAGGATCGACCAGACCAGATCGTGCGCGGACTTCCAGTCATCTGGACTTTCTAGTCTGGCCTCTTCGTGCCGACGCAGGCACAGAAGCTTGAAGAAGCGCGGACCATCCCAATTCACAATCTCCTCGCGTCGATGCGCTTCAGCTACTCGAGGGAAAAGCAGGGTCTTCTCAGTCCAGTATTCGACTCCGTCAAAGCCGGAATTCAGATCCTTGGTGCACGCCAGCTGAGACCAGCAGAACATTTGCATGCTATAGTCAACTAAATCTGGCATCCTGACTCCATCGGCAAGATCGGCAATGCCAGGAGGAAACTCGATGAACTTGCCCGTGTTAGGGTCAATCAGCGTCGGCGCCAAAAGCGGATGCTGAGAGACCCCAGTACAATTCGTGCGACCCTTCCAAATGTATAAAAACATATCGTTGCTGGTCTGAGGTCAGTCACCGCTCCCAAAACTGTCGCCTCAGCCTCGTACTGCATGACCAGGCTGAGATCAAAAATCAAGACACTTCACTCACAGCCTCTTGATGAACTTGTCACCCTGCCTCCCCGCAAGAAAGAAGTTGACAGGAAGTGTTCCATGAGACAACACAGTCGACACTTCATACGGTGTCGTGGGATCCACGAGTTGATTCCAACAAATCTGGTCGACGGGAAGGATTGGAAGAATTCCTACATCCATATACACGCCTCCATGCTGGTAAATGCATGCCCCTCGTACAAAGTCAGCTGAGTGCTGGCCAACGTATTTGCCGTCCACGGTGCGATCGATGAAACACTGGGGTAGCATCTCGGCGGGAATGAAATTGAGGGCATAGTTTGGCGACTCTGGGCAGTTGTCTAAGATGCGTACAGTCCAGCCGTCGGATTTGTTCAAGCGGACCCATTGTGCGACATTGCGTTGCCAATGACTTGGCATTGATAGAATCCCGGAGTGCCAGAAGCCCCATATATTCTTCTCGGAGTCCACAGGGAAATGACTGTGTAGGGCGTCAATGATTGCGGCGTCCGTCCGTCCGTCCTGATGGATTAGTCGGCGACGAAGCTTAGATTGGAATTCCACAGGAATCTCCAGGTGCTCCATTGTTCGAGAAGAAGTCGAATCTTGAGACAAAGATACCTCGTGTTGCTAAGACAAGTATGTTATGTAGAGTTGAGAAGTGGGAATAAGGAGGAGACGCCGTGCAAATACGTAAGGATGTCCAGCATAAATTCGCTCGTTTGGGTTCGCACACAGCCATCGAAGAAACGGGCAGCTTTGTCCGTTCGTTTAGGAGGGAAAGAAAAGGGTTGAAGCCGTTCCTATTCTAGTCGAAGAACAGAACCGAGGCACTACAACCAATACAAAGCTCATAATCAGTTATTATCAGCCCTAGAAGCAATAGTGGTACAGAAATTACTAGCCCCAAAGCCTGATGCTTTTGCGAAGCTGCGAGCTTTCATGTCGGGGTCATCAACCTCATTGTCCTACCTTGTTCGCAATCGGACACTGTTGCAATCGTTCAGCGTCATCCTGAAGCTACCCTTGGTGTTCCGCTCAAAGTAGAACATTCATCCCCAATACCCCTAGCCAATCTAATTAGCTTAAGTGCAATTGGCAGCGTAGTCGCTGGCGGAGAATGGGAGAGACAGCAGATCCATACATTCCACTTTGACCGGAACAAAGAGGGTACCTCTGCGACGATATTGTGCCTTACGGCCGTGCCTGGAACCGCCCTTTTTTGCCCAAGCATGGGCCATTGGTACCAAGTACCAGCAGGCTATGGGTAGGCATGCATGGAGTGATACTTTTTTCTACTCAAATACTTGGCAAGGCTACGTCAAACGCCGGAAAGGGCATTTACAACATTCCTCCTGTAGCGCTGTGGTAGGCTGTCTATTTCCAATCATCAAATGCTCTCCCTCGAAACGCTCTTCAGATAACATTTAAACGTCGATTGTTATCCATGTGGGCCTAAAGGCAACATAGCACGTGTATCCCCATGCTAGAAGAACTTTGCCGCAACCTTCGACCTGAAATCACGCAGAACCCAAGTCATGTCAGTCGAAGGAATGAAGAAGCCGCCGACGCCAGAACGGTTGAACAGTATATCGTAGATTCTGCTGCTTGCAGCTTCAGCCTTTGCTTCGAGTTCAGAAGAGGAATTCTGCTCCGTCGGTATCGCTGGAAGCAAGATCACGATGGTGTCTGGATCCTGTGGTATTACCTCGATCCGACACTTCCTGTCGTCCGGTGCAACACCGAAATGCTCTTTCAGGCCTTCCACCGGGTCTGCAATGAGTCTCTCACGCAGGCCGGGATCTTTGCGAAGTCGACGGTAGTGGTCCACAAAGATATCTGCCGACTCCGTGCCTACGCTTGCGCTGTTTTGCGGAACGCCTGTCGCATCTGTAGCAGGGTGACCTTGAGGGCCTCCGGAAGAATCCATAGAAATAGATCGCCGCTTTTCCAGAGATCAGTTTGGTTGATTGGTTCGCTCAAGTCGTCGCCCCTTTTGGCTAGAGGTGGAATCATGTAGTAAAGTGTGTCTGGCCGCTGTGTTCGTACCACCACCTTAACGCCCTCGGGGACTGTGACGTTCAGAGAACGTAACACTGAAACGGCGTCTCGCTCCAGCTCCTCTCGAAACGAGGGATCTGTCCAAGCTTTTAGCACGAGCGTGTTCTCAAAGGTTTTAGGCTCTTGTTGCGCCATAGAGCTTCCTCTCGGCGCAGAAGAGACAGTGGCAGTGATCATATATAGGGCATTATCGAAACAGCTGACACATTGATCCAATGTCGTATTACGGGAGTTGCTGACAAATAACCGTGAGATGCACAGAATGTGAGATGTATGTTCAAGCTCCAAGCGTCCATCAGGCTCCATGGAGGCTCCGCGGTGGTCATTGTGTGCCAGCAGTTGAGAACTGGAAGTGCATGTGCTGACTGTCGGTATAGGCAGGAAGCACTAGCCAAGACCGAACTCTGGCTGTGCAAGTTGCTCGTTTTAGATGTGGCTTCCAGAGCACTGCTCAAAGGACATTCAAATGACCAAGCTCGTATGGGCGCACGGCACAATGATATTAAAAAACATAAGCAGAGCAGCATCGTTCGAAATGATTCCAGCAATCGAGGTTATCGTCTCCGTTCCTACTCGAAGCTGTCTTGATACGCGAAGATGTTTTAATGTTCGCCAACGCTATAGGTATGCCTTTTTCCAGCATACCGAACCTTGCCTGGTGATGAATTGACCCCTTTGATCTGTCTTGCTGCCGGCTTGTGCTCAATTTGCGATAGCCAGCATCGCCTAAGGCTGACTCTTGCAACCCTCGTACGCCGGTGTTCCGGTATGCTCATAGAAACATCTCGCGGAACCAACGACATATGAGAGAACCAAGAATCGACATCACTATGGAAAGCCCCCGAAGCACTGGAGCGGCTTTTGCTGTTTCTTAGCGACGTAACTGCTCCACCGTGCTCAGCTCGCGTTTGTGATGTATTGCGTCGCTCCGTTCAATGCGCGAAAAGAAAAACGCGGACACATTCACGATCCGCGGACATTGGGAACGTGTGCTCGTACAAGACTGTGCTTGGTATTCTGCAAGACAGAGAAGATCATATCGAGGACTTCGACGGTCCTCACATAATACTGCTTTTCTGTGGCGAGTTTACGTCGCATTTCATTCACTTCCGATTAACATTCCATTTCAGGGTACTCTCACGTGACCCGATTCCCAACAGGGTAGTCGAAGTCTTGGCGCTTTGAACTTCGCCGAAGTCCGTCTCAAGTCCGCAACCTCAACTCCAAAACCATTGGCACCACAACATGTTCTCGAAACGCTCGCTGTCAGCACTGAGCTCAACGGAGCGTCAGCTCCTCCGAAATCAATGGCTCCGCAGTGGGCAATGTGCGCGGTGTTTTCACGCGTCCGTGAGAAGGGGAGAGGTTGAGTCTAGCAGCAAGAGTAATGCTACTGGACCTTCGAAGAATGGTATGGCCTTCGAAGGACCTTGATACTGTTGTTTGGATCGCTGATATGGTACTTCGCAGCATCCAAACGAGGCGAAACCCGCCAACAGCGCTCCGCTCGAATCTCCAGCGAAATCGCCATGCTTCAGAAAGGACCTCCTCCTTCCACCTCGAGTGCCAGCACCGGCGAGTCGACAGGGCCTGGTAGTGCGACTGGTGCTTTCCATGCGCCGCCAGCGGCTCCTGGTAGTGATGCTGGATTTCTCGAGACACCCGGTGAGATGGGAGGTCCGGAGCAGCGAATGGGCGAGAACATATCTGCGGGAAGAGAAGGGCCGAACGCACAAGGGGCCGGGAGAGCTCTACGGACGGAGCAAGATATGATGGGAGGGCTCGATGCGAACCCCGGACATCATCGGGAATGGGTGAGGAGGTCTGGCAGATCTTCAGAAGAGGAGGAGTTCGAGGATGACGACCTCAGAAACAACGCACTCCAGCCAAAACCCACCCCCATCAAACCCACCATGCACAAGCACCACGACCTCCTCCACGCCGGCGCCGGCGCCTCCACCATCGCCGGCTCCAACTTCGAAGGCGTCATCCACGACCGCATAAAAGCCACGTCCTTCCCTCACCACCCCTCCGCGGAGCCCCATCGATGGCACACAAAGGGCAACGGCATGAAGAAAGACTTCAAAGAGCATATCGTGAATAAGCTGGTCAGAGGACAGTATGATCGCCGGGATCTGCTGGGTGGGGAGAAGTTCGCGAAGCAGCCTGTGCTGAACGATGTTGCCAGGATGGTGCTGTTGAATGGGTCGTATTTGGCGGGTGATGGGAGGAAGTTGTTGGGGAAGGTGAGGAGTTTGCTTCCGAAGCCGGTGGCTGCGGCGCCTAAGACGCAGGGGCAGAAGGGGAAGAGGGCGCAGCTGGTTAAGAAGTGAGATGGAGAGGGAGGGGTGTATAGTATGTGTAGACATAAGAGCTAGGAGAACTAGATGTACAGATCACCGAGACCAGCATCCTCTTTCGTCGTATTCAGCTCGACTTTGCGATATCTCAACGAGCATGGAGGGGTGAACCGCCCACCAAGTCCACTTCCTCCAGCGAGGCATATGCGCAATGCCATGAGAGAGGGAACGAAACGGCCGCGGCAGACGATGCGGTTACAGGACAACGTGTAGGCGAGGAGTGACGGTACGCCTGAGATGGACCATGAGAGAGGACCGCGGCGTATGAGGAGGTGGTCGACACATGCCAGTTCGCCAGACCTGTTTCAATCCTCTCGCCCACAGATATCCAATCTCCTTCCCCTACATCAACCCAACACACCCTTCATACCCCCCTCCTCTCCCTCCCCTTCCCCTCCCCCCTCAATCCTCTCCAACACCATCAAACTACTCCCCAAACTCGGCCGTCTCGAATAAACCAACCACCGTGGCCCCCTCTCCTCCCACCGAAACCTCTTACTGAGTCGACTGAAAAAGGGGAATCTGCTGGGAGTTGATGTCTCAGCTCGGCGATTTCTTCCTCTTGCCTGTCGCGGGTACGGGTGCTGTCGTCTTGCGGGCGCAGGTGGCGAGTCAGAGAGGTTTTGATCGAGGCGAAGATGTTACCCATGTGTGAGGGTGAGTATGTGTGTAGATGCTGGTATGTGCGAGCGTGAGGGATACGAATGTTGCGTTGTAGTATGTGTGAGGGCGTTCTGGGCTTACATGCTGCAGGGAGTGGGATTGTTGGGTGGGATTGTTGGGGAGGACACAAGATGAGGGGGCGGGCGTGTGTGACTGTGACTATGGGGCCAGACTCGTGGTGAGAGGGTCTTGAGGGTGTTGGTGCGACTCGGGTCGCATTTGTTTGGAGATGTTGTGCATATTCAAGTTCCTTTTCAAGCTGCAAGCCTCGCTCTGCGGCAGGAATGTTACACTATGTTCCAATGTCCTAAGATACTGACTGCAGCGTCGAATCGATCCAGCTATCTTTGCAACTGTGTAAAGGTAGAGAATCCTATCCCGTAACGCCGTATCCCACGTCAGTACAGCCCGTTGAAGCTTGGCATCCCCTTTGCGCCGTCAATCGTCAATTCGGAATGAATCGTAAGAGGCATCGTAAGAGGCGCTTATGCCGGTGGTGCACCAGGCGCGGCAGAGGCAAGCCCATTGAGACCAGGAAGCGTGCCACCAAAGCCGCCAGTCGAGCCGAATCCGCCAGCGCCGCGGACGGTGTCCTCGAGCTTGTCGACGACAAGCACTTCTGGGGTGTAGATCTTGAAGAACGTTATTAGCCAACAGGTGCAAGACAAGACGGGTATTCCATATGCTCACCCTCTCCACGATCAGCTGCGCAACCCGCTCGCCCACGGCAACCTTGAAGTCCGCATCACTGAAGTTGAACAGCAGCACCTTCACAGGGCCTCGATAATCGGCATCAATGACACCCGCTCCCGTGTCGATGCTGTGCTTGCTCGCCAGTCCACTCCTCGGTGCGACTCTGCCGTATGTGCCTGCTGGGACGGCAATGCTGATATCGGTGTCCACCAGCACCTTGCCTCTTGCTGGGACCGTGGCCTCCTTCGATGCGTAGAGATCGTAGCCAGCGGCATGTGCGGATCCTCGACTGGGAGGTTTGGCGGTGTCGGAGAGGAGCTTGACTTGAAGAGCTGGTGGTGGGGGCTCGACGGACATGGGTGGAATTGATGGGAAGGGGTCCGGGGCCATTGACAGGAGAGTGGTGTGGTTGGACATTGTGGTGGGTTGAGGAGGTAGAGACGTGTGGTCGGGCGTTGGCGTGGGTTGATCGTCGTTGAGGATCGCTGAGAGAAGGTCAATGTGTGTTTGTGTTTGGGGTGTTGTGTGGACTCTCACAAGCAACGCTGAGATTTGGGGCCGCTTCAGTGTATTTGGTACGTTTGGGTAGAGGCGATGCTGGAAGGCTGGGGGCGTCGTGTTCGGGCGCTGGGGTTTGGTCTTGTTCGGCCATTGCAAAGGCAAGAAGGCGTGGTGGGAGTCGATGTGGGCCGGGAAAGCGCAAGGGTTCACCGAGCTGACGCGACTTGCGGCGCGTCTTAATCGAATCGTCAGCCCAAGTCACGTGACATTTTTACGAAATGAGTTAGCGAGCTGCCTGATTTGCCGCAGCCCAAATGTTGTCCGACCTCTCCTCTTTGCCCGTCGTTGCTCCCTTCCCTTCACGTTCCCACAACTTCACGCAATTGTCGTTGGCTGGTCTACACAGTATTAGGGCTTGATATCATGATGAAAGGAAGGCCGACACCTGACTATAGATATCTGATCAAATCATGAGTCCAAGACAACAAAACAGACGCCCTTTACCCTGATGAATGCAATTCCCGCCCCTTGACGACCCAAGCCGATCCAAGTCTAATCCTAACATCCCTCCTCGATCTCTGGCGGACGCACAATAATATCTCCAGGCCAGACTCGAACATACAACTCACGAGCTCGCATCCACTCCAGCTCATCGTCCCACCGACCGTCGGACCTGCCCACGTTCAGACCACCACAACTCCAGAATGCGAAATAACAGACTTACGAGACCTCGATACACCCCGGAGCAAGCATCCACGCCCTCAGCAAAACGCAGCAGACCACCACATCGTAAGGCTTGCGCGCAGTCTTGCAGCACTGAAACCTGGGAATGCCCCTTGACATTTCGAAGAGTTCGTGTCCGTCGTCTTCGATGCCGTTGATTGCAATACCCTCTTCCACGCTCACGAGCGGTGGAATCAAGTCTTCATGCCGGTCGTTCTCGACGAGATAGTTGCCGCAGAGCTCGATGCCTGCCGTTTCGATCATATGGTGGGTATCCGCGACCAGCTGCACCCAGGCTCTTTGCCATGCGGCTGTGTGGCAGCCGGGAATTTTCCAGTAGTGTGTGTAGCTACGCAGCAGAGTCAGTCTTGGTTTCGATCTTTGAATCCTTTATGCCCATACCCCATTTTGACGAGGTGGATCGTTGACGATGGCGAGCCTGGGTGTCGACGGCTTTTGGATGGTCGCTGGAGATGAAATAGGTCTCGAAAGTGCACCAAGAGCTAGAAGGAGGGCGTTTCCGTTCGACGTCTACAACTGGTGTTGGAGCATTAGCCCAGCGGTTATCTACTGACCAAGTCTTATAGTTGACGATCCCATGCCTGTCAAGGCAACAATGCAGGCAAGCATCATTCCATCTCTCGGGCTACCTGATCGAAGGATGAATATCGTCCATTCCATTCTGAGCTGCAGCCTGGTTGATTGCGCAAGGGATTTTATACCTGATCGAGCCATGGGCTTCGTTCTCAAGAATGTGTATTGCTGCCATGGGACAGCAGGTAAAATAATGCTATGGAGATGTGTTGTTGGCCCAGTGATTCGATTAGCTCAACCTGCCGGCTTGAAGTCTCTATGGGATGTGGGAGATGTCTCCTGGGAGACATCTGTCTCTGTGCCATTCGTTCATTGCGTAGTGGGTGCTGCAAGAGCAAAGCGTGTGGAAAGAGTATCACCGCCACAACTAGCATTTGGCTTTTTCTCAGCCCCTTATTCCACTATGCGTCCTGCTGTAAGTATGCAAATTAACATAGCTATGATGTCTTCGAGAATGGTGGAGAGGTGTATGAAAGAAAACACCAGAAATGAGCAGTCTTGTATTCTTTTCAGACTGCATTCTGTTTTCATCAACCTCTTGAACTTCGTCAAAAATATCCTTCAGCATATAGGCGAACTCATACTATTCGGCCTCGACCTCTCACTCGCAACCACATCACTAAGCGCCGGAGGAAGAACAATCCCAGACCGCTTTCAATGGCCACGAAAGAACGTGCGATATACCCTTGACTTGAGCAGAACATTCTCGATGTTATGCCCGTGACTCTGCTCGTGATTCCTCTTCTGCAAACTCTTGCGGGCTTCTTGGTGAAGTCATCGTGGGATTTTGTGAGCATCGTGAGAAGAGGGAATCGTTTGCATCTCATGGGTTCGTTGTTCGGATGCCAATGGAGCGGTGTGTACATCTTGAGCATATCTACTGGAGGACGTGCGAAGCTGGTCCCAGATGCCGGTCACGAGTGGAGGGAATAAGGGCATGGCGATCGTCAGTTGATTGGAGATGGGGATAAGGCTGTCGTGAAACCTCTTCATATCTAAGTGACGATCAGCCGAGCGTGACTCACGCCCTCTAACATCTCGACAAGCAAGATCCATCTCAGCGACATCTTGGTACCCCGGTCAGATCAGGTCAGGTCAAATCTTGATCCAGACGCCCTCATCTTTGTCCCTTTGTTCACACAGGATACTCCACAGTCCAAAATTCCACTAAATCGCGATACTGCGCATCTCCTTGTAGATCGCGGAAGAACTCCAGCTTGCCATGAGCGCTACCATCATCGGTCGCTTGCGTATTGTTTGCTGGGAAGGTGCCGTCCATCTCATAGGCCTCATCCATTGCTTGTATAGTCCCAGTTTTGTCATTCATCCCAGCTATTGGTGAGCTTGAAGCGAAGTCTGGCGATGCATTGGTGCACGCGTCAGCGATCTCGCGTAGATTCGAAAAGAGGTCAGTCAGCAGGAATGCTGCAGCTTCGCTCATGGGTGGATGGTTGCTGCACTGGCGGAGGAGATCGAATGGAGTTGCTCTTGATGGCTTCTTGTTTGTTGCTTGTGGGGTACTCCAAGCAATCTGATGACTCTTGAGTATATTGGCAAGCCCGTCCAGCTTCGGCAGGGGCAGTATCGGGATTGAAGGTATCTCGGTATGGTTCATCATCTCAGCTTGGAGTCTTGCGTATGCCACCATGCCATCGTTTGACACCTCCTCGCTCGTGCTGTAGCCCGGATAGAGCAAAAACACCATGACAAGATCCTTTCCGCCGGTCAGCGCCGCGAATCGGCGGATGCGCTCGATAGTAGGTGTCAAGTTCGCCTCAGACATGGCTGAAGGCGAGAGGAGTAGGACCCTAAGGACGCGTGTCGCGCGTGAGTTACCAGTGGTGGGATCGACGTGGGAGGTCAGAGAGAGCGCGATGTCGTGCGTCTTCAAATCATTCTCTGAGATGGTGTCAGCATTCGTGGTGATATGGCAAGTGTGTTTCAACTGACCGCGTAGACCAAGCGACGCGGGTGAAGTCAGTGAATTAACGATCGACGCGACCGACTTTCTCCTGCGTAGCGATGTGCAGAACATCATGTCCGACCGGATGTTGATCGATTGTTGCGTGGCTGTGCGGCGTCGTGGATGTTGAAAGTTGGAAGAACGAGGGGGTGTGTGTGTGGTCCAAAGTGGAAGGAGCGATGGGTATCCTCAACACAGATCTTTCCTTCGCGCCTGCAAGAATATTAGCACTGTCGCCGCCCTGATTCAACTCGCCCGAGAATACAATCCAATCGAATCATCTGCGTGCAGAGTTCGCTCAGACCAAAACGTTTCAGTGATGTTAGTTCGAGACACGGCGAATAATGCTCAAGCCAACACAACAAGCCAAAGAACAAAACCATCCGTGACCACGAATCGAACCCGGGACCGCAACCAACCCAAGACCAAAAAAAAATTCCAAAAGAACTAGACTCCATCTTTCAGGATTCTAGAGAAAACCAACTTAATGATTTTACTTTTCCACCGCCGTCCCGTTTGTTCACCGTTCCGTTCGTTTTGTTTTCCGCCGAAATTCGAAATCGATTCGAGACGCTCTCCGACTGCGCCATTCGTGCCTATTCAGAAGATTTATGTTAGCTCCCACCACCGCCTCTCTAATTTTAGGTTAGGTGTGGACTGATGGAGGAAGATTTGAAGGGGGTTATATTACTTCACTTTCTTTGTGTTTTGCTCTCCATGCTTCTTGCGAGTTCGCGCCGAGAGTCGTTGGGGCCGTGGATCGTTCTTGGGGTTCCTGTCGCCGTGCGGGCTTTTTGATGCTGTTCACGCCAACCTCCAGGATGTTGGATATCTTATGGCTTTCCATTTCGTATCAGCGTAAATGTTGCGACGAAGTACTGACTAATTGGAAAAAAGCTGCCGGTGCTCGCCCTTGGGTTGCTTGATCGTCGGCCTAGATGGAGCTTAGGGGAGAGGTTACACTCTTCAAAGTAGTGGGGTATCATTTGGTATGAACAAGTGGAGAGTTATACTATACATCATCTTTCCTTCGTCGACGCCGTCACCGAGTCGACCCGAGTAGGAGGTTTCGCGTCTCCTTTGGTCTTCTCCTGAGACCCCTTCTCCGCCTCTCGAGCCTGCTCTACCATCGCTTCTTTTGCTTTCTTTTCCTTCTCGCTCCCGGCACCCTGCTCCGCAATCGCTTTGGCCTTCCTTATCGGCACGATGGCTTCTTCGTCCTTCGTCTGCTTGCCAATATCATGTTCCTCCTCCATGATGGCCGTATCTTCCGCGTCCCGCCTCCCCCACGTCAATGGATTGTACCAGCTTGCGCTCTGCCTGGCCTTCTTCGCCGCCTTGATTCTCTCACTCAAGTCGTGCAATGTCTCCAAGTCAGGATCCAGCTTCGCTCTCAAACTCTCCACTTCAGTCTCCAGCTGTTCCAACCGCTCCGCAACATCGTTTCGTTGTGACGACTCCTTCTTGCGGCTGCGCCACGTCTCTGCGAGAAGTATCCCCACCGCAACAGCAAAAATGAATGCTTCTGAGAAGAAATTGGCGCCCAATTCTATTGCTCTGGCCTCGGAGAGTGGTCGGATCTTGACTTTCTGCGGCTTCTCTTCCTCTTTCTTTCCGTCCGCCTCGTCCTTTGCTTTCTGCTCATCGTACTTCTTCTGCTCTTCCTCCGTTCTCACTGTCGGTGTTTCCTGCTGTCGCTTCTTCTCGTCCGCAGCCTTCTTCTGCCGATCGTGCATTCGTTGCTGGGCTTCGGGGTCGTGGAGGATGCCTAACCGCATGCGCATGTCGATTCGATGGACACGCTGTGCCTGGGCGACGGCGAAGCGACGGAAGCCATCGTGCTCTTTGGCTTGCCTTTTGATGTAGTTCTGGAATGTGTGTGAGCCGACGTACGTTACATGTGCTGCAGCCAAGAGACCGTACTCCGATGGGTTTGGCAGCCGTTCGGATGACCAGCGAGAGGAGTTTGAAGGTCAAAGACATGCTGGAGTCTGGTCAGGAGCCGTTCTGGGTGCTCCGACCCGTTTGAGAACTCAGTACATTTTAATTGCAGTATTCAATTGAAGACTTTGACGTCTTTCGTCTTCCCATCCGTTAAGCTGAGGTCGAAGAGGTCGGAGATCGGAACTTCGTAGCCCCACTTTGGGCGTTGCTCGTGGCAACCAAACACTAAACAGAACTTCACGTCTGCCGACATCATCCAGCCCGTCCTAAACCCAACGAGTGTTTCGCCGCAGTCTTGAATCGCATGTCCTCGCCACGACGAGTCCGGTGACAATCGAAGACGCCCCGCCGCCATGTCTTCCTCCTCCATCCACGCCGACCCTCCTCCGCCCGTCGTTACCGAAGCCAGCGGCATCAGCTATGTTACCGGCAGTGCTCTGGGCAAAGGCGGGTTCGCCATCTGCCATCGAGCCGAGCGATACGACAGCAACAGACCGACCGGGCAGATTGTCGCCTTGAAGATTGTAAAATCGCAGATGGAGCCCAAGAAGCTCGAGCAGAAGGTGGGCATTCAATTCAAGCCAGCATTGGTTCATGTCAAACTGACCGATCCTAGTTTGTGACCGAGCTTCAAATACACAGCAAACTCACACACCCGAACATTGTTACCTTTTACCGAGCATTCTCCTTCCAGACGAGTACTTATGTCGTCCTCGAACTCTGCTCCAATGGCTCGCTTGCCGACATGCTCAAGAAGAGGAGGTATCTTACTCTGCCAGAGATCCGGAGACTGGTCATCCAAGTATGCGGCGCGGTCAAATACCTCCACCACAGACACATCGTACATCGCGATCTCAAGACGGGCAACCTTTTCCTGGACCACAACATGAACGTGAAGGTGGGCGACTTTGGATTGGCGGCACTGCTGGTAACAGAGCGGGAGATGGAAGTTAGGAGACGGACAACTATGTGTGGAACACCCAACTATCTCGCACCTGAGATCTTGGAAAAGGGTAAGGGTCACGATGAGAAGGTGGATCTCTGGGCTATTGGGGTCATTGCATACACTCTGGCAGTGGGCAAGGCGCCGTTCCATGCGAGCACAAAAGAGGAGATCTACAAGAAATTGCGATCAGGGACATACACATGGCCAGAGCTGAGCGCGACGACGAATCAGAGCGCCGACCTGAGGGATTTGGTATCAAGTCTACTTGTACCGGAAGAGCAACGACCGCTACCAGACATGATTGTCAGCCATCAGTTCTTCAGGGTTGCCTACGTCCCGGAGCGGATACCTGAAACTGCAAAGGAGAAGCCTCCAGTCTGGCCAGATGTGCCGATACCTTCCGCTGAGACGATACGAAAGGGATATAGCGAGACTTGGTACAGCCTCTGCAAGGAATCTGGGGTTGGAGAGTACGAAGAGGGGAAATGTTTCCCTCTCAACAGTGGCCGCAAAGTGCGCAGTATTGTCCATGACATGGCTAAGGAGGCGCAGGCGGGCCGCTCACCAACCATGCCAATTCCTCATGATACGGTCTACATTTCGACAGTCAGTGACTTTGATGGACCTCGAGCGGCCAGTCCACCACTGGAACCGGCACGGACGGAGGCGTCAATGCGTGGTTTGAAAGAGATATCGCACAATGAAGTATCCTCAACGCGCCCCCGTGTTGCAGAGGCCCGGAACGCTGCGAAAGACGCCGAGATGATGCCACCACCGCGAGCGCCTTCGCGTGCTGCGAGGTCAGGGACTGTCCGACGAGCTGCGAGGACAATTAGCGAGGAGACGGCGAATTCAGAATCAGTCAAGGTCGCAAGCGACAACTCGTCCGGTCCTTCGTCTTCTGGAACGCTGAGAGTATCAAGACTCAGACCTGCACCAGTGACGGCTAAGAGTGCGCCAGAAGCAAGCGCGGCTCTCAAAGAGACGAATGGCTCGTCAACCTCAGCATATCGAACGGCGCCTACAAGACAGTACTCGGAGGGTGCAGATTTGGATCTTCAGAAGCCTCAACGAACTGGTACCACCAAGCGGGCGGCTGATGCAAGTCTAGCACGGCGACCACGAGGCGTGAGACCGGTCAAAGAACGTCCAATATCTCCAGTGGATGCCGCACCAGAAGGACCGGCCGTCCCGGCCGCAGCGAAGATAGCCAAAGGTCGCGCTCAGTCGCCGGTTGATGTCCAAGGACCGCTCGCGAGTCTGGACGAACTCAAAGAGGCACTCCCCTTTAAGTATCGGAAGAAGGCACCTGCAGCTGAGGTGATTGAGATACTGTCAGATCAAGAACTTGAACAGGAGAAGGAGTCGAAGCCCTCAGCATCTGGAACGTTGACCCTGTCACGACCACCGCAAATGGCCAGACGTTTGCCACAGCCGCAGAAGAAGATCTCCCCCGATCTTGATCCAGCAATCTCAGAGACTGACCCCAACACTGTTCTTGAGAGACTAGCAGAGTTCAGGGATAACTTGAAGTCTGCACTGTCCAAGCCATCAGCAACGAACAAGATCGTTTCAACGCACCGCGACCAGCAGATCTCCGAGAACCTGCCCTTCGTATCAAGATGGGTCGACTACAGCCGCAAGCATGGTATTGGATACGTTCTCTCGGACGGCACAGTCGGCTGCATTATCAATGCCACGGCGAAGCCTGAACAAGCACCGACTCCCGTCACACACGTCCTTGTACGCAACGGCCAGCGATGGTTACAGAAGGTCGGGCAGAACAAAGACTTCGCCGGCATCGACCAGGTCCCCCTAGAGTTCTTCGAAGACAAAGACGCAGAATGTATCAAGCGGAAAGTGTACAAAGGCCTCGGAAGTGTCAAGGAGGGTCCTTTGTTGGTGGAAGCTCAGAGACGGCGGACGTTGAGTGTGCTGTGGGTGAAGTTTGGACGGTACATGTGCCAGACTCTTGATGGAGAGGAATCTGCGTCTGCGGGCGCCGGATCTCGCGATCCAGAGAACTTCGTGCGGTTCTACCAGCGGATCGGATGTGTGGGTGTGTGGGCTTTCAAGGATGGGTCTTTACAGGTGAGTTTTCAATCTTCTTCTACCATCACCTACCTTACCTTGCTAATATTATTGATTGCTAGATCCACTTCCCCGACCACACCAAACTCGTCCTCTCCCCCACCGGCACGCACATCTCCGCAACCCTCCTCTCCGTCGAAGCCACCACGCACCTCTCCCGCACCGGCGACCTCCTCCCCGCACACGTCGCCTCCCGCCAAGTCTTCGCGGACAGCATCCCCTCGCTCCTCTTCGACGGCGGCCGCGTCCGCCAACGCCTCGTCAAAGCCAACCAACTCGCCCAGAAACTCGAATTCGTCCTCGAGGTTGTCACGCAGTGGGTGGGGAATTCCGGGCTAGGTCGGCTGGATGAGGATGAGGGGGGCGAGAAGTTGTACTGGGAGGGGCTGACGGTGAGGGATCAGAATGTGAGGAAGGTGGAGAGGGTTACGGTGGGGAGGTTTGGTGGGGATGCTTGAAGTTCAAGGACATGGCGATGGTTTTTGCACAGCGATGAATGGGTTTTGTTGGGTTTGAATGAGTGAAACGGCCGCGAGAAAGAAGGAAAAGAAAGAACAGAATTTCGATGTGTTGTTGAGCAAGGCGAGGCGAGGCGTTTCTTGGATGATTAAGCATAGGACTTTTTGAAGTCTTTTGGATACACGCTGGGCATTTGCGAGAGGCGTTTCCTGTTCTCCTGTGGATAGGAAGGAATGGGATCAGGGCAGTTTTAATCGTGTCTCTCGTACCTTTACCAACAAGTCCAAATAGCACATCCTCAAATTCCTTCACTTCCTCGATTCACAACAGGACGAATGGGGAGGTTCTGAGCATTCTTGATCGGATCTGTCGTTTGAATTGGGGGTCTCGCTATGTAGAAGTAGAAGGCGCTTCATGTTCCATCATCATCAATCGCAACTCCTCTCGCTTGCAATGCAGTGCCCCATTCCCTTAGGAACTGGAGACGAGAAATGAACAAAACGCCTCTCGCTGAATCAAAAAGGTCCTTTCCCTTCCTCTCCCTATGCAGTCAGTCGATCGTTCGTCGTAGGCCGTGTGGAAAGTCATTCGTTCATCCATCGATCCATCATTCGTTCGTTCGTTCGTTCGTTCGTCGTCTTGATTCGTCTCCTCATCGTCTCAATATGTGTGGTTTGCTACTTCTCCTCTCAGGAGTGTCCGTGGCGCGTACGTAGACTGGGTGATTGATCCCTCTTCTTCTTCAAAGATCATTATACCCCAAAATCCTCTTCTCCAACTCCTTATCCGCCACCGCCCACGTCCATGCGCGCCCGGCCTCCCCGAAGAACAAACTCTCCGGCGCGGAACTCTTCTCCAGCATCCCGTCCTTCTCCATACTCTTCATCTCATGGCCTGTCGTGTACGTTAAGAAATGCTCAAACTCGGCATCCTCCAGGGCGAGCGCGTTTCCAGAAATCCCATGGCACAGGCAGGGTTCCTTGGTGAGCAGGCCGCGCTCGAGGATGCATTCTCGGCCTTTGGCGATGGCTTTGTCGATTTTTTCGTGGAGATTGGGGAAGTGGGAGCGGATGCTGAGGAGGGATGTCACGACTCCGGGGGCGCCGTGGCAGACTTGGACGAGGCGGTCGCGTTCGGGGGGCACGCTGGAGGGGAAGTTTCCGCTGTCGTATTGGTAGGTGAGGAGGACGGCCAGTTCGGTCTCCATTTTCTCGGCGTATTTCTGGGGGTTGGTGAGGACGACTTGGGTGATGATGCCCATGGCGCCGTGGACCGCGCCGATGTAGGTCTTACCTCGCCATTTCCACGGCCGGGGCGAATCGAGGATCACGTCGATCACGTCGTCCTGGGTATCTGTGATGAGTTGCAGAGTCTTGGGATCGTCCACGAACGACGCCTTGACCAGCCGCAAGAGGTAGAGGTATCCCGCCCGTCCATACAGCATCTCATTCTCCGTCTCAGGCTCAATCGCCTCTGCCGAGTAATCGCACAGGTTCGCCGCCATCTCCGCGTCTTTACTGCTCGCCGCCCCAATCGCCAACAAACTCAGAATGTCGTCCGTAATGCCACACTTGCCGATCGAGGGACCGGGGTAGCTGGCGATGTTGTCTTGTGCTTGCTTGAGGTATGCGGCGGACCACGTGCCCAGGGCGTGGCCTTCGATGACCAGGTTGGGGTACATTTGCTGGAGGACGAGGAAGACGTAGGCGACGCTGACCGGGCCTTTGAAGAGGCCGCCGCCGGGGCGGATCTCATTCGGTGGGTTGTCGTTTACGAGGCGTGTGAGGGAGGCTTCGAGTTGGCGGCGAGGATCTGTGTGTGAAAGTCAGCTTTGGATATGCGTTTCTAGTTGTATGATGTTCTTGTTCATACCTCGCCTCGCCAGCGGCGCATCATTCTTGAAATACCGCGGCGGCATGGTTGCTTGCGTGCGAGGCGGTCAGGCTGTGGTTCAGGTCATTGAAGAGAAGCGACGGTGTGTCGGCCGTCGAGTTGTGGAGTGAAGCTCAGTCGCAGGTGTGTGTGTGGTAGTTGAAGACTCGGAGGATCAGATGTCGTTACGCAGGTTGAAGTGCGGGCTGAACGTCGGGCTTCACATTCTTTGAATAATTGCGGACAAGGCAAGTCGGCAGCTAGCTGGGATGTTCCTGGTGAGCAGAGGTTGGTGCTTCTGAAAAGTGCCCAATCTGACGTAGCTTGCATTCGGAGCCTCAAATCACATGGCTACAACTGTTCGCAGGGAACTCAATCCGTCTACCAATCTTTGAGGAAAGCGTGTGATCGTTCTTCCTACCTGGAGCATCAACAGTGGAATGGTAGTCTTGCTTGAGTCATCTGAAATGGCTTTGTCCAAGTGAATGATTACCAGCATCACGATTATGCTTCTCGACATGTGCAAGCCAGCTCTCGTCTAGGCATGTGATGGTCATACTGTTCCTCTATTATGCAGTGCCACCTCAGCACGTACGCTGTTCCTTTTTCATTGGTCCCATCAACTCCCACTGTACGTTAATGCCTCAGTTCCAACGCCAAAGATGCCAACACAGCTACAGAGGGCAGTCTACCTAATCCTGTCCAACCTCGCTCGGTTGACCGCAATCTGGTCGTCGACTTTGTCCGTCTTGCCAATGATGCGATCGATGTGCTTGTTCTGGCTGTCGATCTCTTCGCCCATGGCCTTACCAAGGTTGTTGAGAGTTCTAGCACCGCGGTGGATGGCGTCCCTATTAGAAGAGTCAGTATAGAACAAAGACGTGTTAGTCATATCACACTCACAAGTTGTCCTCAATCTCATTCTCCATTTCATCATCCTCACTGTCAGCCTCAAACTGATACTTCGACCGATCAGCCAAGTTGCGCTGTGCCGAGGGACGAACGACATTGCCGTTAAGATCCCGCTGCTGGCGTTGCCCTCTCGCAGTTGAGCTGTACGCCTCAGATCGAGTAGCATCTGCCTGTCGACGCTCTGCTTGGTGCTTCTCCAGTGCGATCTGGTTCGCCGCCTCTTCACGCTTCTTGGCCGTGAAGGGGTTCGCAACATGCACAGCGAACATGGACCGGTTGAGGGTCTTGAGCTCACGGGCCTTCTCCTCGGCGAGACGGTTCTGGTTGGATGCCATGTCGAGGTTGCGCTCCGTGTTGTGGATGCGCTCGCCCTGGGCACCGAGACGGGCAAGAGTCTCACGACCAGTCTGCTCGGCCTGCTCTGCAATACGGCGAGCATTACGGGTGGAGGAGACATCTTGCTGCTTGATAAATCGAATCTCGGACTTGGCTGTCTGAACGTCCTCTTCTTCTTGCTCCTCTGCAGTGAGCTCGCGTGGTGGACCAGCTCCATATCCACCTGGCATTTCAGTCGAGTCGTAGCCCCCAGTGTTGCTGTAGCTAGCGTCACCGCCCTGCTGTTGCAGATCCTCTGGAGGCCTGGTGGCAGCTCGATTGGGCGCATCTCCAAACAGCGCATTTCTGCCAGCGTCTGTAGTCGTGGTATCATTGCTGTTGGTTCTGCCGAGTCCACCATATCCGCCAGCACCGTATCTAGATTGTCCAGAGCTGCCAGTCCCGTATGGATCACTTCCATATCCACCAGTCTGTCCATACGAGTTGCCGTTGTTCTGGTATCTGGGTTGGGATCCTCCATATCCATCAGCTGGCACAGGGCTCTTGTCGTAGCGGGTTGGCGCCGGTCCGTTGCCAGCGGCATAGCCGGGTGGTGCCTCCTTCTTGCTCTCATTCAGCGTGAGACTGCCGAATGAGCTTGTGGGCGGTTGTGTGAGGCTGCTCTGACTTCGCATGTACGGGTCATTTTGTGGTGCCTGAGTGGCATATGGGTTGGTGTTCCTCGCGGCGTACGGGTCGCTCGAGGGCGGTGGGACAGCGTATGGGTTGTTGGACGCAGGGGCGGGAGACCCTGATTTGGAGGCCTTGGAGCGACTGCCGAAGAGCGAGGCCTTCTTGGAGTCGAGCTCGCCGTCTTTCTCGCCTTTCTTGAGTCCGAATGGCATGTTGTAGTTGTCGCTGTAGTAAAAGGAAGGTGTTGGAGGAGGTAGGGAGTTGGCAGAAGCAGGAGAGGTGGAGGTGAAACTAAAGTTGGGTGTCGATCAGGGCGCAGCTGAGAGGCACGAGCGCTGCTCACCACAACGTCGCAAGCGTGGAGTGGCTGAGAGATCGCATTGAGTTCAGACAAAGATGCCACACGTGAGCAGTGCGACCCAGGCAGCACAATAACAACCAATGCAGCAATCATTCACTATTCGTTCCATTTGTACACGCCCTCGTACAGTACATACGCCGGCGCAATCCATTCCTGCGCCCTTTGAGGCCGGTAGATCGCTTCCCTCGCCTCCCATTTCCTGCTCCCAGACTGCATAGTCGAGCTGGATATATCCACGCCTCGCGCCGCGCTCTGCAAGACAACACGTTCGCCGACCCAATTCATTCGTATCGTCACAACCCAAATCTCCTCTGAAACTCTGCGAACAGCTTTGGCGTGATCTCGTCACTGCTATTGCCCTGTACCTTCCACAATACACCCCTGCTTTCGTAATGCTCCAACAAGCCACGGCTACTCTCTTCGAATGTCTTCAATCGCGATCTCCAAACTTCTGGCTTGTCGTCGTCGCGTTGGATCAAGGGCTCACCCGTAACATCGTCCTTGCCTTCCACCTTCGGCGCGTGGAAAGTAGTATTATACACTCTTCCACTCGCTGGGTGCACCCATCTGTTGCTCATTCGCTCGGCGATGATCTCGGCGGGGGTATGGACGTGGATCGCCATGTTGACAGGTACCATGCTCTCCAGCTGTGTGGCCTGCACGGCGTTCCGTGGAAACCCATCAAGGATGAAGGACGCATCAGGATGCTCACTATATCGATACTCCATATCCAGCTCTGGCGGTATCGTAACGTAGCCGTCGCGACCCAGGGCATCGTTGTCGGCTCCACCGCTCAACTCGGCTGACGCGGCCATCGAATTCAAGGTGATAGGTTGTATCCCATCGGCGGGGATGAGCCATCCTCGGGTCGTGAGAGCATTGCGAATCAATCGAAGAATCATGCTGTCAGGTACTAGAGCACCGCGCTTCATAAGTGCTTCGGCTTGAATGCCTGTAATGGTCACGCGACATCAGTGTCGATCCTCGAGCAGCATCGCAAAGCCCATAGAACACGAGTCTTGACCTACCGAGGGGAGTCTTGTTCCTAACATTGTCCCTCAACAGATCACCAGAGCTAATGGCTGCCAACTGAGGGAATCGCTGCAGCAGGCGCTCCGTCTGGGTGCCCTTCCCTACGCCCGGAGCGCCGATAAGAATGATACGGGCGGCCTTGCGTAGCTTGGACGTTGCCATTACAATGTGTTTTCAGGTATTCCGCAGTCTCGATGGTGCTATCGACAAGGGGTTTCGGGGGCCGGTGGGAGCGTCAGTGAGGCAGGCGATATTCGGGGGAGGTGGTGAGGACTCGCGAGTCGCTTTCGGAGTGCGATGGTTATCCTCTGCCGTACAGCGCCATAATGGAGTGAGTGAAGGTGGAATGTGTGGGAGAGGGAGGAGATGGTGACTGGGTCGAATGGGTCAGCGCAGGACGGCGAGAGAGACGGTTGTTGTGGAAATCAGAGACAAGCCGGCGGATTATTGATGGTGATGAGCTTGGTCGCATCGGCCGCCCGCCTTCGCCTTCTCCGCACCCGCTCCACGCCTTCCAGCTTCGAGAAGTCGGCCAGCTTAACGCCGACCCTCGGTTGCTCGGTCGGTGAGTTTTACGCCATGCCATGCAACAATTGGCTGTAACTCAGCAGCGTCTACAAGGCCAACACATGTGAATGCCGAAAGCAGACTCGTTGTGTATACTGATGAATAAACATGCTGTCGTGATAGGGATACAGTCAAACCTCCTTATAGCGATACTGCATATAACGATATCCTTGCTATAGCGATACTGCCAGCTGTCACCAACTTTCCTACTGCAAAATATCGTTCTTCCTGCCTATACCTATATAACGATCGTATCTCAGATTTGCTCACTAAACTATCGTTATAGACATGCCTCCGAGGACCGCATTTTCAGAGGCAGAGAAGCTCGCACTGCGCCAGCAGCATCAAGACTGCCCTTTACTCACACAAAAGGAGCTCTGTACTTGGTTTGAGAGCCAGTTCAACAAGCCTATCCGACAAGCAACAGTCTCTGAGATCCTTAGTGCCCGATACCGTCACCTTGAGAGCGATACAGCAGTACAGCCAGCACGAAAGAAGCAACGTAGTATCCACCACGCAGAGCTTGAAGATGCCCTTGCCCAGTGGGTAACACGCCATCAGCACTCACTCGCAATTAACGGCGACCTTTTGAAGTCAAGAGCAAGGTGGTACTGGCATCGGCTGCCTCAATATCAAGGTCTACAAGAGCCAGCCTTCAGTAATGGTTGGCTTGCTGGTTTCAAGAGCAGGCACAATATTAAGGACAGGAGAAGACACGGAGAGGCTGCAGGAGTTGATGAGCAGTCAATGATGGCTGATATTGCGATCCTTCAAGCACGCCTTGCACGATACCCCCTTGAAGATCAGTATAACTGTGATGAGACTGGCTTGTTTTGGAAGATGGTGCCTGATCGTGCGTTATCAACAGTACCAGTACCTGGCCACAAGAAAGAGAAGGTTCGGATAACAGTGCATCACTGTGTCAATGCAACAGGCAGTCATAAGCTTCAGCCATGGATTATTGGCCGCTATCAAAGACCACGTTGTTTTGCTGCTGCTGGAGTGCAGATTGAGAGACTAGACTGCACCTATCGAGCCAACAAGAAGAGCTGGATGACTGGCCCAATCATGCTACAATGGCTTCGCTGGTTTGATAGCCAGATGAGTGGCCGAAGGGTGGTCTTAGTTATGGATAACTTCAGTGCTCACGAGACTGCTGTCAACGAGCTTGATACACTGCCTGCTGAATACGGTCTTCGTAATACTGAGGTTGTCTGGCTTCCACCAAATACAACAAGCAAGTCTCAGCCGCTGGATCAAGGCATTATTGCTACATTCAAGGCCTGTTATCGACGGCACTGGCTCCGTTATATGGCAGATGAGGTTGAAGAAGAGCGAGATCCACTCAAGACAATGAACCTGCTTAAGGCTATCCGCTTCGTAATCAGAGCCTGGCATGAGGTATCAACTCAAACAATCACAAACTGCTGGAATCACTCAGCTATTGCATTACAGGCACAGCCTTATATGCAGCAACAAAGCACATTACCAGCTCAGGCAAGTGAAGCACTTGCTCTACTTGAGCAGCAGTTACAAGGTCTCCAACAACAGCAAGTCATTCGTCAACGAATGAGCATTCAACAGCTTCTCTACGTGCCAGAGGAGGATGTTGTAGATAACCTCGACGACCTTGCTGAGCAGATAGCTCAGCAGTTTGAGCCTATTCCCCCTGAGGAGTCAGATCAAGAGGAGGTTGAACAACTACCACGTATACATGCATCTCAGGCTTTGAAGTTGTTAAGGCAGCTACGGCTCCATGAAGAGCAATCTGATGATTGCAATAGCAGCTGGCTACAGAGCCTTGACAAGTACGAGAAAGTGGTCCAACAAAGAGCCGTAGTTGGCCTTCAACAGCAGGAGATATCATTATATTTTGGAGCAGGCTGAATGCCAAGACTGCTGCACGTGATGTCTCTATATAACGATACCTTGTTATAACGATAGAAATATGATATCACCACGCTACTGTTATAGAGAGGTTTGACTGTAGGGACATGGGTGTCGACCAGATTTAGCTCGCACGTGCCGGGCCAGCCCGCAAAGCTTAACGCCGGTCCCTGATCATCACTTCGGCAGGAACGTTTCTCCCTCAACACCATCCTCCTCACCACAACCGCCATCACCATCATCCATCGCACATCGACGTCGCTGTGTGACTACCACACGGCATTCCTCCGTGCTGCCGGCCAGCATGATGAACTCCCGCTACTCTGCGCAACTTGCGCCTGTATTGCTACGCAGTGGCAACAGAACAGCATTCCAACGAGCTGCCCGATTTCCTCGCCAGTTGCCCGCCATCGCCATCTTGGTCCCACGACAGGCTGTATCGACAGACACTTCTCAGAGAAGCACAGATGGCCAGCCGCCACCCGGGTTCAACCTCGAGCAGGCTAAGAAGCCTCTCCCGAAGGATCAGGAGAAGGACAAAGCCGCCTCATCAGCTTCCGCCGGCGCAGACGCGGTAGTCAAGATACCCACAGCAAAGCCATCGGAAAGCGCACCGACACAGGCAGCGGAGCAGGCGGCGCTCAACGAGCTAGCCGCTCAGAAAGCTGCAGAGGAAAAGGCTGGCCAGAGCAAAGAGGTCGCCAAGAAGGAGGACAAGAAGAAGTTGACCATCTGGCAGAAAGTCAAGCATGAGGCACAACATTACTGGGATGGGACGAAGCTTTTGGCCACGGAAGTGAAAATTTCTTCCAAACTGGCCTTGAAGATGGCGGCGGGATACGAGCTCACCCGCAGAGAACATCGACAACTTACCAGAACTGTGCAAGACATTGGACGACTGATTCCATTCTCGGTGTTCGTCATCGTTCCATTCGCCGAGTTATTGCTTCCCGTGGCGTTGAGACTGTTCCCTAACCTGCTGCCGTCCACATACGAAGGTGCAAAGAGCAAGGAGAATAAAGCCACTCGACTTAGGACGTCGAGGAAAGAGGTCTCCAAGTTCTTGCGACAAACCATGCGGGAGTCTGGTCTCCCCATTTCACAGGCCACAGCGCAAAAGGAGGAGTTCACCGAGTTCTTCCGGAAGTTGCGTGCCACCGGTGAAGAGCCAACTAAGGCGGACGTCATCAAAGTTTGTAAGCTTTTCAAGGATGATTTGACCCTGGACAACCTTTCACGACCACAACTCGTCGGTATTTGCCGGTACATGAATCTCTCCACCTTTGGGACGGATGCCATGCTGCGATACCAGATCCGCCACCGCATGAGACAGATCAAGCGCGATGACCGTGCCATCAGCTACGAAGGTGTCGAGTCGCTGTCCGTTCCAGAACTTCAGACCGCTTGTGCTGCACGTGGTCTGCGAACACACGGCATGAGCCCAGGTCGCCTTCGGGACGACCTCCAACTGTGGCTGGACCTTCGTCTCAAGTACGGCGTCCCTAGCACCTTGCTCGTGTTGAGTAATGCTTTCATGTACGCTCAGGGCAAGGAGACCGAATTCGATAGCCAGCTTTCTGCTCTGCAGGCCGTGCTGTCCAGCATTCCAGAAGAGCTGTTCCATGAAATTGAACTGGAGGTGCACAACGCCGAAGGTGCCACCACCAACAAGCAGAGACTGCAGGTCATCAAGGAACAGCAAGAGCTTATCCAGGAAGAGAACGAGCAAACCGAGCAGCAGAAAGCTGGAGGACGTGAGGCTCAGAACGTTAGTGATAAGGAAGACATTGATGAGAAGGACGAAGAGCAGAGACAGGAGGCCGCACTTTCGCAACAGCAAGCGGCTGATATGCAAGAGGCTGAATCCGATCTCGAGCGACAGCAGGCCAAATTTGAGAGACCCATCAAGGCAGAAGAGGAGCGACAGCTCGAGGCGTCCAGTGCTGGTACAGCGGAAGGTCCGTCTCCAACCAAGGAAAAGGTTGAGACGAAGTAGAGGATCTAGCGGTCTGGGCGGGGCGTTGTTGGATATAGACGCATAGAATGGGTTCGGCGTTATCTCATTTGTGTGGCAAACGGACCTCACCCTCTGAACGGGAACGAGTGCTGGAGGCAATTGTGTTACCATGAGAAAAAGAATACCCCTTCAGCTCTTTGGGAATGGAGGAATGGGGAGATTTCACCATCGCTGCTCATCCAGCGCAAGACAGCGAAGTCACGTATCCAAAGAGCATTTACTCACGCATTAAATCATGGTAATCGTCAACTCGCTGCCTCCTCGGACAGTCCGAGTCATGGTTGCTGTGCTGTCTCGAAGCGAAGAGAATCCCAGCCCGCTAATACATATTGCAAAGCTATTTCTGTCTCCATTCGACCCACACGCTGAGACCATGGCGGACGACAATCCTTCTTATTAGATGCTCGTAGCCAGGCACGAGATCCTTCAGCTGGCGTGGTGTAACCGTGAAAACGATCCATTGCGTGAGGCTGAAGAAGTTCTGGAATGCATGCATGGGTGTAGGCCAGAGAGGATAAGTATCAACGCACGCCCTTCTCTTGCAAATCTCCATTGTACAGAAAACACCGCAACAATGGCTCCCTCATTATCACTCGCAAGTCTTTTGACCACCCTCTCTCTCGCAACCTCAACCCTCGCCCAAAACCCTCCCATCTCCACCTCCCCTACCTTTGTCCTTTATCCCTACATCACCTCCGGCTCCCTCACAGGCCCCTACCCCAACGCCGCCATCGACAAATCCCAACCTCTCCGTCCCACCAGCGGTGTGTATCTATCCCCCATCCCAATTCCAACCCCAAAGCCCTCATCGACTAATAAATGCATTCCTAGGCCGCGCCTCCGGCACCTGGACAACCGACTGCTTCAACCGACTCGTCTTCACCTCCTACATCAGCCCCACGCACTGCTCCGGCGAGCAATGCGGCTACCAGCGCTGGAGTCTCAACGCCACGGACCCCTCGGCCGGCGAGAAAGGCCAGACGCTCGCCGGGTATATCTCTGGCTTGTCGTCAATGCTCATTGTGGACGCGGACGAGTCCGGGAGGAGGGATGTTGGTTGGACGGCGAATGCTTGTGGGAATGAGCCGAGGATGAAGGGGTTCGAGATTTCGGATGAGGGGGAGGAGGGGTGTTGCATTTGAGGTATGGGGAGGGGGATGGGACGTTTTTTACGAGTTGGGTTGAGGGGGATATTTATGGTCCGAGGGTGTTTTATCGGAGGGAGGAGGGGGAGACGCCCGAGGGGTGTGCGGAGGTGTTGTTGGTGCCTAGGTGTGTGAATGAGACGAGTCTTGTGCAGGGGGCGGTGGGGTCGAGGTGTTATTTGGGCGGGTTGCCGGCGTGATGGGGCGGGAGACTGGGTTTGCGCTGAGACGATGGTCTGATGCGGTGGTGGGTATGTACTGGCTAGAATTCTGGACTCGGGAGGCTGTCGCTCTTGTGGTATCAGAAACATACCGTTCAATTCCGCCTTCTTCGCTTCGATCGGACTACCTTCTCTTCAACTTCAATGGCCTTCACTTCATCTTCCTCGTGTTCTCTCTTAATAGCCTTTTCCATTATTTTCTCCCTCTTCACCACCGTCTCGCCATTGTCTTCCACTTTGACTACTTCCTTTTCATCCTTCGCAACAAGCCGCTCACTGAATGCTCTCAAATTCGCCGTGAACAACACCGACTGCGCCCATCCAGCTTCCCTGCCCCACAAGCTTCGGAACTTATTCCCAATCGCATCGTAAGTCTGTTTTGTCAGACTCGAATGCTTCCCTTTGCCAAACTTGTAGTCCCTTTGGGCGATTTGCCAGACGTGGGTATCAACTGGGATTGCTTCGCCCCATCCGAGACCCATCAAGCAAACACAGTCGGCGACTTTGGGGCCTACGCCTTGGAGAGTAAGAAGCTCTTCATGGGCCGAACGATAGCCTTCTCGACCTGCATCGTCCCACTCGCCACCTGGAGACGCTTTCAGACCGAAGGCGGGCGACTCTGGATTGCGGAGCGAGTCGAGCCAGCCAGAGGGTTTTGAGACCACCATACGTGCTGTCTGATGAATGTACTTGGCTCTATACCCAAAGCCCAGATTTCGCAATGTAGCTTCCACGCCGTCCTGAGCAAGAGCATCGGGCTCAGGGAAGTCGTGATAGGGCTCGTCGTCTAGATGGCCCAGCAGTGGCCCATAGTTGATACATAGCTTATGCACCATCTGCGAGATCCTGGAGATGTTGTTGTTACTGCTGCAGATGAATCCAATGAGCGCCTCCCAGGCATCCTGTTTCATGATGCGGATCCCCGTGAATTTAGGTGCTTTCTTGGCGAAGTTGGGATCTGAGGATGACCATTGTCGATAGAGCTCTGTGAGGTTCGGATCCAGTTTGAAGTAGTGCTTGATCAGATCCAGAGTATCATCATCTGCGGATTCTTCTGGCACTGAGGGCGGCTTGGATGAAGGTGGCGTTGGCGGGGCTTGGAGTGATGTCGGAGGTATGGAGCGGTAGTAGAGGTATTCGGGATCTTGATGGAGGGACAGGATGCGGTTATGTAGGGCGATAGACCAGACGCCAGCGTCGTTCTTCCGCCATCTGTATCTTGTTAGTGAGAGTCTAAGGGGTGGTTTCGCTGCTGAGGGTACCTGAAAGATTGCCCGCATCTCAGGGTTGTGTTGATGCAGAGCTCCGTGAGACTGACAGGCAGCTTCTGCCATTCTGCGAGGTTGAGGGCGCCCATCTTGGTGGTGTTCGAAAGGGGTGTAGGGTGCAGAGAGGTTGTCGCGAAATCTAGATTGAAGTCGCGCTTGCGACGCGATCGTGGCGATTTGAGTTTCAGGGTCCCCGAAAGTGAGTGTTGATTGGCTTGTTTTGATCGGCAGCGAGCGGCTGGCTGCATGGGTGGCCGCCCATTCACCTCTTCTCCTCTTTCTCCCCGCAACTCTGCAACCTCTGTCCGATTCCATCGGCACCGGAGGGTACGGCAAGACACCATCTTCAGACATTCTTCAGTTTGGGACTATGACTGTCAAAGTGCTGCAATGACCGAGCGCTCGACTTCTGGCTTCGACTACGATCCATCCCTTGAAGATTTCGCCGTCTCAAAGGAGGCCTACCTCGGCTCTCGTCCAAATGCATCATATGAATTCATAGCGACTGCTGCGATAGTGGTAGATACCAAAAGCTCCGGCGGTCCACGTATCCTGCTCCTTCAGCGTGCAGCGAGCGATTCAAACCCGAACAAATGGGAGCCTCCAGGCGGTGCCTGCGATGACGAGGACGAGAGCATTCTCCATGCTGCCGCTCGAGAGCTCCGAGAAGAAGCTGGCCTTGAAGCAGCGCACATTGATGGCGCGGTGGGAGACCCTCACCTCTTCGTTAGTCGGAGTGGCAAGCGGGTATGCCAATTCAACTTCGCCATACAAGTGCAGGCCGAGAATGGAGGTCCTACTTCGGTGAAGCTGGATCCCCAAGAGCATCAAAACTTCGTGTGGGCTACGGAGGACGAAGTGAAAGCAAAGTTTGCCGGTGGAGTGGATCTGGACTTCACGTCGACCGAGGTTGAACGCACCATACTCTTGGCCTTTGAGTACTTCAGGCGAAAGACGACGCCATGATTCGGCCGCAGAGTGGAAAGACGGACAACACGAGTCTATTCCGACTACATTGGAAGCTCAGGCGGTGCCCAGGGTTGCGAACTTGACAAGAAAGCACTCGAAACCAGGTCTGATCTCAACGCATCGTTCAGAAGATAATCAAGGTTCTCGTACAGCAATCTATCTGATAGTCCTGCTTTTCAACGCCGGTGCGCCCAATCTATAGCTCACTTTTCGCCGTCGATGCCGGATTTGCGACCCTCGCTGTCAGACTTATGGTCCTCACTATCAGACTCGCGACCGTCGACATCATGCTTGGGGTTCTCAACATCAGGGCCCTTTTCGCTCGGGCCTTCCTTCTGTTCCAACCCTTGATCCTTCACCAGTATACAAAGGACGAGGCACAACCCCACTAACGGAGTCAACCAGATGAAAACTGTCCTCAACGCTGAGCTGTAGGCGTCCAGGATCTGATTCCTCTCGTCCGTGGTGTAGGATGCTAGATCCACTCTAGAATAGGTGCTGCTCGCGATGTATGACAGTTCATCCGGTAGAGCTGCTGCCAGGGAGGCTTGCATAACGGCAGCACTGATGGCCAGGCCAACGGCACCACCAAGCGATCGTAGAAAGTTGCGGTTCGAGATGATGACTGCACGCTGAGCCTTTGGTGCATGCGCCTGCAGAGCCACGAGGATAGGCTGGAAGACGTTTCCAACACCAAGGCCAGTCACCAGGTTGATGAAGACAATCGCAACAATAGAAGTGCCACGATTGAACATAATCATCAGGCCAGCGCCGAGAAGCCACATACCAAAGCCGCTCCACAAGACTTCGCCATAGCGGCCCATGCGACTTATGTACTGACCAGAAACGGCACTGATGCTCGCCTGCGCAATGACCAGTGGGACGGTCAGAGCGGCAGACACTAGCGGCGTATATCCGCGGACATTCTCCAGATAGAGCGGAATGTAATAGAGCTCTGAATAGTACGCCATCCCGAACAGGAAATTCTGCGATAGCATAGCTGCTATGGGTATGTTGCTGAACATCGACACTACATAGTGTTAGCTCAGCCTGGGGTGGTGGAGTATGATTGCTTACGAGGTGTCATTGGAAGCCTGGCGACCCAGCGCTCTACCCCAACAAACGCCAAAGCAGCGATACTGCCGATGGTGAGCATTGATATGACCAGTGCCGAGCTCCATTCGAAATAGGATCCACCGCCAGAGATAGGAATCAGGAGAAAGACAACAGCAACGGTCCCGGTTAGGATACCCCACCAGTCAATCAGCTTCACTTTCTCAATGCCACGACCCTCGACAGGCTTGCTAGGTACCAGGAACCACCCAGAGATTGCGCAAAGTGCGCCCATTGGAGCCAGGAGATAAAAGAAGCCCCGCCATGTCGAACCTTGAGCGAAGGCGGCCATCACCAAAGGTCCAAAAGTGTTCCCCAGTCCGATGAAAGCACCAAGTATGCCTTGGTATTTTCCTCGTTGCTTCAAAGTCACAACATCCGAGACAATCATCATCGTCAAGCTGTTGATGCCTCCGTTCGCGATACCTGCCAAGGCTCGGAAGACATAAAGTGACTCTGCATTCGGCGCAATCGAGCACAGAATGTCGGCAATGACCAAAAGGACGATCGCTGACAGGTACACGACCTTCCTGCCGAAAATGTCGGAAAGTCGACCATAGAGGACCTGGAAGACAGTGTTTGCGATCAAAGCCGACGTCCCGGCCCACGAGATTGTGTTGGCCGCGTTGAGTTCTCGAGCGACCGTCGGCAAGGCAACAGCAATTCCATTCTGGTCGGCATAGCAGATGAAAAGCGATAACGATAAAGTCGTGTACAAAATCAACAAACGTCCTTTGGGCAGAATGTTCGTCTGGTCAACGAGTTGACCTTCTGCAGCGGCCTGTCGCGAGGTGGCCATGGTGTGTGAAAGATGAGCGTATGGTGCAACAATCGCAGCAGGAAAGTTCCTCGACGAGAAGTTAAAGAGCTCGGAGAAGAGCCCAGACAGGATATGTGCTCTTTCATCATAAATGCACGTGAAAGACAGAGTGGCATCTGCACACTGCGATCGAGGTGACATCGGGGGCTGATGATGTCCGAAAAAGGTTGAAGGGCAGCCAAGGCTCCGTCTTTCACTCGACAAACCTTAAACAGGCTTGAGTTTGTAGCTTCTCAACCGCCACATCTAAAACTCCTAGATCGACTTGGCTGGCTCGGGCTGAGGGTATTGCGACAGACAGCGTTTTGGCGGGTCCCCAAAGGCTGATGCAATGGTCAGGGTTCAAGGCTCGTCCTCGATAGGGCGAGGGACGGCCATAAGACGATGGCAGAGCCTACAGACTCACGCTCTCTGCTCCACCAAGATACCCAAAGCATTCTGAGTCTGTATCGCGTTTATTCGTTTCGAAAATGTCGGCCTCTATCGTTCAGTCTTTGGCTACCAGAGCCGCGAGCGCAGTCGAGCAGTTCATCGTCTTTCCACCAACAAGTACAATCGCTGCCAGATATGCCCCCGAACCTCTCAGGGCTACCAGCACCCCTGTCGTGCCAGCCGTTCTCATGCGAGCTGGCACTTCTCGAGGCATTTTTCTTCACGCCCACCATCTTCCCAGATCGAAAGCTGCATGGCCTGGGATCATCAGTTCCATCATGGGCTCTCACAACGGAGACCGACGCCAGCTTGATGGAGTAGGCGGTGCTACATCAACAACGTCCAAGGCCGCCATCATCTCGCCTCCATCACGCCCTGATGCTGACGTCGACTATACATTTGCCCAAGTGGGCGTTGGCGAGAACAAAGTCGACATGAGCGGAAGCTGTGGCAATATCTGCAGCGGTGTTGGTCCGTTTGCTCTTGAAGAACGACTCGTCAGGCCAACTGGAAGGAACAACGTAAGTGAGATCTCAACCAACGAGAAAGTCGAAATGCTTAACGATCTCTCAGGCTGTCGTTCGTGTCCACGACACCAACACCGGCGCCATCATCGAGCAGATCCTCGCCGTCGACCAGTACGGTCGATACAAGGCCGATGGTGACCATCGTATCAGCGGTTACTCTGGAACTGGCTCGCCGCTGAAAATGTCATGGCTCAAACCTGCTGGCACTATCGGCCCACGCAAGTTCTGCCCTACTGGTAATGCCACAGATATCATCAAGGTCAAGATCGCCGACACCCCAGAAGTCATCTCAGCACGCGTCAGCCTCATAGATGCTGCGAATCCTTTCGTTTTTGTGGATGCAACATCCTTGCCTGAACACATTCTGGAGTTGGGTCACGCCGATCCTAAGGTACTCGGCATGATGGAGGCAATCCGTTGCCAAGCAGCTGTCCTTATGGGCATCGCAACGTCACCTGAAGAAGCCCACAAGCTTCGTCCAATCCCCAAAATTGCTCTGCTCTACCGTCCCGGACCACATCAACAGCAGGCCGACATTCGCATCGTCCCTTACAGCCTGGGGAAGCCTCACCCAAGCTGTCAGTTGACGGGCACCATCGCACTGAGCGCTGCGCTTTCCCACCCAGGAACAGTCGCGTCGAAATTAGCACAGGAGGCTCGCGGCCTACCTCCCCTCGACGGTATCGAGCTGGGAGGCGTTCACAAGACCATTGCACATCCCAGCGGCTTCAACGAGGCCGAGGTGTACAACATGCTTGGCCAAGACAATTCGGTGGAGCTTGAAAAAGTCAGCATCTTGACTACAGCGCAGCGCCTTTTCAAGGGTGAAGCGTACATCCCAAGGTTAAAGTTGTAGAGCTCAGCCAATTGACTATTGAAAAGCATCAGCGAGTCAGAATATTGCCAAGCGTTCAGTGCGTATAGACTATAGACTAGATTACGAACTATTTCTTCTTGTTTGTTGAAGTGAATTCACCAACTCCGCACTTTGCACTCTCCCAAGACGAAGAACATTGGTATCGACAGACGCTGCGTGACTTAGTCCTGTGTGTTACCATGGAGAAGTGAGGTGATCCGACTGCTACATTGGGAAAGTCCAGGCTCTTCTTGGCCAATGATAGCGCTAAATAGCCTTTCACAAGAAGCTAGACTCAGACCAGCAAATCGGACGAAGGATCTGCTTGGCGTTGAGATAAGAAGTCTTGGAAGTGACGAAGTCTATTCATCCTCAACGAACCTCGGGCGCGCACGACATCAGACGTCTTTCTGCTCATCGACTTCGTTCCCGCTAAGGAAGTCCCCGACCCGGCGACCAAGCCCCGGTGGTGGCTTGGTTTGACTCCGGACGCTTGTACAAAAGCAAGTCGTCGTATAGCTGCACCGTTGGAGCCAATCGCTAGCTTCTTTTTCGACAGAGTTCTGGCAGGGCCGGATTCCGACAACACACAGGACCCATAGCCAAGGCCTTGGTATGTGAAGTCGATGTGCGAACGTTGCCGCAGATAAAGATCAGTTTTCGATATCCTCGTTCCAAAGTTTCTTACATTCTTCGATCGCTGGGAATAATCGATGTATGCGCCCACCTTCAAATTGCCGGCCGCTCGACTTCACCCACGGTTTTACGTCATGGCTGGCCTTGTGGATATGGATGAGGTCCACTCGTTATCTATGACCAAGAAATCCTGCGTCTGTGTATGCAACACATCGGTCGTTGAGTCCAAGAACCAATCTCGCGATCACGATCTCCACAGAGCAACAAAGACAACGAGGGATCGAAACAACTACAGCGCGCATGCGCACATTGATACGAGCCATGACACCACGTATCATCAGCGTTGCTTATGGAGTGCCTGATCTCAAGGCGTCTGATGACGACCAGGCATTGGTAAGCTACCGAGATTCGCCAACAGACTTGGACGGTCTGTCCCCGTCGTTGGTTGAAGCGAGAGAGTAGATTCAATCAGGCTGTTCTCGTCGACCTCGTGGCTACAGACAGGAGACATAACATCATTGTCGGGTCGATCATCTTTACTGAAGCGAACGATTTCGCTTAACGTCTCTTAACAGAGCAATTGCTGTTCACCGGACAGAAAGTTTGGATGGCCTCGTTTGCCCACGTTGCTCGGGGACTGCAAGGGTTTGGTTGACTCTCAACAGCGCAAGTCTGACTTGGCTGAAAACATCCTGCATCAGCATGTGAAAGTCTGATGGTGAGACCATGGTGCAGGAGCCGTCTGAGATCTAAAAGATAAGATTACCGACCGTTTCGCCAATTGTTGGAAGATGCAGCCCTCCGCCGAGCTCTAGCTTTCGTGCGACGGAGTTATAGTTTCGATGGGTTGAGCATATTTGACACTTCGATGATGTTATTTTATACTTTCTGCTAACCCTGCGCCCTGAGTGGGATGCTGGGCGTGGGTAACGGCGGCCGAAAAAATCCAACAATCAGCTGTCATCAGCTCCAACGCAGCTAGATGCGAGAAGCGTACTCAACATTGTCTTCAGATGGTACCGTTCCATCACTAACATTCCCACGATGCAGTTGGTTTCTCTGCTGGAGGGTGGAAAATGCTTCTCGTAATTCGTAAGGCTGTCTGCAGGACGCGGGAGGCACTCCTGCCGCATCCCTTGATCGCCAGCAGGTGCCGGTGGGCACTAAATCAATCGACAGTGCATGCCCGACAACCATACCCGACGGGTGGCTTGCTGGATGACGTTAGGGCGCTTTCAACGAGCTGCCATGACCGTCTGCACACTACCACGTTGCGACGATCCCTAGGTGTTTCTGGCCGAGAGTGGCCATCTGTCGCTTGCTGGCTCGCACTTCCTTGTTGGACGCGAAGAGCATATGCATGGAATTTTGCAAGTCCGAGGGTGACATTGTGCATCTACCCTCACCCATATTCCATTATTTTCATCAATGATCCTTCGCATCGACAGGTCGAGTTGACATTGATTGTGCTATCGATTATTTGCTGTTGAATCGTCTCGGAGGACTTGTTGCAGAAAGCCAATCCATCACAATGTCGAGCAGTCGAACGAATCGTAAAAACCCGGTCTCAGCGGCAACAAATTTGGTTGGTAAGTACTCCTTCATCAATGTAGGAGCAGAGATGTTCTGACAAAATGTATGTACAGCTGGCGGTGGAGCTGGAATGATGGATGCTCTAATATGTTTCCCACTCGACACAATCAAAGTCCGCATGCAACTGGCAAGACGTACCCTCGAAGCAGGCGTGAGGAATAAAGGCTTCGTCGCTACCGCTTATGACATTGCGAAGAGAGAAAACTTCATAGGATTCTACAGAGGATTGGGTGCAGTCACGGCAGGCATAATACCGAAGATTGGTATTCGCTTTGCTAGCTACGACTGGTATAGACAAGCACTCGTTGGGAAGGAGAACATGTCAAACGCTTCCATGAGCGCAACTTTTATCGCTGGCCTGGCTGCTGGAGTTACTGAAGCCGTGGCTGTTGTCACGCCGATGGAGCTGGTCAAGATCCGATTACAGGCACAAAATCATCATACCCCTGGCAATGTTACTCCACCGAAGTACCGCAACGCCGTGCATGCATTCCTCACAATCTTGAAAGAAGAGGGGCCTTCTTCGTTATGGCGAGGTGTATCCTTTACAGCCCTCCGACAAGGAAGCAATACAGCAGCGAATTTCACCGTGTATACTCCTCTCAAGGCTCTGGCAGAACGAAATCGTGTCGATCAGTCTGTACCTCTACCCTCGTATCACATCGCCTTCATCGGGCTCATTGCTGGAGCTGTTGGGCCTCTTTGCAACGCCCCCATCGACACGATCAAGACTCGACTGCAAAGGGCCCCGACAGAAGCCGAGCGTGCTCAGACATCAACGCAGCGTGTGGTGACGATTTGCAGTACCCTATATCGGCAAGGCGGTCTTGGGGCGTTTTGGGCCGGAATCGTTCCTCGAGTAGCCCGCGTTGCACCAGGTCAAGCTGTGACATTCGCTGCGTATGAGTTTCTTAGAGATCAGTTGGAAAAGTTGAATTAGCGTTTGATGATGAATAGACTGTATGAAGTAATGAGATGAGCGCTGCAATTTAGAATGACTTTCATGGTAATGAATATGCTGTCAGGCCTCAAGAACTCATCAGTGCTCACTTCCGATGAGTGACGGCGGCGTATAGACTCGCATCTGGCGCATCCGCACATCTACATTGCCCCCTGTGCCGTAATGGCGATGTTTGGCCAATGTCTGTACATGGTAAACGACAACGCATGAAAAAATCAATGTTGCTTTTCCAATAGTACTTTGTGCCATAGCAAATGCACGTAAACCGAAGAGCTCGACTCTCAGAATTCACTTGCCTTCGCCAGTCACATGCTCGCTGTTAGCGCGGGCTTATTCAGCAAACACAGAATCCGTCGTTACGGGCGCACGAAAAGACCCCGACTTTTCAAAGCAACACCGCTCACGCTCACTGCAGCTACAACACCACCATGGCGGAAGACCCAGGCGCCAGTCCGCCAGTCTCAGACGGCGAACAACGCCACATCTTCCCATTCTTCAAACTCGCACGAGAGCTCCGCGACGCCATCTACGACGAGTGCGTGCAGGAGACGAGAGTCGACGGCCCTGGTTATCAGCCTGAGATACGCGCCGAAGGCATCGTGGTGCCACATCTCTTGCTGGTCAACCACCAGTTCGCCGCCGAGTACGCCTCCCGCGCCCAAAACTCCGGCGTCGTCACCGTCAGTGACCTTTCGTACTCGCTACCTCGGCCGCTCCAACTCCCTGCGTTCCTGTGCAAGCACCCACTTCGTATCGAGGTCAACACCTGGTGTCCTTGGCTTGGGCTGATCGATGGACATTGGGACTGGATCGGCAGCTTTCTGTCTCAAGTCTGTACGCCTCGCGGCTTCTCCGTCCGCGTGATCACCAGAGGCGGCATGAACGTGGGAGAGTTGTTGGCAGAGCTCAATGCGAAGCCTTGGGCATCTATCCCAAACTTCACCGGCTTCCAAGTCTACCAAGATTGGGCCACCGACGGCCCTCTTTCGACGATGTGGCAGCAGTTGTCTCTGATGAAGCACGTTGGAGGATGGTCGAAGAGTTCAGGCAAGATAGAGGACGTCCAAGGGACCGAGAGCGAGGTAAGTACAATCTCGAGCTGCTTCCCTGCTCTTCAAAGTCACATGCTAATGTTGTTAGCTCGAATCCGATGAGGATTCCGCATGAACTCCAAGACGATCGGCTGTCGCAGAACGGCGAACATGGCATATGGATCATGGACGTGAGACCGTACAAAAGGCGAACATGGAAAAGGGGCGAGGGTGACCGAATACCACACTCTGAAAAGGCAAGGAGAACATCAAGATCTGCGTGGCGTACGGCAAGAGAGGAGTTACACAGAGTCGTGCGGCAGCCTAGAGATGCCTACGTATCTTGACCCCTTGCATGGTCTAATTCTTGATGATAAAGGCTTCCAGTGCTTGCACCTCTCCTTCTCAACTAACTCATTATCCTCATCATGCGAGACCCAAGTCGTCCAGCCTGCTACTTCTTCCATCTCCCTCGCGAACTCCGCGACAACATCTATGACATATGCCTCGAGACTCGGTCATTCTGGGTCGTACGGGACAATAAAGCAGAACTCGTCCACATCGCCAACGCAGACCTATTGCTTGTCTCTCGTCAATTCCTCCATGAGTATCTTGCTCGTGAGCACGACCTCGCCGTCGTAAAGCTCACCTTCGTCGACGTAACTCCCGAACAGACCTACGCGAGGCTCTACAGGATGCTATCTCTTGCCAAGCGCATGAGCCGTATCAACGTCGACGTCGTCGTCGTCTGTCCTATCTCATCACCCTACAGAACGATGGAGGTGTGGATCGCGAAGTTCATTCGCGCCTACCGACAACGGGTCACCATAACTGCGAGAGAGTTTCTGCGGTTCGAATATTTGGCCGTTCGTATCCATATGCGAGTGCCGCAAGCGCAGTGTCCGCCAGAACAGTTGGGTCCAGTGCTGGAGAGGGCGCAGTGGACGGCATTCCCTCAGCTTGCAGGTCTGGAAGTCATCTACGGTGCTGGGGACAGTGGGGAGCAACAGGCTACATTGAGCTGGTCGAAGGAGCGTCGTCAGCTGGAGTTTGTGGGCGAGGAGAAGGGATAGAAGTATGAGATCGAGCCCCTGCCATTGTTGCGATGCCTGCTGATATCTCAAAGGTTACTCCTCATTCCAACGTACCGATTGTCATTCTTGGAATCGATTTGCGGAAACAAGGGGTGAATACTGTCGCCTTGCACAATGGATTTGGCCTCGACCTCGAAGCACCTCTTGCTTGTTCATCATCAGCGGCCTGCTACATTAGCACTGGGCTGGTGCTGCTACTCGTCATCGTCCTACATCATTCATATTCAACAAAGAACTTGACTCCCTTCCCCTCCCTCGCATACACCGGGCTGGTGTTTCCTTTCAAACCTCTCCACGAATTCTGCCCAGCGCCCCTTTGATAAAGCACCATGCCACTTCGACTGTCCACATCGAACTCCAGATGGCAGTACGGCGTGAAGTCCTCGCCTGCAATGGCCAAGCCAAGAAGGTCACCAGGAGCAACAGTTGCATTTCCAGTAGCCGTCACAGGAACGCTCGTGGTGTTGAAGACGTAGCTGAGATATGTTGAGTTTACACTCGCAGTGCCGAGGGTCGTCCACTTGTATTCAGGAGCGAGCAGGTCATTATAAGAGGAGAACTTGAAGAACGTGAGAGCAAGAGGCACTGTCTGAACTTTGGCGCCTGCGATGTTGACTGAGACGGTTTTGAGCGTGCCGGCGCGAGATGCTCGCCAGATTTGGAAGAGGTCGAATTGGTCAGAGTCGCAGACGGGCGTATACTGATTCGAGATATCTTGTTAGTTCTGATGTTTTACAGGAAAATACAGATGATTGACCTACAGCAGCGTCAGACGGCGAGCCATCACCAGCAGTCGTAGCAGCTCCACTGGCTACTGCACCTGAGCCACGAGTGAACCCGACTTGGAACTGTGCGTTGTCGGAACAGTCCAGATCCCCAACAGATCCATCTGGCCTAAACCGAAGTGGCTGGAAGATATGTCCGCCAAATCCTGTCCTTGGGCCTCCTGGTACGGAAGTGGAATGCCAAACATAGGTGACTTGTTTGGTGCGTGGGTCTGTAAGAGGTAGCACGCCTTCGACTTGACCGTTGCATGAGTAGCCAGCAATGATCTGTCTGGTCCATGGCCCTTTGATGCTCCTTGATCGGTAAAGGAGACCAATAGACCCGTTGCAATAGCCGCAAGTGTTGCTGGCCGAAACGTAGTACCAGCCGTTTCTGGTGAAGAGATCTGGCGATTCTGCTTCCTGGTCAATCAGATCGTTTGCCGCCGAGCGCACCGGATAGCTGACTCCAGTGGTGTTGGCGAAATCAGTGGTCAACTCAGAGATGTGCAGCGTCTGGAAAATAGGAGGCCAGATACTGCCTGCTCTGGGGTCTCTGAAGTTGAGAGCAGAAAGGACGATACATCCCTTTTTGTTGCTGTCGAATGTCTCGACGGTGAAGTCTGCTCGTTGAAGGCCATTGAATTGAGGATCCATGGCTGCTCGAGTTGAAGAGAAGGTGAATGGTCCAGAGGGCGAGGAAGAGGTCGCAATCACATATCCAGATGAACCAGCATTCGCCCACAGAATGTACTCTGCGTTCTTGCTGTTATACACAATGTGTGGTCTGCCACATCCTCCGAGGTCATCGCAGGGATTCGGCGCAAACGGGTCGAAGAGGAAGCCTTCGTATCGCCAGTGCTGTAAGTCTACGGAAGAGTACGACTTGATTCCAAAAGCAACGCCGGTCGTTGAGAAGCTGTTTCCGTACAAGTAGTAAGAGCCGTTGAAGAAGTTGATTTTGCTTCCATAAGCATCAATTTGATTTCCGTCAACATCGAAGAGGAGACGGCGATCGTTTGTGAAAGTGACTTGACTGCTTCCGCTGGATGCTGGAGTGCCATACTGAGCTTGAGCCAGTGCCGCAGGGCTGAACAGTGCTGCCAAGAGTAGCGAGGAGACGAACATTTTTTATGAACATTGAGATGAGCAGGACATTGGAAACTCAATATTCGTGCTGGAAAATCAATGCTCTTATTAATGCTTCCCTCGCCCCCTTCTGTGTCAGCAGGATTGCACACTCATCAGAGGCGCAACCTTCTTAATTCCTACGAGCGATCTTTCTCGGATGCGAGCGAATAGCCCTAACTGAGTGGCTTGCATTGGCTTCTTGTTCCTGATCAAATATACAGTTTTAGCCGAGAATGCAGCACCTGGGCGAGTGAGGGTCGAGAGATGCAGTCGAGCACAAGACAGTCTGGGGAAGACGTGGAGATTCGCATGAGGTGGCGTCGAACTAGTCGCTCAAGATGCGGGGAAGACAATGGTCCGTGGTGGGCACTGAGAGAGCGGCAGTTTCCCACGGATATTGTAGTTGAAGACGGGAGGTCTACGATGATTTCTCGACTTTCGGTGCCTTGAAGCCAACGAATTCTCCGACCCATTCCGACTTCTGCTTGTCCAGGTCTTCGGCGATTAGATCCGCAACATCTTCGAGCCTCGTGGTATAGCTGGAAATGGCAGGCACGAGGTTGAGGTAGACACCAAGAAAGGGCATATATCGGATCCAGTGATCTTGCCAGGCGGGGGGGTTCCACGATTGAACAAGTAAATTGTGCTTTCTTGGTTCGACCAGGGCTTCGACTTCGCTATGTGCTGGAGACATCATTGCCACGCACAACAAGGACCACTGGACATCCGCTGTCGACAAGTCCTTCACCGCTGCTTCGACACCTCGTTGATGGTCGATCAGCCATGCTGGCATATAGTCCTGGATCTGATATGACGTGCCAGGATAGTTGAGCGAGCTCATGCCTCCGATGATCCACGCGCGGATCGGTCGACCTCTCTCCTTTCCAACTTGGATTGCGGCGCCTGTGACTGAGGCAACTATTTTGCCAAGGTTTTGTTCTTGTCCGCGCGGTTGTCTAGTCCCTGAGGTGTTGACAAGAGCGTCGCAGTCGTTCTGGCGTAAGGCGTCAGCAACTGCGTCCGTGTCGAGAGAATCTCCTTGCATGATGGTGATGCGTTCGATGACTGCTGCTGGAAGAATGTTGCGGAGTTTTGATGGTGATCGAACGTAGGCGATTACTCTGTGGCCGTGGGCAAGCAGAGCCGGTATGACCCTCGAGCCAAGGTTTCCATTGCCGCCGAGCTGAAGGACCTTCATGGTTTAGTGTTGCTGATAATACTTTCGCTGTAGAATTGGCGTGCTGGGCAAGGCTTGAGTCTGATATAGGAAGTTGCTGGTCTGGTGGAGGGAAGCGGCGCTAGTGGCATCGCCGTGTCCGTCCAAGATGACTGATGACTGCGCAATGTCCAAAGCAACTAGAGAGACATTGGACGGCACGAGGCTGCATACTAACAGTGCTCGAAGTCTAGAATGAGAGAGCAGACGTTCATTAGAGGATCCTGAGGATTCTGGCCACGGCATCGCGAGCCGTGTTCAGCTCCGCGTCGGTGCCGTCTTGGTGAGCGAGTTTGACAGAGGCATGCAGGTCCAATAGATCTTTTGCACGCTTCAGATCGACGTCGCCATCATCTTTGCTTGCAGAGGGCCGCAGGGAGTCTCCGCTGACAGAGGATTCCGGTCTGGCAGACACAAGCGCGAGGGCGGCGTTGGGATCCTAAAGCATAGTGAGTCTCGGGTCATCGTTGGCAACATGATACGTACGCAGACTTGGAGAGACGTGAGGTCAGACAGGAACTCGGCTAGCTTCATGTTGGGTGGATGAGTAGGTAAGATCTGTTTGTCTACTACTAGGTTGCTGGAGCATCACTGGTGAGGCTCATCAGGGGTGGAAGATCTCACGAGATGGCGGGGGAGAGATTGAGTTTCGGGCGTAGCCGAGCGCGATTCAGCCGAGCACGCGAGCTTCGAAAGCTTGCGGGCAGCTGCTCCCATAACAACAACATTGGATTCACACGTTCCGCCTGGATTTGCTCGCCAGCCCATTCTTCAACCCCCACTGGCAGCAACAAGCCAACATGTCCGCCGCGCTCAAGACAGGCGCCGACGCGCGGGCCATGCGTACGACCAACTTCCCTCCCGAATTCAAGACAAAGGTTGACATGACCAAGATCAACCTGGATGTCATCAAGAAGTGGGTGTCCGACGAGGTCGCTCGCATCCTCAACAACGATGACGACGTTGTCGCCGAGATGATCACCAACATTCTCAAGGACTCGAAACATGCAAGTACTCTTCCTTTCCCCGACCGTGTGATGCATTTCTGACCTTAGCTACAGCCCGACATCAAGAAACTGCAGACTAACCTCGCCGGCTTTCTCGACAAGGATGCCCCTGCCTTTTGCCTAGCGCTGTGGAAGATGTGCTTGAGCGCCCAAGACGACCCCAGTGGCATCCCGAAAGAGCTGATTGAGGCAAAGAAGATGGAGCTCATGCAAGAGAGGGTACGCATAGTGTTTATTCGGTGGACTTGATACCTGGAAGGCTGATACGTGACACAGATAGCGGAAGACAAGGCGCGCGAGGAAGCCATCAAACGCCAGGCTGCAGATCGTGAGCGCGAGCAGGAGCTGGCACGCACTCGGGATCGCGAGCGAGGCCAGAGAAGCAGAGGAGGTAGAGGCGGCGGCCGTGGTCGTTTCCGTGACCGCTCACCCGACAGGCGTCCCTCTTCTCGAGACTCTCGATCACCACCGCGCCGTCGCGAAGGGCCACGAGCCACGGACAGCTACGTCCCTGGTGGCCGTAACCGTCGAGACGATCCTCCGCGTCGCCGCTCCCATTCCTACGGCCGCTCTCCATACCGTTCTCGCTCCCCACCAAGACCAAGACGTCGCAATTCATCTTCCAGCATCTCTCGGTCGCCACCGCGGCGGAAGAGCATCACAGATGCCAGCGAAGGCAATAGTGACCACGACGATGAGACGACCGGCCCATCAGAACGCAGGGACCAAAACAAATCCAGACGTCGTTCTCCCCACTCTTCTGGCCGCCGACGTGGCCGATATCCTTCGCGGTCACGCTCGCCACGTCGATACCGCCACGACAGCTCACGTTCCCCGCCGCCGAAGCGGAACAGACTCGGATCGGACGATCTGATGTCGCGGACTGATCGCACGAAAGATAATCGACGTCTCAGTCGCGATAGTTCCAGCTACGGCGGCGCAGGAGCTGAAGAAGAGGTGGGTAATGAACCATGACTGATATCCAGACAGACGACCTCCAAAAGTACAAACCAGTCTCCACCATTGCCCTTCGCTCTAGGGTAACGAAAGTGGATAAGCTCTTGTAATAAAGGGTATCAACGACTGTAATGAATCCGTAGTGGAATAACGCGGCAGTTCAATGAATATTTTCAAGTGAGGTTTCTTTGCTCTACATGTACTATCCCCGAAAATGGAAGTCTGACCACGCCATCTTGAGACTCTTGCAAGTAGTGCTGTTGCTGTCAGGCGGGGAGACATAAATACTACGACGGGCAACAAGCTCGCAGTGCAAGCCGCCTTTGGGAGCTTTTCTTGCCCGCCCCGCCGCCTTTGCTCGACCGCCCGATCACCTCATAACGCGATAGGCAGGTCGTATGCACGCCGCCATGATGAATTTGTAAGTCCGAGTCTTGCTTTTCCTTTCTTCTCCCATTCACCTCTTGTCTTCTGCCACAAGATGGAGAAGAGCCTACCGATCGCAGCGGAGTACGCTCCACCACCAAGAGCTCCACGACAGCATCATGGAGCTCGGCGGGCAGTCTTGTTTACTCTCTTGTCTGCTGCCGTCTGCCTGCTGTGGCTCTCCCAGCCATTGTCCAGCGTGATCCCAGACTTTGGCCTCTCCAACGATCGCGCTACCTCCAAAAAGCAATGCCAGCAAGTGCCTGCCCTTTGGCCCGCCGAAGACAACGACCGTATCAAGCAAGCCTTTGACTACCTCTTCACACCAGCCTTCGAGAATGCCTCCATTGCCCGCCTCTCCGGCGCTGTACAGATCCGCACCGAATCCTACGATGACTTGGGAGAAGTGGGAGAAGACCCTCGTTGGGACGCGTTCTATAGCTTTCACGAGTACCTGGAGGCTACATTCCCTCGGATTCACGACAAGTTGAAGGTGGACAAGGTCAATACGCATGGCTTGGTGTACACGTGGGAGGGTTCAGATGATAAGAAGAAGCCTGTGGTTTTGATGGCGCATCAGGACGTTGTGCCTGTAGACCCTGATACTGTCGACTCGTGGACATATCCTCCATACAGCGGGCATTTCGATGGGAAGAATGTTTGGGGAAGAGGTGCATCAGACTGCAAGAACTCGTTGATTGGCTTGTTGGAGACGGTGGAGCTGCTGCTTGATGCTGGTTGGGAGCCGAAGAGGACGATTGTTCTGTCGTTTGGATTTGACGAGGAGAGCTCTGGATACCAAGGCGCTGGACATTTGGCTCCGTTCTTGCTGGAGAGATACGGTAAGAATGGCGTTGCCGCGATCATTGACGAAGGTATGGGATACACCAAGTCCTTTGGACAAGGATACGCTGTGCCTGGCGTAGGTGAGAAGGGCTACACGGATATTTCTGTTGTGGTGAGGACGCCTGGAGGGCATTCATCCATTCCACCGGATCACACCAGCATTGGCATCCTCAGCGAGCTCATCTCCGCTATCGAGGCACACCAGTACCCAACCTACCTTGTGGACGAGAACCCATACCTTGGCTTCCTGCAATGCGGCGCCGAGTACGCACCACAGTTTCCCAAAAAGCTGAAGAAGCTTCTCGGACAGCGCGAAAGTTCCAACAAGAAAAAGCACTGTAAGCATGCAGACCAGTTGGCACAAGAGGCGGCAAAGATCAGCAGGGAGGCCAAGTACCTCATGCAGACTTCTCAAGCGGTTGATATCAGTACGTTCATTGGAATCTGCCGGAATCTACCACATGCTAACCTATGTTCTAGTCGGTGGCGGCACCAAGGTCAATGCCCTCCCAGAAAACGCTGCTGCTACCGTGAACCACCGCATCAACATTGGTGACGATCCAGATGTTGTTGCCAAACACATCAGCGCTGTGGCCAAGCCAATTGCTGAGAAGTACAACCTCACTCTCCACGCCTTCGACGGAGAGAAATCCGGCTACAACGCCATCTCACTTTCTCACAAGAAGAACACCCTCGATGTCGCTCCAGTCACGCCGACAGACATTGACCGTGTGACACCCTTCTCCATCGTCGCCGGTACCATCCGCGCTCTCTACGGTGAGGACACCCTGGTGGCACCGGCTTTGATGAGCGGCAACACGGATACTCGATACTACTGGGACTTGACGAGGAACATCTTCCGTTTTGGACCGGGATACGTCAATGAGGAGGAATACGGCATGGGCAATGTGCACACGGTGAATGAGAAGATCTCTGCCACAAACCACTTCAAGGTCGTCAGGTGGTTCACACTGTGGCTGAGGAACGTCGATGATGCGGATCTCGAGGCGGTGGAGTAGTGGGAATGATTGCGTGTCTAGATGGCGATTGTGCAGGTCGTCACACGATAAGGGCATCTATCATTGGCAAACAATGTATTCACGATATCTAGCATCACATGAAAAGTCGCCTGACCGGAGCACTGCTTTCCCGAGCAATTGAAACGCTTCTTTGGTACTTTTCCCAACCGTCAACCTCAGCTATCTTCACATATAAGCTCCCCGCGATCGGAGCTACCGTATCTAGCTCTACTGATATCTTCCCAAGAACCTGGATACTTCCTTCCTTCCTCACGCGGCACCCACGACTTCATCCACAACCTGCATCTTCCAACAGCGCTACCACACATGTCTCAACACAGGGAGATCTTTCCCATCTTCCACCTCGCCTGCGAACTTCGCGACTTGATCTACTTCCATCTACTCGAACCACGTCACACATGGTCCCTGCCCAATGGCTTCAAAGTCAACGCTACCCACCTCCCTCGACCAGAACTCCTCTTCCTCTCACATCAATTCAGCCAGGAATACCTCTCCATCGCCTCGAAGCTCACAACATTAACAATCCACGACCACTGCCTGGGCGGCTCGGGATACCAGCTCCCTTCCCTCCCTCGCGAAGTCCTGGGGATCGAGAGAGTCAAGTTCAACGTCGCCTGCACAGCTTGGCGAGATGCCGCGGGGGAGGTTGAGTTTCACGATGGTTGGATCAAGGGATTGTTGGGGCAGATGAGGGAGAAGAGTGGTGGCGGGAAAGTGGCGATTCGTATGCATTTTGGGAGTGGGATTTCGGCGGTGGAGTATGAGGCGGCGTTGACGTGGAGTGGGTGTTGGACGACGGAGATGGAGGGATTGGATGTAAGTCATTCTCCTTTACCGCTCGCAGTATCAAGGTTGATGTTTAACTAGGAACTGCTCATCTTCCGCGTCGGAGTTGGGTGTACAGCGTGGGCTTTTAATGCGCCCAAGACGTTGCTTATACGATGGTCGAAGGAGAAGAAGGCGTTCGAGAGGATGGTGGAGGATGTGGATGGTGAACAGGAACGAGGTAATGTACGTGCAGTGGAGGAGAGACTTCTCGCGTGGCAGACGGCGGTAGCTTATTTGTTTTCTTAGGTGTGGTTGAATACGCAGTTGAGGATGCAGTTATTGAGAGGGGCGGCGTTTGGTGGTTGACGACCGTTGATCGCCACGCCGCCGACCTTTGTGTTACATGATTGCAAAGCCCAAAGTGCCTGGATGCGGTGGGAGGACAGCGAAAACTTTCGCCAACCCACATCATATACCCATTGTCTGCCAGTGATCAACCAACTTCTGTCGGAGAGGTATTGCTGAAGTGGAGAGTCACGTTGATCGCAGGAGGGCAAGACCTTCCACTCTGCAAAGCCAAATGCTGCTAGGCAAAGAACTTGTAGAGTAGAGAACACTCAATCATAAACTTACACAACCTCCCAATTCCCACCAACACTCCTAAAGCCCCACAACCCTTCCCCTACTCCCAAACGCCAAAGCCAACCACCCCGCAATCAAGCACAGCCCACCCACAGGCGTGACCGGTCCCAAAGGCTTGAAAGTTTGTCCATCAAGCGTGAGGAGGTAAATCGATCCAGAGAACATGGTGATGCCCGCGGTGAAGAGACTCTTGGCCCAGACGTTCTTGGGCGCGGCTTGTTCGGCGACGAGGAGGGCGACGGAGTGGACGAGCTGAGAGGTTCAACGTCAGTCTTTGGGTAAATGATATGGGTGGAATTATGAAACTGACTTGGTAGTGAGCTGCCGTCTGCCAACTGGCGATCTTTTCGGGTGCGAGACCTCGACTCTTGAGGCCGTGGGCACCGAAGGCTCCGAAGGCGACGGATGAAGCGCCTAGCAGGGTGCCGGTGAGCCAGAAGGGTGATGCCATGTTTGGATAAGTTTGGCAAGTGTTGTTCGAACTGGAGGAAGATTTGAGGTTCGTCTTTGATGAAGTTGGTTGAAGAGAGGTGATTGTTAATGGAGTGAGGTCAGGCAATGGCTGTGGGGATGTCTCGGGATTTGTGAACATCCGATTGACGGAAGACTTCACGTCTCCTTCTTTCGTCAACAACACCAATATCAAAAGAACGATCACCAATTCGATCACAAGGTCTTTGGGAGTCGATCTCACCGTGATGCGCGTATCATGATTCTGACTCACGCTGTACATGCCTACCCGATATCCTCATTCAGGTAATAGCCTCGCCAGACCTCGAGCTCGACATCTGGACGATAAGAGGCAACAACAAGGCTCGCTCATATTGGCATACCTCAGCGAAAACTTTCGCTGATCCACCTTCTAGCAGAAGCTGATGCTATCTGCTGCCTACTTTCATGATCCGTCGAGGCTTCCTTGAATGTAGGCATGAAGCAGCCAGAATTCTTGCCGAGCCAGCCCTGTGTACAACCAGCAACATTGCTACTACTTAATACTTCAACCTTCTATGTTGGCCATGGAGCAGCCAGAATTCTCGCCGAGCCAGCCCCTGTGTGGGACGTTCAGCAATGTTCATTCCATAGTACTTCAACATTCGAAGCATGCAACTACATGGAGAGCTTGGTAGTATCCCCGCGAAATAAGGCACGTCCAGGGTAACGAAGCAAGACCTGCCATGCTGCTCCCGATGGGACTCTTGAGGATGCTCTTCTGAGTGACCCTTCACGAAACTGTCAACACCCAAGCAGGCAATCCTCATCGAGATCATTTTGAGCCTCGAGGCTCGATCAGCAGCGACATGCTCTCTCCGCGTGTCGAGAGGCGTCCGTGCTATCTATCCCTCCGATGCGACCGCTGTAAGACGTCGAGATTTGGGGATTGGTAGGAGTAGACTCCTCCTCGTTCTTTCAACAGTTCAAAAGACATCAGGTCAGCGTATTGATGATCATTGGGGGAAAGACCTCGAGTCCCAATGGCACCATCCCTGAACCGATACATGCGTCCAAGGCAATATGGATGTCAACGTTGCACTTCACGGAGAGACTTCCACGGAGAAAGACGAGAGCATGGATCAAGAATGAGGTCACCGCTTCATTGAAGCTGGAGCATCGTTGACTTTGATTTACTGTTTTGATTCAGGCAGGCTACATGTTTTTGGTAGTGGTGGCTAGCTAATGTTAAAGCACGCTTTCATGGCAATGTGCCAGAGGGAGTATCTCAAATGAACCAGCCTCACTGCTCTCGGAGTCGTCGTGTGATGTGGATAGTGATGAAGACCGCAGTAGTCATGGATGTCTCTCTCTCCATCTAGAACTCCCATTCTTCGTCGACTGACTTGATAGCCCAGTCAAACTTCTCACGGAGAGTCTTGGAGAAGAACCGCTCGATCGGCACGTTGAACTTCTTGGAGAAGACGACGGTCAGGCGAGGATCGATGTAGTTAATCTTGGAAGTACCGAGGGCGACTTCCTTGTTGTTCTCGCGGTCTTCGCTCTGGGTCTTCATCGTGGCGATGCGGGTGTCGAGCTTGTCGAGGTCCTTCTCGTACTTGTCAACAGAAGCACCCTTGCCCTCTGGCTCGACCTTGCCCTTCTTGAACTCCTGCTTGAGCTTCTTCTCGAGCGCATCGGCGACCTCCATGCGCTCTTCGAGCTCCTTCGCCTTCATTGGCTTCTCGCCGTCTGCCTCGAGCTTCTCGTTTTCCTTGTCGAACTTCTTCTGAATCTTCGTGCGTTGCTCCTCGACCAAGGCATCGTGATGCCTCTGCTGCCACTCCTTATCGATTCCCTTGGGGAGATCGAAGAATCCTTCAGGCTTCTTCTTCTTGAGCTTCGGCTCGAGCGCGAGCATCATCTGCTTCACGCGGTACTGCTGGTATCGCAGACCGTTGATCTTCTCCTCCATCTTCTCCATCGTCTGAGCGTGCGTGGCAGCGACTGTGCGCTTGTGGTTACACAGGATGGCCACCTTGCGGTTGGCGTCGTTGTACGACTTGACCTTGTCAGCAATGCTGAGTGTGTGATCGTCAAACATCCCCTTGAGGAGTTGTGACATGGTGTAGGAGGCGTTGTAGGTACGGAACACCTTGGCAGTGAGTCCTGGCATGTAGTTCGACAAATGCTTGTTGAGGCCAGAGGTGGTCAGACGATCGAAGATCTCGTCTCCCTCCCGCTTTGGGGACCGCTTGAAGATCTTGAGATTCTTGAAGACCTGTGGGTCGACTTCGACTTCATCGCAGAAGCGGATGGAGTCCTTGCCGAGGAAGTCGAACAAGACTTTGTTTGGTGGGCTGAGGGTGACGTTCTCGAACTTGAGCGAGCAGCAACCGACCGTGTCGGCCTCGTCGTCTCCTTTCTCGTTGCCAGCACGAAGGGCGAAGCGATCGATGAGGTAGACAGCCGTGGCTCGTTGACGCTCGGCCATGACTTCGGACTTGAGCTCCTTCTCGTAGTCCTTTCGGATCCGGTCGATGTGCTTCTTGAGCTCACGGGCTTTCTCAAACTTCTTGTAGTCGCTCTGGCCCTTGATGTCGGAATTGGCTGCCAGCATGACGTACTTGTAGGCGCTGTTGATGTTCTCCTGCCACATAGCCAGCCAAGTACCCTCCTGGTCGTGCTTAACTTCCTTCCACTTGTGGCCCTCCGGCGGCTTCGGGACCATGGCCTCCTTGCCGATGTTGATGGTGACCTGCTCAGGCATCACTCTCTTCTTCCACTTTCCCGTCTTCGGATGCTCGCCACGACCGCGGAAAAGACCTGGAGGTTCAACACGGAAGTTTCCAACCTTCTGCTTGCGGCCATCCCACATGCAGAACATGTACGGAGCTTCTTTCTCGTCCTTCTCGGCCTTCAAATTCTTCTTCTCGGCAGCTGGGAGTGCCTTCTTTGCCTGACGCTCTGCATCCACGTAGTTGAAGATGGGCTTGAAGTCGCATTTGTCGAACTTTGCGATCTTGACACGATTGCCGTCGTTGTCCTTAGCATGACCGGTCTTGTCAAGCATCTCCTTGAAATCGGCAAAGAAGTTCTTCTGGAATGTTGGATTCTCGACGTTGTGTGCTGAGTTGAGCATGGCGCCAAATGCGTGGGCGATTTCCTCGGCTTCGGGGTGCATTGAAACTGGCGTTCCATCGTAGAGCAGCTTGACGTGCTTGGGGAGAGGCTCATACTCGGGAGGAAAGACCACGCCGTTGTGTTCGAGTGTGGTCCACTTGATGGTGCCGTCACCCTTGCTTGGATCTTCCCACCAGCGGTCTATGTCACTCATTAGTACATGCCTCATCTCTCATCATCAGCGCAACTTACACTCTTCCTCGCCGTCTTCGCCCTCATCTTCAGGCGACTCCTCCTTCACCTTCGCCTTGCCCTTCTTCGCTGGAGCCTCTTCCTTGACTGCCGTCTTCTTTCCGGTAGCCTTCTTCTTCACGATAGGGTGGTCATCTGAATCAGACTCCTCTTTCTTCACTTTCTTCACACCATTCGCCTGCTTCTTTGGTGCGGCCTTGCGCTTCACAAGTGGCTTATCGTCTTCGTCATCTGACTCGACCTTCTTCGCCTTCTTCTTCGCATCTGCCGCCTCACCCTTTCGGATAGCTTTGGCCTCTTTCTCGGCGCGTTTCTCGATGATCGCCTTCTCCTTCTGAAGCTTCTTCGCAATGGGCTCGTCGCCTGACTCTTCGCCGATCTGTGCAGCCGAGGCTTGAGGCGGCTTCTGAGTCTTCTTGCGAAGTGGCTCGTCGTCGGAATCGTCGGCAGCGATGGTCTTTCGCTTCTTCAGAGGCTGGTCATCCTCATCTGAATCGCTCTCGTCCTTGTAGCTGGCACCGTTGGCGAGTGAGGCTTTCCGCTTGCCCGTGGTGGTGCCATTGGTGGTTGGCTTGTCGACGTCCATCTTATCCCCGACCGGGCCATTGGACAGACTGATGCCAGGCATGACTGAGCCGTTGGTGGTGCCGTTTTGTTTGTCCATGGCTTTGTCGTCGGATTTGGAGATGATTGCTTTTGACTTGGCTGAAGAAGTGTCAGTGATGAGAGCACGTGAGGTGTTGTTGAAAGAGGAAAGGAAGCTGGAAGAAAGCAAGTCTTGAGTAACTCGGCGAGCACGTGAAGACGCGGAGAGTGAGGGAATGTGAGTTGAAGATCAGGTGAGAGGCAAGGAGGCGCAAATTTGACCAAGTCAGCGGCGGGCGGGGATTCGACTTAGCCAAAATCGGCGGCCTCGAGCTGCGAAGGGGATGCGCCAATGATGATAGACATACCCACGAGCGGCTTGTCGTCCTCAGAATCGGACATGATGATGGTTATTGGCCACGGCTTGCGTGGGAGTGATGGGAAGGGTGCAGCGAGGTGCGGTCGCGTGTGGTGTGGTGTCGGGGACTCGACGCGTGCCTTGGACGAGCTGGAAATGGAGCGGCGGGCGTGGAGATGGAGCTGAGAGTTGATGGAAGCTGCGAGCCTTTGACGGAGGCGGGTGAGTGGGAGAATGGTGGGTGGGCGGAGCTGTAGAGACCGTCGTCGGATGCGGAATGGCGGAGGAGGTGTTGAAAGAGAGGAGGAGAAGAGAAAGAAGGCGGCCGAAGGAAGAACAATTGCAGTCCCTCTCCAATTGTCTTTCAGGAGCCTATTGACCGTCGCCGCCACCAACATCCCCAAAAGTCACGGTACGCCTGCGCCAGCGTCATGTTTGCCCGCGCCGTCTCGTGCCTGTGACGTGGCAATAAGCGACAATAGTGTTTCAACTGGTATCGTAAGTGAATGTTGAAGGAGGCAGGAGCAGTATCCTCCTCCCATCCGCATCGTCGCTTGGGTGCAAACGCGCGACATGCTCGTCGTCATCTGCGGCCAGCCATGGCCAGAAGTCCTGACATGGGCGTTTGCTTTTGGCCAGCAGGATCAATGCCGACCACGACCTCACCCGAAAGCTTGACGCTGCCGCCCTCGACGACACCCTTCCACCACCACCCACCCCTCGACATCGCGCCCCATCGAGCAGGATGCTGTCCCGAGCTGCTCGTCCCGCCTTCAGGGCTGCCGCCCAGCAATCTCTGCGGTTCGTCAACCCCTCCCTGCGCGTCCGGCGCCCTCCCGGAGCACAGTGCAGAAGAAACCCCCCGTGTACTAACATTGCCATTGCGCTCCCAGGCCCGCCGCTGTCACCGCCCCTGCTGTCCAGAATGCCAACTTCGCCACCCTCCGTGAGATCGAAGGTCGTCTCAAGTCCATCAAGAACATCGAGAAGATCACCAAGACCATGAAAATCGTTGCTTCGACCAAGCTCACCAAGGCCCAGCGCGCGATGGAGGAATCGCGAGCATACGGCACCACCAACAACCAGGTCTTTGAGGAGGCGGAAACCAAGGCTGTGGAGGGTGAGAACAAGAAGACGCTGTTGATCGTCTGCAGTTCGGACAAGGGCCTCTGTGGTGGTATCCACTCAGGTCTCACCCGTGCTGTCCGCCGCACCATCGCTGAGAAGCCTGCCGACTACGACTTTGTTGTCTTGGGCGAGAAGTGCAAGGCCCAGCTGAGCAGAAGCAATGCCAAGGAGATGGTTCTGTCTTTCGCTGGTGTAGGCAAGGACGTCCCAACCTTCGCCGATGCCCAGGCCATTGCCGACCAGATCACCCTCCTCCCCGCCGACTACGGCAGCATCAAGATCATGTACAACAAGTTCCTCAACGCCCAGAGCTACGAGCCAACCACCATCGAGGCCTACTCTGAGGATGCCATCAAAGAGTCACGTGAGTACAGGCATTGCCATGAGGATGTGGAAGACAATTCGCTAACTTCATCAAATAGCAAACTTCGCTGCTTTCGAGATCGATGACGAGGTCCTCTCCAACATGCGCGAATTCGCTCTGGCCAACTCTATCTACTGGGCGCTCGCCGAAGGCCACGCCTGCGAAATCTCCGCCCGCCGCAACGCCATGGACAACGCTTCCAAGAACGCCGGCGACATGATCGACAAGTTCCAGATTCTCTACAACCGAACTCGACAGGCTGTCATCACTGGAGAGCTGGTCGAGATTATCACTGGTGCCGCCGCGTCCGAGGCTTAGATGGAGATTTGATCCTGGAAAAGGATTTGTACTTTGTACATATAGCGCAGGCAGAAGAGCCCAAATAAGAGTTTCCTTTGTGCAGTGACATGTTCGGAAATCTTCGTTTTGGATGTATTTGACGGGAACGTCTCCAACCCCGAAACCCCTTGACTTGCCATCGACGCCATCCTGGCCCTTGTTACAGCAAGCGTGTACAGCAACCTAACGAATCGTTAAACCTGCGCCGAGCCTTTTGGTGTAGCTGTTGGTCAGATGCTGACAGATACATCAAGCGAAGAGTCGACAGCGATCAAAAAGTTTTCGAAAGCGAATGATCTAGAATCGAGCTCATCACCATGTCCACGTTCAGCTTCAGCTTCAGTTTGTGTCAGGATAGACATTGGTGACATCAAACGTACGTACTGTGTGCAGAAAAGGGCCTGCTCCTATGGGATTGGAGGTTTCTCGGGTGCTCAATAGATCGACTGCCTGTCCCCATGATTTCTTCCCCGGCCATGGTCATCGGAATAGAATCAGCATGTCTGTGGCGCGTGGAGCGGTTGGGGATCGTGGGCACTTCTCGCGCTGAAGGCGCATGAAGGGCGGAGGTGAGGTCCTCTTAGTCGGAGGGCAAATGTGGTGTATCCCCGAGATTTTGGCTGCGACCACGCCGTTGACAGTGTATTCGGCCTGCTTGAGAGGCAGGGAGATCTGGGGATAGCTGGATGTGATGGAACTTCACCTGGAGCTGATTTCGATGTGATGATGGGGAATTGCGCGGCGGGCCCCTGAGATTGCTGGAAGGTGAGGTAATTGCTGTTGTGTGCTGGTAGTATTACATGATCTTTGTAGGTGAGCTAGAAGTACATTGTGCCCATGGCAACCAATACAAGTACACCCTCGCTATGTGAAAAAAAATGCCCGCTCGCTAAAATGAAGATCCCAATGTGAAGTTATGATACAAATCTCATCATCCCCGATTATCTTCCCCCGTCTATGTTACAGTAGTTGTATCAGGTAGCATGATCGGTCGTCAATCTCCGGGGATATCTCAGACTTTCAGTTTGCGAAGGGCCTTCACCAGGCTCTCCACGAAGGGCTTGCGCTCTGTACACTCACGTTAGCTTTGCGGTCAGGTACAGGCGCTCTGGAGAGGGGACTATTACCTTTCAGCCTGATTTCGCCCAAATCAGCCTTCTCCAGGGGCGTTCGCGTCGCCATCGACTCAAGCATCATCTCCCAGTCCATGTCCTCGGGTGAGTGATACGTCTTCAAGTACTCGAACACGCGGTCTCCGGTGATTTTGGGTTGCTTGCACCGGAATGAGAGGCTGTAGGGCGCGAAGACGTTGTCGATGATGAGGTTGGATGAATGGTCGAACAACTGTACGTGGAATTTGCCGGTGAGCGGGTCGAGATCGATGTTCGTCTTCTTGCTGTCAAGGAGTTGGAGTGATCGGTTCTCGCAGAGGTTCCTCATCAACACAAAGTACTCGCCGCGGCGAGGCGAGCGCAGCGTTATCAGCACGCCCTGTCTGAGGCTCTTTGGAAAGAGCTCGAAGCCTTGTGTGGAGGGAGCAGTTGGTGTATTTGGTCGACTGTCGATGACGTGTGCGGCATGCCACAGGAAAAGACGCTGGCGAATGCGAGGGGATTCGCAGGCAACGTAGAGCCAGGTCTTGGATATGTGCATGGCGATGATCAGGTCGGAGATCGGAAGGTTCAGGAGAATCTGACAGAACACACGTCAGCTACTGCAGTACATCGAAGAGTTCCGGTAGACTTACAGCCTCGAGAATGAAGTTGGGCTTGTTGAAGATCCTTCGCCATGATTGGTATTTGGTGCCGTAATGATGTCGTCGAGCCAGTGCTGGTCGGTGAGCTTGCATGCTTTGGTAGTGAGAAGTCGTGGAGCTGTGACTTGGAGTGGTGACTGGGGTCGTGTCCATGACTGGCTGCTTGCTCGAGCTGCAAGGCGGTGAAGGTGGCATCTCGATCAGCTTTGCTTGGTGTGTGCTGATATGCCGTGTGCTCAAGTATAGAGTGTTCAAGTCTAGGTGTAGTGGTAGTAAGAGGAGTCGCTCAGCAGACCGACTGCCTTGTGCAACAGGAAGATATAGGGATGGCGATATCTCATCGTCCAATGGAGTGCTCTATATAGCCCACACGTTTGATAAGCACGTGGCAGTCGGGTGTAAGTGAGGCAGGAACAGGAGCGGTGTATCACTTTCTTATAAGTCGTTCTTTCCACGTGCAAAAGTTTGTGCGGACTTGGCTCGTGCCTTCTGTCGCGTGCGTGAAGACATTGAGAACCATGGAAATAGTAGAGAATCGAACATCTCAAGAGCCAACCAGAAGTGAATGATTTGAAGTAGAAATACCTATGATGGTCCATTTCGAAGCCGGGTTCAAAGGGAAGTCTTTGAAATGCGCATACTAAAGAGAAACGGGGATGTTTCTTGAGGGAGCTAGATTCAGTCAATGAAAACGGATGGTTGCAGTCTCTCCTCGATGATTCTTGGTGACTTCACGAGGGGAGGAAGACATGGCAATAGGGAGGCGAAGTGGGAAAGGCGAGAGCCAAGCTTTGTTGTCTTGGCATTCACCCACCGGCCCGGCGGGTTTTACCCAGCCCTCGACACACATTTGGCGGGAGCTGCCGAGCATCCTTCTTCCAAAACCCACGCACCCCTGGTAGGCTCGAATCACCATCACCCATCTCATCTCAGGCGTCCCGACGCATGCATGTCAATCAGGCAGGAGCCGTGCGGACGACCAGATATGCAGCGCCAGCGACGAGGATGCCGATCCACCTCGCACGATGCCAGCTTTGTCGTCCTTCGCGCTCTCGCATCTCAGCTGTGCTTACGTGGAGGCCGCCTTGTCTGTCTTATAAGTCAAGATGATTGCCGCTACAATTGCATTGCCAGGACCCAAACGGCCTGTGGAAGTATCAAAGTTCGAAGAGTAGAGGGCCAATATGTCTGGACAGTCTGAACGGGTGATCTTTTACGATCTGCCTTCAAAGGGTGAACCCCACTGCTTCAGCCCAAATGCGTGGAAGAGTATGGCCGGCGAACATAGACACGCTTTACCCGGCACTGATATCGCTTAGCTCGAGCTGCCCTCAACTTCAAGGGCTTGAATTACTCAACGGACTGGACCGACTTCTGCGACCTGCACGAGAAGCTCATTTCGTTTGGTCTCGCCCCAAACGACCCCGACGAGTGCATCTTCCGGTACTCGAGCCCCACGATTCAACTTCCAGATGGCTCGTATGTCATGGAATCTCGTCACATAGCCGATGCTCTGGAGAAACTGCAGCCCGAGCCTTCTCTTCGCCTGGACACTGGCTATCCGGAGCGTGCTCAGGGAATAGTTGACCTGCTGCTTCGTACAGTGGTGGTTCCGTTCATGTATCGAATCCCGGACTGGTTGTTACGGCCAGAAGGCGCCAAGTGGTACCATCAAGAGCGTCAGAAGCTCTTCGGCGGTATGACTCTCTACGACTTTGCCGAGCACGAGGAATTCTCTGGCGAGAGAGCATGGCAGAAGGCGGAACCAGCCATGAACGACCTCAGAAACCTTCTTGCTGAGAATCAAACGGGACCATTCGTGATGGGAAGTCAAGTCAGCTATGCGGACTTCATCATCGTAAGCTACTTCAAATTCCTGACCAAGATCGATAAAGATGGAGATGCTTACGGAAGGATGGTGGGCTTTGATCCAAGTTTTGAAGCGCTCTTCAAGGCTTGCGAAAAGTGGTACGCGAGAGACGAACATTAGTGGTAAGAATATATCTGGTGAGCACGCCATTCAGGAATCATTCGCCTCGTATTGACGTGATAAATAGTAACAGGCCCAACGCATTCTCAATCTCGGGTCTTCATAGGGGCATGCAAGGTGCAGTCTGTGAAATCTGCATACGTGAGTGAAATAATACGAGCATAGCATCGGCACAACAGTGTCGGGTGTCCTCTTTGGTGCGTCACTTTGAGCCGACACCACACACCCCTCCACTGTGCCACATGCTTTGCTTGGTTCGTTGTTGGAAATTCTCCGTACCTGCCTCTTCTGTAGCAGAAAGACCGCTACCGTTACATTCTCCCCAAGCACAGAATCCGCTAACCCAGATAACGCCACTTTTGTCAAATCAGCTGCCAGTGGTGAGGACTAACTTTTCGTGGCCTCGGATTCCCACATGGCCGCTCGTATAAACATGTTCGATATTTGAACCGTGGTGGCGCCAGACAAGCATTGAGACAAGCTTGACAAGCTCGACTTTGACATGGCCGACACTGCACCATCATCCGACCCAGCGCGGCTGCGATCGCGCGCAACCCTTGCCAGCGAGAATGAAAAGCCAGCTTCGTCGATCACTCCAGAGGTCCACACCACAGGTGTCGAGGTGTACCCAGAAACGTCGAGCGATGTACCGAAAGACAAGCTGGTCAACGAAGAAGTCGTCGAGACTGATGCCGACCTTGAAAACCCGCAAGATCCGCAGTTGAAGGGCATTCCTCCGCAGGTCTTGAGAGTCGTCAGCCTGCACGATGATCCCACCGAGCTTTGCCTGACGTTCCGGTATTGGGTCCTTGCTACCATCTTTGTCGCTCCTGGTGCCTTTCTTTCTCAGATGAACAGCTTTCGCACCACCTACGCACCCTACTCGGTCTTTTTCGTTCAGATTGCCAGCAACTATGTCGGAATATGGCTGGCCAAAGTTTTGCCCAAGAAGCCCATTACCGTTCCAGGAACCAGGTGGAAGTTTAGTATGAACCCGGGTCCATGGACTACGAAAGAGCATGTACTAGTCACCATCACGACGACTTCTGGGGCCATCGGTAACTTGGGAGTAACGCCGCTTGCGCTGGCAGAGCTGTACTACAACAAGCGGGTAAATGCGGGCGCTGCAATCTTCTTTATGCTTGCAATTGTCTGGACGGGATACAGTTTTGCGGCCATTGGACGGCAGATCTTGATGTACGAACCTGCGTATCCGTGGTTTCAATCGTGAGTATCCCGACCCCCTGGGGCTTTGGTGTGTCGCTAATACAGTCCAGACTCTGCCAGAGTGCGCTCTTCGAAACACAGAAGAAGCAGCGTCAGGCACCTACTAAGACTGCACGCAAGCAGATGTGGGTGTTTTGGGGCGTCCTTTTCGGAGTGACGCTTTGGCAGTTCTTGCCTGAATTCGTCATGCCATTCTTTGGCTCTTTGGCGTTCCTCTGCTGGGTCGCGCCTCACAACAAGGCCGCCAACTTCATTGGATCCGGGCTTGGTGGAATGGGCTTCCTCAATCTTACCTTTGACTGGGCCAACATCTCCAACTACAACGCCGGAGTCAATCTATTCCTCAGTCCTTGGTGGACACAGGTCGTGCTCTTCATGTCATACGTACTGTGCTGCTGGGTGCTGATGCCGGCCGCTCAATTTGGCAAGCTTGGATCTTACCACTATGGATTGCAGACGAACAGACCGCTGAGAGAGAACGGTACTCTTTACCCCGTGGCAGACCTTGTCACGCCGGACAATACCCTCAATCAAACCGCATACGACTTGAACGGGCCGATCTACCAGGGAACGCAGCAACTGTGGTCAATGTTCTTCGACTACGCTTCGTATACGTCGGCTTATGCGTGGATCGCATGCTTCGGCTACAAGCAGATTCGTTCTGCATTCACCAAGTTTAGGGCAAGGCAGAAGAACCCGGGCGAGGGCATCAACCATCAGTACGCCGACCGCTTGAACATCTTGATGAGAAGCTACAAGGAGGTTCCGCTGTGGTGGTATACTGTCTTGTTTCTTTGCTCCTTCGTTGCGCTCATCACGTGCATAGCCACTGGCAACCTCTTCATTCCAGTCTGGACTTACTTCGTTGCGGTGGCTACCGGTGCGCTCACCATCATTCCCATGGGATGGCTGTTTGCCGTGTCGAACTATCAGCTGCCTATTGGGACTTTCAACGAACTTCTATACGGGACGATGTTGCAGGCAGTGTCCGGGAATCGCAACCCAGCCGGTGCATCCATTTACAGTTCTATCGCCGGCGATGCCTGGTATAGAGCACAGTACATGATGCAGGACCAGAAGATTGGCCACTATATGCATGTTCCTCCTCGGGCGGTGTTTGTGAGCCAGATCTTTGGCACAATCATTGGAGTGCCAATCAACTACGGAACCATGAGATGGATCTTGGACTCGAAGCGCGAGTACCTGAATGGTACTTTGACTGACCCAGCCCATATCTGGACGGGCCAGACTGTCGCGTCGGCCTTGAGTACTGGTGTCCAGTACGTTCTCGTCGGACCATCTCGACTGTTCAGAGAGAAAATCTTCGCACCTCTCCCATACGCTTTCCTCGTCGGCGCTGGTGTTCCTGTGGTTATCTACACCCTCCATCGCCTCTTTCCGCGCGCCAAATTCAATCTCTGGAACTCGACGATCTTCTTCTCGGGTGCCTCGACCTTCTACGGCAACATCTCCACAGGCTACTTCTCCCGTTTCCTCGGCGGGTTCGTTGTCATGTTCTGGGCCTACAGGTATCGATATGAGCTATGGAGTCGGTACAACTACATCTTGGCCGCCGCCTTTGATGCTGGATTCAACCTGAACATGCTTCTGATCTTCTTGTGCTTTGGGGCGGCGAAGGTCATCACAATGCCGAACTGGTGGGGGAATAATGCTGATAGCGTGGAGAGGTGTTTTGCGCTGCCGGACGATGGACCCGTCTCGAGTGGTGACAGCTGAGGTGGCAATATGGTCGCCATATGAGTACTGCATAGCTTTAATGGGACGTTGTTGCGAATAGTATGGTGACATGGCTCGGGATGTGGGCGGCCTTGCCAAGGCTGGCTACTTTTCCATCGCGTGAATCCTCCGTCTCAGCTTCCACCTCCAAGACGAAGCATGCTGTGTACCACTTGCACGTCGATCTTTGAGGATGGATCGTTCCATGCGTGGACTGGGAGCGTGCAGCTCGTCTACTTGCACGATGAATGGAGGGTGCTGACGACAGCTTGGAAGGCCCACCACGAGTCTCTCGCTGCACTTCGCCAAGCCGCGTCTGATGGTTGCTACGTCTGCTCTCGAGTATCCAACCAGACCAAGGATGCCGACGGTCCTACATCCTACCAGATCAATGTGAGAACTGGCCTTCCTCTCCACCCGCACGACTTGGACGATGGCCTGGTCTCTGTCAAAGGCGCATTCGGGCTGAGCGTTCGAATTGCGCCATCCAGTGCTGAAGGTCGTAGTGGCTTTACCGTGATCGACTTCGATCTTGATGAATTTGAGAACGATCACTATGCTTTGGACCTCAGCCTGCGGTCTTTGGACTGCCGTTCAACCGGGAATTCCACTTGCCTTGAACTTGGACAGCATTGGCTTCGTCAGTGCCTCAACGCTCACCAGCTTTGTAGTCAAAGCCGCGATCCAACCTGGTACCCCTCGCGACTTTTGCGTGTCGACCCCGATGGAGGTATTGTTCGACTCATAGAGACCGCATCTAATCGACCGAATGCGCCTTATGCTACTCTCAGCCACTGCTGGGGTGTACATCCCATCGACGTCCTCACTCCTGACAACATTGCAGATATGCGGAATTTCGGCAGACGGGTCGAAGACTTTCCAGCGTCATTTCGGGACTTCATCCAAACCATCTTGTTCTTTGGTCTGTCGTATGTCTGGATCGACAGCTTTTGTATCCTCCAAGGAAGCTCGCCTGCGAGTGTGCAAGACTGGGAACGGGAGTCTCTGCTGATGGAACAAGTTTATGCGAACAGCCTGTTGAATGTGGCTTCCAGCTCCTCCCAAGATTCGCGTGGTGGGTGTTTTCAAGAACGAACGCCATTTACTGGACTATCTCATCGGCTCGACTGGATCCCTTTGACTGACAAAAGTCAACAGTCAAGCCTTTCTGGACCCAAATCCAACCTTGAGATGATGGAGTGGGTGTTTGACTCACGATCGGGCATGGAAAAGCCACTGCCGCTACAGGCAGCGTTGTCGACGTTGCACGACAGGCGCACATTCGCTCTCTCGGAGTATGGTAGCAGCTCCAGCGTTCTCGATCGATTCGGTAGCCACCACCTCTTCACACGAGCGTGGGTCGCCCAGGAACAGCTACTTCCAAGTCGAATGCTCCATTTTGGCCGGGAGCAGCTCTGGTGGCAATGCCATGAGGCAGCATTACTCTCAGAAACATTCCCATGCCAACGACCGGCACGACGCATAGCAGATGGGAGAAATCCCGCAACCGCGCTTCGGCCTGGTGTACTCGACGCCCCCGAAACTGACCCATATCGGCTGTGGTCGCGTGTTGTAAGTGCCTATACCCGCAGAGCTTTGACCAAACCGAATCAAGACAAATTGCGAGCCATCCAGGGAATAGCAGATCGCATTATGAAGCATGGAGCCGACGAATACATTCATGGCATCTTCTCGAGACACCTACCCAGAGCGCTTTGCTGGGCTCGAATGGAAGGAGGTGCCCACCGTGCGGACCCTCCACGAGCACCTAGCTGGAGCTGGGCTTCGATCGATGGCCAAGTTTCGTTGATGTTGGGCTATGACCCCAAAGTCTCTACCCAATTGGACCCTTTACCTCAAGCCCTTCTTGCGACAGTCTTGGTGGGTGCATCAGCAGAATTGAATGGCGAGTGGGAATACCTGGTCTGCATTGGCAAATTGCTTCCGATGGCACGAGCGGATGGACAAAATCTTGGGTCCGACTCAAGACTGTGCACATTCAAGGTTGGCAATGCTTTGATCAAGTTCGAGCTTGACAATGCGCCCAAGGCTGGGTCGGATCTCGAGCGTGATCTGTACTTTTTACCAATCTACGAGAGAGGCAGCCCTTCTGAGCCGGTTGGTATTGCTTTGGCTTGCAAAGACGATGGCTCCTTCTCGCGCATTGGTGTCACCAAAAGGTATAAGCCTTCTGCTGAGCCGGATGCCTTGATGGAGGCGTGTCGAAAGGCCAAGACAAAGTTGTTCCTTTTCGGTTGATGTCTGGTCTTTGTAGCCGGCGTCGAATTGGAGCCGATTTACATGGGGGCGGGGATATCTCTTATGAGAAAAAAGGGAGTGATATACAAGATACATACCGCACTCGCGATATGCGGCTAGAGTGCCAATACTTGGATGTTCCATGTTTCACGCGAGTTGATCCGCTGCATGCCGGACACGGGATCAAGCTCCCTCCGAGATTGTATTGTGGTTCGACTTGTGCAGTCACCGCACTGCACAAACCACCATACAGCGCAGAGAAACAGGGAAGGTGGTGGTACAGGAGTGGCATTGTGTCACCCACTCCCGCACGTGGTGCGCTGTCGACCCGGAACCAATCTCGCCAAGTCCAACCTGTACCACCCCCCACGAGCTTTGATGTCTCGACAATGGGAGCTCGGCGCGGCGGATAATAGTCAACGACCGCCACCATCTGCCGCCACGAACAGGATATCTGGTCTAACCAGCCATGCGGCTGCTGAAAACTGGACCATTCGTCTCGGGACAACCTTCTACGCTGGAGCTTCACGAGTTTCGCGGTCAAAAGGAACGCTACGCAATCTTGTCGCATACCTGGAGTGCTACAGCTCACGACGAAATCCTGTTCACCGACTTACTCGCTCATTGTGATCCTCAGGTTAGAAAGTATGAAGCACGCATCGCTGTCAATCTCAACGTCGAGCAGTCAATCACGGAGAAGCCTGGCTGGGCGAAGCTTGCATTTGCACTCGAGCAAGCTGATGAGGATGGCAAGGAATGGCTTTGGGTCGACACCGTTTGTATAGACCGCAGCAGCAGCGCGGAGTTGAATGAAGCCATCAACTCGGCATACGAATGGTGTCAGGAGTCCGCCATCTGCTATGCCTTTCTGGAGGACGTTCCTCTTGAGGAGTGGCACGAGATGAAGTATGGCAAGTCCAGGACTCTAACAAGTCGCTGGTTCAATCGTGGCTGGACGCTCACTGAACTTCTCGCGCCCGGCCACGTCGTATTTTACTCTATGGAATGGATCCGACTTGGGGACAAGCACGAGCTATCTGGATTGCTATCCACCGCTACCGCTATTGATGTTCCCATCATCGAAGACAACAACCTGGTGGAAGTGCAATCGGTCGCCAAGCGTATGTCCTGGGCTGCGAAGCGAGAGACGGCATTGCCAGAAGACCGTGCCTACTCAATCATGGGTTTGATGGGCGTCAATATGTCGGTATTGTATGGAGAAGGCGAAAAGAAAGCGTTCCTCCGACTGCAACAAGAGATTATCAAATGCTATGACGATCCGTCAATCTTTGCGTGGAGTGACGCAGAGGTCGGCGACGGTCCTCACGGATTACTTGCTGACAGCCCAAGAGCGTTTGCGGCATCGTCCCAGTATTTCAAAGATCCGTACGAGGAACAGCAGCCTTTTGACATGACCAATCGAGGACTTGGGATTTCATTGCATCTTATGCCTGATGGTCGAGGCGACCACTTTGTTGCAGCTCTGCAATGTCCGGATCCAAAGGCCAACAGCCAATTTCTGGCCATCTACCTTCGAAAGCTTCCAACTGGCGACCGTCAGTATGTACGCATACGATGTGATGAGCTCGGGTCTGTGGAGTTCAGGGGCAAACTTGAACAGATTTTTGTCCGCCAATCGATCCCTCCACTGGGGGTCTATCCATCGGCAATCTCGCTACACCAGAATGGCGTTTTACATCCACCCCGGCAGAAGGAGGCGTCTTACTCGATGCGAGTGTTCCATATCAATAGATTCAGAGCATGGGGAGGATTCGAAGTGCTGGATGTCCAGTTTCAGCCGCCCAAGTTTTCAAACAAAGACGCCAAAGGTGTTCTCAAAGAACTCAAGCATCCTGCGAACGTGCCCGAACAGTTGCCAGTCACTTTCAGGATGACAAAAGAAGGACCCCGACTATCAGCAGCGATTCTGGTCGGGACAGAAGACGTAAATTCCCCTCGAGTGGCCATCCTGCTTGGAACTGGTTCGGACCGTGAGCCTGGGTTCGACATCGTTGAGTGTCAAAGCCTCGAAGCTCTCAAGTCATGCTCCAAAGCCTTTGATACGATCGACTTCGGAAGCATGGCCTTTGGTAAACACTATCGTGTGATGGCCAGAGCGGAGACTTTGGTGAAAGCAGACGTCAAGGTGTTTCTTGTTGAGATTGGGGTGGGCGGTTTGGAGAAGGCTGTGAAGCATGAGTCTCCGACTTCTTTGCAGAGAACAGACAGCTCGAGGACGAACGGGAGTCGGATGAGTTGGATCGTGCAGAAGGTTGTGCGGAGGCACAGCAGGGTGTCCTCGTTGGATGCTGGTGTGAACGGTGAACGTGGCAGTACGAGTTCACGATCTGCGGATGGGGCAGCTGGTTGATTGTGCTTATGATATTTGAGCCGGACTAATTCTATTACAGACGTTCTTGCAATCCATGAGATGGCCTTTTGATTGGAAAGGACGACCCACTTTCCATCTGCCGAATCGCTTACAATTCTCATCTCAGGAGGCCAGTAGCCTTACGGCCGACTGGGCCTAACTATATCGACATGAGGTCTAATATGTGACGACATGCCAATCCCAAACACATCCGGATTGCCAAACCCGTCAAACTTTAATGCCTGTATAGTTGCTGACCAAGCTGGGAATGGACTCACCGTAACCGGTACCAAACGGAGGGATTCCGTCGATGGGACTAGGTTCTTACTTCAATGTCAAATTTGACCTCACTTCTGCTTGCTTTGACTTGCTTTCGACATTCGAGGGCACACACAATGACGACCAACATGGAGCCATCCACGCCGCAAACGTCTCTCGATATTTTGGCTCCACCTACGACTGGCGATGATGTCGCCCAGGCCTCCTCATATGACTCGACACTAGCTCAAGAGCTTATGGATCTGAGCCACATCTGCATCCAGGACATCAATCACCGGACTGTGTACGCAGAAGCGGACGTCCCGCCTTTCATTGCGCCAGACTTCAAAGCCGTCAACTCGGGTCATCCAGACAGTACGTCTTACCACGAGTATCTCGATCTGCATCGCGAGTTTGCCGAGATTCATCCAGAGTATCAAGTCAGAGTGATCAACACGTCAATTGATATGGATGAGAGGAGTGGCCATGCTAGTGTGTTCATGCTAATCGAGATCCTTGGTCGGCCTGCGGATACACGGCGAGGCGCGGTCGTTCTGTGGAAGTGGAGGAAGAGGTTTGGTCGGTGGTTGTTGTTCAAGCAGGCGGGTATCAGGGGGATGTGTGGTGTTCTGGAAGATGGTTATATTCAGGGCAAACCTGTCACTCGGGAGCCGGACACAGAGCAGGTCCACATGTGATGTGTCTTCTTCACAGGCACGGACTCGGCTCAAACCTGACGACGTCCACCGGCTCTCCAAATCTTACAGTAAACTCGGCCCGGGACTCACCCTTGCTGGTCAATTGGATAGGGCTAGGACCGGGCTCTTTCTTCATGCCGTGGACAACAAGAGGCAATGAACATGGGCATGGGGCAAGTTCATAAGCTGGACATTGACGACTTGTCATTATCTGCTCTTCAGCTACTCCCACGCTACCAAGGCCTCATCCGAACGAGAAACAACATCACTAAGCAAAATCATTCCGAGTACCAATCACCGTATTGACCAGAGCATCACCAGAAGCCCAGGCAGCTGCTTCAACGTTGTTGGGATAGCCATAGATCCTCAAGGAGAGTGCACCCCAAACATTGAAGTTGGGATCCCAGAAAGCGCTGCCGGATTGACCACCAGCTACATCGCTGTCACTGTACTACATGGTTGTCAGCGCATGTTTCTAAGAGATCTGCCTGGAAAATGCCTCACAAATGGACCAGTGCTGTCACAGGTGAACTGAGCGTGTGGCCCTGGGTTGGGAATGCCGTTTCCATCCCTGGAGAAAGAGACAAGTCAGCGATGTGGGTCCTCGAGATATGGTCGACTACTCACTGCCGATATGGCCGAGCGCCGTTATCACGGTCACCTGGATAACCCATTGTCTCGAAGTAGCCTTCCTTGTTATAATGGTTCGTGTCAGGCACAACGGCTCCAAAGTAACCCAGGTTATCGCCCAGGCGCTGGTCGATGATCATGATGGCAAAGTCGCATTTCGTCACGCAGTCACCATCACCGCAGCCTTCGGTAGTCACGGCCGTGGTGACTTGAGCGCTTCCAACTGGACCGGGACCATTGTCAAAGCCGGGCGAGAATGTTACGGACGAACCATCCGTCGGCACGCAGTGATGGGCGGTAAGAACGTGGCGAGGCCCGATCAACGAGCCCGAGCAAAAGACTCCGCTGGACCACTGGATTTTGCCCACGATCCGCCATGGATAGTCTGACTGATCTGTGAATTCGTATCGGTCATCAGGTCCATTTGTCCGCCTCTGGTGTGCTGTGCCTCTTGAAGAAGGAGCTGTGAGGTTATGGCTAGGATTGATCAACGTATGGAGGGTCTGTGCGTGTTGGGTCACTATTTGAGGGGCGACGTCGTTGGCAGAAGAGACGTGGACGTAATCGGGATCGAAGCCCAGTAGGTTGGTGGTTGACGGATTGGTTCGTTGCTCGACAGGAATGCTGTATGCGACAGATATAAGCATGGCGGCTGCCATTGCTGCGGAAGATAGATGAGGCATGATGGTCCTGTCGACTGATCTTGTCAAGTTGGAGTAGCTGGAAATGCTGGCTTTGATACTGACCGAGACAACGAAGACACAGCAACTAATATATACAATGACAGATCTCCCACCCTCTGCTAGCCCTCTCGACAAAACATTCATGTACTTTGATCAGGCGGACAGTACAGTGCAGCGCCGAGACCCAATCTTTCCGCTCTCACCACCATATGTCCGTTAGGCTGAAGTCAAGTTAGAAGATCCCGCCTTCCTCCACCCTCCTCAACACCCACCTATACCTCTTTCCAGCCCAGTGCCGTCGTTATGAGCCAGTCGGACACCGTAAGGAATTGAGAGGTTCCGTTTCCGCGCATGTTTAAGGACTAGTAGATGTTCTTCATACTGCATGCATATGCCAGTTGAAGGGCGGGTTGTGCATGGCGTTGATGTGTTGCAATATGTGGTGACATTCCTCTTCCTCAAAAGTAGACTGCTGGCAAGCTCAGCCTGGCCTTTTCGCTGCTTAGGCTGGCGAGGGCTCAGATCGGCACAGTATTAATGCACGAGGTCGTCAAACAAGGTTGGAGATATTGTCAGTCTAGAAGCGTTTTGGAATGGCTGTCGGAAAGCTCATCCAAAGTAGAAGGTGTTATGTCTCGAAGCAACCATGGTTAACACTCTGATCTGCGTTGTGTTTCTTGGCAGGCGGCAAGCTGCACCAAGCTTTGATGTTGGTAGGTCAACGCTTCACAAGCGAGTTCTCAGTCATCTCCATACATACTCCCGGACTTTGACAAGTAGAAGCGTCTTCGGAAGCGGGCTGGAAGTGCTCCAACCTTCGTCTAAATTGGGTTGTCTCGCCTACACCGGTGGGATCATACGTGAGGGTCCTGGCAGGAAAGCAGTTCGAGTTGGTGATCGGCCACGTACAGTTCCTCGGCCACCTGACTGCATGTGGTTCATGCAGAACTAAACCAGCTCCATGTGGGAGGATCAAGTTGGGGGCCATTGATGTTGCCTGAGGCACATTCACATGAGTGCCAAGCCGCAAGTGAATGTTGGGCTGGCGTGACCTTCAAGTGCCAGGCTCGTCGAATGTCCACCTTCCGCGACTGCTTCTCCTGCAGCATACCAACTTGATTGCTGAACATCGCTCAGACTCGAGTAACTTGGGCCGAGGTACTTCAGCTCCGATCAAGCTGGAGCTGCAGGCTTTGTTGCATGCAGTTGATCGACCACTGCGACTGATTGTGCTTAAATCTTTCATGATTAGACTCCATACCAAGGTGAGAAGAGTCCTGTTTTTGTGTATCGTGCGATGTCAAGAGAAGACCAGTGTAGATGAAAAACACATTCGACCAAAGTCCATGACCTCGCCTTGCCGACCCAGACGCCAGGCATCGAGAGGCAACAGCATCGAATGGAGTATCACAGTCGGTTATTTGACCTCGATGAACTTCGGTCGGTATCGTGACTTGGACGATTCCTGGCCATGTTGTAGACTGTACTCTCTGAATGATGCAACAATGGGGTCATGGCTGATCAATGTTGTTTCAGGTCAGTATGGCAACCGTTTGCCAAGGGGGCAAAATTGGCGTGCAGAAGGTATGTGCCACATGAGCGAGGAGATCGTAGCAGAGAACCACTGCAGTAAAGCTTGTTTCGAGGAGGAGCCGAACAAGATGTATTCGTCGACCGAGCGACTCCGACGGACCTCTCGCATTGTCCACTCTCTCCATGGTATCTACATCACCAACTTCAGGTTCTTACCCTACGCAAACGTGATTTTTCGGTGAGACCTGGACTTTGGTATGATGGTAGGACCGGTAAGAACTTTAGGCTGATCTTGTCCGCTTCTTGCAGGATCCCACTAGGCGATGAAGTAGGCGTATAGAGATCCATTGCTTTAACGGTGGGTTGCTCGATCGATTTCCTGGCTGGGGACATATCACCAGTTCACTGGCATGAGCAGGATCAACGTGTGGTATGTTGTAAGGTGTGTTGGTGTCTATGAGGCCGCCTGAATTTGGAAGGTGTGTTCAACCTCTTGCTGTGGTCCCAAGGCGAGATATAAAGGAGCCTGGAAGAGGCATCGTTCAGCTCGCAGCCAAGTACATCAAAGAAACAGCACACACCACTACAAGATGAAATTCTCCATCACCGGCCTCTCCATCACTCTCTGCGCGGCATTGGTCGGCGCATCACCTATGCCGAGCGACGAAGTAGACGGAGCAGACACTGTGGATGAAAACATCCATATCGAGATGCGGGTGTACTCGTTCGGAGGGTGTCTACGTGAGAACACGCAGGGGACGGGGGTCCGAGATGGGGCGCGATGGGCCGTCTCGGAGCAGGCCTGCCAGAGCGTGACCAACGCTGGATCGGTGTGGCCGACCATCATCGTCCCACCGGACACATGCCCATGCTTCCCAATTGCGTGGTCCGGGACGAATTGTCACGGCGAGAAGTGGGTTTTGGACGAGGGCATGTGCAACAGTCGGCTGTTTGGCTCCTTGTCCGTCGAATGCTTCCCGGCGGAAGGGCCGTGTCCACCACCGCTTCCTTGGCCACCAAAACTGAATTAGGGGGGAACGAGCATGAACAGATGTTGGAGGTGGAGGAAGGGGAGTAGTGAATGGTGGTGAGCAGTGAATGGTGGTGAGCTTTGATTAGAATTTGATGACAGCAGCCAATCAAAAGCTAAGCGGCATGCGAAGCACTTCAGATTTGCAGCCTGTGCAGCCATAGTCAGTCTTTCTCTCCCGCACATTCCACCATGTAGTTTCCCAGCAGCGGTAAGCCAACCAACACACCCCCATGGCGGCGCAGAGCAACAGCTTCTACGACCTCAACGTCCCGTGGCAGCCCACCGACGACGTCTCGCGCACCCTCGCCTTTGCGCAGGAGCTGGGCTACAGTGTCGTCGCTCTGAACCACACCATCTATGGCAAGCTGCCTGCCGATCTGGTATGGCTTGCAACATCGATTGATCTGATTTCAAAGGCTGATTTCTGAATAGAAGAGTCCCATCCCGAACCCCCTCCCCGCCAAAGACACCCCCAGCAAGCTCACCGTCCTCCGTCGCGTCACCCTCGTCCTCACCGAAACGCATCAGAACGCTCGACTGGCTGCCCTCGCCAAGGAGTACGATCTGCTCGCCCTACGACCCGTCGATGAACGCACCTTTCAGCTGGCCTGCGGTTCGCTAGACTGCGACATCATCTCGCTTGACCTGACCCAGCGACTCTCTTTCTTCTTTAAGTACAAGACCCTGAGCGAAGCCATCAAATCGGGGAAGCGCTTTGAGTTGAGCTATTCTCAAGGCTTGCTTGGCGATGCCACCGCTCGCCGCAATCTCATCAGCAATGCCACCCAGCTTATAAGAGCGAGTAGAGCGAGGGGTTTGATCATAACCTCTGAATCCAAAGCCGGTGCAGTGGGGCTGCGAGGGCCATGGGATGCCATCAATCTGGCTGCTGTGTGGGGATTGGGTCAGGAACGCGGGCACGAGGGTATGAGCAAGGAGGCGAGAGGCGTGGTGGTCAGGGCCAAGTTGAAGAGGACGAGCTATCGCGGTGTTGTTGATGTGGTATACGGTGGCGGGGATTGAGGATCATATCGGATGCAGTGCGCGTCGCGGATCATTTGCCCCACCGTGAGGGCGACTTCCAGGCGTGTGTTCCAACGATTGCAACCTCGAAACCAATCTCAGCGCCTACGCTTGGAAACTGCCGCCCTTCAAGGGAGTGGTATCTGTCTTCAGGCAGTGCTCGAGTCACAGAGTGTTGCTCCTTGCCAAATCTGCGAAGTTCTTACGATGAAGGAAGCAGACTCGTGCCACAGGTGTTAAGCACCGAGAAGCCGGTCTACATCCATCATGAACGGGTTTGGTGATGGTGGTGAGACATATTTGACATTGCGTGAACAATGCAAGTCTCGCCAGGGGAGGAACAACAGAACATGTCGGTTAAGTCCATGCACAACAAAAGCTTCTACCGACTCATCGCGTTCCTCTTCAATCCCTTCGTACCCTCGTCGCCCCGCTCGGAGTGGAACGCTGGGCAAGGTCATCCCTCATGTTCGCGCTCATAGTCCGCAATGCTTAGACAGCTCAAGAATACTGCGGGCAGACGTTCCACCACGCCTGCGTCATTAAGCAACAAATTTTCCAACTTCAAAAGCCGACGTCTCCACAGAGCTCCCCGTGGTGAATCCTGGTGCCCCTCACCCGACGTTTTACCCTCGTCTCGAGGACACGAAGCACTTCGACTTCACCTCTTCGGCTTCTTCGACGTTCTTATTCGTGAAGCGCCGGCTTCTAGTCCGAAACCTGTGGGCCTCTGATGGAGACGATGATGGCATATGGATCGCAAACGACAAGACGCCGTGCGAGTACAAATGGGAAGAAGTATGTCTCGGCTTCAATATCTGTTGCTACCGCCGTTGCTGCTCTTCGTATCGTTCTGGATCTGCAGGATGAAATTTCTTAACGCAGCAGCTCTCTTGCCTGCTCTGCCTGTCTTTGCCTCTCCGGCTGGCATATGGAAGCACCACGGAAATGTCTGCGTGGTGAAAGCCTCTGGCACGAATGATTCCGCCCCGGCTATTGTCGAAGCTTTCCAGCGGTGTGGTCATAATTCGGCCGACGATCGCGGCAGGATCATCTTCACCAATGAGACATATCATGTCAAGTCTGTCATGAATACGACCGGCTTGTCCAATGTCGATATTGAGCTTCACGGAACGCTGCTCTGGGACACAAACATTCCTTACTGGTTAAACCACAGCCTACCGGTTGGATATCAGAATCAGTCTTCAGCTTGGCTGTTTGGCGGTGATGGAATCAGGTGGGATGGGTTTGGAGTGGGTACCTTGGATGGAAATGGGCAAGTTTGGTATGTTCTCGTCTCTTCACCTCGATGAGATGAGAGGTCTGATTTCATCAGGTACGACTTCATCAACGGTACGAACAATTACCCAGGCCGTCCTCACCAGATCACGATAACCGGAACCAAGGACAGCATCTTCGATTCCACCCGCTTTGTCCAAAGCCAGATGTGGACAATGACCATCATCCATTCCCAGAATATCCTTCTCGAAGACATCTACGTAAACTCAACCGACACGAAACAGCAAGTCGGCTTTGAATTTTCCTCTCTCAACACGGATGGGGCAGACACAGTATATGCTGACAACATTACTTTCCGCGGCTGGACCGTCGACAATGGAGACGATTCGATCAGTACGAAGGCCAACAGCACTAATATTCTCATCGAGGACTGCGATTTCTATACTGGACTGGGCGTCGCAATCGGCAGCATCGGACAGTACGATGGTGCCTATGAAATCGTGGAGAATGTCACCGCTCGCAACATCACAATCAACGATATGCGCTATGGCGCCTACTTCAAGACCTGGACTGGCGTCAGTAGTGGCTATCCACCAAATGGCGGCGGGGGCGGTCTTGGCTATGCAGCGAATGTGACATTGGAGGATTTTGTGCTGAAGAATGCGAGTGGCATCCTTGCGGTGACGCAATGTACGAGCTACAATTCTGCCAGTGGCAACTGCGATACATCGGAGTTCAACATTCGGGACTTGACGCTCAGAAACTGGACTGGCACGACTACTAGTGGAGTGATGGCCGATGTGCAGTGCAGTGCCGCGAGTCCCTGCACCGGCATCGTGATTGATGAGATGGACGGGATCGTTACTACGACCAACAGTACTGTTCCGGATATCTACCTCTGCGATTCAGTCGTGGATCCAAATGGATTCAATTGCACTGGGAAGCCATGGGAGGAGAATCCGCGGAGATGATGCATGCCGATCTAGAACTCAGAAGAATCTCGTTGATCGCAGTCGGGTGGAAATCGCGGGCATTTTGCTTCGAGTAGACAAGAAGACCTAGAACAGTTTGAATAGTGAATGGAACCCGAGCGTATCTGGCATTTGAGTATGTGAGATCGTCTCACCCGACTTGCACCAAGTCCCGCTCCTTCCCCGTTTGTGTGGGAATTTCGGCGCTAGCGGGCTTGGCAAGCGACGCCGGACACAACATTGGGCGCGTCGCGACATTCAACCTCCCTTAGACAAACGAAAACGATAGTGAGTTGAATATGCGATCGGTAGAGATATGTTGGCTGACATGCATCTAGCAAAATGGCACCAAGCGATTTCTTGAATTACTTGAGGGCCAACCCGACCCCGGCAGCAATGCCACCCAACGATGAGGCTCAGCGACGCAGCGAAGAGCTGGTCGCCCTCAGAGGTGTCCTCGGAGACACCAAGGCGTGTCAAATCGCCCATGAAGAGGCAGAGCAAGAAGACCTCGCGGACCTCGAAGCTGCTCGCCACGACCATGAGCAACGTCGTGGATATCTCCTTCACGACGTTGGCTCAACCGCGGCTCGACAGGGCATACGAAAGTCCGTCAGCAACATTCGGCGAAGCCGCAAGGAGAACTTCCGCCGAGGTACGCAGCTGCTCGCCTCTCAGGACGACGACATGGCCGACGATGCGACGCCAAAAGCCCTTCCGCCTGCGGCCCTCCCAAAGGCCAAATCCAAGACTCCCGTTCTCAAGAGCATGGACAAGAGCAAGGGAGAGCATCGTGCTCCGGCGCCAACGGCTCCTTGGGCAGGTTTCAACCAGAAATCTGCTATCCAGGAGGCGAACGCCAAAGCAGCGAAGAAGGCAAACGGCCCCGCACCGTCGCCAGCCACCACCACCACCACCAAAGCACCAGAGCCCTCAGAGTTTGGGGGGAACCCTGAAGTTACAGCAGGCTGCCAGGCCTTTTGGACCGGGCAGGCCTGCAACGGCGATTGCAACCAGAGCCATGACTTTCCTTTCCAGGTTAGGTATCTCTGGGAGCTTAATCGCCAGAACTTCCCCTCCGGCTCGCTCCAGGAGAAAGCGTCCGTTCTAGTCATGAACGGCACCCATCGCTGGCCAGCAAGTGTGCTCGCCGACATGGCGAGACCGCCTCTGCGCCGCCAAAATCGCGGTGAGCCATGCAAGTTCTTCTGGAGTAGAGGCTCGTGCAAAAACGGTCGAAACTGCGCACACGGCCACGTTACCTTCGAGGAGGAGTCTTACAAAGACCTCGCTCTGCTCTATTCTCAAGGTAACCTCAGCCGTTTGGCTGAAAAGACTCTGGAGGATCGTTGCAAGCTTGAGGGATGGACGGATAATCTAAAGGCGCTCCGTAACAGCAAGGACGTTCGCCTACGGATGTCCAGGCAGCCGTCGCCGCCCCCTCCTCTCTCAGCCAAGCAACAGCGCGCCAACGCGATGCTGCAGAATCAGCTGGACCTCAATCGGCGTGCCAAGGCACGTGGATGTCCCCAGTAGAGGCACTGTTTCTGCGATCCTCCTCTGTCGTGCTATCGACCCGGTGGTATGGCCGCCAACTACACCCTCGACCAACATGGTCATCACTTTCAGACTCGCTGTTCACATACAGCTTCAACTTTCAGACTCGCTATTCACATACAGCTTCAACTTTCAGACTCGCTGTTCGCATACAGCTTCAACTTTCGGACTCGCTGTTCACATACAGCTCCATATTCCAGATGCCGGCCAAGCCACACAGCGCACTTCGACATCATCTCGTCCAGGCCGTCCAGGCCGTCCAGGTCGCCCAGGCTTGGGACACCTCCAAGTCAACCAACAACGGCCATGGCCAACAGGCCCCAGCAGCGGACTTACTGCTCGAATGCAGCTTCATTTTGCCTGTCGGGACTGGACTCGGCGGCTCCATTTGGGCTGATTCAACCTTTATCGCGCTCATCACCGAGTACTGCCCGCCATCCTGCTGCGGAGAGTTCAACCACAAGCATCAAAGCTCCCATGCTCTCCCACGTCGACGACGGCATTGGAGTCGAGGCCCAAGCATCAGTACATGCCAATCCTGCAGAGATCAACAGCAATATGAACAAAGACATGACATACACCGTCGATTTCACCGGGATGTCGTGGTCCAGGAACCGAGCGGACTGGAAACAATTGCTGCAATGGAAAGCATCGACGACCAGTACGGGCTGTTCTATTGAGCCTCTCACGCCCACAATTCTAAATACACGACGCACTCTTGCATTGTCACGGACTTCCTGCATGACTTCCTGCAACCCAGGCAAGGCCTTATACCCGCACAGCAAGACGAGACATCATCAACGAAAGCCCAGACACCATCGCCAGCCTCGAGACTTCGGCATTACCCAGCGGCCCAGACAGTCTCTCGGCAGATTCGCGAATCATCCTGCAAACTACGTACAGCCTGTCAAGCACAGACGAGTCACTTCCTCCATCTGACACCCCACAACTATCCAAACCGCACTTTGGGATATCAAAGCCCTCTCAGACGTTTGCTGAGATGGAGACGCGTTCATCAAAGCCGAAGCACCAAGCAATATATTGTCACCATGGAAGTCATCACCGTTGCTTGACAGCCTCTGCCACACAGACTCAACGTCCGCAGACTAGATATCCACATCAACGAACACGCCGTCGACCAATGCCACAGAAGGACCATTGATTCATTTGTCCCAGTTGTTGGCCTTTTTCTACGCCATCTGCATCGGCACAAGTCAATGCTCACACAACGTCACCCACTCGTGGCTTCTGCAACGGAGGACCACTACTGCCGGTTCAGTCACAACGTTGGCAATATCTAAGGCATCATTCCAAAGCTCGATCTGATTCTGGGGATGCATTGAAGCTCCAATCGATCCGCCCTGTCCCTGAAATCGATCATGAAATCGACTCCATGGGCTCTGTTCGCGAAAGGCAAGCATCTGGGTCGCCATATACCCCGAGCGGTGCGAGGCCCAAACACCACACGAGCTTCAACTCGCCCTCCCACTCGTCGAATCTTCCGGGTCTTCCAGAGCCTGCAAGAATGCAACCGTTCACTGGCAAATCACACGCGCACCAGGATTATTGGTACTTGGGAGAAGCCGTAATCAGGGGTTCGCAAGCAACAACGAAGAGGGTGGGATCCACTGCCATTCACTTGCAGTTCGACGGATTCTCAGACCGTGTGCATTGAATCAATATTCCACGCCAATGGCCAGAAACCGACACTCTAGCCTGCTATGTCGACATGGGCTGATGCAGATGCTCCCGAATATCCGCTATTCAACCGAGGAACCCGTCCAGTTGTCGCGTGGCGTTCTGCTCGATGTTCATCCTATACCACCGAGAAGACAGCCCAACCAGACAACATCACTGGCTTCAGCAATATTGGGACGTCGACAATATGACCTGTCAATAACCACACCAAGAACGGTCGTTGTGGTGCAGCTGCTGAGTGCGATCCGCCTTGAATACGACTGCCATGCCACTATCGAACGGCAGCGACTCCGCTCGTGCACAACATATTTATGCGCCTAAACTTCGATCGAACCATTCCCAAACAAGCATTCAGGATTCTCAGGTACACATGCGCTGCATCGGCCGATGTCTATTCGGACTGGACGGCCACCAGACCCAAGCACATCATCAAGAAACCTCTCGACATTGGTGCATTCGAAACCACGGCCGCCGCAACTCCGACCGCTACATACCTCACTGGACTACATCCTCTACAGCTTCAGGCGCCAGGAATCAATTTCTGTCAATACTTCACGACGCAGTCCGATTCGTGGCAAAAACGAGCCAACAACATCACATGGCGCGAAGTCTGAATACTGAACATGGCTGGTCTTGCGAGACCTTCAGGTTCTCAATGACCAAACGCCCATACACCGAGCCAACGACTAACGGGTCGATGAACTGCATCCCACTTTCACGTTGAACTACTCTGCCCCACAAGGCGCCCACCTTGGCGGGGGAAACAAAGGCCTGGCTCGCTGCACGACGAGCTGTCCAAAGCTCTTTCAGGCACAAGCAGGACGTCAAGCCGCCATGTCGTTCGCGCTTCATCGCGCGCTTCGCTCTGGCGAGTCGGTACGTATATGGATCTTATCGGACGCCAACACAGAAGTGTGAACCGATCTCTCATCATACCACGACATTCATCAGAGCCCTCACCAAGACAACACTGAATCCGGCAACGGACGACACGCAATACATATCGCCTACCTCGCGAAAGGAAAGCCTCATTAGCGCTAGAGAGAGCGTGCCACGGCGTCTGTCTGCAACACCCTTGACGCTCTCGCGGGCATTTGGCCCGAGAGGAACATCATGTGGATGACCGGGTCCTCAACTCTCCCAAACAGGCCAGCATCCAAGCTGTTCGACAGTCGAGGGCTGGACGGAATGGACTTTACCGCTGGCTATCGGCATTCACCCCTGCACGCGGCGTCATCATCAATCGACCAGTCGAACAAAATTTGTATGCTTGGCGAGCAAAGATCAATTTAATCCACTCACATCTACCGAAACAACGGCATTCACGAGCAGACGAGAAACTCAACTCGCACGAAACAAGGCTCGACCGGTACCAACCACAACAAGTCTGACCAGACTGTCTTCTGCCAAATCACAAAACCTCCGTTTTTGCCATGACTGCGAGCGACTACATGACCAGGCCTGGCGAGGAGACATCTTCTCGATTGAGAAGAGGGAGCATGACCTGGCTGGGAGCGGAGGAATTGGTCGCAGTGAGATCTACGACATCTACTCCGAACCAGACTGAAAGCAATCCTTGCTTCCTGCACATGGCAGGCTGTTCGATCAACACAGGATCGCCACTTCCGGTTCCCTCGAATTTTCTATCGGAGGAACTCACGTCTCCTCCTCAAATCAACAGTGGCTGCCGTTGGCTGTCTTAAGTGGCAGATGTATCCTCCGTCCCCATCGAACAAAGAAGAACACCAGATTTTGGGCAGCAAGCTGGTAAACAAAGACCACTGAAGGCGCCGCTCCCGTTTCAATCGCGTTACGAGCGCTCATGCCGTTGCTTCCAGATCCGGCGATGCACTTGACAAAGACGCCCGACGTCAACACATGCTCCATCCGAAACGCCTGAGTCGGAAACGACGACGCTCACCCCAAGCAGTCGTGAGAAACCGCCCCGTATCCACGACACTTTACCAACCGCTGGATTTCCACTTCACCATTCCACTTGCACCCGATTTCCCAGTCAAGGGTAGCATTCGAACACCACCGACGCATGGAACCTCATCCGTCACAGCTACGGTCTATGCAAAGCGGATTCTGCTGCAGCATGGCTTGGTCTAGGTCCGTTTCCTTCAATCATCGGACCTCAACACTTCCACAAACGAGTTGACGGATAGACGAACTCGAGACACGATGCCAAATCAAGCTAACACCGCTCCCGTACACCCCCAGACGCCTCCTCAGACTCAGCCATACGGCATTCCTGATCAATCTCACGAGCGGCCGGTCTCTGACGCTATCAATATCTTTGCTCAACAACTCCGTCACACGTACGAACCCCAAGGGGTGCTGGGGAAGCGCGACCTGAAACGTGCGTTCTGTGAAAGACCCCAAAGCCAAGACCTCATCGGCCATCTTTCCACCAGCTGTCTCGAATGCCTACCACGAGGCCAGTCTTCCGCAGTCACACAAGGAGCCAACGAAAGTCGAACTTCACCCTGCAGAGTTGCTCTGCTTCAGCTCTACCCCTTGAGGAATTCGTCTCCGCTTTGACCAAAGACTTTCACTTCGTCCAATCGACCACAAAACACGCCATGGATCCCCAAACAGCGCATTGTTGTCTCTATGATACCATGTTTCTCTGAGCGGTCTTTGGCATTCAGCGGGCGTCAAGAATGGATGTCCTAGGGCACCGAGACAGGCCAACATCGTCATCAGCAAAGAGCGGGGTTTCACGGCCGTATCACCTTTGGGAGTGTGATGATCGCAACGCAAGTGCGATTGATCAAGAAGAGGGAGAATCTAGCCTCCTGCTGGTTATCATCCAAACGTGCCACGCCACGTCTCAGCAAACACCAACCGAGCCTTCAGCCACAACTCCTCGCCACTACCTAGGTGCCTGGCCGAACACCAGAAACACGGTCGTACACGCGAGCATGGCGGTCCGGGTGCGAGCAGTGACGACGACAATTTAAGACTATTATCAACGTTCATTGTCGAGATTGGCTCTGCAGGACCTTGGGCTGTCGAATCAGCCTCGATCGCGAGACTGCCAGCATCTTCGCCGTATTGGCCTGCAGCAGTATGCACCCCATCCGAGGCCGCCCGCCTTCAAATGCCCACCATGGCAGGCCTACAACCTGAGATTGAGGACGACTTTCTGCAAAAGCTCGGCGAGAAGAGCACCTACAGGCAGTCCACAGCTGCGGACAGCAGTACAAGGTGCACAAGCTCGTCCTGGGCTTGCATTCGAACTGCTTCCTCCGCGGAGACCACCGGCACGCAGTTCGCGGACTTCACGATTGTCAATTGTGGACAGGAGTACAAGGTGCACAGGCTGGTGCTGGGCGTGCATTCGACCTACGTGAACCGGCTGTCGAAAAGCTGTTTTGTTGTTACTGTCCTGCACATCGCGAGTGGCGTCGGGCATTCTAATGTCAGGGCAATATGAAGCTAGCCAGAACCGCATCGTGCCTGAGGAGAACCCCAAGGCAGGAAGCACTTCATTCCGAAGGAGAAAGGATGATTACAGCACGGGGCACGAGTCGAGTCCATCACCGTAACAACCGACCGGATCGCACACGTCAGGACGAGCAATCAAAGTCCGTGCAAAGCAACAGCAACCCGACCCAAAAAGCTGGCGCCTTCACGTTGAAATATATTGTGAAGGTATCGGAAGAAAGAGATTGGTACAAGGGGCTGTTGCAATGGGCTTGGAAGGATTGAAAGTGTGGCAGGCGGTTGGGCCGAAAGAGGGTTGTAATCACACGAGCTGGAGGTGGAGATCTACGCGCGGCATGAGATATCCAAGAGAATGGAAGGGTGGCAGGGCACGGCAACAAACAACTCTCAAACGATTACGGCAAACGCAGGCGGATCTTGACAAGAGGCACGGGCAGCACTGAAACCTATCGGGCGGTTGTGGAAAAGATGGATCTTGCAGAATGAACGACGTGCAAGGAGCATGATACTGTGTCTGCAGGGGACAGAGGAGCACGAACAGGATGAATGGAGCGTTGCTGCTGGACAAAGAAGGACATCGCTTTCGATTCTGAGAGCGCCACGGAGTCATGACCAAACGCCATCTTACGCGGATCGAGACGATGGAAGAAGAAGTGGGAGGGGAAACATGAGAGAGAGGGGGAGGTGAGAAGGATGGGAAGAAGAAGGCGAAGACGGGCAAGGATACAGAGCAGGAGAGGAATGAGAGAAAGAAGAGCAACACCTTGCCAACGTACGGTGCGCCACCATCTCAATCAAGCTACGAGTGGCGAGATCACGCTCGGATCTCACGGACAGTGTCAAGTAGGAGGTATCGACGAGCGACATGCACCGACACCACTCCTCAACGTCGCACGCCCAACGAGAAGATCTGCAAAGGAAGCATCGTCAGCTTTTCGCACCCACGGCGCACGATCAAGGAGCTTGCTGGTGTTTCCATATTGCTGGAAGGCTCGAGCGCAGCGAATCCACAACCATGTTCCAAGCAATGTAGGATGAGCGCAGGCATTACGACGGTCCACGGGTACCTCGAATCACCTGTAGCACGACCGTTACTTGCCGCACTCCTTCTCTTGGGGCAACAATCCACCGGCACTGGGCCCGGGAAATCTCAGAATCGGCGGCAAGACATGCCGTCATGCGAGCATTCAGCGGTATGCGGTGCTTCGTCCAGCTTTTGGCTTCGTTCAAATCAGATGGTATGTATGGTCAACTGTTCACTTGACCCCAGCGCCATCACTAACACGGATTCAGATATCGCGATAATGGGTGGACACGGCGAAGGCGCTTTTCGTGTGGGTATGGGAACGACTGCTCGTCCATTTGGAAAGGCTGACAGTCGTCCGAGGCAGCCATTCCGGAAGAGTCTCCCAACGTCTCAAGAATACTCTGTACCATCGCAGCAACTCACTATGTTTGATGCGAAGGTTCCCGGTAGGTGAGCGACAATTTCTGCCGTTTTCGAGAACTGACAATGAAAATCAGAACAGGCTACCACCTCAGGATTCTGTCGCTTGGTCGCCCTCTCTTCCCGCATCACGTCCCACTGGATCGAGCGTCCGCCATCTTCGTCGCATCGGATCGAGCGCCGCATCTCAACATATGTTGCAAGCAAGAAGTGCACAACGACGCCACGCCTAAATGAGGAGGAGCGCTGGGATGTACAGCTGTCGAGAGCGGGAGGGTCGAAGAAAGAGGGGATTTGGATAATACTGAGATTCAGCCCCAAGTGACTGGGTATATCTGAGAAGACATCTTGGACATTGAGAACTTTTTGGTGCTGTGAAAAGGATCTAGAGCACAAAGACAGTGGTCCTGACAATGGAACGAGAGTTTCACCACATCATGTCGACTCAAATACATCGTACTTTCGATGCCTCTTCCTCACTCCCGATACGCTAACACGCTGCCAAAATGTTCATGTTATCTGGTTTGCCAAAGGGAAGGCGGTTGATTGCGCCAGTCACCCTCGTGCGAATGAGCGACATAACACTTTGATCATCTGTTGCCCCGAATAGGACAAGTAAGTCAACCTCGCAACATTTTCCAGTGATACTGTGCACCTTCCAGATGATAGCCTTGATTCCTAGTCGCAACATCGGATCTGTTCTCTTCGGAAGTGCTGGAAGGGGAAGGTTCAATGGTCGACCCCCTCATTGATCCGAATTCACTCAACTTGACGCTAAAATTCTCGCACCTTCCTCCCTTGACAGCTTCGGCTGTTGCCGGCTTGGCGCCCGAGGCGCGCGACAAACATTTCGCGCGTCGCTTGACTTCACGACCTTCTTCAACAAAACATCAAATCGATTGTACGACGCCCCCAGAGATTCGTGAGCAGTCGCACAGCGTTGCTGACTAGAGATATAGTGAAAATGAATTCCCAACTTGGAAAACGACGTCGCGACGAGCGCGACAACGGCGGCGAAGACCGCAAACCAAAGATGCAGAAGAACGGTGAGTTAAAACATCGCGAGTGTACGGATGAGCAGTCGCTGATGATATCCTAGGCCGGTTCGACGTCCGCGGCAATTGCCTCCACTGCCACCGGCCAGGGCACAAGTGGAGCTTCTGCTGGCAAGAGTGCGAGTGGTGCCACAGCACCCAGCATTCGGCCAACAATGGCGTACGCCCAGCGGTCCCAGTGGGCAATGCCGGACACTGCGTGCCGCTTTTGCGGCAGTATCCCAACTTTTACGAAGAACATGGTCGGTACGTCAGCACACAGACGTTCCAGCATCTCCAGGAGGGGAATGCAGCCATGCTTGTAAGAGATGCGCAGGACCGGGCATACGCGGACGCGGCCGTACCCTACAGGGCCCTGCAGGAGGAGAACGCCCAGCTGCGAGAGCAAGTCGGCCTGCAGCAGGAAACAATCGACGGGCTCGCTGCAGTCACGGGAGTGCAGGATAGGAGGATCGCGCATGGGCGCGTGATCGCCAACGAGCTCCGAGGCTCGTTGGTCACTGCTGATGAGCAAGATGAGCGCACCCACAACTGGTCGTACAACGACGGCCAGCGGGACATGGCCGAGTTTATTGAACAGGAGAACGACGACTTCTTTGCGTCGACGTCTCGCCAAGACTCGCCTGTCCGGGACCGCTCGCCTCCTCTGCGCATCACCGCGCCACACAACAACGGCATCAACACCCGCCGGGATGGCCTGTCTGACGATGCCCGCAACGCCAACTTTGCGGAGTCGCGTCGCGCAGGTCCGTCTGTTGGTGACGAAGGCTACGAATTTCGTGGCGTAGCCTCTCGTCGTGGTGCCAATGCGCGTGGTGGACAAACTCGCGGTGGTGACCGTGGCCACACAACCCGTGGTCGTGGTGGAGTCTCTCGCCGTGGAGCTCCTCGCGGCGGGAAGCAACCTCGTGGTGGCTCTCGCGGCGGCAACAACCATCGTGGGGGTCGCAATCGTCGCTGATTGAGACCTGTCCATCACCATCCCTGCCTCCGGTCTCTCCTCCCGGCCAACATTTTCAGACTTTGCGATTCATCGCATATTTTACTTTTCAGACTTCCTGTTTATACAGGACAAACTTTCAGACTCAGCTCGTAGAAGCTGCCGGACCAGAATCGACATGGACAAGCAACGAGGCGCCCTACTCGACCAGATGTCGTGATCTGGGGTGGAAGACATTCAGCAGGACACTCAGCCTCGCGTCATGGACTGTCATTGCCGACTGGGTCACGCGACTCAAGGAGTAGCAAGGCGCGATATTTGGATGCTTTCGCTCGAGGACAACGCAGCGCACTCGACTCTTCAACTCTATTCCACGATGAGCCGTTTTGTTCTCCATGCCAACCTCATGAACGTCGACACGCATCAAGACGCCAACCAAATCCCAAGGTCCAAAAACGCGCTTTGCACTTGCATCGCGGATCGAACGAGACAACGAGGCTTGGTCCAGACGGACCAATCCTTCGAGCTTGAAGACCAGCACATCTTGAAGCAAGTGCTCCGTCAGCCACCACCGCCACGTCGAATGACAATCTACCATACTTTCGGCTTGTCATGTGGAAACGCACAAGAAGTTCCAGAGACCTCACTGATGCACGCCCGATCTCGATCCTGCAATGCAACTCCGGTTCCAAATACCCTTACTGGTTTGCCCGACAACCTTACCAAACCTCATTCATCTTCACCAGTTGTAGCGCTCTCAATGGGGAATGCTCAGCATTGCTCCGCTCAGAAACGCACATACCAATGCCAACGGCAGAGTGACAACAGTCGGCCAGTGGCTTTGTAAAGACGACAATGCCAAGCTCTCGGCTGGGTGGTGAGATCTCATCTCCTTGCCTCCAACGCTCTATACCTTGCGCGAAGCTGTGATCTGCTGGAAAGCCTTCCCTGATCATGCTCTCATGCCTTTCGTAGCCGATGGCTTTGAGAACCCTAAGTCCCTTGGTCCTTTGACAACATCATACGGTCCTCCACACACAACGACCAAGACAGAGCTTCGACCACACGGCATTCTTCCAGCACAGCACTTACAAGGGGCGCATTCATATTCATCGACTCCATGGCTGGCTCAAGGGGCGACACTTACGACGCGCTCAAAAACGGGCGGACGCGCTGGCAGATATATTGCCTCAACCATGACTCGACAACTGTCCTGACAAATCGCGCGACCTTACTCTGAGACCTTGACGACCGTCTTCGTTCTCGACCACGGCATTTTCAATCACATTCGTCATTGCGAGGGTTCTTACATCCAGCACACTTGGCATCCCACGTCGACTGCGACTCATACAACTCTCTGTTGGACGACTGGCATCCTGCTTGCCAAGGTCATCATACGCTCTGGCCTCGACAACATCATCGTGCTCCTCGTTACGAGTAGGTGGTATCCCAAGACGACCCAGCAAGACACAGCAGGTCCAGGTGTCGATAGAACCCGCCTCGCTCACTCTCGGCATGGCCTTTCATCAGTCCCCTTCAGCATTGGACCGCCGTTGGGATGATCCTAGACGATCACCCTGCCCGAGGCTCGACATCTGCTTCATGAACAAGCTCACGATCGAGACATGCATTTCATTAATCTCCCAATTCGGTCTTCACGAACCTAGCTTGGGGTCAACCTCGCGCCTCATACTTCATTCAAGCGGTCTCAATCACGCGGTCAGCATCACCATTTTGGTCTGCTGGGAACATCACGCACGGGCCTCTGACACTTGCCCTGAAGATCCACTTCGCGCCACGTCAATATCGTCTATCTTCATCATCTTCACAGCACCCTAGATTTTCAATTCGCCTCGCTGTACACGATCCATCTTCAAGAAAGAGACGGAACTGGCATAAGTCAACACACGCTGGGAGCATCACCTCGAGGGAACCCAGTTGGACATGTCGGCGAGGACTCAGTCCAATATGTCCGTATTCTTCTGCCGAAGAAAGAAGATGGCATACGATCTTCATACAATTGAAGCCGTCCGATCACAAACATCTCAATTCGGCTTTGCTGAACAACACCGGCCAGAGCACAGACATCACCGTCCCGCCAGCACGCACCAAGACTCTGGATGTCGTGCTTCTTCCACGTCAAGCCCTTCTACGGCACCACGCCTTTCCATTGGACTTGAAGCGTCTCAACGGACTGGTCTTTGTGATTTGGCCACAAAGACACTTCCTCACCTCTGATCTGTATCCTTCCGATCTCAACCTCGATTGCTGGCTCGACGAAACGCATCATTTGATGGCGGCGTGGGCGTTGCCCCTTTGTCTATGATCCTTTAGACCGCAACACCAATCAAGCCACTATTCGCTGCAATGAAGAGAACCGACAGTTTGTTCAACGCAGTCTGGGTTCTGTACACTCTGAGGAGCTCGATGTTCGACAAGCAGACATCTTCGGATTGGACAGTCTACAGCTGGCGTATTCCGATGTTAGCTACGCAACCCAGCAACTCCAGAGCTGACACCAAGAGCCCAATTCCCGCCGAACAATGAAGAGTGCCAGGCCGAACTGGTACACACAACGGATACAACTGAAAGCAGCCTACCCTTTGTTCGATCCGACCAGAATGCCGACACTTTACACCCTCCAACATACCTACCGAAAAAGCTGCGGAGAGGCTGTTACCTCCTCTTCGCTATGCAGTGCGATGCCAGGATTTGAAGTTGCGGCACCATGAGGTTGACCTCGACGCCGGCTGGTGAGAAGTTCTTGCAGGATGCCACTGAGTCCCGACGCCATCTCGCATCTACTTCTTCAGCATCTGCCAATGGCTTTCGTATGGAACTGTCACAGCGGATGGACCCGAGCCGGAATCGGAGCGACGATGCCTGAACGCGCAATGAGAGTCTTTCCACTTTATCCCTCGGCGATTTCGAGACCCACCGAGATCTGCGACCAAAACCCGAGCGCAGCTGCTTGCAGCCTTTGCCATGGTCTGGATACTTGATGCTCAAGTGGGAACATTCAAAGTGTTCTGGAGGAAAGGCTACATGGCCACGCATCGCATATCTTAATGCATAAGACGCATCGTCCGCGCTGCAAGACCAGAAGGAAGATTTCAGACATCGCCACAACCCTACACAATCCGGATGTATACTCCCTGCGACAAAACTGGATGCTTCCTGAAAGAAGCAGCCACCCCATTCTCCTTGGTCAAGTCAACTACACCGGTTGGTGGCGCGAGTTCCGCCTCGACGCCGCCGCCGAAGGCTACCTTGACCTATACACTGGCAAAGAAAACCTTCTCCCAGTTCCCACTCGCCCAAAGAAACCAGATACAACTCGAGCACACAAAAAGAAAACCACTCCTTGGGAAGCTCTCAGAAAAATCAACCCCGATCATTCCAAGGAACACATCTTCGGCAGCCGAGTCTATGTCTCTATTCCACCAGAATATCGCCGAAAGACCCTCCTCCAGGCTCGAGCTTAGCTCGGTCATTTCGTTGGATGGGAGTCCGAAGCGGTAATGAAAGTTTGGGAACAATCAACGACGAAAAGTCTTCAGGGTCTCCAAAGCCCGCGTTGATGAAGGCGAAGGCCTCGACGATCCTTACACCGGCGACACGATTCATGATCGACTCGACCAGCATCTCTTGTGGATACTTTCTCTGAAGACTGAGCTGGATCCTTCCCCAAGACGATCAAGAAACCTCACCCGTCGATGATCAGCATCTCTACGACAAAACGCATCTTGTCGAGGACCAATTAGCCAGCCATTGCGCCGACGTGACATGGCCAGATCGTTGGCGCTACTATTCGGCAACAGCAGCTTGTCCACTGTCTATCGCACCGAGGGGCACTCAACCCTGGACTGAGCTTTGCTAAGACAAGACGCGATTCTGGTTCATGCGGTTGCAAGGGTAACAGGATACCACGTCTCTGTGATTCGCCGCACACTTCTCCAAGACCTGACGGCCTCATACGACAGGAAGCACACAGCGTCCCAGCTTCGACTATCCCAGCAAGACAAGAAGAGATGCTTGTGGTTTCGAAGACGCTGGATCATTATGCTCGGCACGTCATACCATGGCCGATTCTCTCGACCTAAGTATGCGAAATTTCATTTTGCGGCTGGTGTATCTCCCCTTCGCGCCAGTGGCGTGGAGGTAGGTAACGTAGACGCACCAGGAGCTCCGGCAACGCGCATCAGATACACGGCGATGAGAGGCAGTCACCCAAGCGAAGACCTCGTCACCATGCTACCTGCTCAGGAACAACACATCGCCACCGTTCATCTTCCAAGCTCTTGGGTAGACTTGAACAGAGTGCAGCCCTGCAATCTCATTGCACACCAGAAAACCATTCTTGGTCTGACGATTGTCACAACGGTCCGTACTTAGAGCTATTCGATGCATCGACGCGAGGCTCCAGCGGCAGCCGTGACGCCCCCAAGGGAAAAGAAAGATCTTGGAAAACAAGACCATGCCGTTGCATCTATCCGCCGCAATGACATTACCACCGTCTCTATGGTAACACAAGCCGGTCTTTCCATTGCCCGCAGCTTCTTGCGTTGATGCTCTCAAGTACAATCCTTCGCTGCCTCGGAGTCAGTCGGAGAAGGTCGAAGTTCGGGAGACGAAGTTGGAAGGTGTGAAGCATGTCGGGCAGTACATTCAAGTTTGCGGCATCCTGCACACATGATTGATACCGCGTCACCTCTTTGTTCGAACGAGAGAGTCGGCGAGGCGCCTTCCGGCAGAGTCGAACACCAGACCAGGCAAGTATCCCTCAGATCACCATATCCTTGATCTGCTTCACTTTGCTAATCCTGACAGTTGGAGCGGACTGCTCATTTTACGTTTGCCCAGGATCAACGGTTCGTTCTCCCAGAAATGCACGTGTTGCCCTCTTCCCCAATAGCGCAAGACCACTGACACGCACTTCACTCCCAGCAAGAACTACACCCTCCAGAACATCGACGAGAACAGCAATGGAAGATGCGGAGTTCAAGTGGGTCTATGGCACCCAAGCACCCGAGCCGTGAACATACTTGCGGATGGTTGGCTGGCGCTGGCAGGACGTCAAAATTGGGATTAGTGCAAAGAAGATCAGCAAAGGGGGGATAAGGGCAAAAAGAGCATGGAAGCAAGAGCAAGTTACAAAGACATGATATTTGAGTGAATGGAATCATCACTGGACAAGATGGAACGTGGGAAATCTGGGCGGGGAGGATGGTTGGTGCTGAGGCAGTGAAGACTTCAAAGGCGATGTCGTCTTGAGAAGCTGGTTCCGATATCGGAGGTGCAAAGTTGAAGTCAGAGCCGACCTCACCTGGTGCGGGTGTTTGTTTGGGAAGGAGCTGTTGGGAGCGGGCGAAGGCCCACGAGGACGAGTGGTGAAAGCGAGAGCACCGCGTTTACACATCAATATGTTTGCCTACTGTGGCTTTGCTGAAGTTCCTTTTGATTTGATTGCTCGGTGCTGTGGTTTTGCGTGAAACTGCATCTTCATAGCCCAAGGCCCGCAGCTGCTGCTACCCCTGAAAGACGTCGAGCTTTTCGCGACGAACGCAATGTCATGGAAAGTTTGACGACTCTCTCTTAGAACGAACAGCACTATGCGCATGGATAATGCAAGAGGGATGGAGGATCAAAGCAAGTAAGAAATGATTCCAAAGTTCTGTGACCGTGCCTGTAAGTATTGCCCCTGACGGGTGCCGGCTGCGAGAAAGGAGGGCAGGGGTAAAGTATTCACAGGAATATTGCGAGCTCCATGGAGACGATAGATGCTATCGAGCACTATAAACAATTCGTCGCCTTGACGTGCTCGGTGCCAGTATTGCCCTTCATCCCCAGACGCCGTGAGAAGCGCTAGTCTGCGCTAGCAAACCCACTAACCCTGAATAGCAAGAGCATCAACGAAATATTGAGGGCGCGTCCAGGCGATGGCGTGCCACCGACAACATCAACAACAACCGCGAAAATGCAAGAATTAATCGCCGAACGTGATGCGCAAAGGCGCAAGCGTCAAGAGCAAGCGCAAGCATCAATGGCCGAACGTGACGCGCGAATACGCGAGCGTCAAAAGCAGGCGAAAGCATCAATCGCCGAGCGTGACGCGCGAATACGCGAGCGTGAAGAGGCACGGGGCGTGCAGAGCGCGCATGTCGACGAGACCGAAGCTCTCCACCAAAGAGTCGTGTCCAAATGGACTACCCTGGGTGTGAGGAGCGCTCCGTCGCAAGACCTCCCGAGTGGAATGGTCGAAGAAGGAGGAGACGAAGAGGAAGGAGGTACCGCTGTAAGTGAATCCAGTACAACCCCTTTGTCAGACACTGACAATACAAGGGCGAAATGGAGTTTCAGATGGAGCGGCCAGGCACCCCGTTGGAACGTGACACGGCTTCTCTTCCCGAACAATCACCAACCCGGGACGAAGACATGGCTGACGAGCCTGGTCCCGCGCAATCTAGTGGAGGCACCCCCAAACGGCCGGGTGACGCGCTGAAGGAGACGTCCTCGAAGAAGAAGAAGAAACCGAGCCAACGTAGCCTGGCCAAGGCCGCCTACGAAGCGACCGATCCCGAGAAGTTCACCATACGTTACTTCGACAATAACGGCAACCAGGTCACGTTGTCTACGGACTCTAGCTTGGAAGGTCGCGTGCTCCGTTTCTGGAACGAAACAAGGGGTGTGGCAAGCGGACAGGGCTCATACTGTACACGGCTCAACGGATATGCGAGCAACAAGCCAGTTGGATACTGCATGGGCTGCAGAGTCATTTCATCTGCCAGGTGCCAGCACAAGCAGGGCCAAGGTGAAAATGAAGCATGCAACGCTTGCGTAACCCGCGCACGACCATGCATAAACTTTCACGATGAGGTCCTGCTTGTGTACCCCCAGTCCACGAGCCAGCCCAGCCAGCGGTATGCCTACTTTTAGTTGGCACTCACTTTCTAACCCTCCAGGGTATTCAGCTTTTCGGACTTACCACACCTTGCGTGAGGTATCATATTTCAGACTTACCACACCTTGCGTGAGGTATTATATTTCAGACTTACCACACCTTGTGTGAGGTATATATTTCAGACTTGAGATTCAACCTTTTGGACTCAACAGTGGCGTGCCGGGAAAGGTCGCTTTCGGCAAGCCTCATCGACGACTCGAGACCACATGCAGCTTGCGTGCTCCAAGTTCCGACATCAGCCGCCACGAGAAGCCATGGTTCGTCAGCACGAAGAACGGGAAGACTTGGGACACACAGCCTCGACTGCTTGTTTTCGGCATTTCCAAGGATCCTCGCGAGCGCGACAGCAGCGCCTCCACCGTCCGCACCCTCAATCAAAGCCGTCCTCAGACAATCCATCCAACACTTCGCCAGACCTTGCGGGTGGCACGAGTCTCATTCGCCTGGCATGTGAGCAACTCAATCGCAGCGGAGGTCGACGGCAAACAGAGCTCCTTTCTACGGCGCCAATGATTTGCGTTTCAGCAACGACTCTGTCAAGTCACATGTGTTTGACACTTGGTCAAGCCCCCCATCCCTCCTCAGGGCCGCTCTTTAGACCCTGATCATCGGGACCAAGGCTTTCGATATCACCGAGATGGATCTCGCCGTCAAACAAGGTCTATGAAGAGAAGCGTGATGGCACAGGCGAAGCCCGACGAAGACTGCTATCGCGCATGTTGGCAGAGACCGAGCAGAGACGATGATCCACGCCATGAGACTTCCCTTCCGTGTCTTTCATGCATCAGGCAGAACCCAACAACGGCGAGCACAGCCCCGAATACCCAGCGCATGTGCTGCAGGGCCTGTTTCTCCTGGCTACGGCTCAGATGCGGGTCACGACTTTCAACAACTACGCGTAATAACACATGCTGCTTCAGGCCAACTTTGGTCAACAAGCACAAGCACCAAACCACTGATTGTGCGTCTTCAAACGCGCGGCTTCAGGATGCGTCTCCTGAAATACACTGTCGCTCGGTCTCTGCGCGAGGATGGCGTGAGATTCAGAGAAACTTCCGCAACGTTTGTTCGCTCTTTCCCCCATATCCCAGCAATAGCGACAACATACGCAGCTGTTGCCGTCGACACACGATGAAGCTGCGTTCCTCACAGGAGCGTGCGGCTGCCTACCCCTTGGTGGTTGCCTCTGCACGCCATTTCCAATTGGACAACGCCTGTTCTCGCTTCTCTTCAACCTATCTACGGTATACACTGTGTCTGCTGGTCCGCCTCTTCGATATGACGCCGAATTCACAACTCGATACCAGGAAGCCGAGACGTTTCGATTTGCTTGCAGTACCTCGCCCTTTCACGCCTGAAGGTCTTCCCAATGCGCTGAAATACCAAGAATTCCTTGGGCATCATGGCCTCGAACTCAAGCTGCTTCAAGGCTTCCTCAATCCCGCGACCGGACAACGCCTCCGTCTCGCTATCCACAGACCCCCGAGCCTGCTCGACTCTCCTTTCGCTCGCGTTCTGTCTTATATCACTAGTCCGGAGAGACTCCCACCACTCTCCTTCGCTCTCCCTCGCTCTCGGTGCCAGACTGGAGTGCACTTCTACCGTTACGAGTCGATCGCGACTTGGGCAAGCTCCCGACTCAACTCCATATCCCATGATTGCCTTCGACTCCAGCGATACATATGCCACGGTCACGGATGCTGCTGTGGAGTTGTATGAGTCGTCACGAATTGCAGCCCTTGAGCAAGAGGTGGCAGTTCAGGCCACGAGATGGCACAATGCGTCGGATCCCTGGTTTGATCAACTACAGTAAGACTGCACAAGACCCAAGCGCCGCGCGGAAGACAATCGCACACGCACATTAGACGCCATTGTACAAGCGTGGTGAATCTACCAGCACTACGTTGGCGTTCCAGCTACCTTTCACGCACCCAGGGCGGGACGACGGTACAATATCTTCCACAAACACAGCAGACCAGACAAGGCCTTCACACTACCTGGACAAGGAGGGTATGCAGGACGTTCAGAGGCATGGCCAACGTCCCTGAACCTTTTAGCAACGTCAGTGAAGAAGTTTCACGATTCGCGAAGCTGTTTCCTCCTACTCCTCACTTCCAAGACTCGATGGCATGGGGAGACATATTCACCCACAGTGCTCTTCCACGCATATCTGGACTTCGTTTCGCGCTTCTTCAGGGTCAGGATGATTGCATTCAGCCACTACCACGGCACCGGTGCATATTGCAAAGACGCATTCGCGGCACTGAGCACCGCGTCTACTCCGGCACATCTGGCCAGATCTTTCTATGCACGACGAAAATGGACGAGACCCAGACTTTCAAGAAACAGTCGGTCTCTCGGCCTCCCCCATCAACGCAGCGAGGCACAACGGTGCTGTCGACAACGTCCGACCTCGTAGGAGCTTGTGAGGATATCTCCGTCGTCCAGTCACTCAGACATCATATCCTACATGAAGCTACGCAGATATTGGAAGAACCAACCACGTTGCTACACCCTCTGCCTCCATGCTGGTGAGCGTATTGCTTCCCTTCGGATACATCACTTCGTTTTCTTCTGCGCAAGTGCACTGGACCGCAATCCATCGATTGGCCGGCCTCATCAGAGAAGTAACAGTCTATTCAACATCTGACTGATACCATCACCTCCGTCCTTCTCACCAGAGAAGCAACAGTCTATTCAACATCGGACTGATACCATCACCTCCGTCCTCGTCCAGACGACTCAATCAACATGACTGCGCCGTTGCAGGAGACCGCGATCAATGGACTGGCCGACCTCACCAGATAGCAACAGTCTGTTCATCATCGGATTGATGCCATCACCTCCGTCCTGCTCACCAGAGAGCAACAGTCTATTCAACATCTGACTGATGTCATCACCTCCGTCCTCGCTCAGACACTCAATCAGAGCGGAAACTGCGCAAGATTCGGAAGACCAGACAACCATTTCCACGCAGTTCCATCATTCCAGTGAGTCACTGCCGGGCGCTCCACAGTCTCTTGACCATATACATGGAAGAGGGACAGATGACCTGGACATCACCTCACCTGAACATCGTGTTCACCATGAAGTGGTGCAAGTACCAAAGGGAAAGTCCAATCTCTCTGCCTTCTCCCACTGTACGAGCAACACACAACAAGGCGATGTACAGGAGCGATGCCATGGCCACATATCACATGATGGAGATCAAATCATCTATCTGCGAGATTGCCTGACAGTTCACAAGACTTGCGGACATACCATTGCAGATTCGAGCTCGAATCAATCGGAGAAGCAACAGTCTATTCAACACCGGACTGATGCCATCATCTGCACGGACCAGACGGTCAATCAGGAGGCAACGGCGAGTCTGCTCCACTTTCACAGCATGACAATGCTCCAATTCTATGCTCATTCCAATTTCGGATTCAGCCCTGGAGTCGCTCAGAATCCCCATCCAACAGGAGGCTGCGCAGCTATCAGGAGAAACGGCGAACCTCGCCCTCTTCGTTGGGCCAGAAAGATACCATGGAGCAATCCACAGCTCCAACATCGCACTCTTCTGACACACAACAAGTTCAACCTTGCCTACAGTGCAACAAAACTCGAAGAGTTACAGATACTCCTTGCCTGCAAGCTACTCACTCAACTCCTGCCACATATCAACATGTCTTTCAAAAAGAGACCAGCTTTCCCCGTCCGGTTCTACAACAAGCCGCTTGAAGCTGGCGACTCGATCGAACTCGACGTTAGGGTCCCCCTTGTCGTCGACATCACTCACGCGAAGTCGTTCTCAAGGCACGGGGCTAGTTCAAGGTACTTCAAGCCTCACCAGCTCAGATGTATTCCAATACTGACACATAGGCAGCACCAGCAACTCAGCCGTCTCACCCCTGCTGCTGCCGGGCACAGAGAGTCTACAGGACTTTCAGGGACGTGGGTCAATCCCAAAACAAATCAACAAACCATGGCCTGTCCATCTGGCATGGAGAGTCTGCAAGACTTTCAGAGATGTCAGCCAAGACACAGGTCAACTCCACAAAGCTATGGCCTGTCAATCTTGACTGCGTCCGATCAGGGACAAGAGACAACATCAACATGGCCCACATGCGACCTGATGGGACAACCACATCCAAACCTTCAGTCTTTGAGATTGCTCGAGCGCAGAGAGTCTGCAGGACTTTCAGAGATGTCATCATATTCTCGAACGAGATTCGCTAGGCTTGGGCCGGCCAATCTTGGCTCCCTACAATTGACAACAAGGGAGAAGATTCCTATTCAGTGTCACTGCCGACCAAGATGTACCTCGATTTCGACCCTGGTCTGGCGTCTCAGCCAGATGTACGGTTCTTCAGGACGGAAATCATTCTCGACGCCATGACGCCCGAAATATCTCCACGGTCTGAGATTGATGCATGGCGAAGCACCCCGTCAGCTGAGTCTTGGCGCATGATACCACCACGTCCGCCAGGTGGTGCGGTTGACGTGTGTCTGAACTCGCTTTCAGAGATGTGATCTTCTGAAGAAGCTCGTTCTCATTCTCAGAGGTGCCGTCCCTGGCCTTGGCTGTATTCGATCGGTACTTCTCGACATATCAGTCAAGCTGTGGCAGTCACCCTCGCAGCCAGATGTACGGTTCTTCAGAGCAGAGAGCAGTATTCGCTGCAGATGGACCGACAACAACGACTTTGACAAGACCGACGCATGGCAGAGGAGCAGTTCGGCTGAGCTGTGGGCGGATGCTACTACTACCACGACCTGGTGTTGCAGTTGACGTATGTCTGAACTCGAAGTACAATGGATGGTCCACGATGAAACAATTCTTGTCCACGCACGAAACATGAGGCTTCGAACAGACCTGTGCAAGACTACAAAGGAATGGTCCACAAAGAAGAGTCATGGGTCCAGTTCCCGCTGTCAATCGACCAAGCCACGCCCCCAAAGGCTTGTTCCGGCTATCTGTGCACCACGATGCTCTGGAGACGAGAAGATAGGATCCAAAGGCTGGCATCTTCCAGTTCTGATGATGGAGTTCACGCAAAGGGCTCTGAAACTGGCAAAGAGCAACCATGAGAATATCCGCCAATCCCAATCAACCTGCCTTCGCTGCCATGCCTAGGAGGCTTACCCAATGATCCTTCGCCCCGTCGTGGTCCTCAGCCAGAGTTTCCTCCGCATGGCCATTCGGTTCCGACGGCTTCGTCAGCCAAAATTCCTTCTGCGATTGAGCAGACTTCCACAAGGTCTGAAGAAGTCCGAACTTATACTCAGTTGACCTGGCCGATGATGATTCGCCTCAGTCGTCGTCCTCAGCCAGAGTCTCCTCTGCATTCGGCCACCCACTTCCGACGGGCTTCGTCCGCCAAGATGTCTTCTGCGATTGCGCAGACTTCCACAAGGTCCGAAGAAGTCCGAACTTATACCCTAAAGCAAGAGATCCACATTGACGTCATTCGGGCCCAAAACACCACGCGCCTGTAACCCGCTGCGAGAGCCTTGTGCCAAGATTCACATGCGCTAGTGTGTGGCAAAGGACCCGTCGAATGAAACGTTGCCGCCACAGGGCAGAGCCACAGTAACACCATCTTCGTTAGCCATCTGGCTGTTTCGTATGTCTTGGAATTGGTATGGAAGTATCAAGATATATGAATGACGGGGCATGAAAGACGACGCCAAGATTCACATGCGCTAGTGGTGTTCGCATGCATTCCAGGGTGACAGAACGGAAATAAGACGGGGTCAGACGGCAGTACTCCAAATCAGTACAGGAGGTGAATGGCGAAAACGCGATGAGGCGATGCTGGAAGGGCAGATGGGAAGTGAGATGATATTGGGAGTTCATTCGCACGACGGGGATTGAGGTTCAGCTGGAGGAAGATGGGGTACATGGGGCAATCTCGAAGCTCGGTCTGGGAAGATTCGCTCAATGCAAGATGAAATATATGAAATATCTCTGGACCAACGAACTCGTCTGAGATTTTGAGCAAGCATCGCGTTGCTTGGAATGATGCCTCTTGCTCGAGAATGAAACGCAACTCCGTCCCAATGTCAATGTGAATCGTTCTATGGCAGGGGCCCTGTTATCTCAACCCCACATCCCCAGACACGAAGTCTTGAGAAGCAGGCAGAACAGTTTCCTGGTCGCATAGACAGTGTTGGTTCTGGAGAGAAGACTGTAGAATGTAGCAGTGGCGTAGCTGCGATGAGACTCTCACTCTGTTCTTCGAGTGTCAAGTGATTGGGAAGAGGCAATCCGGAAGTTCCTTATCAACATCACGGCTACCATGCCTCACCATCTTCTCGAGGTGGTCACGCAGGGGAATCTGCAGTTGGAAAAGAGACGGCCAGAGGTTGAGGAATGCATGCAGTACTTGAAGAACAGGCCCAATCGTCAACCGGGCATTTACATGCTCGAGCTCGTCCACGAGACCACGAAAGAGGCGCCCTCAATCCGCATACTTGAGCGGATTCTCCAGATCGCAACAGACTACGTCGAGCTGCGCGACCACGATGCCGCCCGGCGTATCGACGAGTACATGAAGATCAAGGAGCCTACGGCCGAGACAACTCGAAATGTCTACCGTGGTCGTCGAGCGTACATGGAAAGGCCGGAGGCTCAAGTCCCCAACTTCTATCAACTCAAGGATCACTTCAACGACCAGCTTAAGAATACCATGGAGAGCCCATAGGGAGGTATACCTTAGGGGCTGTGGTGAGCAACGTGGGTCAGGTAAAGCGAGGCCCAGATGCAACGGGCGAGATATATGTCGCATTTCTCCCAGCGCAGTGCTCCCAACCAAGAGCTTGAAGTGTGTATTGATAGCACAGACACTCTTGATTATGTGGAGATTCAGACTGGCTCAAGCTCAGCCAATCCCCGAAGGGCTTTGGCTGCCTGCGATAGTGAAGCACTCAGCTCCAGCTCCAGCTCCAGCTCCAGATTGAGATTCACACATTTGCCGTACCTCTCAACGCCTGGCCTGTCGATACATCTGATTGCATGTACTATTGGTCAACACCCATATCCATGAAGCGGGCTTGGTACTGTGCGAGATCAAGAAGGCATCAGGCTCAGAAATCCACAATTCTTCGATCGTAAGAGACGATGTCCCCTGTAAAATAACGTTGTTGGCCGGAATCCACGTAGCTCACGGTACCACAACTGTGATTGGACCAGTAGAATCCCCAGGGCGAAGGGAAGAACCAGCGCATGCTGGCTGTCTATGATGGCTTGGATGATCTGCGATTCGTTGGGAAGGCTGCTGTTATCCTGGGTCGGTCTAGATTTCTGTCGCTAAAGCTCCTGCAACACTGGTGCTTCAATCTCGACTGAATGCCCGCTATCGTCGCATGGTCAGGCTGGCAACACAAGACGTCACTGAGATGTCCATCATAGCGGTAGTTGGCGTGCTTACGGACTCCAAGGCTGCACCGAGCTGCACCATCATTGGAAATCCACATGCTCTTTCTGATGGCCGTCAATGTCCACATAAGCTTGATGGATTACCTAGAAACATTGTCACTGATGTAGACATCCTCAACATCCCCCGGCAGCCATCCAACGTCCCTGTCCCATGGAAACATCAAAAAGGCCAAGAACCGACAGTGAAAAACAATCTTAAAGCCTTGGAGAGCATCGCCGAGACTTTTGAGGTCCGCTGCAAGGCAGTGGCTGTATATCTGGATCAGAAACGCGGAGATGATGACCGAAACCAGCATTTTCTGGTTCGATATAAGGCATAACAGAGCGTGAGAAGGCCGAGAATGTTCCCTTACTTTCATAAAATGTATTGGAGACCCTTGGGATGTGTCCGTGCTCGGTGTGATTGCGTAAAGGCTCGCCCGGCGGACCAGCTTTTGCCCTCGAACGTTGCCTTGCCACTCCACCATGATAGATGGCACATTTGAGGATGCGAAATGATTGAAATAACACATCTCACTAATCTCCACTGGTCAATTACACCTCATATGCTTTCAGTGAGGCTCTGAGTGGACAGCGGATGGAGTCAAGTCTGTCCCTCTCACGCACTGAACTTGTCAATATGGGCAAACTCAAGCCTTCAAGGAGCCTTAAAGAACATATACGAAGTATTTTGCCTCCCAAATCATGGCGGTACAGGCGCAAGGGTGTCATTGTGCTTACCTCGGGCAAGCATGTCCAGGGCTCTGTCATACACTACCCAGACGTCATACTTGACCAACACATTGAAGGGAAACATTTAACTCCACTATTAACATCATCCTATTGTTAATTTTCGTACTATACCAATATGTGGTGAAGCAGTGGTGTTCGAATCTGTGGGGTGTTTCCAGCTGCTGAGAGCCGCCTGCCTTCCAAGTACTGCGGTAATATCTCCATCCATACAACCGTGAAAGACCTGATATCTTGGATATCGACTTTTACATACCTGTTCAAGAAGCTATCGTCGCCTCATGTTATATGGAATCCATCGAGTCGACTCTTGGCACATGTGATGCCTTTTCACCAGCTGAAGCCCACATACCTCCACCAGCCTCGAGAACACCACAGTCCCCACCAAAGATCAGATGCAAAACTGCAACTCCTCGGCAATTGCTATTGTGCTGTCATGAGTTCACCTTGTGAGTTTGGTGGCAGCTGCGGCATGTAGTGTTGAGTTCTACAGGAAAGTTCGACGATTCGGGTGCGACTGATTGTCAGGTCCGTCCCTGCCCATCGTCAATGTCTCGGCACATGCGCAAGGGACGATCCTGCAATTTCATATGGAGCACGGTAACTACCTTCTTGGACACTCCTATCAATCTCCAACAATTGAGACAGGTGAGAGTTGGGATCTTCTCCATGTGCGAGGCTTTGTCTGTCTCAGGCCTGTATCACCCGCAGCTGGCTCTACGGTTAATGTCTCGTCACATCAGCAATGGATAGATATGAAATTTCAGAGGTAATCTCATATACTCATTTGGAGATGATCCGCACCAAAATCTGGGTATATTTGACAGATAGAGGTGGTGTTCTGCTGATGGAGTCTCCTCTAGCCCAGCTTTCACAGGTCGGCGTCGGCGACGGTGAACAGCTTCATCTCTACGACAAGGCAACCAACGCAAACTGTATGGTAGTCCTTCAAACTCCTGTAGGGGGCTTATAAGTATGTCTAATGTCCGGCCTTCAGGTCTCACGTTGTATTGAGCATGTAGAAGTCGATCTTGGCGATGCTCGATTTTGGTGAGGATGCACCAAGCCGGCAGCGTCGTCACGGCGATGGCTTCTACATGTCGCAGCATCGAACGGACAGAAATGGGCTTTTTTCCCAAAAAACCTTCTCATATCCCATGATCCAGCCGAAGTCGATTTAAAGTTTTCTGTATGTATAGAGTTTGTCGGATCGCCGATGAGAGTTGAACTCAAAGTGCAATCACGTGATAAAGATTTCTCGGCTTTGTTCCGCTTCGACTTCAGCTCCAGCTCCAGCTCCAGCAGCCATCTGCTCTGGAACTCGAAAATGTACCTCAATACTAAACATCGAATTCGAACCTCTCCGAGGCGGTCAAAATCTGACAGACATCGTGGAAGCATGTTCGAATCCTTGGATGCCTTGGTTTCTAGCCAATACTGCCATAAAGATGAAAACGACCGCAGTGCACCGGACCAGTCTTCAACAAGCCTCTTTCTGGTTCCTCTTACATCGCCCGAGGCTTCTTTTGTGTCGAAATCTGACCGGTCGAGGACCTGAGAGTCACTTTTCTGGTGCAAGTGGTCTTGGAGCCAAGTTGACAGTTACAGCTGGATCTCAAGTTATCCTTCCTCGATGCGACATGGCCAGGACGAATAGAGCACTGCAACCGCAACTTCGAACACGAGCCATCATGCTCATACTCACGAAGCCAAGCGGGCCCATCCTTCCGGTTGACAGGCATCGAGAAGATGGGATTGGTCTGAGGAAGTCTGATCTATGCCTCTAGTGTCAGTTCGACAGTCCTCGAACCCTCACAAGCGATGTGCTGGCGGCTTTTGCGACAACTCTCACATCGAGCGACCCTGCCTTCGACTCACTCCTCGAGTGTTAAAAGGAATGCACAGGCTGTTCTTGCGACACATACCCCATCGCTCGCATCGACGCCTCGCAGCACTATCACCCTCAACCGTACTTCAATGTGACAACTGCCCACTCCTTTCAATTCACCCCACGTCAGAATGCCTCCAAGACCGACGATGCGTCGCTGAGACTGCTCCCCTCTTCGTTGAGCGTCTTTGAGGGGATGCCAGTTGTGCATCCACTGTCCACCGCAGTTGAGTGGCGATTGAATCTGCGACTGTATTGGAGTCGTTGAAGACTTCAATGGTGCTGATGCTTGTTGTACTTCTGGTGGAAGTAAGTGGGCTGATCTCGCTCCACGCTGGAATGACGGCGCACTTGGTGATGGAACGGCAGCTCCTGAAATGAGACCCTCATCTTTGGATGTGCGAGATCGACGACGAATGGATTGAATGCTGGTACTCTCATCTTAAGCCATACGAAATCATGCTGGACGAGACCTCGTAGTGCTATTCTCTCCACCCACCCATTGGTGTTGACCTACCGCACCACCGCCTACACCACCAGCTTCACAAGCGACTTGACGAGCCGCATCAATTGCTCCAGCTGCTCAGGCTCCTCTCCAGACTCACTGCCAGCATGCCCTCTGCCGCCGAAGACACCTCCAAAGGTCAACAACTTGCTGCTGCAGACACCACAAGATCTTCCAACACCCCAGACGCTACCAAAAGGCTCACATACATGTACAACCGCCGCTCCCGTACTACGCCTGGCCGTGGATACAACAACACTGCAGCTTCGTCACCTTCAAAGTCATCTTCTCTGTCGATCCTAGGGGTGAACAATCCGCGAAAGTGCCCTCCATTGCCTCGGGTACCTTCTTCAAGACCCACTGGCCTCAAAACCCAAACGTCCTCGTCCACTTCAAAGGTGATGATTCTGCTGTCCAGGGTATCTGTACTCCCTGGCGGTGAGAAGGTAGTGGAGTGCTCCATCGCGAAGACCTTCTTGCAAGGAATGCGACTATGATACGCACCTTCACTTCTTTCGTGGATCGCGCTCTTCTGCCTGATCATGTTCGCTGCTTCTTCACGTTCGATGGAATCATTCGGTGGAGAATGGGATGCCTCGCTGGTGAACCACCCATGACTGTCTTCCACTGACTTGGGAGCCTTTTCACTACTGGACCGCATCCCCCATGGCCAACGACTCCTTCATTCCGCCTTTCCGTATGGTCTGGACGAACGCAACCCTAAATTCTGTGCTAACGACTCTCAATGGGCTCAGTCGAGCGACTGTAATGTCCTGGAATTGACCTGTCCCAGCTCAATGGCTGTCCTTTACGTCTGGGACACGGTCCTATGCAAAGATCGAGACCGAAGAACGACACTTTCCCGATATGAACGTCAGAGGACAACAGAATTTGCAAAACCGTCAACATGTCGTTCTGTTACTACGACATATGACGCAAGCAGGTATGGAGCAGATCACCGCTTCGCAGACATCCAACGAGTCTGTCAGAAAGAGGATGAAGATCTCACTGGCGAACATTCCCTGCATGTACAAGACTATCAAGACTTGACCGACAACGGCATGCTTGACCGGGATCTTGAGCTTCGCACGATACCCCGATCTTCCACTTGGGATGCCTTGCAAGGCGGCTTTCGAGGCCTACTCATGAGTCCAGCTGGCGACGTCATGGGTTTGATGTGTAAAGTTGAGGCAAGCCTCCAAGAGGTTCGGAATTGCATGCAACCCAACGCTGATCTTGAGCGCCGTATCACTCCACAAATCTGCCATTGACGTTGCAGAGAAGGCCTCGACGCTGCAGTGACGATTCTGGTACTACATCAGACACATAGAAGCGAGGGGCATTTCGTTCTGGCCGGCGAGGCACGACCATAGAGCTGGAACACAAATATCGGAAGAGGAACTCAAGATTTACATTACGATCAAACGGGGATGAAAGTCGTTTGGAGTCCTAGACATCAACAAAGAGAGCCTCGGCTAGATTGAAAATGATTCGCGAAGATTGAAATGCGTACACATGTCTGTCGATGAGCAGAGGAGAAGGATTTGCAAGAGACATCTCAAGTTGGGCAAGTCTGAGTGGATAAGAAGAGGGGAGGAGTAGCGAGGGGGAGGAGAGGAAAGCGGGGAGCAGGACTTGAAGAAACAGGTTGAGAGTACGAACGATTGGACCAAGGCACAAGGGAAAGGAAGGTTGTTGAAAAGGATGGCTGTTGAAAAGGATGGCTGTTGGAGAGGAAGGCTGTTGGAAAGGAAGGTTTGGTAGAAGACAACTTGATAGATCAGGGATAGAGAAGGGCATGAGCGACGAGCAAATGTTGCAATGTGCGCGAGACGAGTGCATATGAGCTGTTCATGAGAGACAAAGACTTCCCTAAATGGTCCATTCAATGACATCAGATCTTGTTTATATAAACTCATCGCTCGTACCACCTGCTTCCACCCAAGTCCGTAACGTTGATCTCACAAACGAGCCCCCATGCTGCTCTCAGCGCCCAACGAGCAATGTCAGAATCGCCACAGAATGTCAGAATGCTCCAACGCCTTGCACTCCCCAGACTTGAACAACTCCTTGCCGCCAGTGTCTGTACTTCAGACTGTACAATAGAAGCATGTTTAACTTACTCGAAGTATTCGTCCCACCATGCCCTCCATGCTTTTGCTGTCGACCCGTTGCAGATTATGGACGTAAATATCCACGGCTGTTTATAAGTCCTCCTCGTATTAAGGTGCCAGTAGGCTGACCACGCCGCCGCGCACGCCAACCTCCTCTCTGACTTGGCGGCTGATGAACCTCTACCATGCTCGTAAAGAGGTCCGCACCGAGATTAGGAACTCTCTCGATAAGGTCCCGAAGGCTCTAATCACAGAGATCTCTATCGATCTATTCGGCTCTCTCACGCCAGGCTTCGACGATGCACGATCGGAGGCCCGTCTCTCCTGGCGCAGTGTGCTCATACACGAACGGCACAACCTTCAGAAACAGATGTAGCGTTTCGAGGTTCGCAGTGCAGTAGAACGCTTCGTCGCGGAACTTCTCCTTTGAGGTTTGGGATGTCGTACTTGTCGGCGAGCGTGTACACGAAGGCATGCCGATCCCCGCAATCTGCCTTTTAGCAGCTGCTTTTCCCAACAAGATGCAGATACTGAACCATTCCACAAGCAGTGTCCGTTGGATTCGTCGCCTTTGCGTGTATGATCTTGAACATTTGGGTTTGGTCGGCCTGTCGCACTGACATCATCATGCTCATCTGCATTGCCATCGGTCGGCACTCGCGTGGTATTTGGCACCGGTACAACCTCTACTGGAGAAGTAGCCTGTCGTCGTCGCGATCGAGAGTGCTCCTGAGTGTTTCTTGCGTCTCGATCCTCCTGAGATTCTTCATTGTGCTCATCGTCTTTAGTAGATGGTGTCGCCGAATCAAAGGATTCATATGACGAATGTGGAGATAGTATCTCGCACACGATTCGCAAAGATCCTGTCCATGGGCTCCTTCTGCCAACTGGGAGGGGGTGACACCTCTCTTCTGCTCGTTCCAGTACCCGAAGATGGCAGTCGCAATTGTTTGCTCCTCGTCGCTGCGGGTGTGGCTTGAGACTCGCTCTGCCAATATATGAGACGTATCCTTGCTTAACTTGGCTTGTCGAGGAGTAAGGAAGATTCGTCATCATTTCGGCGGCAAGAGGTGTGGCATCGGCGAAGAAGCCGACGGAAAAGGTCTGCAGAGAGAGAAAGAGAGAGAGGATGCGACAGTCTGACCCATGTGGACTGCACCCTGGCGTATTGTTGCCGGGCCCTCTTTTGAAACGTACATCGAAGGAGGTTGAAGCAGTCGTAGATGTGTGATGCTCCTTCACACATCCTTGTGACGGAGGATCGAGTTCGCAAGGTCGCACGGGGAGCCGGTAGGAAGTCCGGAACCATTCTTGTTCGATGAAACTGCTTCTGCTTCCAGCGAGGTATTCATCAGCGCTCGAGAGTTCCTGGAGTGAGAGACCAGCTTGCACAAGTACGCCTCACCCATCGCGTTCGCCCAAAGATGCGCGTGTGTGAATGTAGCGTTCAGTTGAAACGTGCTCCGCTTCGAGCCTGTACGCCAACCGTCTGTCCGGAGCCAGTCACCCGTTGAATTGCTTCTTCGCTGGACAGACTCGTTCAAAGTCGGCCGTCCCATGGCCAAATCGAAAGAGCGGTGAAAGGCGGGGCGATGGTGCATGGTCGTCCGCGGTCACCACCACGCACCAAAGGACGGTGTAGTCAACCTTGATCGCCAGAGTGGCGATGCACTCTTTTCTCTGCTTCTTTCGTGAAGGCAGACGTTTTCTTTGCTTGGCTTGCCCGTCGTTCTGCTGGTGATGTTTTCTGTTCCAGGCATCCTATTCAGATCCCCTTGCGATTCGTAAAGCGCCGGTCCCTTCCATCCGTCGTCCACATCGTAGCACATGTCGTCCAGCGGCTCCTCTACTTCCAGCTCAAGGCTGCATTCATGCCTGCTCCTTCATCACTCGCCGTGTCGCTATTCCCATGACCTTGCGCTGCCTCCTCGACGCGGACCTCTCATCGAACTTTCTCCTATTCAGCCATTGCTTTGATCCTCCACCATCATCACTCGCCCTGAGCGTCCTTGTCCATGCTTGCAATCCCCTTCATACTCATTCCATCGCCTCTCAAGCTTCGCCTTGCACCAAGCTCTCCATATACCCCAAATTATCGCTCCCCCTCAAACTCTCTCAACTCCAACCCTCCCTGCGACAGGGCTGCCGTTCACGGCTTTCCCCCGGCCAAGTCGCGTGTGTTATAGTCCCACTGGTCTTGCTGCAAGTGGCTACCAACCTCCAGGTCCCAGCACTAGTAGCAATGGCTATGCGCAACAGAATGGCACCGCGAAAGAACACACGAGCGCTGACGAAAGACTCGCTGACCTCGCCCACCAGCTGAGAGAGGCTCTGGGTTGTGTCGTCAAAGTCGTGCTCGGCTCGATGGGCGGAAGATGGTCCAATCCTCTTCAATCCTAGCCGAAAGGAAGATGAAGTCTTTCAATCACGCGTGATGTCCTTTCTTCCCACTGTGAGCGACCCTGCGCTCGTATCGTCGACGTCCCGCTGTCTCGAGCATTTCCATATTGGCAGCAATGCGTGTGAAGCGGCGTCTCTTTCCGAGACCGACAGGCGCCAGCGTCAAGAAGGCTGACACGATCAAAAAGACTGACGTGTAGCGCCAAAAGGCGGGCATGTTCCTTTCTGAGAGCCGCAAGAGATCCATGCCGTGAGCCACCGAGACTGATCAGATCTGGGAGCACTGACACAGGACACGAGGTCCGAGGCAGGATCTCTCGTTGATTTTGCGATTGTGAGGACCTTTCACGTCTTGTGGATCGGTAAGAGTATGGGTGGCAATCCGAACATCTGTACGAGAACCACAAGACGTTGTTCTGAGATTTGTCGTCACCGCACCTTGTCGTCAAAGCCCGCGCACATGCTCATCGGTGGAAGGTCCTTGTGTAAGCTTCCCCGACAAGCAAGTGTGACTCGCGATATCCTCTTCTGTCGTTGATTACTGTTGGAAGATCGACGGCACGCAAGTCGGGAGGTATTCGTGCAGGATCTCTGGTGTCGGATCTTCAGACGTTCCTTCATCGCCTCTGGTCGTGTGTAGGGAGACCTTCTTTGGAGCGGAAACCGAAGAGAAGGTTCACGTAGTGGGGGACGGGCTTGTTTTGGCGGGTTCCTGTGACCGCGAGTGCTCCTGAATCGTGACCTTGCAGCCTTGGTCGAGAGGAGCTCAAGCGAGATGTCGATAGCTGGCAAGTTGGCTGCAAGCGGTGTTGAGAAGCCGGTGGTCGCCACAACCAGAAACCATTGCTGCTTTTGCTTCAGGACGGGGCAGTCCCTTCGTGTTCTCGAACTCTGTAGGTGGGATACATACGGGACTTGTTCGCGTCTGCAATCGTTGGGCGTTCGCGTTGGCCTAGTTTGCAGAAAGGTTGCCTTGTTTCGTGCGTGTTGAGTCTGTAGATATGCGCTCGATGGACGTATAGGGCTTCTCGCCGAATGCCGGTCTTCCCTCATTTCGCCAGTCGAGTCGTCTTTTCTTGACCCAGGCCTGTAAGGTCTCGATTCATACGAAAGACGATGCGTTTGTGGGACGAGCAGCCCTCAAAGGTGCAGTCCTTTGCTTGAGTTTGATAAGTCGTCTCTATTGCTTGAAAGCCCTGCGTCGATCCGACCGCTCGTGGTTGAACAGTCGTTCTCGATCGCCTTTCTGTGTGCTCGGCAATCTGATGATTCCGACTTGTTTTCGCGGAGTATCCGTCGCCATATCGAAGGCAGGAGCTGTATGTTGGCGAGTAATCGCTGCGAGGCAGTCGGAATTGGGACTGGCTCAATGGCCATTTTTCATCGAGATACTTGTGGCTTCGGCGTTCGTAGATTGAATAGTCGCGGAAGAAGGTGGCAGAGAGAATGGCCGGAAATTTTTGCGTATCCAATTCTGACAGGAAGCCGCCTCGGAGAGAGTGCATGGCACACTGGCTGGAATGGCGCCAACGTTTGGTCATGTCCTGATTGAAAGCCCCAAGCCAAACGAGATCATCGAGCTCGTTCGAATGCTATCATGTTCTCGGTGCTGACATGTTCTCAGTGCTGAACTGAGTCGGATGGTCGCCTGGTGACCGGCTGGCGCTCCGTTATCTTGTGTCAACCGGCAGTATAGCCTGTGCGTGGTATGGGGCTCAGAGCAGACCGCTGTTGGCGGGTCGGTCGATGAGCCATGGCGTCTCTTGGGAGCAGAGGCACGAGACAAGGACTGGCGAACCTTTTGACACATCTTGTGCAGAAAGAGGAGAGGCTTTGACGTCCACGTAGCTGGGTAGGATACTTCTCGAACGTTTTATACGGCGTCTTTCGTCGCCCAATGATGCGGCGCGTTGGGGAGATTGTGCCCAATGTTCGCTTGTCGACCCTTTGGTGTGCGTGACCGAATGTCCTGCGGTTGTCTCCCATCCTGTTTATCGTGAATCTCGATCAGATGTGATGAAGCACTCATGGACGAGTTGCGCCGCAATCTGCTGTATGCGTGGGTAGTTGCGTTCGATCGTTGACGCCTGGTAGAACGATCGGAGTGGTGTGCGCCAAAACAGACTGTGTCGTAGATAACCAACATCCATTCAAGGCGAAGGTGTAGCCGGCATCTTGAGTTTACGACTGCATTCCAGACGACGAGGACGTTCGGTACCGTATTCTTCCTCACATCGAAGGAAGGGCAGGCGGTTTATGTTTCGTGTTCGGTACCCCAAGACACCAAAAAGCCGAATGGTTACGTCGAAGACATCGAGCTTCGCAGGAGCAGAAGAATGGAGAGACTGTATGTTGTGTGCCAGTTTGGAGCTGGCTTTGTGCGTGGCGCTTTCGTAGGAATGAGATGGAATTGTTCCCCTTGTTCTTTTGAATGTGGCTGGTTTGCACGGGGAAAGACCACTCTAGCCAGATGGTGGAAGATGCCGCTCTGAAATGGGGCGCTGACGGAGGACAAAGATTGTGTCGATGGATGGGTGGCTGCATGGGCAAATGGCGTAGCGGACGAGACGCTGGCTTGTCGAAGGTGAATGCGTTCATGGCAGCTCGTGCATGTGTCGCGCCGCTCCTCACCCATCATCTGGTCTTGGAGTTGCGCCAGTTGAGCAGAACTGCGAAGTCGTCATACTTCTTTTACACAGCTTTGCGCATAAATTGGTTGAGACCGTCCAGGACCGACTTCATCTGAGCTGGAGTCTCGCATTGCCGCCAGTGATCGATAGCGAGCAGGCACTGCTCCATCATCTTCTTAGCCTCTTCGTGTTCGACTGACTTGAGGTACCCCGAACACTCGTTGAGGTTGGCGCGGATGAAGTGTCTTGTATCTGGGAATGTTGTCGCAGGCTGAGACGTCGGAGAATATGAAGGTCTACGTAGCCGTCGACCCGCTCAGATAGTACGGATCAGCTGGCGCAGCTGGTACTTGGTGCATTATTTCTCGTGCTTTGGGTGGGTGACGATGTACTCTTCCAAGGTTGACTTCTCGGCGAGATCGAGAGCCTGCTTGAGTGCGTTGGCTGCACCGAGAATCATGGTGACCAGAAGAGCATTGTCGAGTATGTTGAGGCCGTGAAACCAACGCACGAATCGAGCAGAAGCGTTTCTTGCAGAGAGTGGGTTTGTGCTTGTGGTGGAGATGGGTGATGTTGCTGCAACTCCACACGGCAAATGCGTCAATGCATAGGCGGCGTGGTAGACTTGAAAATGTAGTACTCCAGGGCACCAAGATGAGTCGAGGCTCAGGTGTGTCGAGGCCAAGGTGCGTTGAGGCCAAGATGAGTTGAAGATAGTCTCCACCGTAGGACACACGGAGTGGAAGAGCATGTTGTTCGCCAGTCGGCTGCTTGTTGATGGGCGATGGCGAGGCGAAGGCCTTGGCAAGTGGTTTTGAATGGATGCGGCGCTCGAGTATGGACATCGTTGTTGGGAAGGTCGTGAAGAGAAACCTTGCTTGCCGTTGTTGTAGTGTTGTATATGTTCTGCATTGCATCAAGAAAGTTGCCGTAGCAGCGTCGTTGCTGCTGCTTGCGGTGTGGACCGGTACTTGGCGCCAGGAGAGGTGCAACTATTGCTGCAGATCGCTTGGAGACGTCATGGGAGACTGTTGGTATGCGGCATTCTCGTGGACCTCCGTATTTTGATAGCAGCTCGAGCTTGAGTCGCCGGTGCTTCAATCTCCACACCGCTCAAGCTGACAATGAAGCCGACAATAGACAGATTTGCCACAGTAGCGTCGAACCTCGCATAACGGTCAGCAAGGGCTTCCTTGCGTGATGCTTGGTGGTGTAGAAGTCAAGGGAATGCCAGAGCTGGTTCAGGTGTCTCAATGAGTCAATCATCATATGTCAGTTGGGTTTTGCGGAACATACGGCTGTACGTTGGCCTGAGGATGACGGAGGTCGTAGACTTGGTTTCGTAGAAATGGAGGACTTAACAAAAGTCCTCGCTCGAGAGAAGAACAGTGCCCGGTATGAACTTCCAGGCTCTGAGTTTGAGGAGCGCTGGAGTTCACGGGAGCGTCGATGGCAAGAGTAGCGGATGTTCTGCTGGGGATGTAACCGCTCAAGCAACGTGACAGCGTGAGATGCGTGTTCATAGGCGTTTGGCGGAGTGACCGGGCTCCTCTCCTGTGGCGGTTGCATTGGCGCAGTGAGAGTGCCCATGTAGATCTTAAAGCTGTGTCTCTCAATCGCAGAAATCGCACAGCAGGAACATGGGATGTAGCGATGGAGCGAGTGGGGGTGGAATGTCGTATAACTCCTGAATGCTGAAGGAGTCTGACGGAAAGTTGTCGTGGAGCCTTCGTGATGAACGCGATTGGTCGAGACTGTAGGCTCATATCTCCCAGAGCGTTGAGATAGAGCGAGCTGGGGACCCGAGATGGTGACACCTGTTTGTAGAGAAGCGTTGGTGATGTGACGTTTCCCTGCGAGCGCGACAATAGAAACAGCGCCTTGCGGGAGCACAAAGTTCATGCGGGTAGGGCACCTTGCCGAGGTAGCGCGGGAGAATCTCGCGGAAGTGTTGAAGATTGGAAGTGATTGAAGACCAATAATATTGTTGCAATCAAAAGACCGGAGGGTGGTTTTGGGTTCTCGGCTGTTGTCTCCATCTCTGTCTGGCTGTGGTGACTCGGCCAGTATTTGGCAAGATATGATCGATCCTCAAGACCACGATTGTCGATGTTCGCGAAGATGCCTCATTTGAAGCACTATTGGGCCTGGTAGGCGTTGTGACCAGGGTCGGTCTTTCGATTCTTTGTGGCAAGATCGGCAGTCAGAGTGATAGATGGGAAGTGCTGCATTTACAACTTGCTGGCCTGGGAGCTGTTGCCCATGCGATTGAATGACGAGAGAGTCTGGGAGAACTCCAGTAGTTAATCACCGAGGAAGCTGGTCTCGAAATGTTGCGCTGAATGATGCAATGCGATTTGATAAACGCAATGCCGCCTGCGAACACGCTGTTCGGGAGAGCAGTGGCATCTTGCTGTCAGTTATACTCACTGGCTCGAAGACCATGGAGTGTGCGTGTGATGTGCCGCAAGTCTGCTCTTCAGGCTTTCGATATCCCTGATGGTGGTGTGGTATTATTGGTTTCGTTGGTTGCTGTGGGGCGCTGTTGAAGTTGCTGCAAACAGAATACGACTGTCGAGCTATGCCGTGATAGTCTTGCCGAATGGCGAGACCAAATGAGGATATGTCGGTATATGCCTGCGCTTGTTGTGGTTCCGCCTCTTCTGCTCGGTCTTGCTGCTGTGACACAGGGGCTTCGGGGTTAAGACCCAGTTCGGTGTAGTGGGTGGGATGCCAAGTCCTGGTGTGCACTTCACCTGCTTTCTCCTCTCGACATCCATCCTCCATCACGACCGGGCTCGACGTACTCCAGATATCCGCACCTTCATCGCCAAATCTTCGCCGTCGATGGCACCAATGTCGCCGCATAGAGAAACCGATGGGCCGACCAGACACATGATAAGAGAAGCATCAAGCGTTGGGATGGGGCTGCCGAGAAAGAGATCGTCGAATTGCGGTGCGATAGAAGGTAGACGACTGCATCGTCCGGCGATAGGTCTTGCCCTTGCGAGAAAAAGGCCCAACTTGAGCCAAGTCCGAAAGGCATAGCCGAGTCTGAAAGGGTTGCAATGCATCAAGGGCACTGAGTCTGAAATATATGTATACCATGGGCGGTATACGTAGTCCGAAAAAATAAAAAGTCCAAAAGTGTAGCGTGTATAGAACGCTCAGTCTGAAAAATCATCTGAAAGATGGAGATGGGAAGGGAGGGGGGGGGAAGCAGGAGCGGGGGAGTCGCCGCTCAACAATTCGTGATGAGATTCGCGAGCGTTTCGTAGCGCAGCCGAAGTTTGTCGAAGTCTTCGATCGAAGCCTCCAACATCTGGTCGAGCTTGTCTGCCTGGTCCTCCACGACCTTGATGGTCCGCTCGTGCTGCTGGTTTTCATCTTGAAGCGATGAAAGTTGCTGCTGGAGTGAGTCCATCTCGGCCGTGGAGTCTGCGGCATCGGCTTGGAGCTTGGAAACCTCCGTCTCGTACCGCTTGATGGTGACGTCGGCAGCGGTGAGATTGCTCTCTGCCCTGCCCGCGTCCCGCTTCCAGCGCCCGAGTTTCATGCTGAGGGTGGACTTTTCGGACTCCAATCGCCTGTTGTCGGCGCGGGTTTCGTCGAGCTCGGCGGATCGCTCTTGGCCTTGACCTCCAAGATAACTGCAGTAGTCCACCCACTCCTGAACGGTCTTCTCGAGACGATCGTATTGCTCCTTTTTGGCCGTGAGCTCGCGAACCGTCTCCATGAGGTTCTGCTCCAACCAGAAGTCCGAATGGTTCTGCCGATCCACCTCAGCCCTCAGATCGGCTGCCTCCTTCTCCCGGATCGCGTTGTCAATCCCGTGTTGCGTGAGCCGCTCGCTGTACAGATTGAGTCTGCCCCGCAAGGAGATGTTCTTGTCCCAGACATCCTTCTCGACTTGCTTCAGATTGGCAGACTCTTTCCTCGCACTCTGCAGCTCGCTTTTCAGCGATTCAATCTCTCGATCTTGTCGCTGCAGCTCCGCATCCTTGGAATGCAAATCCTGCTGCAGACCACGCACAACCTTTTGGCTGTCTTGCATGGATTGCTCTGCAGCTTCCTTTGCAGCCATTGGGATGACTTCCTTCTGCAGCTTGTCGACATGCTCTGCAGCTGCCCGGTGCTCTTCGACGATGCGCTTGCGCGCGTCCTCTGTCGCGCCGAGCAGTATGGCCTTGCTCTCGAGTCTGTCTTCGAGCCGCTTTTCGGAAGTCTTCAGGAACTTGACTTCAGCATGAGCAGCAGCCAGTTGCTTTTGCAGATTAGCATCCTGCGCATTCACGCGCGCTACTTCCTCCTCCGCCTTTGTCAATCTTGCCTCCAAGCTTTGCTGCTTGTCGGCGGCGTCTGTCTTGATCTGCTGGAGTAACTTCTCTGCATTCGCACTGGCCGCATTGCTCCAGTTCTCGCCCGCCGTCGCCGTCATTTGGAAAATCTCAGCAGACTTCGATTGCCACTTCGCATTGTAGTCGTCCTTGTACTTGCGGTCGGCAGTGGCTAAGTCTTGCTGGACCTTCTCGTTGACTTTCGCGGCTTCAGAGAGCTGCTCCTCAAGCTGCGCGATCTTCGAGTCCTTGGACTCCATCTCCGACTTGTGCCTCTCGGCAGCAGAATGGGCCAATTCTTTCTCCCTCTGCATGTCCTCACGAAGCTGCGTGGCAACTACTGGGTCCTCTCGTGGCTCATTGAGCTTCGCCTGCAGCGTCTCGACTTCCTCACGAAAGTATGTTACCACGGAGTCCATGTAGTTGCCGGCGAGTTGCTGTGCCATGCCATGCACCTCCTGTGACATGGTAGGCCCGCTCGCATCGTGTGGGATCCGGAGGTCTCTGGACCGCCTGATCAGGTCCGGCAGCGACTGAAGCACTGCCTGGCGAGTGTCCTCGAGACGCTCTTGGGCCACACGCACTTCGCGTGCAAGCTGGAAGCGGTTGGGCTGCTCCACAATATCTTGCACTTGCTCGAAGTTGGTGCCGATGGCAGTTTGCATCTCGCCCATGGAGCCGTGGCGCTTATCCCAGGCTCTTCCTGTGCGCTCGCCCGGCGCGCGTTGGCGCAGGTCAAGCCGGTTATTGTTGTTGTTGTTGTTGTTGTTGTTGTTGTTGTTGTTCGCCATTTTGTTTTGTGTGTCTGCTTGGGAGGGCCAGTGTCGAAATCCAGCATCCAGACGACATCGTTCGTCTCTGCCAAGACCGCAAGAAGTGGTGGGATTCGTTCCTGCCTGGGCAACGAACGACCGCCAACGCTTCCACCTCGATACAACATTCACACAGTCATTCAAAATGCCTAGAGAACAAGAACGCCTTGTTGGCGGCGTGCCACCAAAGCCGCGCAACGAATGGGGACGATTCCCCCGAAACGACCTCCCTCCGCCTCTGGACCAACCCAAGGAGTATGGGAGAGCACTGGAGAATGGATATTACAAGCTGGCTTCTACTGCCATAGTCACTCACCGGCACACCGCCCAATTTCGAAATAATCGAGAGGAGGTGTTATTTCGAGTCTACCTCGGCATCATGGCCGCCGTAGGGATTGATCTCCTGCGCGTCATCGCGTATGGCAACCTCCAGCTGAAGAAGCAGCAAGATGCCAAGATCAGAGCGCAGCTTCAATACTGGCGTTCACGGCCTCATCGCCAACCGGGAATCTACATGCTGGAACTGGTCCACAGAGACACCAAACAGTCTCTTTCGGTCAACCAACTGAAGTTCGTTCTGCGGAAGGCAATCGATTATGTCGAGCTGCGCGATCACAACGCGGCGTTCTTAATCGACAACGCCTTCAAACGTACCAGTGCTGCAGATGTCTTGAACGGCGCGCGAAGGTACATGAAGGCACCCATCCAGTCGCAGACCTTCTTCCAGTTTGCACACCACGTGGAGCAGATGTGTGCAAAGATTCCACAGAATCGGTGGGATGAGCCGATGGCACAGCCAATGCGTGAAGTAGGATACGGGCAGTATGCCATTGGGCGTATCGGCGACCATAACTCCCACAATAGCTCAAACTACCTCATGGGTCTGTTTGATGCTATCTGCAAGGCGTTTGAGCAAGAGCTGGGTGGCAGGTATACAATCATCGGGGAGGTGATTTTCCAGTGCTGGGACGAGGAACAGTGCTGCCCTGCCGAGGAACTCTTTACCTGCATTGCCCAGGCCGACATTGCCAGTGGTCGTGGCTTTTGTCACTCGGATGCAGGAACCACGGCAATGAAGGCGGAAGGTGATGAGCAGTTCGATTGGGACGAAATCCGAATGGACGCTCTCAAGACTTCGCCTTACCTCGCCAACATGAGGGTCGAGCTCAAAGTCATCCAGCAGGTGAAGGAACTTCAAGATCAGTTGCCGGATCTTGAAGCTCGGCTGGAGGAGCTGGCGAATATAGAACTGCCAGACGACGACGACGACCTGGATGAGACCGCTCTTCAGAACCGGTTGAACTCCCAGCAGGCTGAGATTGCCAGGAATGAGAATATCATGGATGTTCTCAAACGAGGCGACCAGCTCATGAGACGGCTTGGGATCTAGGTCGCTGCCCACTCCAACTTCACGCATTGCGCATTTTCAGACCTCACTTTCAGACTTGATGTGACAGGGTCATATCTTCAACTTTTCGGACTGGAAAATTTGTCAAATGGACTTTTTTTCCCAGAAGTGGCGCATTTTACTGCGTCACGCACATTTCAGACTCGACGAATGAAGTCGACTTTCAGACTTATCAAAGTACCGGCCAGGCCTGGTCGAACTTTGTGGATCACGTGGACACCACGCATAATCAACACACACGGCAGGCAGACCTTGGACTTGCACCAACCACTACTCGACCGAGGAAGAAGGCAATTGAAGCTCGCAAATGATTTTGCTGGTCATAATTTTCGAGATGAACCTCGGATGACACTCTTCATCGACCGTTCCATGGCTTCAGCTACAGACTCAGTGCATACAGTCTCGACTTGCACAAGACTACGCATCCTTTCCGACGCCACCTCGAACTTCTACCGCCGACAGTCAAAGGTCATCTACGCGGTCAACTTGTGAGCGAGGAGCGACCACGGCAACGATTCGAGATTTTCTTGTCTGGACAAACCAACTACAGCAATGCTCCTTTTTGAGTGGAGGCTTCGATTCAAACTTCTGCCATGCAGAACTCTTGTACGCCAGTCTGTTCATGGCAGCTGACAAGCTACTCCTCGAGAGACCAATGCCACACACCTCAGTGAATTTTATGGCGGGCAGATGCTTGATTTTGAGGGTGCGGGCATCGAGAGCACGCGGGTCGACCAATTTCATTGGTTGGTGGGATGAATGTTGGATGCGTAACACCACGAGCACGACCTCCGAAGTGCCAATCCAAGACCACGGCCAAATCTTATCTACGTGCCACGACTACGAGCGTTGGTTGGACTGCAAGGCCTCGCCAGCGAAGCGTAACAACCTGACAATGGTCATTGAAAGAGCCGTGGAGGTCGTATAGCGTCATCCAAGACTCCAATCTGGCCTACATCATTTGGGTTGGAAAGACGGTGCGACCACCAGCCGAGTGAACATGTCATTTACATCAGGGTCACTCATCATTCGAACGCTGGCCACCACAGCCCCGCATCATCCAAGGTCTTCAGGATCGCATATATGCTGGCTGGGCAGGTCTCTCTTGGCAATATCGACCCGGCTTCTTCTCAAAAGCTCTGATTCATACACGGACAAACCTACCGAGCCTGTGCTCTTTGCCCACATCCGTCAAGGAGCCATAATACCATTCAAGCAATTTCCGCCATTTACCAACGTCCAGCGAATCCAAACAGCGGCTTCCGCACAAAAAGTTTACTGGAAATTTAACGCCAGCCACTCATCGACTGGATTCAGATGAGCTCCCTACCATGCTGATACCGAACCCATCTTGGCCTGTCGCGACAAGCTCTGACTGAGGGTCATCCGCTCCTACCCTAAGCTGGATACACATACTACACAACGAAAGCAGAATTCACAACAATACCGTCCGACATCCGATCCTTCTTCGGTGGCAAGCCCACCGGCACACCAGAGCCTGCGAAACTCATTTCGACATCAAGACTCACAGCAATGCCTTCTGACATTCGATCCTTCTTCGGTGGCAAGCCCGCCGGCGAGCCAGCCCGCACAACTTACTGCGACCACAAGGAATCACAACAATGCCTTCCGGCATCCGATCCTTCTTCGGTGGCAAGCCCGCTTGGTACTCCATCTGCCCACCACAGACACCAAGAGGTGTGGCCGGCCAGAGACGGTTGTCTGCGATGATGAAGACGTCGAGCCTGGACCGAAATCAAGGCGAGCTACCTCAAAGTTTCGAGGGATCAATTCAGACATGGCACCCGAGGTCAAAACGGTCGCTGAAGATACCGCCGTGTTGATTATCTGGCAGATGGTTCCTCCCCGGCCTTCCCGACTCAAGCCGGTCTGAGCGAAGATGCGATGCCTTGAAGCACATACAGTACATCCACAGGACGGATGTGGAAGTGTACAAGGACGGCTGGGCCAGAAAGGCATATCTACACTCACAGCCGAATCGTCGACGGCGCATTTCGATACCAGGCGAATCTTGGCAAACGCAGGTGGGTGTCAGCCCCGCCGCATCCCGCCGCATAGCACCCCGCAACCATCCAACTCGGAGTTCAGAGCATCCCACAATCGACAGCCAGGAGAGGAAAGTGTGGATCAGACGAGATCGATCTCTGAACGACAACCGCGCTCAGCCGACATATCAGAATTCATCCGGCTTGTCAGAGCGCAAATCACACAGCTGTCTCATCCACTGCCAAACCATGTGGCGGTCGTTCCTGCTTCACCCGGCCCGAAACATCTCCCGATCACATTCAAGATACCTACCCATGCAATCTGCGACTTCTACGAGTTGCCCATCCCAGGGAAACGAACCCGGCCAAGAGCTACCCGGAGTGTGATGTCGAGCCGAGACGACTATACCATCGTCATTCCCATCTTGAAGGCATAGATACGGTGTGCAATCCATACAAGACTGGTGACCGCAGTCGGCATAACGGGGCAAACCGCAATGTCAACACTTTACCCTGAGCATATCTGGTCGTACTGCAAATTCGCGGCCACCAGGCAATCTGCCCATAGTCTGTTGCAGAGGAAGAGGCGGCTTGGCGGCTGTTGTGGTGCTGCTCCTTCCTCGACTGCAGGGATCGTGAGCTTTAGAAGCTCGCTTAGTGGCAGACCCCACCACCCCACCTTCCACTTCACCTCACTTCACCATCGACGTGGAGAGATGAACGACATCTGAGCCGATGAATCTCTTTCTTCATCAGAGAGTCCCATGCTTGCAACGGCTTCACCCATTTCGACGTCGTTCTCAGCCATTCGAATGCATTTCACTGCAGGCAGAACACCGCCCGCATGTACCACCATCCAAGACACATTTACAAGAACCATCCAAGGCACATTTGCAAGAACCATCCGAGACATATTTACAAGAACCATCCGAGGCAGGTTCGCCAAAGCCACCCCAAGACTGCTGCAGTCACTTCAGCCACGCAACCCAAACTCGGCACACACACTCCCACCCACATGCCTTCCTCATCCAAGGTCCTCTGTCACTGAGGAGACAATCCAATTCTGCTCCATGTCCTTCGAGCATCAACGATCTGAGGGGTCATACACCACGATCGCTACCGACCGAATGCAACATTCCGATGCTTTTTGAGCAGCGACGATGGCCCACCCACCGCCAGCCCTTCTTTCCACCCACAACCAACAGCGATGATCCCGCTCCTGTCGCTTCCGCATCCCCAGAAGTCGACGAAGAGCACCACCCCCTTCATCAACCCGGCAAGCAGGTCACACCATTGCATATGCGCATAGCAGGTACCAACAGAACCCGCCTCCTCTGCACTTTGGAGGGCGAGGGCGAAGGCTTACTCATAGCATCGGCGCGGGACACAGCTTCTCGAAGGGGATGTAGATGACTGGCATCTCGTCGTGGTCTTTCTTTGGCAGCTCTGGATGGCCGACGACGTCCTCTTCCTCTTCCATGATGACCTTCGACTTGGCAGCCAAGCGCCTCGCGGATGGTGCCGGTGCCGGAGTTGAGACCTGGGCCCTTGCAGCCGTGCCTGACCTACATGAGACGAAACGAGGAGCTTTCACAGCACGTCGAATGACCATCGATTGTGTTTTCACCAAATATGCCTGGCATCCGGAGATATCAGTGGGAAATGGCCTTGCTCCAATCCATGAACGAAACCCTTCAGCGAGGAGGTCTTTCACGACGACTGTGACCGCTAAACGCCGCTTCGTCATCCGATCGAACCACTCCGTCCCTGAAATACGGTCATCATTCGACATGGACATCCCTCGACACGAGCGTCTCTCCACACCGACATCCTTCGACTCACATGCCTCCCGCACCGCGCGCACTCGGCCGATTAAAACCGCTCTGCGACGACCAGCTCCAACATGTGTCCTCGTATTATCTTTGAACACAGTGGCGATAAACCTCAACTGTGATATGGGCTGTTTTGGTTCTGGTGCAGGACACTTCAGAAGACTCAAATCAGGAGCACGGAGAAAGAGGCGAGAATGGTGTTGAGGAGAGGATGGCGTCTGGAGAGGATACAAAATCGGGAGGACCGCACACGAGAGGTGATGTCAGCATGCTTCATCCCGTCGTCTTTCATCCAACTTCGCACTTGCCTTTTGCTGCAAGCGCACGGCCAAGCGCCGCTCGCTGCTCGACATGATGGCCTACCGCGCAGCATGATACAGATGATCCGGAAGAGAAGCCCACCTAGGCATGGCGCTTCTCAGAGCTACGATCAAGCTCCTCGGACGCTACCGAGGACAACGAGGGAAGCCATGGCTGGAAATGACGCTTTTCAAGACCGCCATCGATTCCCTGGATGCTGTCACTGTCGCCCAAGATAGCTCAACGTCATGCAAGTCCGACAGCATCAAGCTCGATCATATGTGCAGATGAGATAAGGAAGAAGAGGAAGGACTTGCAATATCCACAATCAGCCCTTGGCTTGAACTCGCAGGCACTCTCAACATCGACACCGAGGACACTGGAGTGATGCAGTCGGACGACCGAAGTACTCGCAGCCACCTCCACACATCAGACCGCGCCGCCATGGCATCGTTCGCTGAACGGTCATGGCTCCATTCAGGTTCATCGACTTGCCGCCCGGAATGCGCAACAAGAGAAACACGCAACATCATCTACGAGGAATCACTCGTCCACGACCGCGAAAATGGTCGTCTCGCGACTCTCTGCCTGCGAGCAGATTCATGGCTCCATTCAGGTTCATCGACCTGCCGCCTGAAACGCGCAATTCGAGGAAACACTTGTCCACGATCGCGAAAATGGTCGTGTCGCGAGTCCCGGCCTGCTCACTGTGTGCAAGCAGATTCATGCTGAAGCCAAGGTTCGTGCGCATGGTTTGCTGCATTCTTGAGGACTTGATAGAGACTGCGAGGCTCGTGGAGAAAGGATCCCTAGTTCACCCCACACTGCATCCTCCTCAGACTTCCCAACAGCACGAACCATCACCTCCTTCGCTGCAATACCGACATCTACCACCAAGGTTCGGCCATCACGACATCTCCTGTGTCGATCACCCCGACATCAACTCCAAAGCCTTCGGACTCTACCCATCATCACATTCCTCACGGAAATCACACCGGGCCCAACGCGGTCCATTACTCAACAAAGGATATATATCGATTACGCCACGTCTCTACATATGTCCATCTCGCCACCAGTGTGCTGGCACTGCACCAAAAAATTGGTATAACAGCGACTGTCGTGATCAATCAACCCGGCCGAGCATGATTACAACGTCTTCGCTTCCATCTTGAAGGATCCTCGTTTTCAGCCTTGCATCACGGCCCATCACCAGTCTTCCGCAGGAGTCGCTTCAGTCATCGCCGCATCTCTGGCCTGCATCCCGCCGCCATGATTTTGGTGGCCTATATCAACCACGTAACAAGCTCGAATGCTTGTCCCATCAGGTCTCTCTGCCCACTAGCATGAAGGATGGAGACGCGAAGTCGGAACTCGAGGCCATATTTCAGATGCCACAATCGACCCACGGGTTTCAGAGGACAAGCCACAAGCGAAATTTGGAGACGACGCTTCTCAGTGTCGCTGCCATCTCATCGCCGCCATCTCAACGTCGCCGCCTCAAGGACCCAGAAGATAAGCCAATATTGGAGACGACGATTCGCAAACCCACCGCTGACAACGACCTTCAATCAACCCTGAGGATACACGATACAATGTGGCGTCGTCTGAGTTTGACCTTTCCACCACGAGGGAGAGTTGTATGGCTTGATCCCTTATTTTGTTCTCATCAACACCACGTCGCCGTCTTTCCACTCCTTGCTTGAGCCACCACCGCATATCATGTCGCCACAATTCAATGGCCTACGAGCGTCGCTGCTGGACAGGGCACGGCCCTTTTGAAGGCCACCATCGATTCCTTGAAACATGATGGAGGATATTGAAGATGCTGAGACTGGAGACGACGCTGCACACTCCTCGCTTTGATCATCACCACCATCACGTCAGTGCCTTCAATAACATATCTGACTAAAACTCGCTGCTCATCACGCCGGCAAAGACCTCGATGCGGCTCTCAAAACACATGACGGCGTCTGCCCTCGCGACGTGTTGATGAATTTGCAATGGCGGGACTGTCGCATCTCCCGGAAGGCCTGGACCGCATGCCCGCACTCTCAACCACCACCGACCAAGCTTCACACTCCACACCAACCCACCACGACAAGCGTGTTGCTGTTGACGTGCCAGGCCACACGATCAAGGTCGGCGCGGCTGGAAACTCATGCAGCCGAGATATATCTCGGTAGATCATCTGTTCGCTGGTCCTGCACCATATGGGCGAGCTGCACGGCCCTTGACCCTCAGTTCAGTCACCGACGACCTTGTTCCAGATGATGAGAAGCGGACGACCTCCACGGCACTTGGCCCTGAGCTCAGTCATCAACGACCTCGTCCCGGGCCATGAGATGCGACCACGTGATGAACCTTCAACGAAGTCTCAATGTTCCTTCGCCCGCAGAGCTTCACACACATCTTGACCAATGCGAAAAGGATGTTGAGAATCTGTATGGCACGATCCGCGGTGCCATGCGAGACAGTCACATAGCCATCGTTGGCCACACCGACCTATCGCGCCGTCGCTCTTGCTATATGCACTGCACAGCTTCTGCGATAGCATTGGTCCAGTCGACTGCACCAAAACGATGTTTTGTGGAGGTCGGCTCCTACGATGAGGATGTCGCTCGATGCGGAATGGCGAAGTAGGGAAGATGGCAGATGTACTTATTTGGGAGACGGATTGGGATGGCCGGTGTTGCACGGTTAGGTGATGGGACTTGGGGGTTTTCGACGCGGATGGGTGGCGATTTGGTTCCTGTTTGTGTGTTCTATATAAATGGCCATGACTAGCGACGCGCTGGCAAGCATGTAGCAGTCGATGGACACCCTTGGACGCGTTGGTTGTACGAGATTTTAACGCGTCTCTTACATTGCGCAACGCGTCAAAAGAGATAAGACAGAAATTGATAAGACGCTGTGATTCACGACGCGACATTCCAAGGTGAAGTCTGAAGATTTTACTTGTGAGACGCGTTGATGTAGAAGATGTGGGCGCGCAGAAGCTGAAAAACACGTTGTTCCCGTGTGCTTTATAACTTATGCGCGACTTGTTCGACAAGGAGATGAGGGCTACTAGGCTGTGAGCTCTGTTCTTTTCGATTGCATCTTGTCCGCCAGTGCGCAGACGACAGTTGATCAGACTCGTACGCAGACGCGCATATGGTCTCTGACCGACGCGACAAAGAGCAAGTTGCAGCAGTAGATTGCCAAATTTGGCCATCCGCGTTTCCGAAGTCTGGGGAAAGCGCAGAACAAGGCTACGCTCTTTTCAATTAGCCGACTTTCTAGAACAGAAAGACATGTCTTGGAACGGCCTATAGTCCGCTCTTGACGCGTAGGTGCTCGCCCTCTTCTACGTTACCACGCGTTGTCATGCTTTAAAGCAACGTACCAAAACAAAAAGCTGTGTAAAGAATCAATCGGCGCGTGAAAATGGCGCGTCAGTAGACTACACCATCGAGAGACGCAAGCGATGTTCGCGTGGGAGGTGATGTCGCGTTAATTCGGCAGAAGGCCTAGACTAAATGTCCCCGTATACATTTTCGCAAACGCTACCTTCTAATAAATCAAATTGGTTGAAACGCGTCTTTTACGCGACTTTTGAACGAGCAATTTCTGACGCGTATGTAGGTTGCAGAAAGTGTCCAGTGCGGTGGAACGACACGCGTCAAGAAGATTGTTGAAAGCAAGAACGTATCTGTCTAAGTGTTCATTTATGGATACTGCAGGAGTAGTAAGAGACGCGTTTAGACTTAGGTATGCGACGTCTTTGTCTCAATTCAAGTTTCTTATATCTATATGCGTCATAATGTTTTTAGCGACGCGTTCTCGTAGAGAGGACTACTTTTTTAGATTTCTGTATGTAGTACTAAGACTAAGCTTGAAAACTGTTCCGTTGGAGGACAGTACTAACTACTTTCGGTCAAGTCGAGAGTCCGCTGTCTAGAAGGTTAAGAGTGCTGCGCGTAACGTTACACCTCTCACGCGACTCTGCTACTAGGCCTGACACGCGCGTTGTCGTCTCTTTAAGCAGGAATAATATATTTTTACTATTTTACCATTACATAGCGCGTAAATTAAAAAGATGTAGTGTGTGTACTTGAAAAAATGGACTTAACGCATTTAAACCAATTGTAGCGGCTCAATTAGACGCCTTTAAGAGTTTTATTTGCCTTTGAACTCATGTTCGAAGGTTGAACTCGTGCGTTGTTTAAATACAGGACGCGTCTGCTAAAATACCGAGCTAAACGCTGCGTAATGTAGAGAGGTGACGCGTTTCACTAAAAATCTAGAAGAAAACAGCGTGGATAATAGCACTTACACGCGCTCCTACGTCTAGAACGTGCACACGAGGCGTCTTTGTAGTAAGAACGCGTAGAATTCTTTAAACTATTAGCAAACAAAGGGAACGTTATTTGACGCGTCATTATCATAAAATAAGCTAGTACAAGTAGCGACCTGTAAAAGGACGCCCCTTCAAACGTGTACAACTATCTATTATACGTCTTGAGGCGAAGAAACCTAGTTGCATATACAACTACACGTTTTCGAGTCCTAACAAGACGCGCGCTGTGTTTTCAAAACGCATTTTCGAGTTTAAGACGCGTTGTAGTGTTTATGAACGCGTTATACAAACGGGAAATAATGTCTCCGTACTTACACGGGCTGTACACGCGTCTATAAATAAGACTATGTACTTTAAGGTAGATAAATCGTATACGCGTCTTTAAGCGCTAATTATTGCAAGACGCGTTTTTAAATGTCGACGGTCCATTATCAATACGCGACGAGTCGAGATTAATTGTCTTAACACCTAAAGTAAACACAATACATCGAATCGAGCTTTAATTTTCCTGGCTTTCTAAAGCTACTTTAGTCTCTCATCCCGATCTAGTAGTTAACACTCGTATTCTGTGGCCCTACCTGCAGCTCGCTCATACAATCTGTTCCTCAATTTTCCTCTCTTATAACATACAAGGAAACGTTCCTCTTCTTTTCTTATGCGTTTTCACGCGCGCTAGTGTAGTACACGTGGACCACATTCTTAGACGCGCGCAAGTTAGAGCAAGTATAAGTTTCGACGCGTTACATTTAGGATAGGTCCCTAAAGGTTGTAAATGAAAGACCTCACGCGTCTTAGTAGTTTGCAATAAAGCATACAACTGCAAAAAGAGAATGGACGCGATTGTAACGCGTCTCTCTATACAATTGTCGCTCGACCGATGTTGCGCTTCTGTAGCGAGCTCTAGACGCGTAATTAATATTAATACACACGCGTAAACATTCTCCAGTACGTGTAGAGGTTCTCTCCACGCGCCTTTAAGAGACTACTTGCCTTCTATGCCCTGTCCTAGCGTTTACTTAGACGTCTATGTGCTTTTCTATCCTTCGTTCGTAGGCGAGACGCAATAGGCTTAGACAGCTGTGGGCCTTACCCAAATTCGGACAAATTCGTCCCCTCTGTCTGCTTCGGGTACGCCTAGATCTCTGTGTCTAGAGTATCATCATGCACTCACATGTGTTCTAAGAGTTGAGCTTTAACGCCTTACGTGACATACGCGCTCAATATACAGCGTCGCATCCAAACATGTCTACGACATTAAGACGCGTACAAATGACTAGACTTGGTCAGTCCTAAACATCGGGGACGCGCTTGCAAGTCGCAAGAGGTGTCAGGAGTTCAAACTCACACTACCGTTTGGCCGTGATCATGTACTTTGTGGTCGTCGTATAGCCACCCATTAACTGAACGTGTATACATGCATTGACAGCCTTATGCTTGTCAGTACGCGTTTAGATCTAATGCCATTGTATAGAAGGAGGACTTTGACGCGCTCGCTCAACGCGTAAAAGCGCGTTTTCTTGAACACGCACCGATGTGTAGCTGAAAGCTTCAACATTTCATCTGTACCCTGACTCAATTCTAGGTATTAGGGGACGCGTTTTAATTTGAAGTAGACGCGTTTCCCATTGCACGACACGATACTCTCTCTTCATTGTGTGTATAGGTACAAACGCGCCCTTGCACATGTTTTTCTGCTATTGCTCACGGATCCACAAATGTAGTTGCACTTTCAACAAGGCTGCGCGTCCGCCTAGAAGCTGCTGAGCTATGATGCCAATTGCAGCTAGCGTGATTCGTAGCTAAACTCGATTGTCGTCCACATCTGCTGCCCATACGCGTTTCCCACGCGACAGAATACCCCTGTACCAACCTACGCTGCATTGTTTCCACCGGACTGAGGTTTTGCAGCAAGCCATACGATATACGCTGCGTCGCTCTACGCGTACATGATGTGTCTCCGCGCGTTTGAACGTGTCCGAACGCGTCGAACAAACGCGTGACGAACCAATTTGGAAGCAACACCTTTCGTCGTCGTCTACGTGATTGCGCGCGTTAAATAGCAGTTCGTAGACAGCAATACGCGTTCGTCACAGCCATGCAGCGACAGACACCTCCTAGTACCCAACGCGTCAGGCGCCTACGATGTTGATTTAATCGTGCACGATATTGGATTCCACCACCAACTTTTTGATACTCTGTGCTGCATACTCCAACGCTGCGGTACCTATCTACAAAGTACGCGTCTCCCACTTCGACTTGGGCGATGGCCCTCGTCCTAGCAGTTCTTCGCTCCCTTGACCGAGAAACACCCAGCAAGAAATGTCCCTTCTCCTTGCAGGCACTTGCGACAAAGAGGGAGATAGTGGCCCTTTTCCTTGCAGTCAGTGGCGACAGATCCCTTGCTCGCGACATGAGCAGGAGGCGAGTATATCATGCGTCGTCTATGCAGTTCGGTAATCGACTCATTTTGCGGCGATGATGACGTTCTACACCGACCGCGATGCCAGCAGAACGAACTCTGATTCAGACCAGACCATGCTGTGCGAGCATTGAGACAACCTGGCGTTATGCAGAACGGCCACCCCACTCGACTCGTTGCACACGCCAGCAGCGGTAGCCTCGATGTTGTATGTCGGTGTGAAGTTGCGTTGTGCCACAGTAGCATTCTCGTGTGGTTGGCCATGTCGGTGAAATCAGTCCCATCTCGAGCACAGCAGCAGCAGGCAGCCTCCAGCTTGGTCTTGTGAGATCGTACGCTTCGTACACTGTTGGTATGGGTCGGGGAGAGGAGATCAGCGCAACACCCATACAGATGCGAGCTGCCTTGTCAGCACCACCATCAAAGACCTTCGAACCGTCTGGACTCCAGCAGCAGTTCAACGGGGCCCTCATGCTCGAAGATGGCCTTCCCCTTGCTCCAGCAATCGTTTGCAATCTCGTGTATCCGCACTTTCTTGTCCCAATTGGCGACTGCGAGGAGGTCCAGTTCAACAGGGCCTTCATGCTCGAAGATGACCTTCTCCTAGCTCGGGCCGTCGTTTGCAATCTCGTATATCCGCACTTTCTTGTCCCAACTGGCAACTGAGAGGTAGTCCTCGGTGGGACTGAAGCGCAAGTCGGAGATGCAGTACGCGGGCGGGTCTTTGCTGAGATCCCCTTGGGTTGGTTTGGAGTTGGCAGCCGCAGTACCGGCGGGAGTTGGCAGCTGCAGCGCCGGACGTCTGGGATGCTGTCCTCGTGTGGGTTGGAGTTGGCAGCCGCAGTGCCGGTACTACCAAAGATACCCGTCATATTTTAATTGCCGCGACCAGAAGCCGAAGAGGTGGCAGTATTGTAGTTCGACCGGCCCGAGGGGACTCGGGTCGGATGGCGATGCGCTGGGAGCGAAATGAAAAATTCCTGACAAGAGGGAAGGATAGAGGGTCATCAGCTCGTTCATCCTGGGCGAAGGTGTGTGAGACTCCATGCCCGGTAGCTATCCCCAGCGATCGATATAGGCATAGCAGTACCCCTGTCTCCTTCTTCATGCTGCCCGATGTAATCTCTGATGTGACGTGTTGGAGAGTGCTGACCTCCTGTGACGGCACCACTCTCAAGTCCAACGACGCCATCAACAAGAGACTTGCCAAGCCCACTGGCTACCACGTCAAGGATTTTGAGCAATGGTGGGGAAGGAAGGTCGTCGTCTGCGGGAACATCATCGTCCTGATGTCAGGGCATGTTTCGAAGCATACCTTTGAACTCGTCGAGTACGCCTGCGAAAGCCACCTTCATCTCGTCAAGCATGGCGGGCTCGTCGGCTGGTCGACGGTAGTGGCCAGTTGCGCCGGTCTTCGCTCTCCTCCCTCTTCTCAGACTTGTGAACATTCGATAACTGGTAGCGCCGGAAAGTCATGAGGCCAAGTATGTCCAAGGCAAGAGAGCTTGTCAAGTCTCATACGACAATGCTGGCCTGGGTGCACATGGCTCCACTCCAGGACTTCTTATCCACAATGGCAGATGGGACAGCGCAAGCTTGACTGGTATCGCCATCTTCGGCAGACAACAAGGTCGATCGTCACGTAGCTGTACATGCAATGGTTGACTTCTCTTCTTCTATAGTCGGTAGCCGAGGCGTGAGCCAGGTCATTTGGATGGGGCGTCTCGTTGTCGGTTGGGGCGAGCAATTCCATCGACGATTGGGATGAGAAACGCTTTGATGAGTGGCTGGGCTATCCTTGAGAGAAGATAGCATTGTCGTGCTTTTCCGCCTGGTTCAAGTTTGGATGGTATGCAAGTGCTTCTCGACGTGGAGCATCCCTCGTCCTTGTGGGTTTACAGTCTGCTCGGTGCCGATGACAAAATCTACCAGCATAGATTCCACATTGTCATCCTTGCTGAACGCTGAGGTTGGACGATAAGATGTAGATGCCTGGTCGTGCCATCGGTCGGTCTTGTTCGATGCGACGGGCAACTCTGACGGGGTATAAGCGTGTGAAGGGATCTGAATGTCCGTGTGACATACCGTTCTTCGGCGACCGTAGAACTGACTTTGGGACAGGAATGGATATGGAGGTATCGTAGACCGTTGTCGGTGTAGGCGGTGGTTGCAATGCGAGGGGCGGGGTGGCAGGCGAGTCTCACCCCATCAAAAGACATGGCAGGATAGAATCCCTGAGAAGCATTCGTCTCCAGTCCCAGGCTTTGCTCATTTCAACTGCTCATTCGGATTGATCAAGCACTGCTCACCCATAACGCCGATCAATATCCAGTCATACGGCACAGAGGAGTCGATGGAGCCCTTAAGAAGCGTCTCCTCGAGTCTTGTTTTCTCTTCTGAGTTCGGCTTCTCTGAGTCCTGGCTTGTCTTCTCGAGTCCTGGCTTGTCTTCTCGAGTCTTGGCTTCTCTTCTGAGTCTTGGTTTCTCTTCTGAGTCCTGGCTTCTCTTCTGAGTGAGCCTCTCTTCTGAGTCCGGCTTCTCCCCTCGAGTCTTGGTTTCTCTTCTGAGTCCTCGGCAGAATGTGGCAATTTTGGTGGTAAGAGCACATAATGAAACAAATAGTCCAGTTGGTCGACGCGAGATGTTGATACCACATCCACGAGTTCGGAGACCGGTAGAAGCGGATCATATGGATTGCCACGGTACAGCAAGCGGCGCCAAGGGGCAACGGGAGTTCGATACGGATCATCACGGCGCTCTCTGCGATTGCACTGGCCACGCCATGACAGCGTGAGTCTGATTCCACAAGTCCAGGCTCCCTGCGTATGTTCAGGCGTTTGCGACTGGACCCCCTCCAAGCTCTCCAAGCCACGTCACCGAGCTCGACGCCGCCGGCCACCCAGCACATTCTTGTCGACTTCTGGATCGGTATGAGATTGCGCCTCTTCTTGTTTCTTTCATCTGACTTCAAATAGAAAAGTCACCCAACGGCGTTCATGCCTGGTCCCTTGATTCCATGGATGAGACGGAAGATATCCAGCGCCATAGCTGCCGGCATCCTCGTCGACCCCTTGGCGGCCCCATCCCCTCCTCGCTGTATTCTTCGCATAGCAGAAGGAAGGCCCTTCACCTGACCGAAGTTGAAGACTCGGGACAGAAGCCAAGGTCGGAGAAGAGTGGACCATTGAAGATCGGCAAGGAGAGGAGGCATCTTCTCAGAACAGATGCCAGACCCGGCGACGGAACTGAGGACTCGGAACAGAAGCCAGAACTAGAGGAGACTGCTGAGGCAGCTGAAGACTTGGAACGGATGCCAGAAGATGAGGCAGCTGAAGATCCAGAACAGAAGCCAAGAGGGAGGATCCAGAAGGTATGCAAGTACACGTTTGCCTACATGCCATCTGATGGGTCGTAGGTGGGTAGATGCCGTCGTGGGTGGGTGGATGCCGTCGTAGGTGGGTGGATGCTGTCGTAGGTGGATGCTATCGTGGGTGTTTTGCGAGTGTCGTGCGTGAAACTGGCGGGAGCTATTTGCTGTGGAGGGGTTCTCGATGACGTCAGCGAACGCGAGTTAGTAGCGTCTGCACGTGACAGTCCGCTTGCTTGCCTTGACTTCAGCTGTCCACCCCCAAATCATGTCACTCCTTTTCATTCTCTTCTAGGTATAGGACGCAGCAACGCAGCACCGCAAGTCACCTTCCATGATATCGCCGATGGTAAGTGTGTGGAAATGCTGGGGACCAGCAGGACAGTGAGAAAGAAGAATTTTGGTGAATACCTGTGGACACCTCCCCACCCCTTTGGATCGATGCTATTGCCCTGACCCCTCCACCTCTGCATCTATAACGACAAGTCCCTTCATGACGCCACTACGCTTGATTACCATCTCGTCGACAACCAGCGAAGCAATAAACATGGCTTCTTCATCCCCTGCATTCTCGCTGCGGACATGATGACAGCCAGGCGGTTCGTACCAGCTCTCACCCTTTTTGTACACCTTCGGTCCAACGGTATGCCCATCCGCGCAGATCATCTGATTCAAAACACACCCCTGTATCACTGTCGCGGAGACAGCAGCGCCCCCGTGAGTGTGTGGAGGAGTGGCGGCGTTGACAGGGCTTGTGACCTTTAACCCGACGAACGCGAGTCCCGGCATGTTCTGGGGGGATTCGTGCCATTCGAGCTCGACTTGATTTGGTAGTCGCCTAAGCGGAGATGAGTGTCGTTGTCGAGCTTCTACGGCGCAACTCACCCTTCCACGATCCATCCCCCGTCTTTCTTTACCACCTTCTGGGCTTTCCAGTCCATTCCCAGATCTGGTTGAAATGGCATCGTAGATGAATGTTCGACAATACAACCGACGATGGACACCTGCTGGATGAGCTTATATATTGTACAGCAGGTACGAAAGCGGCATGGGTCTCGCAGAAGCTAGCCTTTACGAGGAGCTGTTTGCCTAATTCCGAATCCAGCTATAGATTCGGGTCAAGCTCTCTGCGACCACCACAGACATGGCATAGATCTCCCCTCGATTGACGATATGGAGCGAATGGCATCGAAAAGTTTTGGGAGATAAGCTGTGAAAGTAAATCGAGAAGGGCCAGCTTTTCCAGTGCTGATGGTTGTGCCGTTCATCATGCCAAAGAGCTCACACACCATCGTTGAAGCTATAAGTCTTGTCCCAACGCTTGGCACAGTCAGCACCGGTAATAAGATCAACTGGAAGACAAACCTTGTCCCACTCCTTGCTAGAATCGACGAATCGCAGGTCCGTGCCAACCCTAATAACCCCTTCCGTGTCGTAGTTCATTGTTGAGGCATGAATCTTTCGAATGAGCACATGAAACGTTGGGCGTATTTTCGGGAGACTTACTGCAAAGGCATTGTGAAGAACGACGTCTCCGGCTTCATAACCGTTTGCTGCAACCAGCCATCGTCGCTGGAAGTCTCTCGAGAACTCCGCTGGCCCTGGAGCAATGGGTCAGTATTAATAGCCGCAGTCAAGGACATTGATCTTACCATTGTGAAGCATTCCGCCATGCATCATATTAGCATTGAACGCGTTCCTGGCCTCCTCGTCCGAGAAGCCGGTTTGCTTCGCTTTAATGGTGAAGTCCTTCTCCATCTCAGCGCCTATAGTGTGGCCCCTGAAAGATGTCAGTACGATCAGGAGCAGCGACGAAGCCGACTCACTTCTCAAGATAGATGAGACCACCACCTGTGACTTTCACATCGCCCAAAGGTACCCAAGCAGTTACTGCAGTGTCCGCTCCGTGTCTAAGGAAGATCTGATCATAGTGCACGCCAATCGCCTTGTTGCCGGGGGTGTTGTTTCTCAACAACGTCCGCTTAATAGCCATCGTATTATCCTGCCAGCTGGTGAAGTCTTGAACAAATTTCAACAGAGCGGGATGCTTGCAGAACGTCTCCTTATACCAATCTTCGTTGTGTGCCTGCAGAGCCAGGTCTACGAATTTGCTGGCGATTTCTGGGTTAGGCCCGATAGGACGTCCATTCTCATCTTGACCCCCAGCCCCTATACCAGGATAATCACGATGATCTTTGGACGAGTCAAATATGCCTTGGACTGGCCGTGTCCCTGGCTTGAGACAGCCACTTGGTTGCAGAAGACTAAAATACTGCTCTCTCGCTTTCAAGACGTCCTGTCGTGGAAGAAGCTGCTTGAGAAAGACGTAGCCATCTTCATTGTACCGCCGCCGGATCTCTTCGATAGGCGCGTCCAACGTCGTCTCTCTCAAGGCACCGACTTGATCTGGTTGGAGTGGACCATCGTTGACATAAAGCTGCTGGCCGGTCCACGGAGCTGGAGGATCGTAAGTTGCGTGTGGCATGGTCTCGATAAAGAGTGAGAACTGGCGGTGAGGCCAAAGAGTCGCATCGATGAATCGTCTCTTATTATTATGTCCAACACATTGTACGTCGACAATATGTAAAAGTACGCACGTTGCCACAAGACCCACAGGACGGGCATACATGCTTCTTCCGGATGGCTGGATGGGGACAGCTTCCTGGTAGATCCTGGAACGGAAATCATTCCACGAAGATGGTGCTGCTATAGATGAACTTCCGCCTTCGCTCTCCTCCACTGTTAGGTCATATTCACACATTAAGAAGGGGGCAAGAAAGGATTGGAAACCAGCCATGATGATAGTTTGCCTACAGGACCTCGCTATCCAAGGCCCATTCACAAGACCGGCAGACAGCACCAGGATTGGAAAGGGGGAACTCGAAGGCCATGTAGTGTGCGTTTTCTCTGGGTGCTGATGGCCCCGATCTTCTACCTTCATCGCCTGTGCACCAACGACCTTCCCTTCTACAGATTCGACAGACTCCGCCTCGCCTGCGCCATCTCACCAGGAGGCACCGGATAGTTCTTGCTCATCCACACCTTCTCATCCTCGCTCTTCCACTACTTTCCGTCAGCAAGATTGATACGTCCTTACTTCACAGACCTTACCTCTGGAGGAGCCTGGCCGTTAATCTTCCACAAGAGCCTCTCAGTCTCGTCGATGTGATACTCCCAGTCGTACCCCTTATCGTCGATGTGCGGCTTTAGCAACTTGTCGATTTTATCGGTGAGTGACTTGTAGACGTTCTTGTCCTGGGGCAAGTTGATGTGTATGTGTGCTATCGCGATCCTAGCGAACGGCTTCCCACGAGCAGAGGCTTGCTCGCCGCCGACGAAGTGCGATGAGTGAGGCACCTGGATGAAGTTGACGACCACATAGAATGCTGGCATCACTCTCGCATAGTGAGCGGTGATTGCCCGGGCCAGGGCTTGCTTGTGAGCATCATCCTGGAATGCGTCAGGGCCATGGAATATTTGCCAGTGAGGCATGGTGAGGGTGTGGGTTTGGAAATTCTAGCAGTCTGTGAATGCCCTTGCTTCGTCCAGCATCAAATAGTCCAGGCCCAGCTAGCAGAGACGATCAAAAACCACTACGGCCGAACTATGAAACATTCAAGGATATTAATCGACTGTCATGAAGGTCTGCCAATGTACAAACAAGACAATTTCGTCGATCAGTAATCAAGATCAGCGCCCAGATTTGTCTAAGGTTGAGCTACTGTAGACATAACCGCGGCTCTCACTAATACTGTCTTGACCATTGGAAAAGCATGTATGAGACGTAGCAGCCATCTTATCACACCCAACGTCAAATCAAAATGGGTGCCAACGAAGTCGTCTTCATCATCGGCGCGACTGGATTCATTGGGTCTCATGTTGTCAACTACACGCTCCAGGCAGGATACAAAGTCCGCTTAAGCATACGCCGAAAGGAACAAGAGCAAAGCATCCGAGCTTGGCTGCAAGGACGAGATGAAAACGTCGAGTTTGTACATATCCCGGACCTGGCAAAGCCTGGGGCATTTCAAGGAGTGCTGGACGGCATCGACTACATCTTTCACCTTGCGAGCCCACTCCCTGGGAAGGGAGACGATGTCAGGAAAGACTACGTTGAGCCCGCAGTGACTGGTACGACTGCAATTCTCGAGCAAGCCAAACGACATGAGAGAATCAAGTTCGTAATCGTGGTCTCCTCGATCTTGGCATTGATACCGATGGGAGGTATCAGGAAGCCGCCAGTCATCCCAAAAGGTTCGTAAAGCTTACAGATCAAAGCAGATGCAAGACTAACAGCATGGCAGCGAACAGCGGAGAGCGTTTGAAGGTGGACATCACGAGAAAGTTTCCCGCAGGCTTCCCGGGCCATGGTGAGCTCAGCAGTGCAACACCATCAAACACCGACTAATGGTCATGCATAGGAATGAAATACGGCGCGTCGAAGATCCTAGCCCAGCAGGCCACCCGAGACTTCGTGGCGAAGGAGAGGCCCCTTTTCAAACTGATCACGTATGTGAAGCTTGCGTCATGTCATCTTTGGTCATGCTGACACTGCGCGTAGCTTCCACCCGACGTTTGTCCTTGGCGATAGTCTGATCCAGAGAACGTTCAAGGAGCTTGATGGGATGAACGCCCAGCTCTGGAACTCGCTTCCGTCAGAGGAGCCACTGATCCCTAGTGCCTTCGTGCATGTTCGAGACGTAGCACAAGCTCATGTTGCGGCGCTGCGAAATCGAGATTCGCTCAACACTGGAACGGAGTACATCTTGTCGACGCAGCCATTCGGATGGGACAGAGTCGCCGACGTTGTTAAGGCAGAGTTTCCACAGATAGACGTGAGGCTGAGAAAGGGGCCATTTTCGCAAGACGACTGGCATGTCGATACAACATTAGCGGATCGTGATCTTCAGATTAAATGGCGCAGTGGGGAGGATATGGTGAGGAATGTGCTCAATCAGCAGCTAGCATTGAAGCAGAAGGCCAGTCTGTAACGGACTGGCACGTTTTTGTGGTGGCTCGTTATATTCGAACTTTTCTTGATACCAGAGTAGATCTGTTGGTAATGCCCGCAATATCCTGCGGACAGTCTCAAACCCGGAATTGATTGATCCTCGGCTGTACATAATTGTATGCAGCTACAGGTAGACACACTCGTCAGTACGTGCTCTTGGCAGTGTGATGTTGATATGAGGACTTGCCTTGGCGGAAATTGTCCAGCATAACACTGTTGCTCCCCAACCCGAAATTCAAGAGCGAAGGAGTCGAGTTGCTCCAACGCGGCCATTGAATCACTGGACCAGCAAGATTCGCAGAGTTCGGATCGAGGTCATAAATGAGGTTGATGTAGTAGCTAGAACACCATCATCAGCAAGCGCTCCTCACAAATCTCGATGATCACTCCTGAACGTACGTATGAAACGACCTGGTTGGAACGGTGGTGTTTGACGGAGTGAAGAACGAGTAGATCACATCCGTAGCATGGAATGTGCCCAGAATCGGAGTTCCGTAGGCGAAGGTGGACAGATAGCTCCACGCCGGTACACCCTACACACTGTCAGCCGTCGGAGGTCTACTTCATTCAAGCTTAACTTACGTCATTCGTGATGAAGTTCAAATAGCTACGACGAGTGAGAGTGAAGGTAAGATCTCCAAGAATGGCAGCCTGCGACTCATCAGATTGTGCACTGCATACGCTGTGGTGGTGATGATCCTACCAGCCTCTTGAACTGCGGGTAGATGTTGTTCAAGCCGCCTGTCCTGAACGGGCTCCCAGCTGGTTGGCCAGCAACAACTATGTTTGAGTACTGTGCAGCAAGATTCCGTGCATTCTCTACATTGTTAGGATCAGCTGGGAAGTACGATGCGACGTAGTTGACCAGATCGTCATTCGTGGTGATGTTCGACTGGACGAGGGAGAAAAGCGTCCCTACAGAGGAAGTCAGCAGGATTCGAACACATTTGCCGGCAGGCCTGACCTTCGTCCTCTTGGTCTCCAACAATGGTCGGAACTTTGGCATATCGTGAAGCTTGTAGGGAAACTTCAGGGCTTTCAGAAAAGAAGCTATCACCCGGATCCGGTCGGGGAAGGTAGGAGAGATCCACTGATCGGTAGCTGAAGATGCCTGGGACGGAACTGACGGCACGCAAGAACGTAGCATAGTCCAAGCCACGAAGACAGCTGACAGTATTCGCACTACCAGCACATGGGCTGCTCGCAACGACCTTGTCGTATATCGCTTGAGGCTTGGGGGTCGAAACATCTGTTGCCGGGATGACAGAGCCGGAGTTCATGATAGCCGCGCGAAACCACTAGGTGGCGAGTGTGAGTCTCATCCTGGTCCCTCTTCCTTTACTGTACTCACCGGCTTCCCATTGTACGTGTTGTCTCCGCCTGGATTCGATGTCAGCCTCGAGATCATTGATTAAGAGACCAATCTTTCTCACCATTAATGACCGTGTGATCAAAGACTGAGATAGACCCGGCGCCTTTTAATCTGTTAACAGATCCTAAGGAGAAGACTCAGCCGCAGCACTTACTCTCGCCCCAGATAGTCACCTTGCTAGGATCTCCTCCGAAGGCAGCAATGTTCTCCTGGACCCACTGCAGTCCAAGGCGTTGATCACGAAGCCCCAGGTTAGTAGCGCCGTCAGCAGCGAGTTCTTTTCCAGCAAGGAAACCAAAGCCGTTCAAACGAGAAGGGCGTCAGTTTGTAGTGAGAGGAACAGAGCGATTGACGACATACCGATAGTTGACAGCCACGTAGACGACCGGTTTGCCCAGATTGACGCTCGACTTGATGAAATTCGATCCATCGTACATCGCTGACCTGAGAGCGCGAATTTCAGCTTTGGTCGAGGTTTGTTATCGGCCTCCAACTCACCACCCTGCTTCAAAGCCACCGCCATAGATCCAAAAGATCACAGGAAGCTTCGAATTCGCCGTCGTTCCAGCAGGACGTTGCACGGTGATGCTGAGACAATCCTCTTTCTGATTGATCGCGACCTGAGCAATGGGACTTTGGACCAGCTCTCCAATGATATCGCCAACAACGCTATTGGGCAGATCACTCAAGTCCAAGTTGTCCACTTGAAAGGCAAACTGCGGGCATGCTGCTGCAGACTTGGACGCATCAAATGTACCTCCAGGAAACCCTTGGGTCAGAGACTGTGGTGGCCGAAGTCGAAGATTGCCAACTGGTGGTTGCGCGAAGGGAATGCCAGAGAATGAATCGATACCGCCAGAACTTGTTCCCACGACTGTACCATTTTTGATGGTAGCCGTTGGCGCTGACTGCCTGCCGTGGATCTCCTGGACTTCGGTTGGCAGACCTGTAACTATGCTCGCCAGTCCGGCGAGAAAGAGGATTGACTTGCGCATCACGACCGATGTAACTGTCCTTTGGAGTCCATTGCGACGCGAGGAAAGACGCCACACGATCTTTATACTTACCACTCCTCTTGAGCGACGGTAGCCTACTGTGCGCTACCTACGTGCGGGAAGCAAGGTCCGAGCCTTAAGATGCGCTACATGTGTATAGCGTTGCTGTTGGTAAAAAGGGCGTTCGCCTGCTGTACTGTGGCAGTCAGATCGCTCTCGCATTGGCTTGATGGGACGCTCTCTTGCCCTCGGCTTGCTGAACAGCAGGCTTCGATGAATGGCCATCTTGCGCTCAAAGACGCAGAGTCAGGAGGACCAACCTCGTATATTCGAAGATTGTACGAGGCAAGCAAGAAGCAAAAGTCAATCCTGCGGGGTTGGAAGACTGGTCGCCTGGTTCGGCTGGCGATCTGCGAACGGCAAATCGTCCGGTCCGGAGTGCATGTGATGGAGAAGCCGAGGCTTCAGCACAAGTACACGGCCTCCGTGACCCGCCAAAGGAATTGAGTAACGTCAATCACGGTAATCGTAGCAGTGATATGTCTATTTGTATCAACAAGAACAATACGGATAGGCTGTACTTCAGCTCACAGGCCTCAGACGACAGTACAATGGCGGCTTCTCCCACATGATGAAGATCTTGTGCTGTATCCAACTCTGACTCTCCTCACAAAGCTCGAGATCGAAGTTGTACAGCACTTTGGTCAAGATGAGACGCATCTCATGGTATGCCATACTTCGGAGGCACATCAATGTCAGCACAGGCAACATGAACACATAGATGGCAAGGATTCACTTCTTGCTCAAACAAGCCCTGGGTCCAGTCGAGAAAGGCGAGAAGCCAGACTTCTTCTCCCTGCCATATAGCGGCGCAAAGGTACCAGCATCCTTCTCAGACAGCCAACGCTCTGGTACATCCTAAGACTTTCTTCCAAACAAGCATTGAGATAAGGTAGGGCCTGCAGTCGTTCGATTGAAATTTCCGTCTCTGACGAAAAGGTCGAGCGAATCTCGTCGGTGAGTTTCTGCAGCTTGGTCGAATGCGTCACGAGATAGTAGGTCAGACCGCTTAATAGCGTGGCCGTCGTCTCCGTACCGGCGATCATGAACTTAAGGAAGGATGTTGTCAGTCAATGTGTTCAAACATTTGGATTCAAGCCTCACCAGGTTTGCGTTCGAGTACATTTCTTGCCTGGTCAAGCCATTCTGTCCCTCCTTCTCGAGTACCAATCCCCACATGTCCGGCCTTGCATCCTGCTTCTCCAATCGTGTGTCGACTCTCTGCTCTGAAAAGTTTTTGTGGAGCGCCATCTGACCAAGGACTTTCTTGGGAATGCAGAACCGGAGTAACAATCCCTCGAGACTGGGTACACGGCCAATCAAGGGCAGATGCCGGATGCTATGCACGTAGACGCCGAACTTGAAAGACGAGAGCATCGCCTGCACCCAAGGATGGTAACTCGATTTGTCGAGCATGCCCAGGGGTTCTCCCTATGATCTCGTCAGCTCTGGGGTCTGGAAAGTATGTGGGATGCACTTTACGAATGTGAGATCACCCATAATGTCCTGCTCATGAATTAGCCAATTGCCGGGGTATCAAGGCACTCCAGACGTACGAAATTTGTAAAATTCCACATCTGAACCATGTCGAACTTGTGGCGACGGTCCTGGATGAGAGCCTCGCGCATATTTTTGATCAGCTTATCCACATGTGTTAGGAACAATGGTTCCTGTAGCTTTAAAGCGCGATCGGAGAAGGCGTGTGCAAAGACACGTCGCATGCGGGCGTGGTCGTCGAAGTCGCCGTTGACTATGTCGCGTTCCTTGAGACGAAATGTTAGTCTATAACACGTCCCCAAGAGGGTCAATGTCGAGGATTACGAACACCGGATGGGGTCCTGTAGAATTGTGGATCTTTCTCAAGCGTTCGCAGGCCAGCCTTTTTGTGTCCGTGGATATCTCTGTACGCTCCGTTGCCGCTGAAGCTCAGTTCATTCGGTGCAACTCGTACGACCTCGCCATATCTCTGATGAAGGTCGACGATCCAATACACTCCATCTCCTCTCAATCCTGCTGCGGTGAGAGGTATGTTGCTGATAGCAGAGGTGATGGGACCGGGAAACTTTCGGAGCGGATGAAAGAAGAGGTTGTATGCGTATGTTGCGATCTGGACAAAGGCAAGGAGTAAGGGGACGGCAAAGGCTATGCCCCCAAGCGTGCTGGGCAGAAGCTGTAGAAAAAGGCCACTTCCCATGGTGAGCTGATTTCTTCGACAGATCGATCTTGTTTGTTAGTACATAGTAGAGATAAGACGGGCAGTGGCATTTTTAAAGGGCAGCCCTTCTACACCTGTGACGATCGCAGGAGATAGTACGAATGCACAATTGATACCGGCTGTCGGTTTGGCGATGCAAGCAATCTCGCTCCGAAAGCGATCGTAGGACGAGCGGCTACCACAGAGCCAAGTGAGATGGGTTTTGTAGGTGGACATGTGCACGTACAGTCGGCAACTGCTGCATCCGGTCCTGTGCGGCCCAATAGACTACGCGGCCATGTAGGGAAGTCACATAGCCAGCAGTGGTGGTCGTCTCTGCTGCGTATTGCCAAGTAGATCCTAAACAGTGCACGCGTCAGCTCGTGATGGCGAAGAGCAGACGACATTGTTTGAGGAAATACTTCAGGTGTCGTCGTGGCTCTCTTTGGGCGCTTCGGATTCGATGCTGTGAAAGATCCCCGGTATACGACGACTCGGACAGCGGTACGAGGTTCGGGTCTGTCTGCCGATCAAACACTTGGGGCTGATGGTGCTTGATGCCAAGGTAGAAGGAAGACAGAGACCGTAGTTTGCAACGGAGGGATGCACGAGCGAGCTGATTGCTGCAGATCGTATGCTGCATCATTTCTTGTCACCATCTCCTCTACTTTCAACCACCGTGCGCTGCTTGTTGGACTCGTGCTACCTCAGCGCTTGGCTGGTTGCTCATGGCATTGTTGGTGGATCGTGACGGTCGTCATGGCGGGCCGCCCAGAAATCTTGGTAAAGCTTGTCGTCTTTAATGACACCTCGCAAGGCGGCCACTTCGTCTTCTCTTCTTGAACATCTTCCAACACGCTCGTCGCATCGCAAACGAGCCTTCCGGAATGGCGATTGATGGCCGTCATGCTTGCGGCCACCGACAATGGGAAGGTGCCTTCTCAGCGAGCTGTACGCATGCCCGGCTCCACGTCGTATCCATCAGAACCAGCACTTCTTTCAAACTCGCCATCCTGTATGCATAGCATTTCAGCCGGCCTGGGACTGTGGCGCTCATAGCACGATCGCATGGATGCCCCGGATAACAGCGTTGCAAGGATGCCTTTGCGGTCTACCAACGGCAATTCGCAGCAGACATACCATCCTCTCCTTGACCCAGATAGAAGGAATACAAGTATAGGAGAAGCAGACACGAATCGTCGAGGCCCCTTATCAGTCGTTTGACGTTGGGCAAGGGCACTTCGGCCGACGAAACTTCGGCTGTGGAGTGCAGAACGCGCCTCTGAGTTCTCACCATGTTGCCGCGGACTGCCGGAAGGATCTACAACAAGCCGCCCGGAGACCTTGTCACGTAGACATGGCAGCAACATCATTGACAGTCTCTTCATCATTCCGCCATCATCGTTCGGCAGATGAGGAGGGTGACACGCAAGTATCTTGGCTTGGCCAATATTGCCTTCTTCGCCGGCGCGCTTTGCCTCGTCCTCTTCATAAACCTTGGATCATCCTCGCAGGACCGCGTTTTTGACTGGAATACCGTCCGCTACAAATCGGCGGCAAGATCTCTACCAGAAGCCAGAGGAGCTTGCCCGGGCTTGTCACAAACAAGAAAGCCAGCGCTCGTGATCTCTAGAGTAGCAGCCGATGGCGACTCGGCGTGGTTGAAACCACTCGAGAAAAAGTATCATCTATGCGTCTACACCGTCGATGATGCAAAGGACAGGGCCTCATATCATCTGCAAGTCCCTGCGAACAGAGGCCATGAAGCCATGGTCTTTTTGACATTCCTTGCCGACAACTACGAGAACATACCGGCAGCTGGCGCGGTCTTTATCCATGGAGCTAGGTACCAATGGCACAACGATCAGCCAGAATATGACAACCTCGATCTGCTGTCATCTCTCAATGTGTCGAATGCTCTGAAGCCGTACGGATACCACAACCTACGATGCGACTGGAGCGCAAGTACATGCTCGGCAAAGGAGTCTGTCCCGCAACGAAGCCTCGAGACCGTCTTCAAAGCGCGCTTGCAACCCTGGGATGCCCGCGCAGTCTCCGACGTGGCTCTTTCAGACGCCTTGGTGACCTTGTTTGGAGGGGGAAAGCCGAATGAGCAAGTCCTTTTAGGCCGCTTCGATGCCGTACGTTCACAGTGCTGCGCGCAGTTCGTTGTATCGCCACAGCACATCTGGCAGCATTCACGAGCTGAATATGTTGCACTGAGACAGTGGCTACTCGACGGCGGCCATGGTCAAGGAACTGCACCTTTGGACGACAGAGTGGCAGGAAGGATCATTTCCTATGTCTGGCACATCTTGTTCATGCAAGATGCCCGCAGTCCCATAAGCCTCGACCAACTGAACGCTCAAGCATGCCCTTCCGCCCCAGATTGCTATTGTCGCCTCTACGGCCGATGCAACTTGCAAGGCTGCACTAGTGGTGGCTGTCGTGGACAGTACAACCTGCCTCCTGGCTTCAGACTTCCCGCTGGCTTTGAAAAGGCGCACGTAGGATTGACATGATACTGGAGAAGCGCAGACATAGGTCTTACTGCTCTCGATTATCAAGTCAAGCTACACGAGGCGATTACTCGGGACGACCAGCACGTGGGGCAGCTCGGGATTTGCTATTCGTGGCATAAAATGTCCGGAAAGAACCCTGCTGGAGGCCATCAATGACGGACGAAATTCTTCGACGAAGGCCTGACATTTGCAGATCTCACGAGTTCAAACGCTTCAACAAATTTTTAATTACCTCGTTGAAGCTCGTCACCCATACACAAATATGCTACCTTTCTCGTGGTTTGTGGTCTGCTTTACCCTCCTGATCACGGTTTATGGGCACGATCGAACCGTGATACATTTTCCAGAGGCCGCTACAAAGTCAGTATTCTCGGCACCGACTACCCTACCGCTCTCCAACAATTGCTCTTACCCATATCTTGGACACAAGAGTCAAGCCAACCTCTCATCAGCTCACCTTCCATCTCAATCTCGACATTGTATCGTCACACCATACGGCTGGGGAAGAGACGACTCATCTCAGATACTCGCGGCCACCCAGAAATGTGCTCGCAACAGTGTCATCACGCTTCCAGCGCCCTTCGTGTACACCATCTCGAGGCGAATGTACATGAAACTGGATAACGTACGCTTGGAGATCCTCGGCACGCTCTCGTTCACGCCCGATCTTTTGTACTGGATCGGAAATTCCTTCCGCGTGGAGTTTCAGAATCAGTCCACAGCGTGGATCGTCGAGGGCCATGATGTGATTGTCACTGGTGGCGGGTGGAGACAGGGCGGTATCGACGGGAATGGCCAGGCGTGGATGACACGTGCTGCGGGACACAGCAATCAGTTTGGCCGTCCAATTGCGCTATCTCTCTACAATTCGTCCAATGTGCTTGTGGAAGACTTCTCCATATGGCAGCCACAGTTTTGGTCTTTCATGGTGCAGGATAGCAGCAACATCGAGCTGCGAGGTATTTACATCAACGGCACGAACACCGATCCCAATGGCAATTCTTCAAACTACGAGACAAATATAGACGGCTTGGACACACTCCGTGTGGATAACCTCACTGCCGCCGACTGGCTCTTCCACGGCGGTGACGACTGCCTGGCGCCGAAGGGTAACAGCACCAACTTGACGTTCCGCAATCTCACCTGTGTCGGTGGAGGTGTCGCATTCGGGTCGTTGGGCCAATATCCTGACTCGCCTGACTACATTCACTCCGTTTGGGCGGAAAATATCACCGTTGCTCAAGCAGTGAGCCCCATCCTCGGCGGCGCAAATGTCTCGGGAGGAGCCTACTTCAAATCCTGGGTCGGTGTCTCGGAAGGCGAGCCACCGCAAGGAGGCGGTGGAGGAACAGGCTCTGTCGCGAACGTGACATTCACCAACCTGACGGTCCACAACACCACAAACGCCATCTCCATCAACAAGTGCTACTTCAAGGTAGCCGACCAAGCAAACTACTGTGATACCAGCACGCTCGAGTTCGGGGACTTGCACTTTGAACATGTACAAGGCTTCGTCAGCGGCGACGTGGCGATTGCCTTGAATTGCAGCGCGGCGATGCCATGTCGAGATATTGAGATACGAGATGCATTCTTGACCTCTGCAAAGAATGGGAGCACCAAGGTTACGTGTGACAATGTGGTGAATCTAGAGGGTCTCCGATGCAACACTACCCTGTCGCGGTAAAGAGAGATGGGTGGCGTCTGCACACCCACCTCCTCGGGCACAGCCCGACTTGTTAGCTCTGCTGATCTTATGCAGCTTCGCCAACTCGTATTTTAATTGCCCAAATACGGAAGGTATGTGTCGCTGCTGCAGATCTTCAAAATCACGGGTCCAAGGCCCTAAAAGTGGCCGGGCGGTCATCATGGATATTTGAGAATCAAGTACAATAAATCTGCACACAACAGAATGAATACTGTCGCACTCCTTCTCGCGATTTTGCTCGCCAACTGCATTCCAGTTCACGCCGCTTGCCATGACTACGTGCTCATCAACACACATGGAACCGGTGAGCCACAAGGAGAATCAATCGGCTTCAGGGGCATGATTTCAGATGTCCTGGCGGCCCTTCCGAACGGCGTCCGTTACGATACGGTCTATCCTGCTGCGCCAGACCTCACTCAGCAGACTACCTTTATTGGATCGAGTGATATTGGAAATGAGATCCAACAAGGTCTGCAGTCATGTCCTGAGCAGAGGTACGCTTTGTTGGGGTACTCGCAAGGTATGATATCCCGAGAAGATCCCTCCTTGCAGGATGTTTTATCAGTCCATGTTGTACGGAACATCGATTACTTACACCTCCCTAGGCGCAACAGTAACCAACGAAGTCCTCCAAGCCTTCTCGCCCACGAGTGCTCAGGGTCAATCAATCGAAGCCATCGTCCTCGTCGGCAACCCATACCACCGCCCAAACAAAGCGGGCAACGTCGACGAAGACTGCGGGACCAGCACCGCAGGCGCCAGTGGTGTCCTCCTGCCTACGGCGAACTATACGATTCCTGATGCGTGGTACGCGACGGGTAAGGTGAGGGATATCTGCTTTACGGATGATCCAGTCTGCAGTGGATACGATTTGGGGACTTTGTTCAGTCCGAGTCACTTTTTCTATGGTTTCAGTAAGAGCGTGCAAGAATGTGGGAGGGAGTTTCTGGTGGAGATGCTTTCCTGATGTTAGATTGGGAATGCATCCTGTCCAATTGAGAATGGGCACTGCTACGAAGCTGCACATGCTCATTAGAGGCCATTAATGCTGAAGTTTGCTAGCAGTCGATCTCTCGAGTGCTGTCCATGTGAGACTAGCACCTATAACGTCCGTGGATTCGTCTCTTAGGAGACTTTCGAAGAATTCCCAGACGACAGCCTGAACAAGCTGACGTCGTTCCGTGTCTTTCCTATTGCCACAAAACATCTCGACTCATTTGTAGCTCTGCTCGCACTCAAGTTCCCAAAAAGGAAATAGCAAACTTCATGCTTTCCGCTCGCTCCCAAAATTCTCAACGAGCTACGGAACTATTTCGTACAAATAATTCGAGACACCCAGTGTCATGGCATTCTCATGTTCCACATCAAAAGACTACACAGACTTACTATGGTTCGTCACTTCACAATGCAAGCAGTCCGCATCCACCCCAACCCATCGAAACCCTGGGGTCCCGAGAACCCAGCTCCGTCCTCAGCGCTGCATCTCGACAGCAACATACCCATCCCCAAGCCCTCCAAGCCCGGCGATGTCCTGGTACGAGTCAAAGCTACGACGCTGGTCCGCGACACGCTCACCTGGCCCGAGATGCTCGCAAAAGAATATCTCACACCTGGAAACGATTTCGCCGGCGTGGTTGAAGCAGTCGTCGATGAGAACTCTTCGGAATTGAAGCCCGGTGACAATGTATTTGGTATGATCAATGCAGATCATGGTGGAGCCTGGGCACAGTACGCTCTCGTCGATGCTGAGAAAGGGGAGATTGCGAGGAAGCCTCCTCATGTTGGATTCGAGGAAGCTGCAAGCGTGCCCTTGAGCGCTTTGACGGCGTGGCAGGCGTTGTTCCACAAAGGCGGAATTGCAGCACCGTCCTCGAACGGGTCTGCAACAGCCAAAGGTACCAACGTCCTCATCATAGGTGCGTCTGGAAATGTTGGCATCTTTCTCGTGCAGTTGGCTGCATTGGCTGGATGCCATGTCATCGCTGCGAGCACATCCAACGCAAGGAACGAGGACTTTCTCAAAAGTCTCGGAGCGAGCGAAGTGGTGGAGTATAGCCAGCTCTGGGCCCGAAGTGCGGTCTACGACGTAGCCGTGGACACAGTGGGAGGAGAAGTACTTTCCAAGATATGGCCCCTCGCGGCCCCCAACGCAACACTAGTGTCAGTAGACTCTGCCAGCTATGACTTCGTCAAAGAACTTCAGCCAACCTCCCGGCAGGACGTCAAGGCGATCTGGTTCATCGTGTGGTCGTCGCAAGAAGATCTCACGCAGGTTGCCGCATTTCTCGAAGCAGGTACATTGAAAACGTTTGTGTCGGCAACGTATCCCATCGAGAAGGTACAAGAGGCGTATGAAGTCGCCAGTGGGAGATCAACCAAACGAGGGAAGATTATTTTGACTATATGAGCAGATCACAAAGTTGGAATATGCTTGATATTATCTTCAAACAGTCCTCTTTTGTAAGCCGCCGGCTGTCTTTACGATAAGAATGTAAATAAAGAAAATTGACTCCAATTATCTAAGATGTAAGTTCTTTGTCAAAAAGCACACACACCAACTACTGCCCTCGAACACTGACTTCACCAACATGGCCATGTTCTAACTCAAGAACCTCACCACATCACCCGCAAACTCCTCCGCGAACTGGAACAAGAACCCATGCCCAGAATCCGGCCAAATCTTCAACCTGGCATCCGGGAGTTTCTGCTGAAGCACAAAACTATTCACCGTCGAAATCGTAAAGTCATCTTTTCCCTGCCCAATCAAAACCGGAACTTTCACTTCGGCCAGACGATCGAAACTACCTTCGGCTCGCTGCTCTTCTGAACTCCAACGCCCCAACGCATTCGCCATATTCTGCAGACCCTCGCCGCCGTCGGCGTATTGCCAGGAGACAAGCTCGGTGCGTTCTTCGCCGCTGGTTTCCTTTGTGCGTTCGTGGATGCGGGACCAGTAGGCTCTGGCTGCGGCGTGGCTAGACTCGCTGTCGTAAAAGAAGAGCTTTTGCATGTTCTCAGGTTTGGCCTCGGCGCCGGCTGCATTTGCGTTGATCTCTTGAGATCTTGCTTCATCGCGCTGTTCGACGCCTGAACCCCAGCTGGGGCTCGAGCCGGCGATGATGAGACGTCGGATCAAGCTATTAAAAACACATGTTCGTCAGCGGAGTTGATTTCAATGTGACTGGGCCGCACCCGACCACTCACCCTTTCGGCGCCTCCAACGCCAAAATCTGCGCGATAAACCCTCCCATGCTGAAGCCAAGCACATCAACTTCGTTGATACCCAGCAGCTTCAAGAAATCCAGAGCATGGCTTGCCATGTCCTTGACCGAGGAGTCAACTTTACCACGACTCTTTCCAACACCAGCATTATCGAAGAGGATCACAGGTCTGTGGGCGGCAATGCTGTTGATTAGGAGGGGGTCCCACCAATCCATGGAAGCACGGAAGTGGTGGAGGAAGAGTAAGGGGACGAGGCCGTCATTGCTCTTGGGGCCGAACTGGCGATACGCATAAGTGATGTCCTTGGACTGTATGTATTGTGTCTTGGCGGTCTGGTGGGTAGTCATGTTGGCGGTGCTTCATTCGTGCTTCTTTGCGTGGAGACTGAGTCGACTCTGTCTCGATCTTGAATTCTCGTGCTGAACATGCTGGGAAGTGGAGCAGGCTTGCTGCTCCTTTTTGTATCCATTGCTGTGCCCACCAAAACACTTTCACATTGCACTACTGCATCAACTCTGCTAGTATGTTCGACGACCTGTTCTCTGAGATTGTTAATGTCAAACCCTCACACTGGGAGGAAGTGCAGAGTAGTCAGCGACCGGCCTTTTTGCGATTTCCTGCGATTAGTGATCGCCTTCTGCGATGTCACGAATGCCACAATGACATCCACGGATGACTTCAGGCAGGTCCGATCGGACTTTGACGACAACAACTTTTCTCTATCAATCAACTGACTAATGTTCGCAGTGCGTCTCCAACGTAAGTAGGAAACAGAACGGCGCTACGCGAATCGTATCCAAATGCATAGTCCAACGCTTCACCCGAGACCGAGGCCCCAGATTCCCAATCCGCCTCGTTAGAACGAGGCTGCGAGAATGAATCTCCCAGAACGAACCTCTCCAAAAAGTCAAATCCAATCCTCTCCATTACTCAGCCCTTGCTTCCCTTCCACACAGATCCCTTCTCGTCCAGTCCCAGCACTTCCAGCAAAAGGCCTAGCTCCTTCCTCTTCCTCATGAAAGAGCCATGCATGATCTCCTCGAGTGCCAAGTCACGCAGCGCCCTCGTGATCAGATGATTCTGCCGTGGCCAGGCAGCCAGTGCAGGGCGGAGGTAAGTAGAAGTCTTCTCTTGACCAGCTGCGGTGAGGAGGCTCATGAGGCGAGCTTGACATTCGGTCAGCCAGGCAGGAGAGGCGCAACCAGAAGCTGGGTTCGTTGTAGGCTCGTCTTCGTCAGGTATGGGAATGGAGCAGTACTCGCGCCAAAGGACGGTAGCGCACAGGTGATTCACCTCCTCTTGCAGCGCTGGATCATACTGCTGGGCGGGTTGCACTGCCTGCTGTGGAGGTGCTGGGGTCGGCTTGGAGGATGACGGCTTTGGCTTTGGTAGTTGCTTGACCGATGCTGGCGCTGGCAACGGTGGACGACTTGGTGGAGGGTCTGGCGACTGCCCAGGGGAGCGGACGTGGCAGAAGTTGCACACCACAGACAGCCCGTCTTGGACGTCGGTGGCACAAGCGTAGTGCTGGTAGATACCACAGTCTCTGCACTTGAAGCAGTCTTTTCGGGTTGGAGCCTTGCCAGGACAACGGCAAGAGATCGCGGGCTTGTCAGAAGCTCCGGTGCGGCGGCGGTCTGGTTGCTGCAAAATCGTTTTGTCCGGCGCTTGTTCCTCGTCGCCTTCATCCTCATCGTCCCCATCATCATCAGAGCCGACAAGATTGACAAACGATGGTGCAGACTTTCTGGGCGCACGCGACTTCATCTCGGGCTTCTTCTTCTTGGCGAGCGGTGACGGAGACAAAAAAGACGAGGCTTGACGCTTTCCGCCTGCTTTCTTTGTCGTGGAACGTACAGGGCCAGGTGGTGGCTTTGCTTTGGACTGTGCGCTCTTCGCCTTGTTCTTTGCGGTGCTTGCAACCACAATTTCGTCGCTATCACCCGCATCGACCCCTTCAGCATCCTCCATCTGATCGTCGTCGGCCTCGGCCACGCTCGCTTTAGATGAGGACTTCTTCCGCTCGGGCTGCTTGCGGACTGACTTCTGCCGCTGGGTCTGACCACCATCTCCCTGGGTGACAGCAGATTGAGCTTGTGTTGCTGGGGTCTTTGCGACTTGCGGCATGACTCTGACTCTGCTGTAGTACGCCTGAGCAGCTGCAAGGCGTTCTGCCTTCTTCCTGGCGACGTTGTACTTGTGGAAAACAACTTGATTCTGCGCATCTGTCAGCATGGACTTCAAGAAAAGGGGAATTGCTAGCGCGTCTTACATGTTCGAAGAAACGAGCCAGCCAACGCCGAATCCAGGCACGACGCCATTCTTGATGGTAGTTCTCGGGGTTGCTGAGGTAGATCCATCCCTCCTTCACGGCCAAGAGAAGGCGCTTCCTCTGCCACTCGATGATCTCATCGCGATGGAGCAAGAAGCTCAGGTAGCAGCGGTTGCAGACCGGACCACCGCGATCCTGCGGATCTCCGTACAGCATGCATGGCTTGTGCTGCCAGGCACAACACTTCTTGCAAAGCAAGAATTGTGACCGTGGCTTTGGGTCTTCGCATGGCCCATCGCAGTGGAATGTCGAGGTGAAATGCTTCAAGAAGAGTCGCTGCTTCTCGTTTGGAGCATGGCCCAGGACTTGCGTCACATGCGCGGAGATATCCAAAGTGCCAGCAGCAGCATTGACAATCGCTTTGACTTGATCTGCCGTCTCGGCAGACACGTTGACAGTGTACGGCTTGCAAGGGAGGTGGACCCAGTGCGGATCCTCTTTGCTCGTGCCCACAAAGACAGTGTCTTTTGCTAGTCGAGTTGTACCAGGTGGGCAAACACACTTGATTGTAGCATCGTGTAGCGAGAGTGGGAATGGTGCGGGGGCTTGAGGTGAGGGTGTTGTAGTCTGGGCCGCATCTGCATGTTGAGTCACATTCGCACTCGTGTCCCCCGGGCGGACCATACCCTCCAGCTTGGGAAGATTCGCGAAAGAGAATGTTGGTAGGTCATCAGACATGCCATCGGGGTGTGGTTGATCATCCTGATCGTTGATGGGGTGAACCATGGCCTCTGGCTGGGGCATAGCGGCTTCTTGCTGAAGCTCCTCAGATGAGCGCTTCCCGACGTCACGCTTGTTGCTCCTCCGATCTTGTTCAGACATGCCGACGGCTATTCGAAAGTGTGAAGCCTCGACGTGGGCGGGTGAGGATGGTTCGCCGGTATGGCGGTGTTGGTTTGAAGTGGGTGTTTTGCGGTCGCTGTCGCAAGATGATGTCGTGAGGTGAAGTTCACGCGACCATGTTTGTCGGTGTTGAGTGTCGCATGATGTCGGCGGGTGATGTTAGGTTGCTGGGTGACGGTTGTGTGGCGGCGCGATATTCACTCGGGCCGTAGCGCGGCTTAGCGTCACGCATGTGATGGGCGGCTCTCCTCCATTTTTCAGGCAGCAAACATTGATCATTCATGCAATCTTTCGTCCCACATTACCCACCCCTCTGCCGACAATGCTCACAACCGCGTCTCCCTCCTCCTCGGCGTCCTTCAATCCCCACCCGCTCATGCCAAAGTCCCTCAGATCTCGAGCCAGTTGGACGACCTGCTCCGAGCCAAGCACCTCCTTCCCTATGGCTAAACGGCCCACATCTTCACTGCCCATGGCCATCAGCGTGAGCATCGTTGGCGCTGCGACATGCGAGGCGCATCCACCCTGCGCGACACTCTCCAGAAGCTGAAAGGCACATCTCTTGCCCAGATCTTCCGGCACCTCCCCTCCACTTGGCGCACTTGCGATATCCGCCGAGTACAGTGCACCGGTGTTCGACTCTGCAACCAGACTCAACCCAAACCCCAGACCAATCTTCTTCTTCGCATTCGCATTGTTCTTCTCGGGTGCAGGTATGAGCGGTGCAGAGCTGACATCCGAGTAGATGTATGTATCCGGCGCGAACTCATTCAAGACCCCACGAGCAGCCTCTATCATGCGCGCGTTGTTCGCGCCTGCCACCCCAATCGCATATGCTACACCTCTCACGCGCTTGATGCGTCCAGCACTGAGGATGTGGATGGTCTTGGGCAATCTAACCTGATGTCCAAAGACCAGCTGCACCTCTCCTCCTCCACCTTTTCCTCCAGGACCTGCATTGGATCGTCTGAGTATGCGTAGCTCGAGGTTGTTCTCTATCCCAAAGCTCTTGTACAGCGGCAGTATTGCAGTTCGGACGGTGTCCACGGAGACATCCCCGGTAGGAGTCGCAGAAGTTATCACACCTGGACCAGTGAAAAGCACATTGACCTGAGCCTTGGAGAAAGGCGCAAGCATGCAGAGCGGGGTGATGAAGAAGCTGGCGCCTCTGGTGCAGTCTGCCGGCAACTCATGTCGCACAACTCCTCCTGCCGATCCATAGCCTGCAGCACTGCCGGTGATGAGACCCGGCTTGTACAGCACGGTGGTGCCAGTGTAGGAGAATTCGATGACGGAGCCGTTGGTGATGGAATCCAGCAGGCGCAGGAACGAGACCTCGTGCGGTGCAAGGCCGGGGGCGGTGTGGGAAGAGGCGCGAATCTGCGAGATGCGTACCGCGCGGCCAGTCAAGGTGGCCAGCACGAGGCGGTGGATCAGGTGCTTGGAGCCCGTGAACTTCAACGGGGCCGGGCCAGGCGCCGTCGTCATGGTGGGAGAGGCGGTCGCGGGTGACTGAGTGTTGAGTCGCATGCAAGAGCGTCGTGCAGTGCCGCGAAAGGCTATTGTCGTGCCGCCGGGCGAGCGGCCATGGTGCAAGCGGTGCTGGTGATATCGACGTGGCTGGCAGAGAAAAAGTTCAGGGCGCCCACGAGGAGGAGAAGTCAAAAAATCCTAGACTGCCGCTGCCGCCACCACGCGAGACGCCGGCCGCTCCTACAAAACTTCCCCACACCCTTTTCCAATGCCCTGGGTCAGGAACCCGGCCCAAGACTTGGACATGTGGCTTTCTCCCTTCGTTCATTACATCACATCCAAGCTCACATCGCGTGGACATTTGGGTACGACTTCAGACGTCTGCCATTACTGTTCTCTGTCTGATTCGAGGCGGGTAAAACTCCCTGCCCAGCTACCGTCTGCCGCAAGTATATCGGGTATCTTTGGAGAACCTGATTCCAATCCGAGCCGTAACAGCACACTGAACCGCAGTCGACCCGCGTTCATCATGAAGAAGAAAGAAAGATGCAATCCCCGTCCCAGGTCCAAGATCCATGCTGCAATCTGAAGCACTCCATCGAAGGAGAATGTCCATGTCTCTCAACTTTTCTAGCCGGTGCCATGAGGTCGAGGGGTGAAGGCAGTCTACTGCCAGCCTCCGCCGCCCTGTTGCTGCTGGCCGTACCCTCCGCCGCCGTTGGCTTGTTGCTGGTAGCCGCCTGCGATTCTGTGAGTGAGTGTCGGGCTGAATGGGTCCAATCTACACACCTTGGCCGTAACCTTGCTGGCCGCCGTAACCGCCTCCTGGGGCCTGACGCCAATTGCCGCCGCCACCTGCGCCTCCGCCGTAGCCTGCTCACGGTCAGCTGTGGTCGTCAACGAGGAAGGGTACGACTCACCATAGCCCTGGCCGCCGCCGCCGCCTCCATATCCGCCTTGGCCTCCGCCATAGCCGCCGCGACCGCCATAGCCACCTTTGCAAACGTTAGCGATGGTCGCACGATGAAGAAGGGCCGCACATACCACGTCCTCCGCCAAATCCTCCACCGCCTCCACCGCTGCCACGCTCAGATGCTTTGTCTACGCGGATGGTGCGTCCGTCGAACCTTGAGGTCTGATTAGCGGGGTGAACGGCACAGGCGCACGCGACGGATGCGACTCACTCGACATTGTTCATGGCTGAGATCGCGGACTCGGCGGCAGCCTCCTCGGAAAATCGCACGAAGCCGAAGCCACGACTGCGACCGGTATCGCGATCCTTGACGACGATCTGGGGAGGAAATTAGCTCGTTGGTCGGCGGCGTGAGTGCACGATGCGACAGGGAGGAGATGAACGGACCGCCTCGTCGACAGCACCAAACTCCTCAAACTTGCTGCGTAGCGTCTGGTCGTCGGTATGCCATGCCAGGCCGCTGTTGCTTGGTGTCAGCTGGGGACGGCGCGGCTCTGGGGCGAGACGTCACGCACCCGATGAATAGTTTCGCCATCGCAGATCGTCACAATCGGTAAGGACCGAATCGCACTCGTCGCACACGGCGGTTGATGAAAGAGATGAGAGGTGCGCTCAGGTGGTTCACGCGCGGTTGGGTCGTTCGGGCGCAGGGCGGCACGCAGAGAGCAGTGTTTGTCGATGACTCGCACAGGGTGTGATGTGATGGAGTGTTTCGAAAAAGAGTAAGACGATGGTGAAGCTTGGAAAGCTGGTCACATGCACGCAGGCGCCAGCAGCCCAAAAACAAGGGTCGCACGTGGCGATTTGGAGCTATGAGAACTAAGGCGCTGCCGAAGTGATGGGGCCAGCGAGCAAACACAGCAGTGAGCACAAACCGCAGCGGATCGATCGTCTGGGCAAGGGAAGGGTGTCGCTCGAGGCGGGCAGGCAGGACGGCAGAGGGCGACTGAAGAGGGATGACAGGCGGCGCGGAGGAGACCAAGTACCGGGACCAGGTCAGGTCGTGCGTGTCACACAGCGCAGCCAGACACCAGCAGCAGGACAAGGCGGAACGGGCTGGTTGGATGGATAGAGACGTAGAGGGGCGACGACAGATTCAGCCCCTCCTCTCAATCTTTGCTGCGCTGCGATGCGAGCTGGCAAGCTCCGTCACCCGTCGGCCACCCTACATCCAGCAACTGCACTCGCCTACATACGCCAACCGGGCGTCTGTCCGCAGCCGACACAGCGCGCCGCCGCAAGGCATCGGGGTGGACAGACAGTGGACAGGCTGGGTTGGGCTGCTGCATGGATGGAGCAGTCGGCAGGATCGGCGGCGTCTTGATCCAAGACGCGCAGAAATGCTGATCCCAGGGCGACGCTGAGTGGCTCGCGGGGCGCTGCAGCACGGGCGTATGGCGAATGGCAGACGGCGACGCCGCTCCTTTTGCTCGCTGCCCTGCCGTTGCTGCACTGCGAGCCGCTCGTCACTGGCTGGCGAGGGTAGCGTGGGAGCTCATTGGGCTCGCCGACGGTAGCTAACAGGCAAGACGCTGCTTTGGTGGGCGTGTGGCGCCAGTGGGTGCAGCAGCTGGCCTGCACAGCTTCCTTGGTCCTCAGCCGCCGCCGCTTGCTTGCTTGCTTGCTTGCTGCCGGCGGTGATGAGGCACGTCATGCTGTCTGCTCGATGGATTGAGTTGCGCAGCGCGAGGTGTCGTGGCGGGGATCGGCGGGCAGGCCGCGAACGGGGCCGCGGTGGGGGATCATCAAACAAACGACAGCTGGAGGCTGAGAGAAAGAGAAAACAATATGGGGGAAGTCAGTTGTCAGCGAGGGTCGCGCAGCTACTGCAGCAGATGGCTGTCGGTCGCAGATTGAGTTATGCCGGGTGCGACACTATCTGTGATCTCGTCCAACAGCCCAAACCACCACCTCCACCACCCTCACCAACCCACACTCCCACTCCCACGCAGGCGTTCGGCAACCTCGGAAAAGCGTCTGGCGAGGTGGAGCGGCAGAGGCGCATCCGCTGGCTGTGCCTTCGCGAAACTCTGCTGCATCTGCTGCACTTCACGTCTCGAAACGACGGGCAGAGCCAGCCAAATCACGCCATGCCCGACGCCAGCTGCTGTATGTATGTATGAAGGTGCATGCGCTGCAGGTAGCAGCAGTAGCGGGAGCGGTAGGGCATGTGCGGTAACCCAACCTGATAAAGTATGCGCACCTGTACCTGTTGGTCTGTACCCGTGGCCTTCTCATCGCATCGCCTGCTGCGTGCCGGATCGCCTTTTCCATATCCTGGTATTCGTGGGGCAGCTAAGCACTCCCCGGCAGAGGCGTACCGGCCTGCGAGGGGCCATCCATGGACAAGTATATTATATTGTTGGGCGTATCACGGCAGTCAGCAAGCAAACCACCGCTGCACATCACGTATGTACCCAGCACCGGCCGCAGCAGACATCTGCTGTGTACCACCACCGTCGACCGCGACCTCACCGGCACATCGTCCTGGCGGTGCCGTAGACCTCACGCCAATGGCGAATGACAGCCTGTATCTCAGGCCCATTGTTCTGTCCGATGTCTTGGCCCAGAAGACCGCATTATATCGGATCCAATCTCGTAGCCGGCAAGTCGTGACTGCATTTCCTGCTCTTCAACAGATGTAACAAGTGCATTCAATGTCCAGTCCCAGAGGTGCGCACCTTCGCTACCGCTAGCGTTCGGCTCGAGCACGGGCATCCCTTCCTTCCCTGGGCGACGACTGCTGTCGAACATGTCACTTTCGCAAAGTCCAGATGCACCGAGACCGCCTTGTGTTTGCTGACTGTGAGGCCTACCTGGTTCTGTGCGACGAACGACTCTGGTTCTGAATGTCGGTGAGCCCTCCCTGCCTTGGGCGGCCAACAGCCAGCGACATCGCCTTTGCCCATCTACGATCTGTCACTGCCTGACCACCCTGGCCGGCACCGCCAGCAACGATATGCCCCTTACCGATGGACATCCACGACTGGCTCCAGACCACCGCGGATAGGCAGCCGCCGGACGACGACCAACACCCAGGGTTCCCGGCCTTCTTGAAGCCAACGCGACCACCAGGCCCGAAGCAACGAGAACACAGTCACGCGAGGAAGCGAACGTCGAGCGAGCCACCACCCTCTGAGCAACACCATCGTCGTCGAAAACGGCACAAGGCTGCCACATGGTCCTCCTCCAGCCCCGACCATGCCCGACACCTGCAACCTGCCGCTGCGAGTTCGCGCAGCTCGTCCCACGCATCACAGGACCGACACGTGAGGGAATCGAGCGGGAAGGAGATACCGAGCAAGTCGTTCGAGAGGCGCGCACGTCACAAGACGAAGCCAGATCGATACGAAACGAAGCCCAAGCAGCGTGACCATGGACGGAAGGCGCGTGATGACCGCAAATCGAAGTCGAAGCATCGCAGGTCACACCAAAGCGCAGACGTTGCGAAAGCTACTGGTCTGATTCAGAGCTTTCAATTGAAGAATGGTCGAAAGGACAAGCGATTGACAGTGAGAGCTCCCTCTTCGTGGCTGCTCATTCAGCGTTAACGTGTTGATACTAGCTTCGGCCAGATGCCAATGCCGGAATCTTTAAGCATGGGCGCTCGTCGGCGCCTGTTGCGACCAATGGTCAAGGATGTGAGTGATACCCAGGTTGCAAAGACTGTTACGCCTTGTTCTGACCTCGCGCAGTACCTGATCTGGTCTTCAACGAGATGAAGTTCTTACAGCGACCACAAGAACACCAGGACGAGGTCCACCTTGACGGCGCAGCTCAAACGCAGTCGAAGAAGTCCAAACAGCGGCTGAGGGAAGAGGAGATATCTGCTTACTTTGTGAAGAAGCCCACGCCTGAAGGGGCACTCAGCAGACGACCAGATGCTCGACCTTCGACCAAGGCCGCGAACCAGGCCGTCCATCGTAGCAGAGGACGGCAACAACTGCCATCGAGTGATATCGGATTGAGGCATAATCGAGCTGACGTTGATTTGCCGGAGAAGCCATTTCTTGGGTTTGGTAGCAAGGGCCCCAGCCACGAAAGCAACACGCATCATCCGACCAGTTACCTTACTTGGTCCGAGTCTGCCGTTCCACTCCATGAGAGAATACCCGTTGCCGAGCATCGTGAGAACGAACGCATTCGCACAATCAAGGAAGGAACACGCCGATTCTCGCAGCGTGTACCTTCCGTGGGGCAAGAAGGCCGTCGCGTGAATCAACTGCGGACAACACACGTCGAGAGTGATGAGCCGGGTGGTGAATGGGTCGGGACCAACCGAGTCAAAGGGCAAGGGCACATTGAAGGATACGCTCCACCAAGCAATATCGCGCGTCCCCGTACAAAGCGCACTCCCGATCAGTCCACCAGCAGCAGTTCGTCTGATCCTCTACCAGCACCGCACGCCAATCTTGACGACGACGACTACTCATCTAAACTCGGCGGCCATAAGGCGCTCCGCGACTTTCGTACTTCGGACGTCCTCAGAATCAGGGCCGAAGGTCGAACTGATGAACGTTCACCGTCACTACAGCAGCAGTCTCCCAACAATCCACAAGACAGGAGCGAGACTCCAACGAGCGACGTCTTGCGGCGAGCCCTCCACGCAGTCAGCAATGATACCTGCGATCAGCAACGAGAGCAAGATCGGTTGAAGACGACGACACAACGCAACAGGCAGGGCGAGGATCAACAAGGGCACATCAACATTCTGGACTCTGGGTACAGGCCGGCATCACATGCGCGCAGAAGCAATGCTGCAAGTACCAGTGATTACGCAGTGGTACCTCGTCGAGGTTTCAGTCGAACAGCTGAACAACACAAACCTCTGGAGCGACGGCCCCTTCAGCCACTACCTGCCTCAGCCATGAATGCAGACCCGATATGGCGGCCAACCTCGAAAGCCACTCTCACGATCAACCAAACACACTCGATAGGGCAGGACGAGATGCCGGGCCATGTCCACGATGGGTCAAATCTACCGCCGATTGATCATTACACTTATACGGACGAGAGACGAGTTGAAGAGCTCGATCAACATATGCCATCCGAACAGGAGCAGTTCTACATCGACCCAGCAGCAAGGCAGCCTATTGCGAGCTTCGGTGGAATTGGAGCAGATCGCGGGTCCCAAGGCTCTCCTGAAGGCTTGAGCAATGCTCTTTACGGAGGAGCGTTCACCAATCCGTCGACTGATAGATTCTCTGAATTCCTACAATCAGGTAGAGAAGATGAAGTTGAAGAGCCTGATGATGGCATGAAGGGCTTCTGGAAACCTAATGTACTCTACTGATGATAGTGGTGATCGTCGTCTTGTGATGTGCTTTACAATACCCACTGAAGTTCCACCAGCAAACATTTCACTCCATAATTGTCCTTTTCATTGATTCATCCGGATTGATTCAATTGATGTGGTTGATTCAGCGTTCCGGCTCTTCCCTATACAGCTGACGATAGCCGAGCGATATCCGGCTATGATGGCATCAGCGAATGGACACGACGGCGCACCCTGCACCCAGTCGACAGACTTTCTGTCGTCTCGATGAAGCAGCACAGCTTCAATCCTCCGGCTGTGACCACCTCGGCCTGGTGGATGCTTCTTGTACTGCTGCTGCCGTGATCTGAATGCTGCCGCTACGCTTGCACACCGCCCCGTCGCCCTCGAGCGTATTGAAACGCGCGGTTGCTGCTCGTTGGCAGGCACGCCCCCCAACAACGCCGGCCGTGACTGCTGCTACGCGGCGCTCCTGCCCTCAGCCCCGCGACCGCGACTTCTCGATGGCGGCAGGTGCGTCGGACCCTGGCAGGGGTGGCCCCACCACGAACGTCAACAAAATTCAGAGACAGGTGCATTCTCGCTCCGGACAACTTTCTGACCACCTCTCCGCCTCTGCAAACGCCTTTGCCAGCTCCTACTCCCCATCAGCAACCGCATCGCCGTCGTCCACCATGGCCCAGACCACGCTGCCCACCCGCGGCGGCTACGACCCTAAGGCCCCCTCCGTCTACACCCCCCGTAAGATTGGAGCAGCACACACGCTCGAGCACCGCATCTACATCGAGAAGGATGGCGTCCCCGTCTCGCCGTTCCACGACATCCCCCTCTACGCCAATGAGCAGCAGACCGTCCTCAACATGATCGTCGAGATCCCCCGCTGGACCAACGCCAAGCAGGAGGTTTGTTGGCCCTCACCGCCACCCGGAGCTCCCCCATCGTTGAGCTTCCACGAGCCCATTGACTGACCAGCCTTCTCTCGCAGATCTCCAAGGACGAAGAGCTCAACCCAATCAAGCAGGACACCAAGAAGGGCAAGCTGCGATTCGTCCGCAACTGCTTCCCCCACAAGGGCTACCTCTGGAACTACGGTGCCTTCCCCCAGACCTGGGAAGACCCCAATGTCACCCACCCAGAGACCAAGCAGAAGGGCGACAACGACCCTCTCGATGTTTGCGAAATCGGCGAGCTCGTCGCCAAGCCTGGTGAGGTCAAGCAGGTCAAGGTCCTTGGTGTCATGGCCTTGCTCGATGAGGGCGAGACTGACTGGAAGATCATTGTGATCGATGTCAACGACCCGCTCGCCCCACGCTTGAACGACATCGAGGACGTCGAGCGCCACCTGCCAGGTCTCCTCCGTGCCACCAACGAGTGGTTCCGCATCTACAAGATCCCAGACGGCAAGCCTGAGAACCAGTTCGCCTTCTCTGGCGAGTGCAAGAACCGCAAGTATGCTATGGACATTGTGCGCGAGTGTGCCGAAGCTTGGGAGAAGCTCATCACGGGCAAGACTCCAAAGGGTGAAATCAACCTGTGAGTGGAGTATTCTGTATCAAGCACGCATCGCAAGCTAACGCCTCTTCTCACAGCACCAACGTCTCCGTTCCAAACAGCAACGACCGTGTCGACCCCTCCAAGCTCAACATTCCAGCACACGAGGAGAAGGCTCCAGCACCAATCGACCCCAGCATTGACAAGTGGTTCTACATCTCTGGAGCTTCGGCGTAAGCAGTTGCTCCATTGTGTACAGCCATGCTAATGTGAAAGAGCCGTGTAGATGGGTCATGCCACATGAGATCAAAGCTGCAATGCGAGGAAATGAACTGCTCGCCAACGGCCGTCACGACAGTGTGTGCGACAACTGAGGTGTGAGAGAAGATGGACTGCAGTGCAGGTGGGATTATCATGAGCATACTCATCACAGGCCAAAAAAGCATGACGTTTATGAAGAAGTCAGGGAGCATAGCCCATAGATGTGAAATACAGACCGTTTTCATGACAGCATGCCCTCGTCTCTTTTTCCCGGTATAAAGCATCATGTCAAAGGCTCTTTTGATACAGAAGCTGTTGTACACTCATTTGGAACAAGCCAGATATCCTCGCTGACTTCGTGTTCTTCTGATCTAACTTTTACAACCTCTCTTGTCCTCGTCCATTCTTAGCTGGTGCTCTGTTCCTTTGCCCTGAATACCTCCCCAACTGCCTAATTGATGAAGTTGACGCAAAAGAAATGTAGGATCATGCTCCCAAAGACAAAGTCCGCAAATGCCCTATTCACACCTCACGTCAGCTGTCCACATTCTCCTCTTCTCCATACAGATCCAATTTCCAACCCAACATGTCCACGACTTCGAAAGGGGCAGATATATGACACTCACCTCTCATGCGAGATCGCCTCAAATTCACTCTTGTTCTCCGGGTTCGTCTGCACGCGCAACGAAGCCGTAAGGACGAATTGTCCCACCGTCGCGCTGAAACCGGCCAGGAAAGCGTTGAAGGGCTATAATTCCACCACATCATCAATCAGTACATGCTCTTTTATCCCCTGTTCTTCCCTTCCCAGGGGTGGAGTATAGCGAGGCTTACGTAGTTTCCCGCCAGAACGCAGTATACGAATTGGATCAATCCGACGACCATGAGGAAGAACATGAAGGCATCGAGGAGTTTGGTCCTCTGTGGCGTGCGGCCGAGGTAGTTGTTGTAGATTTGGAGGAGGATTTGTTGGGCGTCGTGCGGGTTGCGGATGGAGGGTTCGGATTTGGGGTTTGGGGTGGTTTTGTTGGCGGTGGTGGTGGAGGGTTTGGCGGGGGATGGCGTTGCGCCGGAGGAGGCCTTTTTGGGTGGCATTGTCGTTGTTGTTGGTGAGGAGGGTGGTGGTGGAAGAGGTGGTCGTGAGGGAGGGCGTGATGTTGGAGTTGACATGTGAAGCTCATGGATGCCAAGCCATTGGGCAAGCTGTCCTTGCGGAGATGGCCAAGGCGTCCCACTGGTTTTGAGAATGAGCTTGCTTGCTTGTGAAAGGACGGGACTTTGGAGTTCACAAGACTTCAACTCAAGGGAAACAATGTCAACATCCGTAAGAAGGTCTCACATCTCGACCATCGAATGGCCCGGTATCAATCTCACTACCTGCGCATTAATGGGTGACTGGGCCCTATCCACGTGCAAGTACAGACTCGGCCAAAAACGAACTTCACTCTGAACATCATCGGGAGTCTGAGAACAACGGACATTGAGCGGTCCAGCCATGGCTATGGCCAACCACATACCTCCGATCCTCAAAGATGTGGTGGCGAGAGTCACAAAATCATTCTCTGCGCTGAGTCTTCCGAGTCGAACTTTCCAAGCCACCATATAGTACCTCCAGTGCAAGTATTGCTATCCTCGAACACGCTCGACAAGGCTGTTGAACATAACCTTCAGCGTATCAGGCAGAAAATACCTACCCGACTAATTCATGGGACGTTTATGAAACTGACAAGGCGGGTTGCTTCTATCTGCAAAAGACAACGATGACGAGAGTTTCGAATTGCTTGTTTCGCCCGATGAGGCGAACTGAATAAAACACGTCTCTGCCTGGGCTTCCTTTGCTATTTGGCTGTTATGCGGTTTGGTAGCCCCTGGTTGGCCGTCGACCAGATAATCCGACGTAAAGCGACAGGGCTCCAGCGAGGCCTTGGCAGGTGAGTGAATGAAAATGCCAGAACAGCTGATGTGAACTTGATCGCTCGCCTTGAGAAATACAACCCAGCAGGAAAATACCCGGTCGCCTTGCTCTCATTACGGAAGTGCTCAACAATGATGCAAAGGCGTCCAGCAATCGCTGCTCAGGCAGGCCAGGGACCACTGTCGAAGAGCGTCGTCGATTCTCAGCTTCGGTTCTTCTCTAGACCGAGCATAAGCGTTTGATCAATGGCGACTTGACCAACACCAACACGCTCATCAAATTCCGAGGTCATGGATCACCGCCCCTTCCAAGCAAATTCTCCAGGGCCTCGATCCTAGACGACCTACCACTTGCGCGTAAAGCGAAGATTCAGACGCCACGTTGCATCCAAGGCCGTTCGCCTATACGTCTGAACCTTGACCAACCTTCGAAACGGTAGCCCATTTACGTAAACTTGACAGCGTGGTCACCATGATCGATAAATGCCTCATGTTGGTTGGGGGTGAGGGAATTATGTGCTAGCGCCAAGCAAGCTTTCCTCACTCATGGCCGCTGCATGTCTCCCACGAGAGTTCCATTTATTGCTTAATAGATACAACCTTTCTTATCTCTACGGATTGCATCTCTTGGCAATCTCATTCAGATCTCTCTTCGAATCGATCTACGCCTGGGCATGGATCCTTCGAAATGGACAGCAGATGCTAACATCAGTGAAAAGGGCGTCCACGATGGCGAGGAAGCTGCCGGTGACGCCCGACTCCCTACTCGGCAGACCCAGATTGCCTGGGGCGACGACGATGAGGACGAACGTATTCGCCGTCAGAACCGTCACCGTCGTGGTGTCTCGGTCGGCAATCGCAGCCACAGTCGTCGCCGCTCTGCCAGTCGGGATTCCATTCGCAGCGTCCAGAGCCGGTACAACGCTCAGAACGCGACGATTCCTATCGAGTTCCGAACTCTGTCGTTCCAAGTCTCGGCTTCCAAGGACGTGAGCGAGACTTTGGAGAAGAATCAGAAACAAGCGCAGAAGAAGCACTCCAAGGTCTTGGGCCTCCCGTTCGCCCTTCCGTCCAAGAAGAAAGAAGACGTGCGTGAGAAGCCTATCAGGACATTCGCCAGTGCCGACGAACACACTGCCCCCATTGACAGTCTATACCAGCGGTTCCGGGTATCTCCCTCACAAGGTCTGAGCCACGATGCCGCCTCGAAGAGACTCCACGAGGAAGGCAAGAACGTGCTGCCCTCTCGAAAGCCCAACTACCTCAAACGACTGCTGGGCTACATCTTCGGGGGCTTCTGCTCAATCCTGTGGATTGGTGTCATCATTTTCTTCATCTGCTGGCGACCATTAGGAGACCCTGACCCACAGCCATACAATCTCGGCCTGGCTATCCTCGTGCTGATTGTCATCTTCTTGCAAGCTGGATTCTCGGCCTTCCAAGATTGGTCGACGAGTAAGACGATGAATGCGATCTTGGACATGCTTCCTTCTGACGCTACTGTCTTGCGAGAGGGCAGCTTCACCACGATCCCCACAGCCAACGTCGTCGTCGGAGATGTCGTTCGTGTATCGATCGGTGACAAAGTTCCTGCCGATATGCGCATCATGTCGATATCTGGAGACGTCCGCTTCGATCGTTCAGCCATGACAGGAGAATCGGAGGAGATCGAAGGCTCGCTTGATAACACCAATGACAACTTCCTCGAGACGAGAAACATTGCGTTGATGGGCACGACCGTCACCAATGGTTCTGCCACTGGTGTGATCGTCTTCACTGGAGCGAAGAGTGTCATGGGCGGCATTGCTACTGCGACGACTGATGTTCCCGATCAATTGACTTCGATTCAGAAAGAAGTCAATCGCTTCGTCAAGATCATTTGCGTTTTGACGCTCTTTCTGGCACTCTTAATCTTGCTCACCTGGGTTGGCTGGCTGCGTGTCGACCACTACCAGTTCATCAACACCGTGGGCATGCTGAACGATGTCATGGGTTGTGTGGTCGCCTTCATCCCTGAAGGAATGCCCGTCGCCGTTGCTCTTACACTTATGATGATTGCTCGCCGTATGAAGAAGGCTGATGTCCTGCCGAAGAGTCTGGGTACTGTTGAGATGCTGGGTTGTGTCGATGTCATTGCATCGGACAAGACTGGCACGTTGACTTGGAACAAGATGACGGTCAAGAGCGTTGGGTTCGTGGATGAACTCATGACCAGTGACGAGGCCAAAGAAGAGATGAGCAAGAACAAGAACGTCCACGGGTCGTTGGTCGATCTGCACAGAGCAGCGCTCCTATGCAACGAGGCAACCTTTGATCCTGTCTCCATGAGCAAGCCCGTGGAAGAGCGCCTCACCCATGGCAACCCGACGGACGGTGCGATCCTTCGATTCGCAGAGTCGGCAGAGTCTGCCTTGACAACTCTTCAGTCGGCATTGCCACGGGCCGCCCATATCCCGTTCAACTCCAAGAACAAGTTCATGATGACCCTCCACAATGACCAGAAGGATGCCGAGAAGCACGATGGGTCATATCTGGCCTTGGTCAAGGGTGCCCCAGATATCTTGCTCCCTCGTTGCATCAACTACCTCTCTTACAAGACTGGCCAAGTCTGCACTCTTGATGCCGAAGCCAAACAATCGTTCTCGACCCTGCAGGCCAAGCTTGCCCGCAATGCTGAGCGAGTGCTCATGCTCTGCCAAAGACGATACTCACCCATTGCTCAACTCGATTCCACCGCGCTGGAAGAGGAGATGCTAGACAAATGTCTCGCCGATCTGACCATCATTGGCGTGGTCGGTATCTTCGACCCTCCCAGGCCAGAGATCCCAGCCACTGTCGCTTCCTGTCGACGAGCCGGCATTCGCTTCTTCATGATGACTGGAGACTTCGGCTTGACCGCCGCAGCTGTCGCTCGACAAGTTGGCATCTTCACCGGCGAACGTGATCCCGATACGTTCGAGACGGTGACGAGCAGACGAAGGAGTAGCTCGTCCATCGGCAAGGAAGTCACAGCAATCGACGTGAAGGACACATCGTACAGCAACGAGCGCTTGCTGCTCGAAGGCTCGCAGATCAGCGCTCTTCAGGACGAAGACTGGGATCTCGCTTGCACGTACACGGAGATTGTGTTTGCTCGCTGCAGTCCCGAGCAGAAGCTGCTGATCATCGACAACTTTAAGAAGCGTGGCAGCACCACTGCCGTCACTGGTGATGGTGTCAACGATGCCCCAGCCCTCAAAGCCGCAGATGTCGGCGTGGCCATGGCGAACGGAAGTGATGTTGCTCTTGAAGCCGCTGATCTCGTGCTACTGGTAAGCACTTCCCAACCCCCGGCATACCTACCACCACTAACACATTCTCTTTCAGGGCCAATTCGACTCCATCATAACCGGCATCCGCCTCGGCCGCCTCGTCTTCCAAAACCTGCAGAAAGTCATCTCCTATCTCCTCCCCGCAGGCTCCTGGTCCGAGATCTGGCCCGTCCTCCTCAACGTCTTCTTCGGCGTGCCCCTTCCCCTCTCCTCCTTCCTCATGATCATCATCTGCGTCTTCACGGATCTGTTCCTCTCCCTGAGCTTGATCATGGAGAAAGAAGAGTTCGACCTCCTCGACCAGCCGCCGAGGAACGTCAAGAAGGACCATTTGATCAATCTGAAGATTTACGCGCAGTCGTACCTCTTCATCGGTGTCATGGAGACGCTCTGTGCGCATTCGATGTACTTTTTGTATTACTGGCGGCACGCTCGCATCCCCGTTGGAGATCTCTGGTTCGTCTTTGAGGGCTATTCAGCTGGTTTCCATGGCTATACGCAGGACGAACTCACGCATTTCAATACCGTTGGACAAAGTGTCTACTTCGTCACGCTGGTTATTCTCCAGCTGGGAAACATCCTTTCGATTCGCAACAAACGACTGTCCATCCTCCAGGCGGACCCTATCAGGAAGGAGCGTCGTAATCCTTGGTTGTTGCTGAGCGCGGTGATTTCGATCTCCATCGCTGTCTTTGTCACTGAGGAGCCTGGTATCCAAAGCTTGTTCGGGACTGGAAGTGTTCCTATCGAGTTCTGGTTCGTTCCTGTACCGCTGGCTTTGGGCATTCTGTGTATGGATGAGATCAGGAAGGTGATTGTGAGGACGTGGCCCAAGGGGCCCATTGCGAGGATCGCGTGGTAGGGAAATGATGATAGATCATGATCTGACGATGAACCCATAGAATCTGTGACTGTGTAGATGTCAACAGATATGTCAAAATACTCAAAAGTTTTGCTGGGCAATGACACGACAACATGAATGTCTCAAGTGTCTGAAAGATCATACATCGTCCTAGTATTCCCTTACCCCCCACTCTCGAGAGCTGAGACTCTTCCCTAACAAGCTGGTATCGTATACATCGCGTCTTCTTCCACCAAATCCCACCTCTTCATCCTCATCCTCACCACCAATCTACCTCGACCTATTCGCAAACGCCAACCCAAACTGCACCAACCCAATACTCGCCAGCACACTCAACCCGGTAGGCAGCGGCTTAAACCCCGTCTTGATCGCCCGCGGGATCGAACTCCCCGCCAACACCACACTCGCCAGCAGCGCGAGCTCGACGCCGTACGTCGCGCGGTTTTGGATGCGGTAGCCGCCCAGGAGGTAGAGAGCGCCGACGGTGCAGCCGGCGGCGAGGGAGGGGATGGAGCCCGCGCGCACGTAGCCTGTTATGCCCCCGGTTGCGGTGAGGGTGCCGAGGATGAAGGCGACGGTTTGGAGGGACTGTTTAGCATGGAATGTTAGCAGAGTAGAGCCGAGGGGAATGGATGGATGGGAGCACCATTTTCGTAGACTGTTGTTGCGACGAAGGTTGTTTCGACATCTGAAGTGTCCAGCAGACGTTGAGAGGGTTGTTGTTGGCTTTGTGGAGAGGGTGGAATGCGGGAGAGAGAGAGGAGGTGACGTCTCAGGATAGATGTTAGCTGACCATCGCGAGAGCTTGGACGGGCTGGAGCTTGATCCGATGCGATGAGGTTGCTCGGCAATTCACTCATGGCTGCACCCACCTGCTGCTTTGGGTAAAAGCCTGTTACCGAATGTCCGATTGGACTTGTTGTTCGAATGGGAGACTGCACTTGATATTCTACTTCCGAGTTCTTTTGCGAGGTTGATGAGTCTGTTATATATCGGTACTGCTGGAGGGGTAAGGTTATTGGCAACGGCACTCGATGAAGCTCTTCAACAGTTTCATTCATCGATCATGTTATGTGGTATCTGTAAAGCAGTAACACTGACGATACCGACCAACTGCCGCAAGTCAAGTTCCATACTCTCCCGTAGGTATCTGCGGCTTGCACCATTCGAACGCCGGATTTTCACTCTCTTACTTCTCTGCCTAATAAGTCATGATCTCATTTGGTCTTGCCCGTTGCGTCCTGGATCGTCTTTTGCTTCTCTTCCTCTGCCTTGATCTCGCGCACCTTGGCAAGGACCACCTGGGATATGACGTTAGTATGAATCAGATGTATGGTTGGTTAGTAGTCTTACCTCTCTGAAGATCGCACTCTTGGCCAACTTCGACAAACTCCTCTTTCTCTGTGGTTCATGGTCCTCCGGCGGCTTGAGACTCGCGTTGCTATCGTGTCGAGTGTGGCCAGCTTCCGCAGCCGCTGTTTTGGCATCTGCTGGCACGTCGGCCTCCTGAGGAACATCGTCTTCGTCGTCTTCCTGTATCTTGAGTGCCTCGATACGGTTGGCAAGCTTGACAAGTTCCACGCCTCGCCTGAGACGGCAACGTGCCATGTATGCTTTGATCTCTGGCAGCAAGTTGTGGTCAGTGGCGCCCTTGCCTGCGATCCATGGATCTTTCAGGGCGTGTTCGCTTGTGGCTCGGTCGTGAGGATCTGGCTTGAGGAGTGACAGGATGAAGTTCTTCGCCTCTTTGGAGACGTCCTTCCAGTAGCGCTCGTGGAAGACGACACGGCCATTCCTCGTCTCGTCGATCAAGTCGTTGAGCGACTCTGATCGGAAAGGAGAGTAACCGCAGAGCAGGGTATAGGTGATGACTCCCAACGACCACATGTCGACCGGCTTACTATGACCCCTCTTGAGCATGACTTCCGGTGCGGCATAGCCGAAGGAGCCAGCCATTGTCTTCAATACACCCTCTGGACTGTCAAGATGTTTGGCAATTCCGAAATCGGCAAGGACAAGATCTGAGTTGGGATCGCGCGTCATGTAGAGGAGGTTCTCGGGCTTCAGATCACGGTGGACGACGTCCTTGGAGTGGAGGTAGGCCACAGCTTCCAAGACCTGCCGTATTGTTTGAGAGGCATCCTTCTCCGTGAACTTGCCCTTGTCGCAGATGCGGTCGAACAGCTCACCGCCTTGAGCAAGCTCGGTGATGATGTAGTATTTGTCGCGCGACTCGAACCAATCGACGAACTTGACAATGTGTGGATGTTGTAGGGTTTGCAGCATCTCCAGCTCGTCGTACACCATCTGGTCGTTGCCCTTGACGTTCTTCTTCAATATGATCTTGACGGCGACCTTTCCTGCTGGGCCGTCGGCCTCCTTGACAATACCATAGGTACCCGCGCCCAAGGTCCTTCCCATGCGATATTTGCTCTTGCGATCATAGCTCTCAGGTTGGCCGTGCAGCTTGTTCAGCATTCCCTGCACTGGGGGACGAACGGTCAGCTTCAGCTTCAAAGGCATGTAGACGGTGTTGGGGTACTGGAAGGATGAGGTGAAGAGCCGTCATGGCCAGTCATGATCGGAAGCGGTTACGTATGTAGGTCTGGGATGTGCTGAGTAGGGAGTGAAACGACGGCCTGAGGTTGAAACAAAGGGACGAATGGTACAGGCTCGTATGGTGGTAGGTGTGGGTGTGTACAAGACGCGAGCATATCGTTTAGGATGGTATGTTAGGAAGGACTCACACGCCATGTCGTCTGTCGCTCAATCGGCAGCCTCGAGGCCGCCCTCTGGTTCAATGCGTCTGCCCTCTTTCCTTGTTCGGCAGGCCTCGTGCTTGCGGCTGCCTCGAAACGATCCGGCTTGCCAATGGCGCTGGGGTGGGAGAGGTGGGTGAATGAATGTGCGGGCGTGAAGCTGAGGTCGAGGGTCCGGAAGGGGTATCTTTATTCGCAGCTGAGGCAGAGATGTATGTCGTCCGCGCTGGGCACATGCACAGCAGCTTGTTTCTCGCTCCGTCGCGCTGGAGCAGCTCCACCGCACAGCACAGCCCACAGCGCCCGCCAATCTGTGCTCAGGGTCTCGCCGTCAGCCTCAGTGCACGCCCAACTCAATCGACCGCCAGCTGCCTTGGGACACTTTTGCGCCTCGTACTCGCACGGCTGACCGACGACGCGGGCGGCCTTGTTCTGCGCCGGGTGTCTGCCAGTGTTGCTGTGGTTGTTGGCGGTATCGAGCGCGGCATACCAGTCACACCAAGCAGATCAGCCGTTGTCCCTTCCTCGCGCCGTTGACACGTGCCAATCCACTTCCCATCTCCAAGTGGGCTGTTGCTGTGAAGCCTGCCACTAACAACCAACAACAAGCCAACATCAACACAGTCTTCACCCACGATCCAAAGAACAACACTACCTTGACAAGCCTCAAGCCGCATCCAGCCAACTGACCACCACCCATTCTGTGTCCCAGATTCGTACCCATTCACACCAATCACTCCCAGCGAAGCGAATCATCAGAGCAAGGAACTTTACGAGCAACGAAAGAGTGTTGCGACCATGGCGGGCATGAGCAGCAAGAGGCTGCAGAAGGAGCTTGCGAAAATACAAGGCACACTACCTCCCGGCATATCCCTCGTTTCCGCATCAGACCTGAAGACGTGGGAGATGGACATTCGGGTGCTGGACAACCCTCTCTACCACCCAGAAGAGAACTATCGTTTGCGGTTCAGCTTCTCGACATCCTACCCCATCGAAGCTCCCGAGGTTGTCTTCGTACAGCTCGCCAGTCCTCACCGACGGATACCGATGCACCCACACATCTACAGCAACGGGATCATATGCTTAGACTTGCTGGACTCGCAGGGTTGGAGCCCAGTACACAACGTGGAGAGCATCTGCATCAGCATTCAGAGCATGCTGGCGAGCAACACCAAGGACGAGCGTGAGTGGTTACGGGTCAAAGATTCGCGAGGCATGACTGACACGGTTTGCAGGACCGCCCGGTGATGCCGAATTCGTGCGATCGAATCGATCCCGGCCAAGAGACATCAGCTTCCTGTACCACGACCCGCACGTATGAGCGAGAGAAGATACCCTGTTTGAGATGATCCCAATGATGGTTTCCAAAAGACTTATTAGCAGACACGAAATGTGGGCCATAGAGATTTTGGGGCCCGAGAATGAATAGTAGAGAGAGCATCAGCAAGGCGTCATGGGTGGTCAGGGTTTATGGTGTTTCTGCAACACCAGCTTGATGTGCTTCTGCTGTCAGAACTTGAAGCGATATGGATAGTCAGCGTGTAACAAGCAGATCAACAAGCATATTGATCCCTACATCCTGTGGATGCATGCATGCATTCCGGAGACAAGTCCTCTGCACTCACTTTAATCCAACCCGGCTCCACACTTTCGATCAGCCGGGATCGACACTTCAGCCTCGGTCCGCATCGAACCTCACTTCGCGTGGCTGCGTGCTTGTATATGTAATCGCTGCATTCGTGTCGTCTTGCATCTGTTGACAATGGCGTCAATATGGCCGCTCTCACGCCCGCGTCGAAGGCGAGTCTCATTCATTAACGCGGGAACGTATTGCTGACTTCCACAAAGAAAGCGTTAGCCCATCTTCGAGGCTTCACTTCACAGCCGACCAACTGGTACAAATGCCCGCTTACGAGACGAGCGGCAGTTCTGATCCTGCTGTATGCGGATCGAGGGGGTGATCTGAAGGTGGTCTTGACGATCAGAAGTGCTGGATTGAAGAACTGTAAGAGACGCACACATTATGAACAACAACAAAAGCGACGCTGATTAGTGGGATTCAAGATGCCGGCCAAGCAGCCCTCCCAGGCGGGAAGTCGGATACCCTCCAAGAAACACCCTTCATGACCGCCCGTCGTGAAGCCTTCGAAGAGATTGGCCTCCCCATGTCCGACCAGAACCTCCCACCAGGCTACACAGTCGAGCACCTCACCGAGCTCCCCTCCAACCTCGCCATGACCGAACTCGGCGTACGTCCCTGCGTGGCATACCTCAAGACCCCACCGCCTTCAGACCGAAACAAGAACCCAGACGCCGCTCGAGACATCCTCCCGAAGCTCGACGCCAGAGAAGTCGCAGCGGTCTTCACAGCTCCCTTCCAGAACTTCCTTCGCGAGAAAGATATAGACCCAGAAGCTAGAGAGAATGTCCCCGGAGAATGGTATAGAGGAAGCTGGCACAGCTGGCACGAGACTGCGTGGAGGATGCATCAGTTCTTCGTCCCCGTGACACGAAGCACTGTGTTTCTGGCCAAGAGACCGACCTCATACACCGACCCACGTCCACCGAAAGCGCGGAACACGACCACAGGAGCCAAATCTTCCGGCTCGTCATCTCCACAGTCATCTCTCCAGCCCCCCTTACCGAAAGCGTTCTATAAACCCGACTCGCAAGATCCTCTCCAACAACCACGATATAGAGTCTTTGGCATGACGGCGAGGATTCTCGTCGATGCCGCGACGGTTGCGTATGGAGATGAGCCGGAGTTTGAGCATAACAGTCACTTCGGGGATGAGGACATGATTGCCAAGCTGTTGGCGATCGGCAGGTTGAGTGAGGAGAGGAAGGAGGGGGAGGTGTTGACGAGGGAGGTCATGCAGAAGGCTAAGGTGGCGAGAACTGGTGGGCCGAAGATTTGATAGGGTAGTTGGTTGGAGGAGGAAGGCTATACTAGGGAATGATGGATTGTTTGGAGTGAATGATATGACGAGGCCTTCAAGAGATATTGAATCATGCAGTATCGAATAGATCATGTCACGAAGACTGGATGACTTTAGACGTATATTACGAACTTGCATTGACAAAGTCTAGGTCCGAGCGTCAACAAGCACTTCGTTGTTTGTGAGCCCGAGGACTGTGACGGTGCTGTCTTCGCCCCCAATCCCGCGACTCCGTGGAAAAGTTGCGCGGAAAAGGCCGATTTTGAAATCGCTAGCATTAGCACGAGAGCGCCTGCCTACTTTGTGAAAGTCAAAGGCGACTTCACCTCTTCGTCTGCTGTCGACTTCCACATTTGCGGCCATGTGACATGGCATATCACACACAACAAACTTTGTCTTTTTGCCTTCTTTGAAGCCAAGAAGGTGCGGCAGCTCTCGAAGCGGATTCACACGAGGCACGACGGTCCAGGTGGTAGACAAGGACGTATTTGCAAGTCAAGAAGAAAGCGGTTGACTTCTGCCTCGGTAACGTTGTGCCTCATAGTAACGATTGGTGTCCTCGAACTGCGACACCTCGCTGGAGAACTTGCTGATGCTGAATTCTGTGCAGTACCGCAGCATTAATCGCGAAACACTCATGAGACCAGTTCCCTGAAGGACGTCGACAGAAGTCTCGTGCGGCTATGCCATCCAACCCTCGTGGCCACTTTATTGCGAGACTCATCAGTGTCCAGCGGCTATTGACAGGACCAGCTTCCAAGCAAAGACAATGGTACAACAGATTGCATGATCACAGGCGGTGAGGTGCGTTCTCGTGCCAGCATTGAATGCATCTCCACTACATGTGGTGACACCTTCCACGAGCGACGATTCTCCCCAAGCAAAGAGAGCAGAGCCGGCCACTATTATTGCTCATGCTTGACAGCCATGGTTTTCACGGTGGCGGATGAATTCTTCCTGGAGTCGGTCCTTTCTTCGTCTTGGCCATCCGTACAATTTTGAAGAGGTGGTTCAAAGCCGTTGCTATCCTTTGTGCGAGTACATCAGCCGTCAATCTCAGGAACCTCGAGCCGGGCGAGTAATCATGGAACGAGGGATTATTTGTCCACGCCCTGCATTGCTTCTTTGATCCAGTTGCGAGACCTTCGGATGTGCCTCCCAAACAAGCACACCAAGCCCGCGCAGAGGATCCGAGCTGCCGTCCCTAGGCGACTGAGTGACTTCTCCCATTGGACGATAAGGACAGGGGCTCGTGCAGTGTTGTGCCGAGCGCCGATTTGCGGTCGTGGATTTCTCTGCACGCGACTTCACTTGCTGCCCACCACTCCCAAGTGGAGGGCGTGAGCGAACGAGGCGAGGGCACGCAAAACCGTCTTACATACTGAAAATTCTGCTAGCCATCAACTAGTTGCACCAACGCGTTGCATTACGTTGGGCACAGCAGATGCGACGGTAAGTCCTTACGTACAAATATCCTTTAACGGCAGGCAAGTGTGTTTCTACTACCACTCGACTCCACGTATTCCTCCTACTCACCGTCAAGGTTTGCGTCTCTGGATTGCGCATTCTTGCCATTCCGTGCCACCATTCTCTACGTCCATTCGTCGAGGACCACGTGCTTGGTCGGACTGGGGAAGACGGGCAAACTCTTGTCTAGTGATTGACTCCTAGCGTGGAGTGGAGAGTTGGATCGCACAGCACTGCTACTCCGCCATGGACGACAAGATCAAGTCGGCGGAGTCTTCCGCCCCTGATGCTATCACGGAGAAGCCCTTTGGAGAGAAGAGTTTAGACGTACGCTCTGCGACGTCTGGTAGCGATGTCGAGAAGCAAGATGTCCGGGCGGGGACGACTGTCCAGCTCAAGAGGAAGCTTCAGTCACGGCATTTGCAGATGATTGCTATTGGTATGTCTTTCGCCTCAAGGACATAGCTCGTTGCTAACGACGTCCAGGTGGCACCATCGGTACAGGTCTCTTCATCGGTTCTGGAGGAGCTTTAGCCAAGTCAGGGCCAGCAGGCGCTCTCATCGCATATGCCTTCGTCGGTACCCTCGTCTACTCCGTCATGGTCGCCTTGGGCGAGATGGCCACCTACATCCCAGTATCTGGAGCTTTCACTGTTTACGCCGCACGATTCATCGATCCTAGCTTGGGATTCGCCATGGGTTGGATCTACTGGTTCTCTTGGGCCATTACCTACGCCTTGGAGTTGACTGCGAGTGGCCTCATCATTCAATATTGGGCTCCAGATCTCAACGTCGGCATCTTCATCGGCGTGTTCTGGCTCGTCATCACCGCCATCAACTTCCTGCCTGTCTCCTTCTACGGAGAGGTCGAGTTCTGGTTCGCCTCGATCAAGGTCATCACCGTCATTGGATTCTTGATCTTCGGCATCTGCATTGATGCCGGTGCTGGTCAACAAGGCTATCTAGGCTTCCACTACTGGAAGCACCCCGGGGCCTTCGCTCCATACCTCATCACGGACAACGATTCACTGGCTAAGTTCGTGGGCTTTTGGTCAGTGCTGATTCAGGCGGGCTTCTCGTACCAAGGAACTGAGCTTGTTGGTATCGCTGCTGGAGAGACCGCCAACCCACGCAAGACGGTGCCTGCTGCCATCCGCAAGACCTTCTACCGAATCGTTTTCTTCTTCGTCTTTACGGTCTTCTTCATTGGCCTACTTGTGCCATACGACAACCCTGATCTTCTCTCCGATGATACCAACGCGACTGCATCCCCCATGGTCATTGCGGCCAAGATCGCCGGAGTCCAGGTTCTCCCAGGTATCATCAACGCAGTCCTGCTTTGCGTCGTCCTCAGCGCCGCCAACTCGAACGTCTACAGTGGCTCCCGTATTCTGGTTGGTCTCGCCGACGAGCGATCAGCGCCCGCGATACTCAAGCGTACCACGGCTGGCGGAGTTCCATACGTTGCTGTGGCCTGCACAGCTGCCTTTGGACTTCTTGGATTCATGAACGAGTCTAGCAGTGGTGGCACGGTCTTCAACTGGTTCCTCAACATCACCTCGATCGCCGGCTTCATCTCCTGGACCTGCATCAACATCTCGCACATCGGCTTTATGCGCGCCTTGAAGGCCCGTGGTCAGTCCCGAGACACCCTCCCCTACAAGGCCATGTGGCAGCCATGGTTCAGCTGGTACGGCATCTTCTTCAACTCTCTCATCATCATCACGAACGGCTTCACCGCCTTCATCCCGTGGAACACATCTGACTTCTTCGTGGCGTACGTCAGCTTACTGCTGTTCGCCGTGCTGTATGTCGGACACAAGATCATTTTCAGAACGTCTTTCGTCAAGCCAGTCGAAGCAGATCTGGACAGCGGCAGGAAGGAAATTGAGGAGATGTACTTTGAGGAGGTGACGCCTACCACACCTTGGGGCAAGTTTTGGGCTTGGATTGGTTGAGCGAGTCTTGCACTGCATCGCAGGGTGGTTTGCTTGCTGTATGATTTAGCGTGCTCAGAAAATGTATGCTATAGCATGAATGAAGAAGATGAGACATGTGGATGACTTTGCCTTGTGCTGTCTCAGACCGTGCACTACTGATGCTGGCCGTACTGGAGGTGGTGTATGCATGGACAATGCCAAGACTGGGACGAAGGAGTATCCTATATACTCTACGGTAGTCTTTCTTCGCATATACGTTAACGACATTTTATCTGCACCTTCATCTAAGAGAACGAGCACATGCAGTGAGCACGGGCCCTCGAAGCTGGACCCGAGCAGCTGGATTGCGGGTCGTGCCGAATGCCGCCTGACGCCGACAGGCTCCAAGTTCCTTCCAGCCTGCGAGTCAACTGTCTTCAATTGTTCCTATTGTGAACAAAGAACATTCATTCGGCGCACCTCTCTCTTCTTTCTTCCTCCTTCCTTTCACCGCCGACAACTCCTCACTGCGCACACAACACCCACCCACCACACCGCCGACCGCGCAACAGCATACCCTCGCGACAGCGCCGCCGGCGCCCACCAAGCTCGAGATCAGCACCCCCACCACCGCCAACCAACCTCAGAGCACACGACCTCCACCCAGCGCACACGCACATACGCACTCACTACAACACCACCACGACCGTCGTCATGGCGCCCTCGAATGCGTCTGAGCGACCATCTCGCCGTGCTCTCGGCAAGCGACGTGCGGCAGACCGCGATGGAGACGTCAAGATGGGTGTCGAGAGCAACAACCGCACCGGCATCGGCAAGACCAAGCGACCACCAAAGGGCCCCAAGGGTGCTCAGGGTGCTCTGAACAGCACGGACATGCAGCGCAAGATCCACCGCGCGACTGCAAACGGAGATGTGAGGATGAAGGGAGATGCGCCAGCAAAGACCAGCGGCGGCCTCGAAGAGTTCAAGGTGACGGGATGGGAGAAGAGCACGGCAGCACATGACCCCGATGGCGGCGTGGAGTCGCTGAAGAGATGGTTGCAAGGCAAGGTGTCACGGAAGCTGGGCTCGGCCTCGAGAAAGGCGGCTCAGTTCAAGAAGTCGCGGGTGGAGGGCACCGCTCTCTACATCAGCGTGCCTGCCATCGATGCCGGACCACTTGCGCGCATGAATGGCTTCAAGTGGGCTGGCGTCACCCTCACGATCGAGAAGGTTGGTGGCTCGGGACAGGACAGCAAGCTATCTTCCAAGGCAGAGGAGACGAAGCTCATGCTGCGAAATGTCCTCGAGCGTCGGTACAACATACAGACCAAGCTTCTCGACCTCTCAGCGCTCAGCCAGGACGACGAACTCAAGGCTCAAGCGATCTTCGACTCGAACTCCACCGCCAGCAAGTTCTTCCCCGCGATGATGAAGGTCCTCGAGCTCGCCTTCGACACCACCGACGAACTTAATGCACACGTCGAGAGCGTGTCGCTGGCGAACAACGGACTTGCCGACCTCAAGGCGGTGTCGACACTCTCTGCGACATTGCCCAAGCTGCACAACCTCGACCTCTCGAACAACAACTTCGCCAATCTCTCTGCCCTCTCCATCTGGCGCAAGAGATTCCTTCACCTGCAACACCTCGTCGTTTCCGGCAACCCGCTCGAGCAGAATGAGCCAAACTACGCAGCCGAGCTCGTGAAGTGGTACCCGAACCTGCGCGTGCTCAACCAGATTCAAGTGCGCACCGAAGAAGACATCAAGAACAAGGCGAGCACCGGCAACTTGCCATTCCCCATCCGAAGCCCAATCTTCCAAGATGAGGGTCAGATCGCAGAGAACTTCATCCGCCAGTGGTTCCTCGGCTTCGACACCGACCGCCCACAGCTGGCACAAATCTACTACGACGACCAGTCCGACTTCTCATACGCGGTCAACGTCTCGGCACCACGCGACCCCAACGACACTGTGCAGACTGAGAAGAGCGAGTGGAGCGCGTACATCAGGAACAGCCGCAATCTCAAGAAGATCTCGCAGCTTCCAGCCCGTCAGAATCGCCTCTTCCGCGGCCCAAAGGCCATCTCAGAGGTCTTCGCCACCCTGCCCAAGACCAAACACCCAGATCTTGGTGCTGAGGCGCGCAAGTGGTTGATTGAATGCCACATGCAACCAGGCATTCCAGATCCCACCGGCCAGAGTCCCCAAGGTGTCGACGGCTTCGCCATCTACATCCACAGCGAGTACGACGAGCTTGACGACAGAACTGGCCAGCCCAACGGCAAGAAGCGCAGCTGCGATCACTCCTTTCAGATTGGTCCAGGAGGCCCACAAGGTGTTCGCATCGTCAGCCACCAAATCACCATCCGCGCATACGGCGGCACTCAAGCACTCGAACCTGAAGCACCCCCACAAGCCGGCCCGCCATCGCCACCACAACAGGCGGCCGTCGACATTGAGCTATACGCGCAGGCTGGTCTCTCGCTCCAGCAGGCCGAGGAGATTTGTGCGGCTCTGTCGCAGCAGACTGGCATGACGATCAACTACTGCAAAGACTGCCTCGATCAGGTCGGCTGGGATGCTCCACGAGCACTGGCTGCCTTTGAGGACGTCAAAGCCACCTTGCCGGCCGACGCCTTCGTGCAGAACGTTCCAGTGGCTTGAAAGGAAGGAAAGCAAGGAAGATGGAAACGAATAGAAGTGATGATCAAGGGAGGATACTTGACGATTGTGCAAAGAGGGAAGGCGCAAGCATCCGGGAATTCAGCATCGGCGTTTCGAAAGAGAGGAAAAAGGGCTGGATACGGCGAACTGAGAAGAAAAAAGACATGCGTTATCACGAGCAAGACAACAATCAGCGATTCAGCGATGGTGTACATGGAGAAATGGAAAGCAAAGGCGCTACACTGTACTGTACTGGGCGGAGTTTTGCGTGTGTTTTTGATGATACCAGACTGAGTGAAGACCACCACCGTGCTTGGTGGCAATGCGATTATCGTGTAGATGATCGAAATCAGAAATGATACTGCATTTTGGATGGCTCGCCTTGGATGGCGGGTCTCGAGATATTGAACTCTGATCGTACTTTCCTTCTTTTGTTGTTGTTCCATGTTCTTCAAGGTGAGCCTTTTCAATTGAAGTTCGTTGCCGTCAGTTTTTTCTTGTTCTTCGTAAGCTACAGGCATCACATCGTTCAATCATCATCTCCCACCCAGTCTCCCCACTCATATCCCTCATCACTTCCCGCTTCCTCCCCAAGACCCCTCCCCATATCCTGCCGCTACCCCTTTCCCTTATCTCCCCCCATCTCCCTCTCCCATCCCCCCTTACGACCATCTAGCTCCTCCCCGCCAACCCCGCCACACTCCGAAAATACCCAAACGCGGAACAAAAGCTTCCCCTGGGATAACTCCCAGGCACGACGAGATCGAGGTTGAATTGGTTGAGGGAGTTTTGGGTTTGTGTTAGGGCGGAGATGGCTTGTTGGGGGGTTGTGGCTGGTTGGGGCGTGAAGGGGGTGCAGGATATTGCTTTTTGAGGAGGGTGTTAGCGGGGGTGGGGAGGGGGATGTTGGGAGGGTTGGGGGAGGGGGTTGGGAAAAGGGTGGGGGATGGGAGGGATGGAAGGAACGTACAAGTCAACTGAGCGATTCGGGCGAGTTGATTCTGAACGGAGTCGAAGTTGGCTCCCGGGGAGGATTTCTGGACAAAGTTGTTGATTAGGGAGACGATGGTCGCTGTTCATTATCCCGAATTAGTCTTTCTGGGGATATTGGGTTGGGATGAGGATGGGGATGATGTTGTTACTGACCTTGAGCGTTCACGACGTATTGGCGAACGTTTGCGGAGGGGGCGGTTGGTGGAGGGTTGGATTGGGGTTCGGCGTATGCATATGGTGATGCGTCAGCCGCTGGGGCTGGGTTTGCTTCAGGGGCTGGGTTTGCTTCAGGGGCTGGGTTTGCGATTGGCAAGGCTATGGCTGTGGTGAGGAGGGCAAGGAGGGAGATGAGCTTGGAGAAGTGCATTTTGAATGGTGCTCGTTGAAGGGTAGAATGATGGAGGAAGAAGTAGTTGAGGAAGTCAGAGAGATGTATGAGGAATACTCGTGAGAGGTGTCGTTTTAGATTGTTGTCGAGTCTTGGGTAATAGGAGTGATTTTGCAAATGGGCTTGCCTTTTTATATTGCACGTCTGATCGCTTCGGGGAACATCCTGACTCTTCCTTGCTCGCTCATCCGTCTGCTTTCACGAAGCAATGTTGGATCATCTTCAGCCAGCCTCAACCACATCATATCGTGGAATTGAGGGGGAAAGGGCATCTAGACACGCAGTCATCGTCATGAAGCTGCAATGCATCGAAGCTTCAGCCTGTTACAATGAAGTTGAAGACCACATCAGGCAAGCCGCGTGACTTTGATGACAGGGTCATCTTGGATGTCGTCGAAGTCTACCACCTTTTTAGACCGTCGGATTGGCCATGTTCCAAAGGCGAGGTGTTGTTGCGCACTTGAGGCTTGAATGAGGCGTTTCTTCGAATGCTGCATCTCCAAACGCCACAAATCGTGGGGCGACATGCAGCTTGATGATTGACAGCGAGAAAATGCCGCGACGAGGCTTGAAATTCTACACTCGTATTCGTCGAAGCTGAGCTGATTGCTTCTTCAGGCTCCGTCAGGCCACGCCTGCGTCTTTGCGAAGCAACAGCTACGACAGCCACATAGCCTGGGCTGCATGTAGGGCTGCAGAAAAGCTGAAGCTCTTGCAGCTATTACGCACCGACGTCAGGGGTGAGAGCTGTAAATTTTTGGTGCTCTGGAGCTGTACTGTGGTGAATATTGCAGATTTGTCGTCGGCTGGCGATGTTGAGAGTGAATGGTGGTTCGACTCTTGCAGCATCGCTTGCAGTAAGAATTGGAATTCGATCGCGAATGGCTTCGATTGAAGGTCACACGACGATGAAGCTCTTGAGAACTGTTGATGAGCTTCAGAATGGCGTTTCCCGGCGATGCCGGAGTCGTTGAACATGGACGATGGGACCGACTGGAGGTTGATGTTGGCGATGAGGAGTATAGATGCTTGCCGCTCTCAGGATGCTGCGCCGTCAGCTCAGAAACCTCTGTTGAATCAGTGCAGTTGTCTTATCATTTTCAAATGGACTACTCCACCCCAACGATCACGTACAGGGCGAGGATCAAAGTCGTAGTCCCCGTCCAGAGAAGGCGATCGATCCGCAGAATGTCGTCGCCCACCGAGTGCTCACTCCGCGAGCTCAGCGAAAAAGATGCCTGGCAGACGACACTGAGGCAGAAACAGTCGGAAGAGGAATTGCAGCGGGTGTATGAGACTCAGATACTGGCGTACTTGAATGCCGATTATGCGGATCTTGAAGAGGCGGTGCAGGCTGAGTCAGAAGACGAAGCAGAAGAGTAAGCTTTGCGAGAGTGTCGAGTGTTCTCTGAGCGCCACAACCACCTATCGTCCACGGGTAAAGTTCAAGCTGATATGTGTACAGCGAGGCGGTGCTGTTGTGGCGGCGTCTGGAGAACTACGTGTGGTCGTGAGACCAAGACTGGATCCACGGAAGAGTGCGCGCAGTGACTTGATGCAGAAAGCAAACGACAGGTCCGATGTTGGTACGATTTCGACACTCGCTCAATGCAAGTTGTGCGTGGCCTGGGGGTTTCGGAAGAGCAAATATGCGGCGTTACTCGAGATTTTGGCTCCCTGAGAAGAAGCCCATTGCTGGAAGAGCTGGATGGCGCTGATTGAGTCGAGCGTTGTCAGACATGGCCGATCAAAAGAAGAAGACAGAATGCTTGATATGAGTTGGGGTTGCAGTGTACGTGTACTTCTCGAGATACTGTTGACTTAAATTCATTGCAGGTCCTGCTGCTTCAAAACCAGTCTTTCACCGTCCTCTAGATCGGCCATTGGAATCACGCTCAAGCACCTGTGGCGTGTCAGCACCAGCCTCGATATCGATGTCCTTCAATACAAGATGAAGATGGCGATATCAGAATCCCTTTTCTAAGCATCGACGGGAGTATGTGTCGATACCCCGTGCCTTTTCCGGCTCTTCCTGAAGCTAATGGGTATACGGAATCTCATCATGAAGTGGGTTGAGATGAAAGAGGCGGGCAGACTTACACATACTCGGCAATGGAAGTTGATGGTGAGGATGATGTTGGCTGTTGGAAGCAGAATTTCTGCCTGTGACAAGAAGCAGGTGCGGAAGACGGCTCGGAAGAATTAAAGTTCGGACCGAACCGCGCTCTCTCCACGTCTCACGATTCATCACTTGCGGCCAGGTGTTGTCAGGAACAGGACCCGACCAATATGATCCATGCCCGGCTGCCATTAATCCCTATTCATAAGCACAAAGGCGCAGTTGAGTGATCCCGCAGTGGTAGCTTCCTCTTCTATCCCCTTCATGACACGCTGTACATAGCAGGTATAGAAGAAGAAGCCGCCTTCCCTTTCCCCCGTCTCCGCTTCGCACGCTTGCTTCGATCTTTCTTTGTCACCTTCGACCGCCCACACGCCGTATGCGCACCTCAATAAGGGATCCCGGTCCAGTCGCAGTGTCGCTTTGATTAAAGCGTCATCCAGGTATGAAAGATGAGATCTGTCCACTGTGCTTTCGCAGAACATGCGCTGACATCTGGCTTGCAAGAAGGGACTCGGCTTCACCATGAGGCCGTCGACAGCACGCGGCTTCTACCTCGCAGTCTTCGCGCTGTGGGGTGTAGACTGCCATGCTGAATCCGCCTCATCCACCTCTCCACACACAAGCCCAGATGTCTGCGCAGTAAGCTCTTCTTGTAACCCTCGATTTACTCCCAAACGAATCCTTAACGCCTTCCAGCTCGAACCCAAAGCCAAAGTCTCAGATGCTTGCGCCTCCTACGCCGACTTGAACGGTCTGAACGACAAACTTCATCCCTACGTACGGAACCTTGCGAACAACACCGACTTCTTCTCGTTCTACCGATTGAATCTCTACAACAAGAAATGCCCGTTCTGGGATGATGAGAATGGCATGTGTGGGAACCGAGCATGTGCGGTGAATACTGTGGACAACGAGGACGATATCCCCGCGATATGGCGGGCAGAAGAGCTGAGCAAGTTGGAAGGACCAAAAGCACAACACCCGGGCAAGAAGCAGCAGAAGGAACGGCAACGGCCGCTGCTGGGTGAGCTTGGAGACAGCGTTGGCGAGAGCTGTGTGGTGGAGTATGATGACGAGTGTGACGATCGAGATTACTGTGTACCGGAAGATGAGAGTGCGAGTGGGAAGGGTGACTATGTCAGTTTGGTGGACAACCCAGAACGATTCACTGGATATTCGGGAGATGGAGCACATCAAATATGGGAGGCCATCTACCGAGAGAACTGCTTTTCGAAGCCAAAGCAGGGAGTGTTGGATGCAGGGTCGTCATCTCCTCAGTCGGGCATATCGCAAGATCAAGCCGTGGCAGCGCAAGAGTTCAAGCAGGTCATCAAAGCTCACGATCGTCTGGAAGCCAGAAAATCAGGTCTGCCAGAAGAGGCTCTTGACTTTGAGGATGAGTGTCTGGAGAAGCGAGTGTTCTACCGAGTCATCTCTGGCATGCACGCATCGATCTCGACGCACCTTTGCTACGACTATCTCAACCAGACGACGGGAGAATGGGGCCCCAACGTGGAGTGCTACAAGGAGCGATTGCACCACCACCCCGAAAGGATCTCGAACCTTTACTTCAACTACGCGCTGATACTGCGTGCTGTGGGCAAGCTACGGGATTACGTCCAAGACTACACCTTCTGCACAGGCGATACAGTTCAGGACAGCAGGACCAAGAAGATGATCACCATCCTGGCGGACGCCATCCCAGCTGGACCTCAGATCTTCGACGAAAGTGTCATGTTCCAGGACCAGACCGCCGACGGCATCAGCCTGAAGGAAGACTTTCGCAATCGATTCCGCAACGTGAGTAGGATCATGGACTGTGTGGGTTGCGACAAATGCCGGCTCTGGGGCAAGGTCCAGACCAATGGATTTGGCACGGCATTGAAGGTGCTGTTTGAATTTGGGAATGGCCATGAGGGCGAAGACAAACCTTTACTCCGCCGCACCGAACTTGTCGCACTCATCAACACGCTCGACAAGATCAGCGCCGCATTGAAAGCTCTCGAACATTTCCGTCTCATGGTAACAGCAGAACAAGAAGGCCGTCCATCTGAGTCCGTGGCTGAGACACCACGATTCAAGCCGAGCGAGGTACCAAACTTCGACGACCTGGATGATCTGGACGACTTTGAGGACCACCAATCGAGCCAAAGCCACGTCCCCAGCATCTCAGAGATCTTCTACGAAGAGCTAGAAGTCGTCTACAAGGCGACCATGTTCATCCTGAGGAGCTGGCTGGATCTGCCGGTCAAGATCCCGCTCATCGTGGGCAACGAAGGCGGACGACTATGGGACTCTTGGCTGGGCAAGCCTGTGCGGCCGAGGAAGTGGGAGATTCGGTTTCCCGAACGCGACGAGTTATGATTGTATTTATTTCGTGGCATAGCATGGCGATGGATGGGTGGCATAGGTTTGGCGTTCTTGGACGGGTTGTGCATGTGGCAAGCAATGATGATGCCAGGTGGCATTTTGTGTGAGACGAACCAAAGATATTGGAGTGCTATATGTGATTCTGGCCGAGTATATTGGCAGTCGGAAGAATCGAGGCCGACGTTTCTGAGATATTGCCGTTCCCGATCGATAACGGCGCACGTGAGATCCCGTCAACGCTTCGAGAGTTGCCGACAGGACGTTGAGCGACGGCCAGGATCCTTCTCATCGGCCGTGCCGCGCAGCATGTGAGAAATGCGGAGAATTTGCAAACTTTGAATCAGAAAGTCTCGATGAAGCACCGATCACGCGTTCATCAGCACACGGACTCTGCAACAACAACAAAGAATGCGTTCATCCAGCGAGACCTGTTCTTGATGAAAAGTGTGCTTTGAGGACGGGTTTAGCTGTTGCTTCACCCCTTCAATCTCAGACGTCTCTCGCGCGTGTGGTGAAACGGTGCTCGCCGCGACGAATGAACGGCGCGAGGCCAGACCAGGAGTTTGAGCCGGCGTCGAGACCGGGAGTGATTGGGGATAGCTTTCCCGCCGAGACGATGCGCTGGGGCTGTGATTGGCTGGAGGAAGCACAATCCTTGCAGACGTTTGGCGGTTGGCCGGGATGCTGTTTCAACGGCCACCGCGCTGCCGGGTCGCCTGTCGAGCGTGTGGAGCGCGAAACTTCTTGTCCTTCTTGTCGCTCTTTGTCGCGGGCCTCGTCCTTCCACTCTTGTCTCGCATCGAAGCGCTGGTCCTCTGCTCGTTCGCTCTCTTCGTCGCCTGTACATCGCTGTGTGCCTCGTCACTCTTTTGACCACCACAAGCACCTTCTGCACTTCTGATTTAGACGCGCCTGCGGCGTGACGCTCCCTTCAATCAATCACTCAATCATTACCATCGCGGCCAGGGCCCGCCGAAAGCGCACTCCCTCACACACACCCTCACATTCCTTGCGACATTCCTCGGACAGCGTCTTTGTCGCACCAGTCCCTCCCTTCACACACCCCTCCAGCAGCCCGCGTGACAGCTGTTCTCATCACTCTGACGTCCACCGTCGAGCGCCGACAACCTGCGACGATTGCCTTGTGATTGCCAAACTGCGAGTCAGGAGCAATCGCGACATTCACGACAACCCGCGACTGCACCATCCAACCTTGAACACCGTCTTCGACGACAACCCCATTCAAAACGGCCACCATGTCGCTCGTACGTGCCTTTACCACCCGGCGCTCCAAGCCTGATCACCTCGAGAACGTCCACGTCGGCCGCGCCGCCAGTCAACGCCAAGGTCGACCAGTCCACCGCACTCAGATCTCGTCACCCGTCGTTCTGCTGTCCAGCACGAATGCGCTGTCATACGACGCACCTGATATCGCCGGCACTGCGCCCGTCGGCGGCACTCGCGACTTCTCCTCGTCATCATCCAGGTCTTCCCACGAGGGCAGCGACGCCAGCACATTCGACATCAGCTCCAACACCGACGCTTCTTCGATCGAGAACTCCCCCATCAGCCCCGAGCCCGAGCCAAACCACTTGAGCTGCTACTTCAAGTCTGCGCAAGACTCTTCGCCAACTCTGCAATCACGAGCTTCCTTCGACGCTCCATCCATCCCACAGCGAGTGCCCTCGCATTCCAAGAAGGCTCACGAACGGGTTCACCGCAAGCGCTCGGTCCAGCGTATGATGTCTCCACCATCCAGCATCGTTCGCAACTCGACCGAGATGTTCAAGCCGATCGAAGCGCCGCAAGAGAACCCCTTTGGCAACGAACTCGCCCAGCTGGATGAGGTCGCCGAGGAGTTGAGCTACGCTGTGCGCGATGCCGAAGCTGAGGAGGATGCCGCGTACATGGAAGCGCACGGCCTTGCTCGATACGACGCCGATAGCTACCTCGCCGAGATCCACAGCCTCATCTACGAGACCTACCACGCTGAAGAGCCAATCTGGATTTGAAATCCATGGACCAGTCACGCGCTCCAGCACAATCGTTCCTCTGACCGATCAGGACATCGTTGGAGGTTGCAGATGGAGATGTTCTGAACCATATCATTCATTACCGACGACATCTCAGTGCTGGGTGCCATCCACCTCGAAGGGCTCACTTCTACTGTGCATACACCGACCACGATAACCCGCTCTTTCTACATCTCTCTGGCAGATTGATTTCCTCTCTGACGACCCGACACGACCGAACACCACACTTTCCTTGCCCGGCGAATTCAGAGGACCATCTGCCGTCCACTCATTCATTACTTTTGCTGTCTTGTCTGCTGCGCGGAGGAAAGGAATGAATTGGTTTCTTTTTAACGAGTATACGTCTTATCTGGAGACACAGGGGATACCGAACCACGAAATGGAATAGACCAAGGAGTTATCTGTCCTCTATTTCGTAGTGTGCTTTTGTACATGCAGCTTGCTAAAAGTTTCTTCAAGACAACACGTATCATTTTGCCTCAGTTGTACAGATCTTGTTGTAGTTCCGCGGAACGGGTCATGTATCATGCAGTGAAAGATCGCCTGACAGATGGGCGCATGTGAAGCTTCCGCGCGTGCCAGGTGGTGAACCAAGGACCGCGTCGGCTGTGATTGGCCAGCATCCCCCGCCGCGGGACCGTCCGGGGGCTAGTGAAGAGCTCATCGATCTTTGTTGACACGCGAGGTTCGTAACTGCTTTCTCTCCAGAAACAAACACCACCACCACCAAAAAGATCCCCCATTTTCGAGAACACGCCCACAATCTCACACGCTTCCCCGAACACACTCGACACGACGGCGACGACGACAGCTCTATCGGCGGCATTGGCTGAAACTGCAGCGACTGTTCCGGCGGTGAAACAAGACGCTTGAACGCGGTGCCTGCAGTAGCGGTTCCTTCTTTTCCAACATCCACCTACCCCTCCGGCAACGACTGCGAACATCACCTCCAACACTCCCATAGCCGAGCGGCCACACACACCCGTACGACGACATCCTATCACTGGCCCCGACTTCGAGGTTGCGGGACGCGGTGACTGGAAGTAAAGAACGGCGATAGAAAAAGAGCAGTGCAGACAGGGACGGGCAAGATCACAATGGCGTTGGACATTGACTACACGCGACGCAACAAGAAGCCGCGTCTGTTGACGGATAGCGAGCGGGATAAGCTCGATGAGTTTATTGATTCGATCCATTACTCCAGTCGGTGAGTAGACAGAATGTCCCTCACTTTCAACCATTTGTGCGGGGGAGGGGTGGAAGAAAGGAAGAAGAGATTGTGGTGGATGGACGTGTGACTGATACTGATTGCTTGACAGCTACAATGACGACCACTTCGAATACCGCCATGTGCAACTCCCCAAGCAGATGCTCAAGGCCATTCCCAAGGACTACTTTGACGGAGCGCGGGGCACGCTGAAGTTGCTGTGGGAGGATGAGTGGAGAGGATTGGGGATTACGCAGGTAAGAAAGATCATATCCGCCAAGATGGGGGAGATGTGGTTGGCTAATATGGGAATGCAGAGCTTAGGATGGGAACACTATGAGGTCCATGAGCCTGAGCCGCATATTCTACTTTTCAAGTAAGTGAGAAATGAAGCGGTGGAAAGGTGGAGCGGGAACTGACTTGACCACAGGCGACCGATCAACTTCCAACCCGGACAGCAGCAGTGAAGAGACTGACATAGTCCCTCTGCTCTGCGTCCTTCATCAGCATCACGGCTTCGAGGCACACTCAAGGCTTCCTCAAAGACTGTCCACCAGACGACAGACGGATCGGCACGAATACACACACCACCCTTACGAACCACGGCAGGAACCCTTCTCCCTTGCCATTGTCGATACGATCGATAGACGGCAGACGAAACGAGCGAGAAGAGCGGATTCCCATCATCCACATCGTGCATTTTCATAAAAACTGCGCAACAATGCAGACCTTCTTGAAGCTTTCTTCGACCTTGCTTTTCCCCCCTGACACGACGACGAGAACCATGCATTTACGGACGGAATTGGGCTCTGTGAAGGTGCGCCGAGGCGTGTTTTTTTTTCGATTCGACTGAGATGTGAGATGAAGAATCCTTGGCTTCTTTTCGATCAAGAGTCAGGAAGTCCTATACGTCCAGCGGCGAAGCGTGCTTTCGTATGGGAGTGGGAATGGGGAAAGAAAGAAAGCATTGTGGATTCTGCTTGCGTCTGCGTCGGGGTGTTTCCCAGCCGTTGAGGCTTTTTACTTCTTTGATTCGATTCGATTGCGACTGCGATTGCGACTGTGTGCGTATAGCTTAATTCGGAAGCTGTTTTTTTTTCTCCTCTGCTTTGATCAAGTACCTTCTTGTCTCCTCTTCTTCACGCTCTGGTCACTCACATTGGAAAACCTGGAATGAAACCCCTTTCTTTTCCCAAGGCTCTCTCTTAACGGAGGGAAGGGCAGAAATCGTAAAGCAGGGTGCGATACTCACTTCCCTGACAGCGATATACTGTGCGAAAACATGGCAGGGAGACAAGATGTGGCCGAGTTCTGCATGGTACCCCTTTACCAGCAAGAGGTATTCGACAAGTGAGAGAACCATCGCTCCTTGTGCCATTTTTCATCAATCAATATCCGGTGTTTCCCGTGGTTCAATTTCCCATGACTACATAAACCTCATTCTCGTTCTCTCTCTCGCGCCCTTCTCCTACCAGGATCCCAATCTACCCCAAAAGCACCTTCCAAGTCCCCACCTCAAAAGCCCTCAACTCGACCTCCAACCCTTCCTTCCCCACCTCCACTTCCTCAATCACATCCTCCAACAAATTCACCTTCCACGCCTTCTTCACTTTGACACTCCCAAACTCCACGACACCGCGACTCGTCCCACCCAAACTGTCGTAGATCCTGAGGATGACGTGGCGGTCTTTGGAGGTTTTCGAGGGGAGTTCATGGTTCGAAGCGTCGGCGTCGTCTTCGCCCCGCTTGATCGTGTCGATGACGAGGGAGGGGGAGGAGGAAGGCGTGAGTTTGAAGGCCGAGAGGAGGTCCGAGATCGCCTCCGGGTTCGGGTGGCGGTGGATGGAGAGGGGGTTGTTGAACTCGAACGCGGCGCGGACGGTGCGGTGGTCGAGGCCGCCTGCGCGGGGGAGAATCGCCCATTTGATGTGGTGGCGCCCCATGTCCGCGTGGGCGTCGGGGGCTTTCGGGGCGCGGAGGAGGGAGAGACGCATGAGGTTTCCGACCGTCGCGATGCCGTACTTGCTGTCGTTGAGGATGCTCACGCCGTAACCGTGTTCCGACAAATCCGCCCATTTGTGGCAGCAGACTTCGAACTTCGCCATGTCCCAGGTGGTGTTGTAGTGCGTGGGGCGCTTGACGAGGCCGAATTGCGTTTCGTAGGAGGCTTCGGTGTTTTTGATGGTGGTGGGGAATTCGACTTTGAGGAATTTCATCGTTTCGCGCCATTCGACTTCGGCGGATACTTCGACGTAGGAGGTCGGGGCGGAGGAGGTGACGGCGGAGAGGAAGATGGTGGTTTTGATCCAGGATTCGTCGGAGATTTTGGTCGTGGTGGTGACGGCGACGCGGAAGGGGGAGTTTTCCGTGATGGAGGTGGTGTTGGGTGTGGCGGGGAGTTCTTTGCGGGAGTGCAGGTGGAAGACTTCGACGTCCCAGGCTTGCCAGTAGAGGGGCTTGTCGTCGAAGATGACGAGTTGGTTGGCTTTGCTGCCTTTGGGGATGGATTCCCGTTTGGCGGACTTGTCGTAGAGGGAGGTGATGACGCCGTCGGAGACCTTGACTTGGAGTTTGGAGTTTTCGAGGAGGAAGCTGCCGTCTTCCATTTCGTTGACGGAGGCCACTTCGAGGAAGTCGCCAGTCTTGGTATTGACACCGGCTGGCTGGCCGATGATCTCGGCGCTGTGGGTGAGGCCGGAGGATGTCTGGTGCATGGCGAGCTCATGTCGTTGCCAGCCGAGAGTGTTCAAGGCGACGGGTTTGGCGTCTTTCTTATCTTCAAAACCGAGCGCTGTCAGAGCATCCTTCAACGCCTTCTTGCCGGTCTTGAAGACTTTGGCATATAGTTCAGCTGAATCATCGTAACACATCTCGATGGCAGAACCTGGAAGACAGTCGTGGAACTGACACAGCAGCACATTCTCCCACATCTCGTCAATCTCCTTCTTTGGATATTTGTATGCCTTGTCACCCTTGATAGTGGCCAGCGTGCCAAGATATTCAATATCGTGAAGGAGAATCTCAGACAAGCGGTTGTTGCGCTTGTTGTTGGCTTGAGTGGTGTATGTGCCGCGGTGGAGCTCAAAGTACAGCTCACCATACCACGTCACAAACTCGGTCTTGCCGGTGGCAGCGTTGTTTTCGAGTCGGTCGAAGAAGTCTTCAACACTATAGCCCATGTGGACTCGAGGCAGGAGGCCAACTTTGTCGCTGATACCACGGCAGCGACGAAGCTTCTCAATATGTTCAAAGGTTGGACCACCTCCACCATCACCCTTTCCAAAAACAAGCAAAGATGTCGGATCTTGGTCCATGCTCTTGTGTTGGGTCACAGACCGCTTGACATCACCAAAGTGTGCCTCAGCAGTGTAGGTCTCAGACGGCGCCATGTGGCAGATGACTTGGCTGCCGTCCAGACTGACCCAGTTGAAGGTGGTGTGTGGGAAGTTGTTGATGTTGTTCCAGCTGAGCTTCTGCGTGAAGAAGCGATCCATACCAGCCAGTCGGCAGAGTTGTGGGATTTGGGAGGAGTAGCCGAACGTGTCAGGCAGCCAGAATGTTCGGCATCTCTCGCCAAATCGAGATTCAAAGTATCGCTGGCCGTAGACAAATTGACGAACAAGAGATTCTCCTGACGGCAGGTTGGTGTCATGTTCAACCCAGCTGCCACCGATGGGCTGGAAGGTGCCCTTCTTGACATGATCCTTGACCCGATCGAAGGCGTATGGGTAGTACTTCTCCAACCACTTGTACTGCTGAGCTTGTGATGCACAGAAGCGGTGTTCTGGGTATCGATCCAGCAGGTCGCATTGATTGGACCAACTGCGAGCAATCTTGCGTTTCGTCTCAGCCCAAGGCCACAACCAGCAAGTATCGATGTGACAGTGACCAATCCCACTGATCAGCACCTCTTTCTCAGGCTCGAGGTCGTATACATGTGCTGAATCGACCTTCTCGCCGACATATCTCTTTGCAATCTCTCGACACTTCAAGATGCATGCATTGGAGCCTTTGCCTTCGATGAAACAGTCCATGATCTCGTTGCAGACTTGCAAAGCGGCATGCTCTTCCCAGCTGTCGGTTGGGAATTCTCGTGCGGCATCGCCAATGATCCAGAAGTCGTAGAACAAAGCTCGAGCTTGTTCGTTCACACTGACGAGGTCGGCCTCTTTCAGTTGGAAGTACTTGTTGGGATCAGGCGGCTGGATGGAATCACCGCCGGGAGCATTGCCGAACATGCCATTGCAGGCAGTCTCGATATAAATGGTGTGCTCTTTGCCGTCTCTGTACTCTTTGGGAACGATCCATTCGATTCTTTCGCCATTGCCTGTCAGACCTTGCAGAGGCTTGCCATCGTGGGTCCAGACCATGCCTTCGCAGCTGGCGTCCCAATGCAGCTCTATCAACGACTTGTAGTCCCAGTCTTTAGGCACTGTAAAGTGCACTTTGAACCAGTGTGTGCTCCAACTCGGTCCAAACCACTGACCCTTTTCGGTCTTCTTGTATTCATTCTCTTTGCTGGTTGCCTCGTCGAAGGTGGGGCGCGAGAGATCCGGTGCATCCCATACTGACAGCTTGACATGCTTGTCTCCAGAGACACGGCCGTCGTAGAGCTTGGCCAGCAAGCCTTGTTGTCGGTACTGTCCGCCGTCGGTGAACTGCTTCAGACGATCCTGGTAAATGGAGTGAATCAGCTTGCCCTTGGGGCGTTCGGCCAGCTGCGGGTAGGATGGAGCAGACGAGGCCATCTTGTGGGACGATTCGCCTCCCATTGTTTGGATAGGCGGAATTGATGAGAGGTGATTGAAATGGTCAGCCGACTCCTAACCAATGTGTAGTACAGAGCTGGGTGGGATCAGGTGAGCTCGTCGACGCAGGTACACGCACGCAGCCAACAGCTACACGTGGAGCTCTCTCCGCATCGATCGCCCCAGAAACCGGAAACCACCTTGGCGCTGATCATCGGCCCTTAAAAATAGCGACCGTTGCGAGATGCCCAACAACAGAAGAACAAGCGAGGTGCACGAAGTACATGTTACTTATCAGGTAGCTGTTATTCACGCTGTTTCAGACAATCAAGATTTTAGAAAATACGGTGGATTAATAGCTTTCCTTCCGTTAACTTATTCAGTAATGTTAATAGCTTCATTAAGTCTGGTAGCATTTCTTTTTAGACAATCAAGATTTTAGAAACTACGGTGGATTACTAAAGGAGACTATATAGCTTAACTAATACTGATACCCTAGATTAAATTAAGAAGTTCAAAATTACAGTAGTCTTAATCGTCTAAGACTAGTCTTATCTTAGAACAACAGGTGTAGCATGGAGAATACTTTTCATTAGGTGCAAATGTTTCTTTTACCGCAATACGGACCTCCGGAGCCTGACGAAGACGGAGCCATCAAAGCCTTGCGGGGCAGAACAAATCACATGACATCGCAACCACAAAATGCGGGGATACATGTAACTATTATATGGCAAGCAATAGCGATTACTACCTCTGCACCATCACCAGCACCAGAATCACCAGTACCCATCATGGATCCTCCTCGCCGTCCCAAGCAGCGGAACAAGCCAACCCTTAACTGCCTGGCTTGTGTCGAGAGGAAGAGCAGGTGTGACCGAGGGCGTCCTGCCTGCTTCACCTGGTCCGTCGTTGCAACGCCCGTCCTTCCAATCGACCAGCCCGCTAACGTTTCTACGAGTCAAGCGTGAAGCGCCAAGTCGAGTGTCAATACACCCCCGTGGCGAACTTCCTCGCTGCGTCCCAAGCTCCGATGCCACGCCCACGAAAAGAGCGCCGTCCGCCTGCCACGCCCCCTTCGACTGTAACACCCAGCGGTTGCCCGCAGGATGCCTTGACTGTGGAAGGATTGGCTTCAGAGATCGTCCTGGCATCGGCCTCAGCACTCCCGGAAACAGGCGACGAGGGCGTCCAGTTTGGCCAGGTAACTGCGCACACAGGGTCTGACGAGCGCGATGATCTGCTCGCCACCGACATGTACATCTTTCGCCTACTGGATCTCCTGTTTCCAGACCAGACCCTGCACTGGAAGATCGCCGCGCGCTTCTCAACTTATTTGGGGCAAGCTTTCCCCATCCATTTCGTACGTTCCAATGCTCCAAACGGTCGAGCCTGCCTCGTGCCGTACTGACAATCATGCCTGGGCCTAGAGAACTACTGGACCGATGCGGGAGGGCTTGTCGAGGTTATTGCAGCTTTGCCAGCCAAAGATGAAGCCGATATACTTCTGGAGCGCTTTTTCCAGGCCATACATCCTCTGTATCCGATCGTACCGCGAGAGTCTTTCATGGCCGACTACGACCGCTTTTGGCTTCTTCTGGATGAAGAAAAACACGCCAGCAATGCTGCTCATGTCGCTCTGCAGTTTGCCATTTTCGCGGTCGCTGCGCAGGACATGCACACACAGGCTACGCAAAGTACTCGCGCGGATTTTTCAGAATTTTACTTGAGCTGCTGCCATCAGGGTCTTTGTCTTTCGAGTTATCTCAACCACCACTCTGTGGCAACAGTTCAGACAATGGTCTTGATTTGCCATTTCCTCATTGCTACCGACAGGATCTCCGATGCGTGGACAATCTCAGGTATCACCCAGCGACTGGCGTATCATCTCAAGCTCAATTGCCACCCAAACCGCATTGGTCTCGCCTCAAATTACAGCGAGGCACAACTACGCTGCCGATTGTGGCAGGCCACCATGATGCAGGATACGCAATTGTCTCTATGGCTGGGATTGCCTGCCACTACAATGTATTACGACGTAGAACCCGACCATTTTTGCAGCACCAGCCTGTCCAGCATCGAAGACGAAGGAGCAGATCTCTCTGATCCTACTCTGTTGACCGACAATGCCTACATCCGTACCATGTGGCGTTATTCTAGCTTTGTTCAGACCAATGTTTGTGTGCTACGCTCCCGGAAGCAACCTCTACCGAATGGCACCGAACAGACCATCACCAGCTTTCGGGACCTCTATCACCACTTTGACCCGCCGTTCAATTCCTTGAGTCCTTCGCGCTTCGAAAACCAACCGCCTAGACTCCTTTATCAACATGTTGCTGTGAGCAGCAGTTACTTCTCAGCTTTGATGCTCCTTCAGATGGAGCAAGCGACAGACACTTTCGAAGACCAATGCAGTGCGGCTCAGTCTGCGCACGAAGGCATGTCGGCATTCTTCGCTTTGGCACGGCTTTCGCCCAACCAGGTGGAGAGATGGGGCGAGGTGCACAATCGCACATTCACAATGGCCGTAAGCAAGAAGCCTTGGAAAATGACTTGCATTGGAGCCAATGGTCTCTTACTTCAATACTGACAGAGCTACAGGTCATAATCGGTACACTGCTGGCCACAAAACGGAGCCACCCCAGCGGTGATATCAACGACCCGCGACTGACACTGGCCAAGAGCGATTTCGAACGTTACGTGAGGCTTCTTGAGCGTGCACAAGGCACAGCCGGCTTTCGAAAAGTCCAGCAAGAACGACTTGCGAATCTCAAAGAACTGCGGGCGGCCTTTTAGAGCATCCGAAAGGCTGCCAGCGTGTCTTGTTTGCAGTCACGATCCCCACCGACCTTCCACTCTGAAGCGAATGGCATGACTTTGATTACAAACGTACAGAATATTTCGCACGCTTTCAAAGCAAATGCATATCAGCGAAGTGAGTGCACAGCCGGAATGTCTATCGAACTACTGTTCTGACACTTCAACTAGAGTTTCTCAAATGTCGGCTGCGTCCTTTTGAGCCCGCTGGTCATCGCCTTCCGCACGTCGTCCGACAATACCATGGCACTGTTCCACGCGGCTGTGTAGAGCAATCCATCGGCCACTGGGCGGTCCCTACTGAAGTCCCAGAGCGCTTTGGAGCTCTGGACCGCCACGGGACTTTTGGAGGCCACATTCGTCGCCCATGCTAGTGCGCTACTGACCATCTCCTCTTTGGTATTGAAGACTTTGCTGGCCAAACCTATGCGCGCCGCCTCTTCGCCGCCGACCACTTCCGCCGAGTAGATTATCTCCTTGGCCCAAGAGTATGGAACGCCGATCTTTGGAAGCCGAGAAAGAGTGCCCACGTCAGGAGCCAGCCCTGCATCAATCTCGCGGACACAGAGCTTCACATCTCGGGTGCAGTAGCGCACGTCGGCGGCAGTGGCGAAGTCAACCGCGGCTCCAAATGTTACGACGTGTAGTAGGCATACAATGGGTTTCTCACATCGTTCGAGAGCGTTGACCGACTCCTGGTACAGAAGGGCATGTCGTCGGACGGCCCATGCCTTACGTGCAAAGTCCCGTGTTTCGACCGGTGTGCCCACGGGACCAGATGTTGATTCGGCCATGACATCCAAGCCGGCGGAAAACCCTCTCGTGCCGGCTCCTGAAAGCATCACGACGCGGACGTTGGGATCGTGGGAGATCAGGTCGAAAAGCGCTGTAATCTCGCGGAACATCCTGAGAGACGTGAGGTTAGTCGTACCTGCGCAATTTCGCAGCATTGGCCGACGATGATTACGCATTGTCAAAGGCATTGATTTTCTCGGGACGATTGATCTCGACATGTGCCACAAAAGGGGCGGGAAACGTGGTGCGAAAGTTCTTGAACTGCTCGTAGGACGTTGGTGTGCGTCTTGACGAGGCCATAATACGTGAGAACTGAAAGAGAAAGTCTTGCAGCACTGATCAAGAATTCGACAAATTCTACAATGGAACTCTGGTTGTGAGATTGGAGTGATCGAGGGAGTCGTTCCCGTTCTGCGATTTGCAAATTGCAGATTTTCGGCAATATGACAGCTATCGGGAATACTGGAAAGGCTCGATGGCAGTTAGAGAGCATGTACGCGTGCGGTGCCTTGGAGAGTAGCCACGAATCACTTTCCATTCGCTGTTCAATCTCGAGAGCGACTGCAGAGCATTATACTGCCAAGCGAGTGTCGAACAGTTAGATTCATTAACATATTGTCCAGGCCAGCCTGATACTTATTCCCGATGTCTGAGACGCCAACACTGTTCGAGATAGCATGTTCGAAGATAATCCTGCCGCTGAGGCACGTCCTGTCAGCAAGAAAGACGGCAACAGCGCACGCAGTGCGATCAAACGAGTTCAATATGCAACGGGCCATACGGAAATCAAGATTTGCTGTCGCTTGATGCTTTTCGCAAAACACCAAAGTTCGCACGGACAGATGAAAACACGAGACGACCAGGTAGGCAAACTGCTTTTTGTGATCAAAGACTGCCAGGTAACTTGCACGCTGCTTTGAAAACATTCCAGCCCAACATCGCCGCCATCAATGACGTTGAAAGGGGACGATACAGTAACGGAGAGTGTCAACACATATACGCAAGGTTTAACACATTCAAGCCGTTAACAATCATAAACCTGCATTCCCCGCGGCTAGGAGTTCGTTTGCGACTGCTTGTCGGTTGACAGGCACACCTCCCACGGCCGACGGGATCGTCAAGAACCCTTGAATCGTCTTGATCTGGCAATCGGCCAGGTCGTAGTTGAAGTTCATGCCGGCGTGGATATTGAGTGGCAGCGCGATCGTATGCAGGACGCCCGTGATCTGGTGAGATGGCACGGGAAATTAGTAAAACAGAAAATTGGTAGCGATGGAGAAAAGGGGGCAGGCGGACGTACAATTTCAAGCTCGGTGTGGGTGGTGCCATTTCCATAGTCGGTCGATGCTGGCGAAGACGTCGGATAGACCTTGTAGAAGAGCTGGCGAACGCCCAAGGCGAAATCACGGACGGTGCTGGCGTCTGGCGCGACGGTGATGCCAGGCGCGCCGTCGATGTAGAGGATGAGGTGGGCGTCGGGCTTCAGGGGAAGCTGCTGGAGGAACTTGGCTGTTGCTCCTGGAGTTTGGTCGCTGAAGGCCGGGGCGACGCCGTTGAGCTCTGCTATGCGGTAGTTGGCCGTGCAAGGGGTGACTCGTTCGATGAGGGTGGGGGCTGCTTTGGTGGAGCCTATGAGGGCGAGGGCGAGGGCGAGAGCACCGATGGCCTTGTTGAAGAACATGGTTGATTCGTGGACTGGGGTTGAATGAAATTTTGCTGTACAATGAATTGAATGTGTTGCAGGAGGTTTTGTCGGCTCCTAATAGGTACGAAACGGCTACAGAGTGGCCATCAACCCAACGCATCAACATGCTCTATATAATCCCAAGAACAGCGACCACCGCCTCGTCGGAAACAAGTCGGACGTGTCCATCTATTACTGAATGGAATTTCAATGACCAGCTACAAACAGCCATTGCCGCAGGAGGAAGTGACAGGACATGTACGAAGCTATTGTAGCAGCTCCAATAACGCCACAAGGAGCACTCCCATGCGGGGTGCATGCTGGGATGCGGAGTGAGTTTGGGGCAGGACTATCGTTCAGGACTCCTCTGTGACTTGTCTGCGATGCACAATGTTATGCCTTGAATTCCATGTCGGGACTTTAAAGGTGAGGACCGCTCAGAGGGCATCGATCTCGAAGTCATGGAAGTGATCTACAAGCGCTATCGACTCTACACACTCTAATGCTAGGCATGCAACCATAGCTCGAAGTGTTTGCATTGTACTCAAGCTGTTAGAGTCGCCTGCCATTCTTCTGGGGTATTGTAGTGACTCTCTCGAGTGCTACGTGCGATGTTGAAGAACCGGAATCGCAACATAGCGAGAGGGACTGACCAAAATTGAACCCCTTCAAGTCGGAAGGCTGTACTCAGCACAGGCCCGCCAAAGCACATGTAGCGTTGATCAAGACGCCGGTGATTGGGTCTCTGAGCTGAAATACGTCTTTGACCGCGCCCTGGACCAGCTCAAAATTGAGCCCTTCCGCGATGGGATCCAGCGGATCCGCCAGCAGCAGTTGACCGGCCATGGCGCCGAGTGTTGCAAAGTTGATTTGGCTTGGTTTGACCCAGCCCTCTTCATAAGGGAGTCGCTCTTGCTCTGACAGGCCAATGTTGTTAGCGCACAGCCGTGAATATCTGGGATGGCGAACTCACCGAAGAAGATCTTGACCCAATCGACTGGGGCATCCCCGGTCACTGGATTTCCCATCAAGCTCATGTACAAACTCGTCTCAGCTAAGCTCAGAACCAGCTGTCAAGGCCCGTAGATTTCCTTTTTGCCGTTCAAACGACGCTGTGTGTGCACGCGGTTCCAGAGAGCTTTCGCTCCGCGTTGGAACGTCGTATGCGTTGCTCCGTCGTAGTAAGCGAGCACCTGGTCGAAGACGCTTTGGTTGAAATGAAGATCGTCGCCCTGGTAGAAGTCCTGCCGCGACAGGCTGACATCGTGTTCGAGCGGGAAGTTGTGCTCGCGGAGGTCGTCCATGTTGAACACTCCTGCTAAAGGGTTGGCGTTGGATAGGGTCGCCGTTTGACCAACCGCTAGCCCGAAGTCTAGTCCAATGTTGAGTCCTTCGAGGAGACCGGATGCAACTTGAGCGACTGAGATGTTCTTTTCGCTGCGAGGAATGAAACCTATGGCAACGAATCAGTACGGCACGACGCTTGTAAAACCCTTGTGGGTGTCGTACCATGATTAGCTGCAGTATTGATTCCGGGACAGGGTGATCGGACTGCCCAGTCTTGCGTCAGTACAATGCTCTTCGTTGGGGGGACGTTTAGATGAACGTGCCGTCTCCGGCACCTGGGGCATGCCACTCGTGTCCAGGGGGCGCTTTTGCAGCGTAAACCTGTACCGCAAGCGCTAAGAGTAGACTGGGGATTGTGGCAGTCATTCTGAGCGAAGGAATTGTTTGGGTTTGACAGAATCGTGGTTGAAGGTTTACTCCAATCTGATATGAGTATATTTGGCCAGAGTAACTTCACAGACATTCCTGCAAAGGGACGTAGTACGGAGTTCTCCCGTAAACCCACTTACAAGCCATGGCAGGCAAACATCTGATTCCATGTGACCGACAGCAGTCGTGATACTGGCCAACAAGCGCTCCAATGATACCGAAGGAGCGCAATAGATGAAGTCGGGAATGCAGGCCACTGACGTATCGCTCGTCGGTTATTTGCAGGCAATAAGAAGCGGGACCTGCCGCCCTCTCAGTAGAGCTAAGAAGTGCCACGCATGTGATCATCCTCAATCTCCAGCTGAGCACATCAGGCTTCACGCAACACCACCTGCGTGTGCGACCTGCTAGCGCACTCAAGTTTCTCGTCGGACGAGCACGAGGCAGAGCTTGCACTATGGCGGCCACCCCAGGCGTTTTTACGTAGTCGAATTATCACAGCAGTATGGCCTTTGCCAACAGCAGTGGAACGGACGGCAGCGATACCGACGCACATGTGGACCGCACGTATCCTTTCCGCAACTACTGGACCGCAACCGGCGGCCTGGGCGAAGTCATGCTAGCGCTGCCCAGCAGGCCCGATGCCGATGTCTTCCTCAAGCACTACATGGACAACGTCGACCCCTTATATCCAGTCATACCGCGTCATCTCTTCCGGCTACGCTACGAGAACTTCTGGCAGTTATCGTCGGAGGAGAGGAACAACTGCGACCCCGTCCACGTGGCTCTGCAGTTTATCGTTTTCGCCAACGGCAAACTATACGTAGATGACCGGACCATGGCCGACTCGTCCTGCCCGCCCGAGACGTATCTGTCGTGCTCCTACAGAGCTTTGTGTCTGTCGTCATTTCTCAGCAAATGGTCTCTAGAAGTCATCCAGGTCCTGCTGCTCATTTGCAACTACTTCGTCACCAGCAATCGTACGACCGATTCCTGGACATTCTCGGGTGTGCTGCAGAAGCAGGCGTATGGCTTACGTCTGCATCTACCGCCCGACGAGCACTTGTCTCTGTTGGAGAAGCAACTCCATGTGCGCCTATGGCAGGCGGTAATGTTCCAGGACGTCTCTCTGTCCTTTCACCTTCGCCTAGTGCCCGCCACCATGCAACACTCCATAGAGGTTGGAGACCTGTCTCGCGTCGATGAAGGCGACAACAATCCTAGAAGAAGAATGCAAGACCTCCTCTCAACATCGACCGCTGTCGACCTGGACTTCCTCACATGTGAGACCGACATCAACTACGTACGTGCAATGTGGCACTATGCACGTTTCATGCAGATCAACGTCTGCCTCCCTTTGGCTATCGGGGACGTGATTGCACGGGATGCCGACCATCGATCGATGTTGCTCAGCGAACTCCAATCCACGTACGACACCTTGGAACCCCCTTTTAACAAGACCGATCTCCAGTGCCGCGAGCCCCGCGTCTGGAGACAGATCATCATGGTAACCACCAACTATTACATGCTGATGACCATGCTGCACATGGCCAGTAACCCAGCTTCTGCTCTCCAACCGGACACGACCGGGGCGCTTTCCTGCTCCAACCGGGCGATGAGTGCCTTTTTCGCATTGGTCGATGCCAACCCATACCACGCTCATATGTGGACTGCCGCCAACACGCGCGCATTTTTGCAAGTAGTATGTCCAATCCACGCATCGAGCTGCAACCCTCTCCCCTTCCCCTTTCCGAAATTCCTGCCATCTGGATATTCCACTCACACGACTTTAGAACCTGATAGGGCGATTGCTTTGTAAGTTGCCGGGTGAGAAGTGGTGCCGGCCGGCAGATGAGTCGTGGCTGCAGCTCGCCGTAGCCGACTTTGATCGATACGTTGACCTCCTCGTCCACGCTCATGGAACTGATGGGTTCGAGGTCATCAAGGTGGAAAGACTCGCGCTCCTCGAAGCGCAGCGGAAGTCCTTTCAGCTGGCGAGAAGTTCGAGTCCGAAATGAGTATTTCCAGTGAGGAGGTGGCGTCCGCGACCGTTCGTGGTGGTGAAGGGGCATCGATTCGATTCCACACAACGTCTCGGGGGCTTTGACTCGGGTCCATGGAGAAGACTGCTAACGCTGCTGTTCTGCGCTCCCCACTCCTCCCGATCTGTTCGCGTTCAAGATTGGACCATAAGTCCCGACATCAGCACAGCCGATAAGGCACTTCGGACAAGTACGACTATTGATTGCGTACTCCGGACTGCATGTTCGTCATCGCGTGAGGAGGAATGGGCACTCGTTCCAAAGTATGATAGAGCACAGCTCGAGATTCTTTCTAGCCGAACTTCACGGCTCAGGCGTTACAATGCCTTCCGGGACCGGACCAAGTCGTGTTGTTTCACGAACACCATGGGCTGGACGGGGCTGGACGAGGCAGGAAACGTCTCTGCGAGTCTAGCATGATCACCCATTGGCGTTGGTGCAGCGAGATTGGTATGTGGTATAGATGGTATACATATATGTGATGCGTGATGTGAAGAATGACGGCAGGACTTTCAAAGTGATGTTTGTGTCGATACCCAAGAGTCATCAGCGAGCCCCACAATCTCCGCGGAGACCGGCCTTGGCGTTCATCATGCATACCCAAAAATAGGACAGCACGTGCGCGTCGGTGAATGTTGCCGTGAAGAACTGCACTTGTCCTCTTCCATCTCTGATGCGATCTCTTCATCTATAACATCCTCTGGCTTTACTGTCTGCACTTGACATGTTCTGGTGCGAGCGGTATAGATGTATCTTGTCTCTATTAGCGGCCCCTATTTCGGGCGCCGTTTGCCATGCGACTCGGCAGATTGACTCGCGTGACACGGCAGTGTTTGCGTCGTAGACATCTCTATATCATAACGACCCTCTCAAGTTCCTCTTGTTTGCTGAGAATAGGAGTAGGTACCACACGATGGAAATGTACTGTAAGTATGCTGGGCGACTTTGAGCGCCTTTCTCAAGACTTCCTGCCCTTTTCTGCTTTCGCTCCTGCCGTTTCGCTACCAAACACCCGCTGCAATGTTGTTGTTTTGACGCAGGTGAATACAAACACCGCTTTCTACCACTTCTCCACCTTCACTATCTTTCCCCCGCCGCACACATTGGATGTTTTTGCAGGCCCGCATTCCACCGCAATTGCCTTGCTTTGTTCTTAAACACTCCGCAATACCAGCGCCACGGACCGTCACCGACACCGCCAACACGATGGCCAACTCCCGCCCGCCCATCACCGACCACTATCCCATCCCGCTGCGCTACATCAAGGCCCTCTTCCTCGAGGCTCAGTACCGCCAGTGCATCCAGGCATGCCGCGACGTGATCAAGTTGGCCGGCGCTAAGATCGACGACAACCCGCTCCAGAAGACCTTCGTCCACTTCTACCTGGCCCTCTGCCACGATGAGATTGCCCGCTCGATGCACCACAACTCGGTTGCCAAGCTGCCCGCCTTCACCACCGCCGCCCAGCACTACCAAGACGCCATCGATGCTTTGCCGAGTCAGCAGGAGATCCAGTTCTTCTACGCGCAGAGAGATACAGCCCGCCGCAGCAGCGCCGCCGAGTCCTTCTTCAGCGACGACGACAATGCGACGGTCAGCGACTTCCCCGTCTCGCCCACCCTCTCCGCCTACGACCCGCGCGACATGGGCATCTCACGAGCCAGTTCGCCAGTCCTGTCCTCGCCTCCCGTCTTCCGCCGCGAGCCCGTCCTCTCACCAAACGTCGGCTCACCAGGCACTGTCCCTTCCGACTTTGACGACCTCGAGAGCCATGACAGCTTCTCCGAGCTGATGACTCCCAACCGAGTGAAGCGCGAGCAATCCCGCATGTCACTCATCGGCCAGCCACCAAAGCGCCTTTCTCGAGGCTTGTCGAGGATGTCCTTGCTGCAGTCCACTCCTAAAGGCCTGCCACGAGACGTGTCGAGTATGTCTTTGCTCGATCAGATTCACCCTGGCATTCCCCGCGAGTTCTCCAAGATCTCTCTTCACGACCCAGCGCCACCACAGAAGATCAAGTCGCCGACTCATGGCTTGATGAGGCCAATCCGACTGGGGTCGCCGGCAAAACCGCACTTCCTTCCACCCACTCTTCCATACTCTGGCACAGCCGCAAACGTCCAGTCGAAGCTGCCCCAGCTGACCAAAGCCACCAAGACTGAGCCAAACCTCACTACCGCTAGAGTCGACTCTCGCTACTCTTCACCGGAACCGCCACCGCCATCATCACCACATTCCAACACCGAGTCGGACAGCTCATTCTCCAATGCTTCAACCGTCTCACAGACCTCGCCGCAGACTCCTGTCCGACACCACATCGCTACTTCACCCACTCCAACCAAGTACCAAGACTTGCTCTCGCAAAACTCCGTCTACCGCCTCACCGAGCACATCCTCTCCATGCGCGCTCAACTCCAGCGCCATATCGCCCTCGTCCACGACGCCCAAGACCGTCTCCACCGCGCACAGCAGGAGAAGAGAGCATCTCGCCTCGCACCTACGACGGGCACCCCGCTCGGCCCCATCAACGCCAAAGACGACGTCTTCAGCACTCCAGTCCCATCACCCCAAAAGATCGGCCTGCCGCAAGCTAGAAGCTATTGGTCATTCGTGCCTGAGGATATCAAAGCTCTGGAGAAGAGGAGGAGGATCGCAGATGGGAGAGTGAGGAAGTGGAAGCGGGAGAGGTTTCAACCGGGGAAGTATCGGGAGTTGTGTGAGAGGGCGCTAGAGGAGTTGTGAGGGTGTGAAGAGCTGGAGAGGGATTCGCTGTTGATGTTCAACGACTGTTTCTGGTGCTACGGCTAAGGAGTTTGAAAATGATACCCAAGTTGACTTTGCACCGAATGGGATCCGGGAATCGGATGAGAGATGCTACTAATGATGAGGATGGACGAAGCGTAGATTCACGTACGTAATGGATACACAATGCAACCACAAACATACAATACGCAGGTTTCTAGTCCTCCGTTCTCAACCCTTGCACCTTCCCATGAGATCTACAGCAACTTTCGTGCTTAACGCCAAACAAAGCCTCTATCCTCTGTCGATTCACGCTCCCCATTTCTGTATCATGCATCACAACAGCAGCGTAGAGTAAAGACTCTTCCATTCCTTTCCACAGACCATCTGGGTATATATCCATCAAATCCCTCCATTAAAGTCCCGTCAACAACAACACCGCGTGTACATCCCGTGTCCCGTTCTTCATAACACATCACAATCCTCTATTCGTCATTCATTCCCGCCCAGGATTCACAACCCCATCGCCACCCTGCTGGAACCTCTTCTCCGCATCTCCATTTCCGTTATGTGGGAGTGGGAAATCGTCTTTCTGTCGCGGCAAGGCATCGCTCGCGCTGGGCGACTCCGAGCTGAAGGCGCCTTTGAGGCCGAAGAGGCGCACGCTGTCGAGGATGTCGAGGAAGGAGATTGGCATGGGCATTTTTGGTTGGCTTTACTTTGAGGGATGGGAGGTTGTCTGAGGTGGTTGTATGTGTTGTATATGGGCCTGGGGTTTGAGTTTGTTTGTGGAGCGGCGGATGGGATGGGATGTTGGGGAGAATAAGACAATGGAGGGAAGGGAAAGAAGACAGAGAGATATGGTGAGACTCGAGTGACGGAATTGTGGGTCTGCGAGAGGAAGACTGGACCCACAGGGCTGTGTGTGGTGAGTTGAACACGCTGGGGCAACGTGTGGAATGGAATGGGGTGGATGACCACGAGACCTTCCTCCTACTTCTTCTCGGACTCTTTACCGAATGGTGTTGTATTGTAATCACACGAGTGATGTGACATCGCCACGAGTCTCGTCCCGAACAGACGACTGACGTTTGAAGTTGAAAGTCAGTTCCGGGGATTCCGAAGAACCAGCCTTGAATGATGTTTCTGGTGAGGCTGGTTTTCGAGCAATCTGGGGATTCGACGTGGGAACCGTCGAGATCGGGATTCTGTAGGCTGGAGATAATATCTGGAGAGGCTTGTGCGCCCCAAACACATGTTCTGCCCGAACCAAGGGACGAGACTTGTTGAGGCGAATCGTTCAAAGTCTTTTCACGAGCCATGATGTCATGTGTCGTGGTGAGTGAAGGATTCGGGCCCGGAAATGCCGCCTTGCCTTACTATGCAGATTGTTGCCGCGCCCTCTCAAGCAAGGATGTGGGATAAGCTTTTGCTTGTATAGCTTGGGAGAGGGTGGGTGATAGTCTTGGTCTAAGGCTGGGCTTGATTGCTGTCTTCAAGATTCTGCGCCGATCAGGCCGCAATGCAAAAAGCTGTTCGGCGTCTTCCATTACCGTTGATGCAAGAAATCAGCAGGTTGAAAATATTTATCTGGTAGGCGACGAGATCTAGATCTTTAAGTTTCTCAAGGTTACCGGTGACAGCAACTACAATGAGAGTATGTTCATGCTGAGAGAGTTCAACCTTCGTGAGAATGCTCGTGGGGCCAGTCGGTCTCACAGGACAACGGCAAGGTCGCAGACAGCAAGCTTGACATTCGGGAGGAGCCCAGTATGAGCTGCACTCTCGTCCTCTCATCTTGAGCGAAGGAGAGGAGGTCCTCGTGTAGATAACTGCAAGCAATTGGGATGGGATATCCCTTGAGATCCCAAGGGAAGATTGGGATTGGCATTGGGATCCTGTGGGAAGGCTGGGAATCCTAAGGGGAAGTTGGGATCGGGATCCCACGGGAAAGTTGGGAAGCCTCGGGATTCAGCCAAGATGAGAGACAGAAGGAAGATGACAGAGCATTCTGAAGCATGAAATAAATCAATGGGACCAAAGAGCAGGAAGACGATTCAGTCTTTCTCGACATCGGTATTGAGGACTGCTAGAGTCGTCCCCAAGGTATTGGCGTAGCATCCAGATCGAATTATATCGAGATGCGTTTTCGGATTGAGCTGCAACAGAGGTGTTCTGGAGGCGTGCTCTGCGAGTATGTTTGGGAGCGCTCCCCGGGAAATAGTCTGTAGTCACCGGAATGAAAAGGTTGCTCCAACGTGAAGAAGGTCTGATCCAGTTGTGCTTGAAGTATGAGAGAGGAAGAGGGCGAGCCGCGAAGGCAGAATGCACCCCCCTAACAGAAACCGTTCCAGACGATAGATAAATCCATCTGGTGGATCTATATCAACACGGACTCTTCAATGTGGCAGCTTTAGATCTCCTGCTGCTCGACTTTGAGAAGCTCGGTCTGGAAGATGCTCCAAGGTGGAGTGACTCCACAAGCGTGGAGAGAGCTCCAACACCTCCTCCAGAAGGACGTCATCAAAACCGGCAGCACCTCACCTTTGCTGCCCGAGAAACATCAGCATCGGACAACAGACTGCCGGAAAATTATCATCGAATATGCAACTCATCTGCGGCGCCCACAAACCGGCGACGGCTTCCCGCCAGCCAACAGAGACCTTCTCCGGCACCGTCCACATGGACCCCATCTTCACGGCCGACGATGGAAGCTGCATGGGCAACAACGTCTGCTTCACTCCCGGCGCGCGAACTTTCTGGCACACGCACGAGCGCGGCCAGATTTTGACTGTGACGATCGGGAGTGGGTTGATCTGTTCCAAGGGTGAAGAACCGAGAAAGTTGATGGTGGGAGACGTCGTGCATATTGCTGCGGGAGAGACGCATTGGCATGGGGCTGGTGAGGGCACCTTGATGGCCCACATGGCGGTTAGTCTGGGAAGTAAGTTTTTGCTAATAAGATATCGAAGGGGTATCTGGTGGCTGATTTGGATTGTAGAAACCAGCTGGCATGAGGAGGTGCCGCAGGAGGTATATGACAAGGCAAACCAAAGCGCCCAGTAGCAAGTCTTAGCGAAGCTTGCCATAAAAACGTGCTGCACTGCAGGTCGTTGCTGAGATTCGGATGTGGCACAAGTTCGGCTTCTGCGTAATGACTGGACCCCGTTGCCTAGACAAGGTATGTGTACAGGGTACGTACAGGATATGGTCGATCTAGATTCTCAATCAGTCAAGAGTCGTGCCGTAGTACTGCCTTTTTGAGGCCTGACAAGTTGACTTCTCGTCTCTACACCTTTCCCAGCTTCGAGGGGCCATTCGAGCGTTCCTGCGTGAGGATTCGTCCACGTGGGCTGATGTCATCGCAGCCATGAGAGACTTCGTGAATCTTTTCATCGCACAGCCAAATTCTTGCGATACATCATTAAATCCTTGGTATACTTGCCTCTCATGACGGACTACTTTTTCTCGGCGCCGTCACTAAGGCAGCTCTCAACGACAAAGGTTGTCCCATATACGCCCAGTACAGCATTCGCGGCTCTCTCAGATCTGTCATCTTACGAACGAGCGACATCTCTCATATACCGCAGCTCGGTGACAACGAAAGACAGCAATGGCTTACCGAAGACGGCCAAGCTCAACGTTGGATACCCTGCACTCTCTCTTAACGAAGAGTGGCCCTGCCAGGTTAAATGCGACCGATCCAAGCGAACGATAGAGATCATCCCGGCAGCCTCGGAGTTCCAGAGCAGCGTTGTGGAGTCGTATCTCATGAAATGGTCAATATCGCCGGTCGCAAACGACAAGGGACAAGCCGAGATTATGCTCAACCTAGAGGTCAAATTCAAAGGGCCGGTGGTGGACTCCATGTTCGCAGTCCTTCCTGATGTCGTGGGCCGGATCATGTACAGGTTCTCGGCTCTTGTGGAGGCTCAAGATAAGAAGGAGCGAGAGGGGGCGAAGAAGAAGCCTATGCCGGCCAAGAAAACTGCATCGTCGCCCGCTCCAAAGGTACCTGCGGCGAAAACAGTGCCTGTGGCGAAGCCTCCCGCTGTGAAGGCTTCTCCTGAAGTGGCAACGATACCGGTCAAGCGCGTTCCGAAGAAACTCGAGGCTCGAGGTCAAGCAAGCGGCGGGAAACAGGCGAGCTGAGCCGGGAGTTGTATGGAGCTCGATTTGGGCGTGTCGCCATTTCGATGCAACCGTTACGTCCTGTTGAGACCCTTCAAGCTCTATGCCGAGGACGCAAAATCCACAGCAGTTTTCTGGAGGATCGTAATGGGCAAGGGATGGAAATCTGTTCGGACGCGGTTCTTTTCTGTCAACAGCTTCCAGCGTGGGGCTGCGACAAGGCTGGCCAGCTTCAACGTTTCCCAGAAATTTTGCAGGGTTATTGAGGATGGATGGATGTCGACGGATCTCAAGGATGGGCTCAGTTGTTGGATGTTGTTGACATACTTGTGTTGATGGAAGTTACTGAAGGTCGGCAGAATGCCGGGCCGTCGCTGCACGGTCCAAGCATCTTGACCTCACCTGATACCCACTCCCTCCACCAAACACATTAAACATGCCTTCCTATCCCACGAGACTGATACTGACCGTTTCTATGTTATAGTGCTTCGCGGATACTTCAATGGACATACTGAGGTGGACGCTGGGCCGAATCTCGCCTTCGTGGCTTCGACAGCCTCTCTCGTCTCCTTCATGAAGGGCAGTGTACCAGACAGCACGTCCCTTTTGTACTATGCCATGATGAATCAGTACAGAAGACCGCGAAAACTGGCTTTTTGCTGGTTGAAGTATCTGGAACTCGTTACACACCTAGCACAAGACAAAGGGACTTTCTTGCGGCGGCAATTCCCACTGAACAGTACGACATGATTAACCTGGGATATACAGAGAGCCAGGGTCGTGACTGAGTGCATAGCGCATGAGCAGTCGCCAGGTTCTCAGCTGAAGTGCTGACACTCGTCATGGTTTCGTGTTTCCGAATGCGGCCTTCTGAACAAAGGGATTCGAGCTATGTCTACCAGTTTTGCCGGAAGCGGCAACAAAGCAGTGGGCGACAATACTTTGTCCGAGACTCGACCAACATTCGACACATCTGTAAACCTTGCAATCAATACGGACCTTGTCGATTCTGTTCGACCATTCCAATGGCGCCAGTAACCAGAGCGAACGACAAAGATGAGCCATCCTTCCCGCGGCGAGTCGATCCCAAGACCGGATTCTCCCCCGACTTTCACTTTTCGAACAGATGCTCCTTGGAAGATTGTTTTATCTGTGAAGACAGCTATGCACAAGAGCCTTGCTTTATGCCACAACGCAGGTATGACTCAAGGCTTTCGGACGAAGAAGCGAAGGCCGTGATCCAGGGTATGTGAATCGAAAGTCGACGTCGTGCGAGCTGTACCCAAATTTCGTGCTTGTGCTGATCCAAAGTTCTCACTGGTAGGCCACATCAAGTGTATCGACGAGAGTTTCGCCGAACTAAGCACGATTCTGTCATCCCATGGCGACAATATCATGTCTATGTGGACCAAGACTAAGGACAAGAAAAAAAGGGAGACTCTCGTTCACAGCGCCCTTCCTGACGGATATCCCACTGAAAAATGGATTCTCTTGTTTGCATACGTCAACCACTCGCAGAAGAAACCCTCTGCTGGCGACCGAGGCAAACACCGCCAAAGCTTTCTACTTCCTTTCATCGGCCGGGAGGAATTGATTACGGATCGGAACAAACTTCTCAGGTTGCTTGACCTACGGACTGAGTACCCGCCATGGCAATGGGCTCGTATGGACCATGCTGCAACCGAGTGCGGGCGCGGGACTGGTATGCTTGCGATGAGGTTCAATGAGACTTTATTTTCCATGCAAGAGAATGATTATGGCAAACCTGTCGACTATGAATATGACATGTTTCACCGTCGAGAAGCCGTTGGATTTCCAGTCGCCGAAATGTACGTACAGTTAGAGGCATGAGATATCCTATTCAGGGTCTGACACCTGACTGACCTTCCAACCTTCGCGTTTAGCCTTTTCGAAGCCCAACACAGCCTGTACAGCTTCCTTTGCTCTATCGCCAAACTTTTGCTTGAAAAGTATGCAAAGTCGGAAAAGGCCAAAGACAAAAGCAGCGGCAATAGTCTCTGGAAAAAGCAATCCACAGACGGATTCTCTGCATTTGCGCCTATCAAACAGACACTGAATCCACATCCTTTTTACCAGGTTATCAATCCGTATGAGCCGCCTCTGCAGTTCGACATACCTGCAGCAAGATCGATATTGGAAGAACGACAGTCAGCTGGCGAAGACGAGCTCTGGCTCCTCCAGACAGACATTTCATCCGCGTACAGCCGCGTTGAGGATCTATCAAGACGGCCACCCTATTCTGTCATGACAGAGGTCGATCGTTGGGCGCATATTGCGCAAGATCTGTGCGAGCCTTTAATGATGAAAGTTGGGAGCTGGAATCGGCTTGATTCACTGTTCCACCTTGCGGAAGGCAGGATGAGAAATTCTTCAAGTGAAAGCCACCATGAACTCGATGTTCTGCTGGACTGGGCCCACACCTATGTTCAAGGGGAAGTCATGGATCACCAGCCGCATGACCTGAGCGAATTACTCTTGAAAGATGTTTCATTCGTCAACTCGTTCAGCTCCAAGAATACGTCTGGAGTGAAGGATCAATCTTTTGCAAGGACAGCACTATTCGTGACTCACTACTTGAAGCAAGGTAGTCATGAGCAATCTGCTCGTTATTATAAGGAGCAGCCTTTCACCTGGGCCGTCACTGTTATCGGTCTTGCTACGAACGGACTACGCAGTTCGGGTTTCCTGCTCGACTTAATGTTCTCGTTCCTAAACGACCTCGTGCAGGATGGAGTACTGAAACTGGAGAATGAGTCGGCGCATGTTGTCGAGGCTGTCAAGACCTTTTCTGCCACGCTACAGCTCCGCGCGAATCTTGACGCCCGTCGTCCGCGGTTTCTACAGCTCCCACTCGACACGCGCCGGCACATAAGATCGCATGTTTGGAAGAAGCTAGCGCCACATGTGTCTTTTGGCAAAGTCTACCAAATTCACGGTAAAAGGGCTACCCGGTCACTATCGACAAAGCAGGAGCGTACCAACAACTTTAAGAAAGCGGGTCTATTGCTGAAGCAATTTTTTGACATCAACCTCTCCACTGGCACTCGGAAGCGGACAGTCGAATGGCTCGAGAAAGCAGAGCAGTCCAAGCACGCTCTCGATGCTTTTTGGGAAGAGATTCGCCGAATGAAGATCAACGAAGCCAGTGCTGGTGGTACTGTTGATGTAACGCAAGTGAAGCAATTGCCAGATATCACGCTCTTGGAGCATTACCAGGAAAATGAGTTCTTGGAATCAGTCAGACTTGAGAAGGAGATTCTCAAGGCAGCGCAGAAAGAGGCGGAGGAGAAGAAGAAGCAAAAGAAGATGACGAAGCCGAGCTTGAAACGGCCTGTGGAAGATCAGCAGGAGTCACAGACTCTCTGGGGCGACGAGAAGACATCACCTAAACGATCCAAAGCAGCGTCGGGAAAACCTCTCAAGCGGAATCAGATGGACGAGGATCCAATCCCTGTGCTTAAAACTGTGCCCACTGCGACTGAAGTACAGGAAGAACCAGAGCGGATCGAGGTGTCCCCAGCGAGCCTACGAGTACTCGCACGTATGTGGCCATACCAGAGCCGTGCGTTTATGGAAGAACGTGGCACGATCCGCTGGAAGGATTTCCAGGCGGTCATGAGCGATCTCGGATTCCAGGCGTCTGGGGTCGGCGGCTCAAAGATCGCATTTGACAGCCAGGATAAGGGGAAGTATGGTCATTCATTGTCCGCATGGATCTGCGAATGTTCCTTTGGAAGATAACGTTCTTTTGAAGTATGGGAAGAGATTGAGTAGACGATGGGGATGGGGGTATGACACGTTCGTTGAGAAGACGAAGGAGACCGAAGTTCAAGCGGCGTAATCTCTTTACTAGTTATCCCTTTTAGGTATGATCATGGATACATGGAGTTTGGGAAATTACCATTCCTCTGAGTGTACGATTCTTGTAAACTTGATTTTCAAATCAGCTCTTGAAAGGCGTATAGCAACCGCGAACGGCGTCTTCATAGCGTTCCTGAGGCAGGTGTCTTAATCGAGGCTACGAATCTTCGTGAGAACTGTAAAGCCAGACTGTTGCATGCCAACCTCAAAGCCTGCTTTCTCCAAGAGAGCATGGGTCGAGGAGCCGTCGATAATTGAGTGCATGAAGACTTTGCCTCCATCGTCCAATGCTTGATTCAACAGGCGAACGACCATGTCGGATTGAGGGTCCTCGATGGCGAAAGACTTCCCAGGAATAATCACATTGACACTGCCAGGTCTTGTCCTTGCAAGCACATCTGCTAAACTCGCGGTATGTATTCGCAATGACTCTGTCTCGGGAATGGACGACAAGACACTATGACTTGCGAGTTCTGCGGACGAAAGACTCGATAGTTTCGGCTGTGGGTTATTTCCTGCAAGCCATCCTTTCGATCCATGATTCATCCAGTACTGCATTGCTTCGCTGGACAAATGTGGACTGAGGTCGTCGATCAAGATGTTGCGGAAGTCGGACCCGCCTTCTGCATTGAACAATTTCTGGATCTTGTCTTGGTTTAGTGCTTGGAATGCAGCAAGCTTTAGTTCGAGGAGGTGATTGTTCGCCGGGTCGGGGTCGACTGCGTGGACCGCTTTCGGCTTCTGAGCATGGCACGATAGAACTGTGTCGCTGGAGCCAGTGCATGCGAGAACGACATCGTCGGTAGTCAATAGGTCGGTAGGGAAGCTGACACTTTCTCCCGTGGAAGATTGTTGTTTCTGAAGCTGTACTTCGGCAGTGTAATATGTCCGTCGATGGTGGTTCAGGTAGTAAACGCTGGGAAGAGGTATGTCGGGACGAGTACAGCCGTCAGGAGCTGCCAGGAAGGCGGTCTTCAGAACCGACGCATCGAGATGTGCAGACGAGTTGTGCTTGTGACATCCAATCCAGATGTAGAATGGAATGCGAAGACCGGGAAGCATGGCATTGCGCTTGTTGATGCTAAGCCGGGTACCAAAACGGTATTCGAGATAGTCGCGCCGGCCTCCATCGAACATGACACGATCTTGCTCGAACCAAGTCCGCCAGAATGTACGATTGAGCCATGTACAGTGGCGATCCAGAAAGCCGCCAACGTAGTCTCGCCGCATGAATTCGACCTCAGTCTGGGCGTAGAAGTCGACCACACCAATAATGCCCGTTGGAGCAAGGAGGTTGGTGATCATGTCGACAACGGGGAAGAAGTCCGGAATCATGGTAAGTGAATAGCTCATGGTGATCAGGTCTGCACTTTGGCTTTGTTTTCCTCCAGTACCCTCGTGTTGGGGTAGACTGAAGAAACGGCAGTCCATGCACACAACCTTCACATTTGTCCACCCTAATTTTTGAAACCGCGCCTCGGCTATCTTGAGGAGTGATGGCGTAAGGTCGACAAGATAGATAGTGTCGAAGAAAGTCGGAACATCAACATGTTTGCCCATCTGCTCAATGTTCCAGCCTGTACCACCCCCGATCTGCGCTACCGTCAGCGCAACGCAAAATTCCAACAAACATGTAGTCAACGAACGTCTACCCAGATTGGTTTCCTGTCAGAAGCCTTATGCTTCAGCTGGGCTGCAACAAGCCGTATCATATCTTCTCGGCCTCGCAGCAGAGCGGTTCGGGTCGTATCGTAGGCATCAGCCTGGTATTCGTAAAAGCTCTCGAGCGCATCCTGCTGGTTGCCACTGCCATCACCGGTGTGAGGCTTGAAGAAGCTACCGTAGGCAAATTTGAGATAGGATTGGAGTGTACCCGGCATAGTCGGGTTGGCGTTGCAAGAATAGAGGATCACCACGGTTGTGGCGAAGGAAAGTAGTATGACAACAGCTGCAAACAAAGCCGCAGTGGACATCAGGCTCCAAAAACACCGTGTCAAATTGGAATCGCATGTTCGTGACGGACCGTCGACTGGTGTTCAATGTTGCTTTGTACATGCAGCGAAGCGCCCAGGGCAGGCGCCACGCCTGCCAACCAGTTTCATAGCGCGGCGCTAAAAATAGGCGGCCCCTGCCGTGCCGTCGAGCCGTCTTCGAGCCGCTGCGCCGCCCGTACCTCCCGTTATCAATCATCAGCAACATCGCCTGCTGCTTGTGTCTGGTATGGAGGCCTGTCTTTCCGCAAAGATGAGCACCGCCAACAAGTGCGCAAAGCTGTAATGGCTGGCACTACACTTGAAATCTGTGTATTGCTGGAGTTAGCAAGACCGGAAGACTCGTCTTGGGCCACCTCCGATCTGCCCAGGGGTTGGAGTCGTGCATGCATATGTGCCTCTGCCCAGGTCGCTTCGGTGAGGCTGAGGCGCAGACAGCAATCACACGAATGTTTCGTAGCACGTGCCTATGCTTAAACCTTGTGCGCTGAGCACCTGCTGAAAGGTCACCGAGCCATATCGACGCATGCGTTTCAGCCGTCTGGCTTGCATGTCACCAATAATGAGACATGTCACCGCCGTCTGCATCCTCTCTCAAAATTGTCGAGGAGCCACAGTTGAGGCAAACACTGTTCCGTCTCTACCCACAGCATGGATCCTCTTAGCATCACCGCTTCTGCAATTGGGATCGTTACTTTCGCATTACAGGCAGTCAAGCTTCTCAACGATGACCTCCAGAATATCAAGAATGCGCCTTCGACGCTGCGAGACGCAAGCGTGGACCTCAATACCCTCGAGCCGATGCTGGTAGCACTCCAAAATGCAGCACATCAGAACCAGGATCAGGTCGCTCGTCACCGTCGCATTTTGTCGGCCGTTGAAAATTGCTGCGACATCTGCAAATCATTCCGAACGCAGCTGAAAGCATGGGGAAAGGTAGACAACGACGGTCAGCTGGTGATGAGTAGTCGGGTCAAGATGGGACTCCTTGGTCAAGACCGCATCAAGGAGTTCAAATCGAAATTGAGCGATTGCAAAGGTACATTGACTTTGATCCTAGTCGCTGAAAATTTGTAGGTCTTCTTAGGTGGTAAATCCTAGAGGGATCATTCGTTGACAAAGCCAGCATCGAACCACCTTCTGATGGTAGTGTTTCAATCATGATTGAACGAAGCGAACAACAGCTTGGACAACAGCTTTCTGAGCTCAGATCCAAGATGCAGCAACTACAGGATCATCCGTTCAAAGACGAGAGCTTGCATGTCGCTGTCAACGACAACCATGGACAGATTCAAAAACAACTCGCGGATATTGCTACACGAATGCAAAAGGTGGAACTGCAGCCCACTGGCGATATTGTGTCGGAGGTTGAACAGCTGCACGCACAGTCTGCCATCATTCAGCAACTCAAAGATGATCTGTCACACCTGACAGAATCAATCCCCCAGCGAACACCTAGCAATGAGCAGGTGGCCAAACTTCGTGATTACCTCCTGCTTACAGACCCGACTCGAGACAGGGATGAACTAATTGAAACGATGGGACTACCTGTTGCTGCCAGCTGTGCGTGGATCCTTGAGAAACAACTTTTCCAGTCTTGGATTAAGGCCGACCCGGCATTCATCTGGCTGAGAGGTGATACCGGAAAGGGGAAGACTATGCTTTCACTCTTCCTGTCAGATGAGCTGCACAACCAAGCAACGGGGACCAGCACTCACATCATTCACTACTTCTGTGGCAAACAAGACGAGAAGCGTAACACTTCAGCAGCTATCCTACGTAGCCTTCTTTGGCAGCTCGCTTCCATACCAGAGTTGACGGATGTGATTGCTAAACATCTTGCTGAGCATGGAACCCCACTGTTGTCCGAACACGACGCACTTTGGAAGCTGCTGGCTGCTCTTATGCTCGACGTTGATTGTGGAAAAGTCTACTGTATCATAGACGGCTTGGATGAACTTGAAGACGGCTCAGAGTCATGGCTGGCTAACAAGCTGCTGACCCTATTCTCGCCCGGTGCCCGCGAACCCCATTTGAATGTCTTGAGACTATTTCTCGTTAGTCGCCAGATTTTCGGTTTGAAATTGCGAGGCCAGAGCGCTTTGATTGACCTGGACATTGAATGTGCAGATGACATCGAAGCTGATATTGGTAGAGTTGTGGATGCAAGACTCGCATCTGTCCCTGACTGGACAGGGTTCAGCGACGAGTACAAAGTCAAGGTGCGACAAGAGGTGCTGCACCGAGCAGCTGGCTCGTTTGTGCCAATTGGAATCATCATGAACGCGATTCTGGTGGACAGACCTTACAGTGGACTACTCGAAACGATTCGATCCCTTCCTCAGGGTCTTGACGCTCTGTACGGCAGTACACTGCTCAGTATCAAAGACAAGGAGCAGAGTGAGTCGCCCGAAGTCCTTCGATGGGTCGCAATGGCATTTCGGCCCTTATCTCTACTGGAGTTGGCCAATGCTATCGCTATTGGCGGTGATCTGGATGAATCGGCCATCAAAGCGACGGTCCAGCGATGTGGCGCACTGCTGAAAGTGCATGGAGATACTGTGATGTTTTCTCACTCCTCTGTACGGGACTACCTGTTACGAATGGACGTAGACACCTCTTCCATCCTCGAATCGTTCGATTCTGCCCAAAAGGAGATTGTCCAGCAATTCCGCATTGATCCTCAAGAAGCTCATCTTGAGATTGCCCTCAAGTGCTTACAGCTCATCAAGGACAGCCATCTTCAGCATAGAGCCTTAGACTCGAAGGATGACTGGGAAGGGGCGCCGCTGTTGCAGTATGCCGTTCTCTATTGGCCTCACCATGCTCGTGGATCTGGTGTCGTTGGCAGAAAGATCTTCGAATCGACAAGCTTCGTGCTGTCCAACGCACCGAGCTTGCGGCAGAACTGGTGGAGGACATATGTCCACGAACGGCCAGGGCAAGAATGGGAACAGGGCGAAGAATTGTCCCCATTGCACATTGTAGGTCACCTGGCAAATCGCGAGAGTCTTCAAGTCAAAGTCAGCTAATTGATGCGTGACAGGCTTCTCGGTTCGGCATCACGGAATGGGTGAGAACACTTCTTGTGGATCTGGATTCAAACCTCTTGAAGAGCATCATCAACGCATGTGACATTAACGGTGTAACGCCTCTAGCTTGGGCGGCTATTGGTATGTCTACAAGCCTCCGTGCATCAAACTCGAAGATTAGCTGCTGACCACTCCATCGCTCAGGTGGCCATGACTCAGTGATAGCATTACTGCTAGAGTACGGAGTCGACGTCGAAGCACAGACGGCTCTTTACTCCAGAGAAGGAGCCAATTGGTTGACCTCCCAAACGATCAAGTCTTACGTCCGTGAGATGCAGGTTGGCGACGGAATGTGGACAGGACGTCACACTCCACTTTACCGTGCAGCCTACAAAGGTCACGCTGGCGTTGTGAAGTTGCTCCTCGACAGCGGAGCCAACGTGCATGCACATGGATGGGCACGAAGCTCACCTATGCATGCCGTTAGCATTGGGGGTAACGTCGACGTTATGAACCTATTGCTTGAGTACGGCGGAGACGAGGACGTGAACGCCGAGATCAAGAATTCCCACACTGCTCCAATACATCATGCAGTGGAGAATGGCCATCGCGAGCTGGTCGAGATACTGCTGGACCATGGAGCAGATATTCGGAAGAAGCAAAGATACTCTTCAGCTTCAGTGCTACACTTCGCGGCGGTAAAGACACCTCATCCGGCAACAGTAGAGCTACTCCTTGAGAGAGGAGCCGATGTCAACGTTAGAGATGGACACAAGCGGAAGCCGATTCATTGTTTCGCTATGAAGCATCCTGAGCCCGAGGCGGTCAAACTACTCATTGAATACGGTGCTGATGTCAACAGTCTAAACAGTCTGCGGCGAACTGCTCTGGATTTGTCCATCGAATGCATGTGCGACCGATGTCAAGCAACCACACAACTGCTACTGGTCCATGGAGGTGTGCTCAAGAGTCCCACGGAGAATGGACGACAAAATCATCCGGAATTGTTCAAACCCGGAAACTCTCTCGAGACTGTCTCACAGATTGGTGCCGGGACTAGCACGACTCTCAGCTCCGAAGCTGGCGAATCGAGCTCTCAAGCACTTCACTCTTCTGTGCTGGAAGATGCAGTTTCTGGGGCGTATAGTGAAGACTACAGCGGTACTGACGAGATCGTGACTGAACAAACCAGTTTATCGTCGGCAAAGGTATCGCCCTTCGAAGATGAACGAAGTGTCGACGAGAGTGTCCCAAAGATGGTAGAAGGCGTGAGAAAGAGGGATAAATTCTTGGCCAAAATGAGCGGTCTAAGGAAGGGCCAAGGAAGCACTTGAAGAAGCCCATTATGGGGAGGCTGTTTCTGGACACACCAATCTGTATATTATGAGTATCCCCAGCCTTGTCCCGAGGCAGCTCGAACAAAGTCCCTGACCTTTTGGTTGTCTCGAAACCGATACCAAACCGTCAAAACACAGTCATCAACGAAGACCCTCGAATCCATTCTCCGGCCGTTGCTCAGAGCCTTGTTCTCACGATTGAAAATCCCCTTGTACAAGTGCCCGACTTCTCGATCCTGCTGATACGAATGCTCGCCGAAAGGCAACCTGTACCCCACCCAAGGCGTGGGCATTGTGAGCAATTTGGCGACCATTCTCCAGCGATCCACGCCCTTTGGCTCAGCTGACTGCACGGACTCCTGGTTTGTGGCCAGGTTGATCACATGAGAAGGAGGCGAGTTGAGTAGTTCCAAGACTTCCGAGTATGTATCCGCGGCCTGAGCTGTGGGCATAATCCAGACGTCATGGTTTTCGTCCCAGGCGGCTGGTCGCATGGTGAGGACCAGCTTGTTGATGAGGATGATACGGTCGAAATTGGGCGATTGGATGCGGATGCAGAACTTGCTGTCGCCCCAGCTTTCCATGGTTCGCCATATTGGCGCTGCTTGGTGGCGTTGGGATGACTTGGAGTTGGAGCTGCCCATTATTGAGAATAGGAAGACCGAAGAGACACTGAGCGACTGAACGCAGCGTTGAAGATGAACGTTTGGGAACGAATTATTTTGGCATCTTGATTTTCTCATACCATGACCGTCCACCACTATGCAGCAGCTTCTTGTAGCGTATTGGCCTTGTGCCGAATCGGGGAGACACTGGCGAATAGTAGCTACAGTTGGTACAGTAGGATCAAGCCACCAAAGCCTTGCCAAGGGCGTTAGCGATAAGACCTGGGGTCTGGCCTCGTCGATACTGTCGAATCCTCTCGCTTGCATCATGAGATTCGTTCATATCTCAAGTTCCTCGCCAGTTGACATCCTACAGTTGCTCCAGTAACCTTGCCATCGCCATTACGATGGAATACCACGGTCCAGTCACCCGGCGCAGGTGCGTCAAGGCCTCTCTTTTGCCCAAGTAAGAAGATGTCTTCGCCAACATACTTCATCAGGCTCACTGGACTTTTGCCAAGATAGCCATTGAAGGCCCCATACATGAGCGTGCTGTTTCCGTTGCATATGAAAGTGCTGTCTGCATCTGTAGAATGGAATATCCCCACATAGTCAGAGCTTGGGGGCATCTCAGAGGTCTCGTCTATGCGTCTTCCTTGCAGCTTCTTGTTCTCTCGCAGACGGTTGACGTGGATCACGTCCTTTTCAACGGTGGCAAGCGTGCGGCGGGACTGGGCTACTGTGGAGCTGACCAATTTGGCCTTTTCTTCCCCAAGGTACGTGACGAGAATCTCTCTTGCATCTCCTGGGGTGACCTTTATGAGAAGCTGAGTTTCTTCGTCCAGAAATGAGCCATTCCACTCTGAAACAGCAGTCTCAACCGATGCAGCAGGGTCCTCGAACTTGAACAGCTTCTTGACAATGCTTTCTGCAGCGGAACCAGAATCGCCCTCATGATTGAAGAGAACTACAACGGACAGGTTCTCAGATGGAACATGTAGCCGCTGCAATCTGAAACCTCTCAGGGCTCCTCCGTGGCCGATCCACGACTTTCCAGCCGTCTCGCCATGCACAAATCCATACGCATAACAAGCGGGCGAGCCGTCTTTGAACGTGGGAGGCTCTGTCACCGCTCGATAGATACTGTCCTCGTTTCGCCACTTTTTATGGAGCCACTGCTCGTAAGCAATCATGTCTTCCAGAGAGGCAACAACACCAGCGTCGCCAGACCATTCTACTCGGTTTACTGCAGGTACATATCCATGCTTCTCGTCCCCCTCGTATCCTACGATGGGGTGAGGTGGGCCTGCCGTGTTGGGACATAACGATGCCGTGGCCATGCCGGCCTTGATGAACACTCGCTCAGCTAGAAGTTGGCCGAGTGATTGTCCGGCAACCTTTTCAAGGATTCTTCCTAGAATGTAAAAGTTGACGTTTGAGTAAGACATTTCTGTCCCTGGTTCGAAGTGTAGAGATTTGATCCGCTGGATTGCTCGCGGTGCGTCCAAAGACAGGGAGAAAGGGTCGTCTGGTTTCGGCTCCCCACAGCGGACTTGTCATGGCCCAATAATCGCGAATACCACTTTGCATGGAATGCAGCTGCGCCAGAGTCAACTGTCGTCCGCCCGGAATCTCATCAAGCTGGGGGAGGATAGCCAGAAGTTCGGTGGCCAGTTGAACTTCGGGTTCGGATCCTCTCTGTTTCATGACAGGCGTCGGGTTCCTGATCACATCAACCAGTGCAAGGCAGACCATTTGCTTCGAAATCGAGCAGATAGGCAGTTGGACTTGAGATGTCATGGGGATTCGCTTCTCCATGTCGGCGAAACCCCAGACTCTGCGCCATACCTGGCCCTCATGGACCACGGCGACAGATCCAGCAGGTCCTCGATATGTCTGTTCGATGCTTCGCAGAGCCGCTTCGACGTCTGCAGTGGAGAACGGCATTTTAGCACGGGGTTGTTTTCTTGAGAGCAGAGATGGAGGTTCAGGACACCGTTATGGGTGAACTTTGATCCTTCGGCAAGACCTTCCTTCTTCTTTGAGTTTGATTGATACGATGACTAAGTGAAAACATCGGTTATAGACTCCTGAAAGCTTGGGATGTGGCAAGTGGCGTCAGTGTGCTTGGTGCTCTCTTGCAAGACACCGCTCAGCATGCCAATTGGAACAACTTCAATGATGCCGTCGATAGCACTACGCACACACCATCAGTACCACCTCACTCTGCGAAGTATCCAACAAACACCTACCTGAGCTGCACACGTCGCCGCCAGGCCGATCATGGCCGAAAACTCGGACCCCACGCCTTCAGATCTTCCCAAGCAGAACACACTGGACATAATAACCCGCTTCAACAAGAAAGACATATCTACTCCCATTGAGCGCTACTGCAGCAAGGACTATGTCTTTGAATGCACACAGCCCGATGGGTCAATACTGAAACTGGACAGAACTCAAATGAGGAAACTTCGGGAATGGTATTTCCTGGAGTACACGCCGAATGCGTATGCGGATGTGAAAAGTGTGGCCACCAGCGTGGAACGCGAGCGAGCGACGATATGGCTGACGATGCTGATGCACAATGACAACGCTGCTGGACAGGCGAGGGAGAAGATCAGCATCTTCTCTTGGAGATTGGAGGAGGACGAGGCTGGTGGGAAGAAGTGGATGTGGTGGAAAGAGTACACTTCTGCTGGCGTTGTGAGCTTCGACCAAACAAGTGAAGCGTCGTCCGGCTGAACAGGTGAGTTCGTGATATGATGTGCATTTGCCGTGGCCATGACTTCGTTGTGTGTATCGTACATCAAATCATGTTCAGACTAACTCATTCATACAGGTCAAAACACCTCATCGAGAGACTCTTCCATTGCAGTCTGCCTCGTAATCCATCCAATATGGCTTGACTTAAGAGAGGACCAAAGTTCCGTTGCTGTATGTGCCCGGACCTGCAGAAACACGTCAGCATTCGCGCCCCGAATCATCTTCAACGGTTCTAGTTGATACTCACCGGCGCTAACGGCCAAGTCGGTCGCACTCGTCTCGTAGAAAGTGACGGTGGCTGGGCCGCTGATGAAAAAGCAGTCGAACCTGGGATGGGTCAGCAAAAGTTTACCGGCAAGCACCTTCTAATGCACTGACAAGTCCTCGGCGCCATCGGTGTTGGCTGCAACAGTCGCACGGTCGGTCACTTGGAACCAGTTGCTGATGGCGAAGGTACCACGGCGGGCACAGGCAGTGGCCTCGTCTGCCTCGGCAGCATCATCCAGGCCAGCGACGAGCTTGGTGAGAAGATCACCACGGACCTGATTCGAATATGTCAGTTGACATCGAACCTGCAAATGGCCGGGCGGATTTCATTCGCTTACATCGTCCCAAGTCTGTGCGGATCGCTTGCTCTTTTGGAACCCCTCGATGACCTTGCCCATGACGGCAGCAGCGACACCACCAACAACGGCGAGACCTTATAAAGGTGGTTAGAACATATCTGGAGTCTGAAGAGTGTCATGGCATACCGAATGGACCCAATCTCTTGTCAAGGGATCTCTCCTCCTGGTGGAGAGCAGCTGGAGCGGCGCTGGCGAGGCCAAGGCCAAGAGCTGCGATAAGTCCGAACTTCATGGTGGTGGTGTTTGGAGATCGACAAGAAGATCTGGATATTGTCGATGAAGCTGGTTCGGTTGTGTTGACTTGCTGGCTGATGGCTGGATGGCTACATTTCCTCGTCCGACTCGACTCTTATATATCCCATGGCCCAAGGCTGTCGTCGATGTCTCGCCGTCCTCTCAAAATCCCGCAACCATGAGCGACATTCTTCCATCGTTCCTCTGGATAGCCTCATACTTGGCACTCGACTAGCCAGACACGCGAGCAGTTCAAGCGGATGTTCCTGACAGGCTGCGGCACCGTCTTCACCTACTCGGCACGTGACGGGCTTCCATATGTGGTAAGCAAGGTCTTACCAGCCTTGCCACTGCAGGCAATCGCTCGTGTGTTCGTTCTGTCTGAGGATGAGACATTGATAACGTGATCCAATCGCTCGCGTGGCAGTTATCCGATCGTATCAATTCGTCATACACTTTGGTGGTGGGCCATGCAAATGCCAAGAGGTATGCCGGGGGTTTCGGTGTATTCGGCAGGCTGCTCCATGTGGCCGTCAAGGATTGTGTGGGGAGAGTCAGACATCAAGAGCGGCGTTTGGTGGTGTTTGACGTCCTCTCGTCTTGTACTGCATGCTTCAACATTGCTTGAACGTATGCGACTGTATTTGACATGAACTTTCTGAGGAAGTTTTGCGGTGCAATTGATTGTTGCAGAGGCCAAAGCTCGACCACAGGCCACCCAGCATCATCGAGAACCCTCGTGGAAATCGACAGTCTTCTTTCTGCGTTCTACGGCCGTGTGTTAGCACACCACCCAAGTCCAACGGGCACATCTTGGCTTCAAAGCGTAACTTGGCGACGACCTTCTCGAACAATTTCATTTGTCTTGGACGACTAGTGTAAAGTTCTCGGCAACCACGTCACCTTTTTGAGTACGACAACGATAAGGGATGAGCGTTATGTCGCCACTTGAGACAGTACGCCGGAAGGCAGGCGGGATGTTGATGTTTTGTTCTGTCACCAGCCGTCTGCTGATTGTCGAAGATGCCAATGCGTGAATGAACATCAGCAGTCTCGGCCAGACCTAGTCCGACTACCAGAGGGTCACCGCGGGTTCCCTCAGACATACAGCTACGTCTTGTCAACTATATTGAAGTCAAGATGCTGTGTGGGCACAAGGTAGTTCGCAACGGAACATCGCTACAGGAAACATGCTAGCTGAAATTTCAAAGTTCAGCCGTCAGTAGTGATCGACACCAACACATGCAGCAGCCTGGTCGATCATTCTTAAAGTTTCTCATCGACGAGACTCTGAGCACTATTGTATCTTCGACGCAGTAGCGAACGAGTCCAGAGTCCAGAGCTAACGGTATCCTGAAAGAGCACAGCAAGAGATGTATGTATACAACACCTTTACTAGTCATTGAGCTGCCGGAAACAATACCAAATTCAAGCCCGAAGAATGCGAAGTATAGACACGAAGGAAGGCACTAGGTGTACCCTATGTTCAGGCTCTGGACGTTTGCAGAAACTCTAGTACATCTCAGCTGGCCAAGAGCTCCCAATAGAGAGTGGTGAATCCACACGTGTGAGCGGCTGACATGGCAAGTCTTTTGCAACGTTGCAAGAAATACAGACATATAACAACCCGGCTCCAACACCCATGGCGTGCCTGGAGAGTCCACTTGAAATCAGTCAGCCCGAGTCAACATGATGCACCGATCCGCTTTTTTGCTTGTCGCAGCCATCATCAGCCTTGATGTCTCTGCAGCCCCTTCGACACCAACTTTCAAGTTCTACGGCGTGAACGAGGCTGCAGCGAACTTTGGAACCGAGCTACCAGGTCAATACGGAGTCGACTACACATGGCCAAATCCCGACTCGATCAAGAACTTCACTGGGCAAGGCTTCAACACGATCCGGATCGGAATACAGATGGAAAGATTGACACCTGATGGGCTCACGGCGAAGTTTGATCAGGACTATCTGGGCAATCTGACGAGTACAGTGGATCTCGTCACAAGTCAGGGTGCTTATGCTTTGATTGACCCTCATAACTATGGGAGATTCTATAATGAGATCATCAATTCAACGGCAGACTTTGGGACTTGGTGGACCAATGTGGCCTCGCTGTTCAAGGAGAATGAGCTCGTCATGTTCGATGTCAACAATGAGTAAGCCGTCAGTTGTGTACGCAGACCTTTCACTGATGAGATGTCAATAGATTCTGGGGCATGAATACTTCGCATGTGTTCGCCATGAATCAGGCGGCCATCAATGCCATTCGAGCGGCTGGGGCTACCTCACAGTACATTACTCCCGAAGGCAATCAATGGACGTCTGCATGGTATGATATCTCCTAGAGCTGCCATAATTGGTGCTGAGTGTGATTCTAGGGGCTGGACAAACATACCGGGTCAAGACGGCGTCACAAATGGCCAAGTCATGGGCGACCTGGTTGATCCGTCAAACAAGCTGGTCTATCAGATGCACCACTATCTCAACTCTGATGGCTCTGGTAACGACGATTCGTGTGTCAGCGCTACTGTGGGCAGTGATCGTCTCAAGGCTACAACGACTTGGCTGCGTGACAACAAGAAAGTGGCCTTCATCGGTGAATTCGCAGGAGGAGTGAACGATGTATGTGTATCCGCTGTGAAGGACATGCTCAACTACATGAACAGCAACTCTGATGTGTAAGTTGTTCCGAAGGCGAAATGTAAGCTGGATCAGTTGCTAACGTACTGCAGGTGGCTCGGGTTCACCTGGTGGGCTGCGGTAAGACTCGATGCTTGCCAGAGAGGTATGCTCGTTCGCTGACCGTCATCTCTAGGGCCCATGGTGGGGACCAACACACTACAACAGCATCGAACCTGGGGAGGGAATCGCGTACGATACCTACGTTCCGATTCTCCGATCAGCTGCCAACGGCGAAATCTTTGCTCCTCCACCGCCATCTTCGACGACAACGACGGATGTATCATCGAGTTCCTCCACCAGTCCACCTACAGCGTCGCCGACGCTCTGGGGGAAGTGTGGTGGTGTAGGATGGGACGGGCCAACCAACTGCCCTGGCGGTAGTTGCTGTGTGCCTCAGAATCAGTGGTACTGGCAGTGCGTGCTGGATTGTCCCACAACGACAGCCTAGATGCAGTCTTGTTGGCTTTCAGATGAATCGTGATCACTCTCCTGGAATTATCGCAAAAGTTCTTTCCATGGGATATAGGACACCATGGTAACTCGTTCGTATCTCGCATGGAATCTAGAAGACCCTGAGTAGTGACTCTGCAGCTTGGTAACACAGCAGCGAGCTCTTACTAATGGGTGTTGGACGGCTTGCATCATGGTCAAAAGAAAGTCAAATCGGACAGCTGGAGAAGTTGGAGATTTCGACCCGTGAGAGTTGGAGTAGGTCTATGCAAAACACTTAAAAGCGCCCATCAACCTTCGACAGGATCCATCAACCCCATCTTCTTCTCAATTGTGTAGTCAATAGCCTGATCAATCATGTCGCACCTGCAGTACAAATCATACCCGGGATTCGGGGAGTGGAACTTTGAGAACTTCCAGTATGTCCTTTCACTTTGGAAAGCGTACCTTGCTTGCATTATTGACACCTGCTGACCTTCTTGCTTTTTCCCAGCTACTCATCTGCTGTTCGTATCGCTCCTGGAGAGCAGATCCAGATCTCAGGCCAAGGCGGTTGGACCAGGGACGACGGCAAGGTCAAAGAAAACTTGGCCGAGGAGTTTGCTCAGGTACGAGTGCTCTACGATCTTCCTCAGTCAACCTCGTCGACTGAAGTTCTCGCAGGCCTTCGAGAACGTTAACTACACGATCAAATACGCCGGCGGTAAAGGCATGTCTGCTGTCTACAAGTTGGCTGTCTATTACGCCCCGGTCACGGAGGAAGCTTTGAATGAGACGGTCGTCAACTTGAGAAAGTGGTTCCCGGATCATCGACCGTTGTTGACGGCGATTGGCGTCGAGAAGTTGGCAGCGCCGGGAATGCGTTTTGAGATTGAGGCGTGGGCTCATGTAGAGTGATCGTGAATGGGAGACGAAATCTAAAGAGATTGTTGGTTGAGTGAAATTTACGAATCCTCACGTCGACTATGGAATTCAGTCATTATAACCGCAACTTTCAACAAAGTCTTTCGTGGCCTACGTCGTGCAGTCATAGTCATTTGATGCCGCAAAGCATAAGCGTCGCACTGGTTCGGGGTGAAGGTCTTAACCACTCTCAATGACTGTACTAAAAGTATCGCATATGCTGCTTAGGCCTGCTGTCAATCTTCACCTGTTTCAGGCCCAGTTACTTACTATATGCTTCTACTTCAATCTCAACAATCATTCCCGGAGCACCAAGCCTTGGCACTGATAATGCCGTATACACGGGACGATGAGCAAGTCGCTTCTTCATCACCTCCGTGAGATATCCAAAATGACTTTCCACATCGGTAAGGTAGCTTCGAATGAGATAGATCTGCAGCTGATTAGTAAATATCTAAGATCGAATATGAAGGATGCGAACATACGTCGTCTAGCCCAGACAACCCGGCAGTTTTCAAGACGACATCGATGTTGTCGAATGCTCGTTCGATCTGGCCTTTCCAATCTTGGCCATCGATCTGGCCGTCTCGAGTCCAGCCTCCTTGACCGGACAGCTTGGTGATTCCATGTGGGAGGTGAACGAATTGGGAGTAGTGGTAAGTTTTGCCTGTAGCAGGATGTTAGCCAGAGGAGACTGGGCTGGTTCTCTGTCTCGTACCAAGCTCCGTTCCAGCTCCTTCGTCGTTGCCATACTGTAGGGAAGACATCGTTCGCCTGCTGAGTGATGGATGAATCTTTGAGTGTAAAGATCGTTCGTGTCGTGTTTGATCGAGCTTGTTCCAGAGCGCTTACACGCCGTCCAGGAAGTGGTACTGTTATAACCTCACCCTCGAGGTCGATCTTCCCCATCTCCAAAACCTCTCCGCATGCGCTTTGTCACGATCAGCCCTAGCGCAAGCATGTGTAACCTTATAAAGCTTATGAAGCTACCCTTCTCCAACTTTCTCCAACCCTCCTCTTTCCCCGCCTCTACCTCAACACAACCAACATGCTCGAGCAAAGCGAGAGGCGGTTTCGATGCGATGACTGCGAGAAACGCTTCTCCAGGCTGGAGCATCTGCAGCGGCACACGCGAATCCGTAAGAAATGCGAAATGCGCGACATTGGCGGGGAAAGGCTCATTCGCTGACATATTGTTTGCGACAGATACAAAAGAGAAGCCGTTTGCCTGCTTCTGTGGACGAACGTTCGCACGGAGCGATTTGCTCAAGAGACACAAGCTGCGTACGCATTCGACTGCGACTGCGGAGCGAGGCACCGAAGATGCACGGCGAATGGACGTACAGGGCAATGCCAGAGGCAAGGCTGTTGAAGCGCAGGGGCAAGACGTGGTGACCCAACCAACACACGGTCAAGACTTTCGAGAAGATGCAAACGTGCCCATGAGTCCAGGACAGGATTTTCCGGCCTTTGTGGAGTTTGTCGAAAGCATTGGCTTGGGGCATGATTGGGACTTCTTCGACCTCGATCCACAAAGCGCCTTTGCCTTTGATGAGCCCCAGCTTCCTTCGCTCGACGGGCTGGGCGATTTGGCCACGAGTTCACAGCAGCCAACTTCCACATCGTCGGCAGCGCGAAGTTCGGCCCCAACGACTGTAGAGCTCAGCTCTGTTGCCGATCGAGCAGGATCGGAGCAAGCGCTCACACCCATTCAGTGGAGACTGAGCCAGAGTCAGTGGCAGATACTTACACAGAAGTGCCAAGGGTCCGTGTCTGGGTTGACGCTTCCATCGCGCCCTGCAATGTCCCGCTACCTTCAGTCATACGTGACCAAGTTCCATAAACATTACCCAATGATTCACCTACCCACGTACGATCCAGTGGCGTCGCCGCTGTGGCTCACCCTGATCATGGCTGCAGTAGGAGCGCAGTGCATCTTCGAGGCCAAGAACAGCTATCGATTGTACCAAGCTGCACGGTATTTGACCATGGAACAGAGACAGCTGGACTCGGACGGTCGCAACATCGGGCAGACCCAGATGCATCGCATAGCGATGATCCAAACCTTGATCTTGCTGATGGTGTTCAGTGCTTGGGATACGGATACGAGGCTCCTTGGCGAGGCGTTGGATTTGCAAAGCGTAGTATCTGGTGACATTCGTCGGGCGCTCGCTGAAAGCTCTTCCACCCACAGCAGCGATACTGAGTGGCAGATCTGGATTCGAGAAGAGACGCATCGCCGTGTCATTCTGATTTCATACGCATATCTTGTGGTGCAGAGCACGGCCTATGACCTGCCCCCAGTAGTGTTGACAGGAGAGATCCAGGAGTTCATACTGCCGTGCGGGTCGGCCGAATGGGAGGCCAGAACAGAACCCGAGTGGAGGCAGGCCCTTCGACATTCAAGTCATAGCACAGCGCGCACAGGGGATGTGTTGCGGCAGCTACTATCCGACCAAAGCGGCGGGGGCATCGATGGACGGTTGCGTTTCTCTGCGGTAGGAAGCTTCGTAGTGGTACAGGCCTTGATCCAACGTATCTTCTTCGCAAGACAGTTGCACGACACATCCAGCACGGCCCTTCCTCGGGCAGAACTCGATGTGATCCAGTAAGTCGAAATTCCTACAAACCCAACACCCAGACTCGCTGAAACTGTAGCAGGTCTGCGCTGACGAAGTGGAAAACCATTTGCCAGCGAACACCAAACTCCAGCTTGGATCCTCAGAACGCGGAGGGTCCCGTGCCTTTCACGTCCGCAGCATTCCTAGCGATGGCTTTTGCTCGTCTACACCTTGACCTAGGTCCCTGTCGAAATCTCAGGACTCGTGATCCGAAGCAAGTTGCCGCTGCCATACTGGCTTCACCGGTGCCCGAATGTGGTGGCCCAGGTACGTTAGAGCATGAACGTGGCTGTTTCGTTTCCAGAGCTGACCGAAGCAAGTCATTCCCGCGTTGCTTCACAGTGCGCATTCACTCAGCGTACCAGTAATGCTTGGCGTTGATCATGTCTTGGGAAGTCAGTCGCTGTTCTGGAACTGTGAGCACTCGCTGTGTGGGTTTGAATCCGGCATATTCCTTTGGAGATGGCTGCAGTCCGCTGGCGAGTCTGGTAGCTGGGACGACTTGGATGGTGAGTGATGCTGTGCATTGAACGACGTGCTCGGACTGACAGCTACAAAGCCGATGAGAAAGGCATTGTCTCTTGGGTGTTGTTCTCGATCAAGGAGGCCTTGGAGTCTGTACCCGCCAGTGATTTGGGTATCCGTGATGACACTGTCTTGTCTCAATTGAGCTTTCCGAGACTAGGCATACTGGTGTTGAAACTTTGGGCAAGAATATTTTCGAGTCGCAGAAGTTGGGCGATAACGCAGGAGATTGGAGAGAGCTTGAGGTTGCTGGCCGAGGCAGTCGAGGCGTCCTGACGCTCTTACCACTGTGAATATCATGATATCTTTACGACTAATTGGACAGGCCAATTGAGGAAAATAATGTATTCGTTAGTCGACCAGTGAAGAATGTTGTGCTGTAGAAAGGGTGTTGGGATCCGCTGACGTGGTATAAAAATGGATCAAAACAAAGCTAGTTCCAACTAGGAACTAGCGTATCATGAGAATCCCTGACGACACTCGCTTGGTGAATGTTGACAACAGTCCTTCAACGCATTTACTCGTATTGATTAGCCATGTATGGCGGACGCTGATGCCGACGAGGCTGTGAGTGGGAAGCGGAAGAGGCGTGGTGGCAACAGGCGTAAGACAGGATGGTCAGTCCAGTTGTCGTTGCCGTCCACGGTTCTCACTGACATGAAATAGTGCGACTTGCAAGAAGCGTCACATACGTTGCGATGAGAAGTCTCCAAGATGTGGGAACTGTGAACGGCTAGGACTAGAATGTCAAGCTTCAGACTTCATTGCACAGTCGACATGGCACGCTGCGAAGCCTGATCAGCACAGAAGGGCTCAGCGGCAGAAACGGCCGAGAGCGTCTGAGAAGGATGCGAACGACACTTATACAAGCCATCATAGCGGAAGTGGGTCGCCAGCAGTCGACGAAGTACACAGTCTGGGCACTGTCGATCATCAAAATGAATCTCCAGCCCACGATAGCCCGCTCAATTTGACGGAAGAAAACGTCTATCTGTTGGCTACTTACCGATCAGGCGTGGCAACTTGGGTATGTATACGAGTCGCTGGCATCGAGTGTACTGCTGAGAGGTTTCACTCTCACAGATGGATGTCTTTGATAAAGGCAAGACTTATCAAGAGGATGTCACCAAAATTGGCACCACCTGTCCACTTCTCCTTCGCTGCATTTGTGCGTTTACCGCCAAGCATCTTTCACTCAAGAAGTCGGGCGCCGTCTGGGAACCAATAGCATCTCGATACTACGTCGAAGCACTCAATCTTCTGATCAGGGAGATTGACTGTTCTGCGCCTACCGCAAACAGCCTCACTGCAGCGATACTACTCAGCAGCTACGAGGTCACGGCAGCGCTAAGTGTGCCACACAGGTCCCACACCAAGTCAGTAAGAGTCCTGTGAGACACCCTGAAGTACCCATGCTTACGAGTTCTTTGTGGTTAGAGGAGCCTTGGACCTCATTCGTGCCAGGAACGTGTCCGCTCGATCCTCGGGCTCTGACGGCAAGAACTTTTGGATATATGTGCGTCACGAGCTTGTTGTTGCTCTGATAAACGAGAGCCCTCTGCAGCTTGACCCTCGAGATTGGCAGATGCGGGCACTAGAATCCCACACCGGGGAAGATCGACTTGCGATGCACATGATGTGGCTTGCTGGCATCGCCATTAATATGGTGTTTGACGAAGAGTCTGATACAGACAGAGCACAGCTGATTGAAAGTCTCCAATCGTGGTATCGTCAATGTCCGCCTACATTTAAAGGTGCTGCGTACGGTAATATCGATGGGGAAGGGCTTCAGAAAGTGTTCTTCGCGGTGCCAGCGGCTGGTAAGTCTAACCCAATGGTCACTTTGACTCCCTCAACTTCTCAAACTCTCAAAGCTAACAAAATCACAGCAGCGGCAATGCTGTGGTACCACCTGTCTTGCGTGATTATCTATGCAGAGCGGTGCGGTAACAGCTTATTTCAGCCGAAAAGGGTATTTGTGTCTCACGTATAAGACTCAATATATATCTCTTGACTGATATCTCTGCCAGGCTCAGGATCACGCGAAAACAATACTTGGCATCTGCATTGCCGATCTGCCAGATTGTGTACGCTGTTTCGCAATCATGCCGCTCTACATTGGTAAGAAATTGAATGGTGCGCTCTTGTCGATGTGGTGGACGCTGATGTTTATGCAGTCGGAAAACATGCCGACAATTTCACCATGAAGTATCGCTCTTGGTCGCTACTCGCTGATATGGAACGAGAGCTGGGATATCATACCAATGCAATGGTGACAGCACTAAAGGACAAGCTATAGTGAATGACACATTCTACGCAGTGGAACGAAGAAGCCTGCTGAGATGAAACACCTTCGTGACGCTGGAGGCCGTGCGTATCGCTGTTCAAGGCCGGGCGCTTTCCTGCGGGCACCGAGCTAACACGATACTGCGGAGCACTTCGACTTGGACCATTCTAGATGGACATCGCGAGCAGTCACCTAAATTGGGCGGCGGATGTGTGCGCCACCGAGTAACGTCTACGCCATCGCCACTCAGGGTAGGAGAACACATGGGCACACTCGCTTATCGTGTTGGAAGATGCTGTCTGTACTCGCTCTCATTTTGTCAGTCGAATGAGGACACTGACACTACCGCTTCTGTCCTCTTTCTGAGGCATTAGCATCGTTCAAAGCCAGGCAAGGGACTTCAGGTCGAAAGCCAAGAGCAAGAGGCTGCCATCCTTGGCCTGGAAATGCGTACGTGGTTGCTGAGGGCTATCCAACCTAGCAAGCTATTCTAAATGTGACGTGGGGGCCTGGAACGGGGCTTATACCCGACAGACGCAACATTTGGCATGTTTGGTAATTCCGTTAAGCCATGGCGCAACGACTGGACCCTCGGTAAGGCTGGCACAGCTGGAAGCGCAGGGATGGTACAGCTGCGCCCACCTTGCTGTCCAATTGACATGGTCCCGAGAGTAGTTCACGGGGAACGTCGGAACCGGTCAACGCAGTTCGCCTCGCGAGTTTGTGTAACACTCCATCAAGCGCCTGGTCACAACAACCATCGAGATGTGTTGGTTGCTCACGCGCAGCAGTAAGGGAAGCACATGCGAAGACGTCGCCACCTTAATGCAACTTCCGGCTTTGTGCCAAGTTTCCGGCTTACTTGTATTACAGCGCCGCTTTGGAGCGCTTATTCCATGCAGTGCCTCAGGGTGGGTACCACGAGCTCTCGATCGCTGGTCCACGCGGTTCTCGAGTTCCCTCTTGCGCTTGACCTGTTGTTGCAGCTGAGAAGGTCTCCTGGCTGAGCTGGGCTGTGACAGGAGACCTCTAAAAGGGCGACAGCGGCTTTCCTGATCCCATGTTTGTCTATCATGTTCCCACCAAACATACTGATCCATCAAAAGAGCTTCGTACCCTATTCGATTCGTTTTTCCAAAACAAGATCCGTTCAAGCCCCACGCAGCCTACACATACCCCACGAGAGCAACGACAACACCCATACAAGACACTGTCTGCATGCCCTTGGCACATCGTTTGCCAGAGTTCAATGAGATTGGCATGTCCAGGGGCCCTCCGATCCAAAGAAATGAAGCAGCAAGTCGGAGTCTACCTGCAGATGTGTGGGAATGCCAACGAATACTGGCTCTCGATGGAGCAGGAGCCAAGGGACTCTCATGTCTCTACATCATCCAAGAGCTCTTCAATCATGTTGCCATGTTGGAGAAAGGCACCCAACCGGCAGCACAGTCGAGCACTTCGTCACCTTTGTTCTTCTCGGTGAAGGACTACGCAGTACAATCACCTGAAAGTCTCAGTGATCCTACGTTGCCCTACAGGCCATGCCATTACTTCGACTACATCTTCGGTTCTCAAATGGGAGGTATTGTGGCAATCCTGCTTGGTGTGCTAAGGCTTACAGTCGAGGAGGCGATACAGCGGGCAGAAAGAATTTACGGTCAGCTCAGACAAGTCACCAGACACCCGTCGCCGATTATCCCGCCTTTCAATCTTGGCTCCTCGAAGAGCAACAATTCTGACTGGCTACGGCACACACTCTGGCAGTATCTGGAGGCCGTTGGGGATAGCGAAATGAAGAGAGGTAAACGAGAGCACAGTAGACCACCGAAACAAGCAAGAAGACAAACCAGCAGTCAGCTGTCAAGCATGAGCGTCGACGAGAGGTTTTGCCAAACAGTTGTGCTTACTACTCACAAGGCAGGCAAGGGAGTTTCACGTCCTTTCTTGCTAGGCTCTTATCGTCGGTCTGATGGCGTAGAGGCATTCCAGAGCTCGTCGCTTAAGTACGACACCAGCATGATTTCGATCGTGGATGCTGCCAGAGCAACGATGTCAAATCGTCGGCTCTACGAGAGTGTGCATCTGCCAGGCCTTCGAGGCTCCCTGCGAGCTACAACTCCGTCCTGCGACAACGCTGCCGCCTTGGCCCTGGATGAGGTCGCACGACGACATGGCGACGGTGTCGACTTCCTTTTGAGCATAGGGGACGACGAAGACTACCCTTGCAGAACCAACTCAGACCTGAGCGATGATCCGCAAGGACGCATCGTCGATGGACATCAACCTGCTCCGACAGTCGACAGCAGCAATTTCGATCTGACTTATCACGACTTCGTGGTCCCTGGCATATCAGACGACCTGTCGTCATCGGAAATCAGAGCAAAAGCATTGGAGTACTGCGATACCCATGGCGCCGATATCAGCAGATGGGCTGGGGTACTTGTCGAGAGTCGGCGACATCGTGCCCGGACAGTTGAGTGGCAAAGCTACGCTGGCTTTGCAATGCGATGCCCTCTATGCACCGTTGCTGGAAATGAAGAAAGCCGGCGGCCGTACGATGTAGCTGGTTTGCAGCAACATTATCTTAAGCGGCATGCCCATGCCACTGATCGCGGGCCGACTGGCTGAATTCCTTGTTGGAGTTGGAGGATACCATTTTGGCGCTGGGGAACTGCATAGACATGCGCACCGATCGCAAATGTATGACGGATATGATGACCCTGTTGTATGTACAAGTGATTGTCAAGCCTTGCCAACGCTATTTCGCCTGATCAGTTTGTGCACAAATGTGCTGTCAAAGCTAATACAGAACCGCCTGAAGGACGCATGGTTCTTGGACACTGGAGCGTTATGTGTATCGAGCGTATGCACCCATCGTGACCCACAGAAGATGCGGGAGCTAGTTGTCGGCTGCTCAAGGAGTCTTCCCTGGAACAAATAAGGCAGCCACTGCGGCCATATCTATCAGCATACCATACCCGTGCTTGGTTCTAGGATCGAGTAAAGTATGTGCGGGCATCCGCTCTGGATCTTCGATGTCAATTGCACCGCGTCTGGGAATGAAGTAAAGGCTTCCATGAAGCGTTCCGCTTGTGCCTTTGGGAGTCAGTATTCTTCTTGGTCTTCTTGGTAGCCTTGGACTCACAGTATCTCTTCCAAATGGTGGATTTTCTGGCTAGCGAGAAACTTTCCTTACGAGGATGATAGACCACGATCCACCATCCTTTGAGTATTCTCATTCGGTCCTTTACCTGATCTAAAGGTGTCCCGGGTAGGATCAGCTCACGCCCCTGCCTGAGACGGCTGCTTGGATACGAAGGTCGTCTGACTGCGCTTGAGCGGCGAATCGTAACTGCCGTGTATGAGTCGTGATGTGGCTGTTCAGGGGCCGTCGCTGATAACTTTTGTTCTGCAAAATCACGGGAATCGGAGCTTGCAGTAGCAATCGATTTTGTTGGAGCGTCGTTCAACACATCTTTCATCTCGACTTCGCTCCCTGCTGGGCCATTGGGATTTGGGGTATTCCATCGAAGTTTCTTCGGTGACGTTGGAGACGACAGCTGACTATCGGTCTCGATCGAATCAGGCTCAGTGTATAACTCGGAGAAAATTTCAGTATCATGACCAGAGGGTGTCCGTAAGTTGATCTTCTTGTCTGGAATTTCCTTTCTCGGCTCCTGCAAGACCCCGTTGACGGAATTTCTCGAGACCCGCGTTGGAGAATCCGCCTTCAAGATGGGATGGACTATGCGACTTGGCTCAGAAGGCACAATACTGCGGTCGCCTGTTCCTGAAGCTTCAGAAGAATGACGAGGCTGATACTGTGAATGAGGAACCGCGAAATCCTGAACTGAGGAGCTTCCTTCGTGATCAGCTCTCGAAACTCGCGCTCTGGATGGATTAGGTGGTTTCAACCTGGTCTGATCATGCTTAGCCGGGGTCTCAATACAGAACGGTGAAACGATTTGCTCACATTTGCTCTTCGAGGGTGGCAGTGGCGGCAGTCCTCCTGACAAAGACGAGAAAAGCACTTCCAGGCCTGAGACAGAATCTCCTTCGTACGCGGTCGGCCTTGGCCATGAGGATCTAGCTCACTGTTTGTTGGCTTCGCAGTCATCATCCTCAACAAGTTGTTGAAGAAGGAGTCGGTTACCTCGTCGGTAGCCTTCTTTTCGTGGGGCATAAAACAGTCTCTTGGCCATTGCGTGTTATCTTGCTCAGTGGCTTTGAGTTTCAGCTTCTTAAGCCAGCCATGGATGAGTCGTGAGCTGAGAGCATCAGAGTAGTATTTGTTCTCGAGTGCTGCAATTAGATCCTGCATCGTCTCACCCATCATCACGCTGGCCATCTCCAAAAATACAAAGCCCAGGCAGACGACGTCCCATTCCAGTCCTCGGGGTTCTTCATCTTTGACGTTCTGTGGAGCGTATCGAGGAGTTGAGTGAGTTGGGCCCTCGGTGTAGGCCAGTTCGCGGTTCGTGTATTGTTTTGCAATGTCAAAATCTGCCAGGATCACCGTTCCTCCGTGGATCAAAATGTTCTCTGGTTTGATGTCACGATGTTTTATGGGGTTGTCCAAATCATGCAAGTAGATCACTGCTTGACACAAGCACGCAAAATACGATACGAACACTTTCATATCGTGGAACATTCTCCATTCGATGCCGGGTTTGCACGCGCGATTGTGGTCCGATATCATGTACAGGTATTGCTCCATATTAAGTGGTGCCAGCGGAAAAAGCAGTATCCCAATTCTGGCGCTGCCTGGGATCTGATCTTCAATGAAGACACCTAATGCAGCGATGATATGGCAATGATCCAGGTCAGCTAGTTGTCTGAATTCTTCCAGGACTCGTTTCTCGTGCTCGGCCTCAAGCGGTACACTCTTCACTGCCACATGCTCGTGAGTTCCGTCTTCTCGAAGGAATTTGGCCGAATGAACTTCAGACTTCCGCGACCAGCTAACCAAAGTTTGCTTGAATGCATGTTCCGGGTTCGTTTTGCGCTCGTGTTTGTTCAGCGGTGCACGTGTAGGATTCCCATTGGGTCCAGGAGGCCAGTAGAGCCTCATATTGGGCCCTTCATTGCGAAAGTCTGGCAGAGACATCTCCGAGCCCTGCCGCTTGATTTCCGGTGATTCTTGCCGTCGTACCTCGTCTCGGTCTCCATTTGCATAAGGCAAACCCCCAATGGATCTGCGTTGAATGACTGCGTTTGAATGGCTTCCAGGCTGGTGACTTTCACGATTCATTGGTTTTATGCCTTCCGAGAACCACGGATAAGCCGGCAAAGTAACGCAGTGCGACTGCCTATAGAATATTGGATATGGACAAGTAGTGTGGTCGTTTCGATCAGTGTGGCGGCTTGTGTGATGGGCGAATTCACCGCAATCGACACTAAGTGACGGCCTTGGCGATGTAAGGTAGTGAGCATTTGCAGATTACACGTAAATACTGCACTCACGTTGCAAGCTACGAGAGAGGTCGGGTCTGATCCAAGGCCTGAGGCTTTCACTCGCATTCCAATTTTCCAGTGAATGAGGCTGCCAGCTGAACAAGCCTTTGGATGGCGAGCAGTTTGCGAAAGCCGGCCACGCCCCCTTGTACTGCACACCACCATTGCGCATTGTACCACCACCGCTCGTGCGCGAGACGGCGGTAGCAGCAGCCACACATCCATTTCTGGAGAGCTGAAAAGGCGCAAGCTCTGTTCGGCTGGTGCGCATGAGATAGCTGCAGAAGGGCCCCTGTACGCTGCTCTCGGCGTCATGCAGGCGAATTGTGCAGCCCTGGGTCCGACCACCTGAGGCAAGTGAGCGCGGGTTGCCTTCTTCATTGCCTTGCACCACAGGGAAGTACTCAAAAGCTTTAGCGCCTTCAGCACCACGTCCTTTCGTCCATCGAGCAGAAGATTGTCTTTTCATACGGACCATATCTTGCGAGTGGCAACTCATCAACCTCGAGCGAAGCCCGAATTCCAACAAAAACACCTTGCAAGTGGGACTAATAATCATGGACCCTGCCAGTCTGGGCATTGGTGCTGCTTCCGTGGGCATACAGCTCTTCGACAGTGCAGTCAAATGTAAGCATCAGCCAAAGATATACGGAGTTCTTTGTCTGACCGTGTACAGTGTTCAGAGTTTTTGAGGAAGCGGCCCAAGCAGACAAGAAGTGCGAGCAGTACAAGTTGTTCCTGCGTGTGGAGTACGACAAGCTCGAGCAATGGGGAATCATGACAGGCCTATCAGACGACAATCCCAAGTGGTACGCCTCGCATATCCGACGAAATGGGGCTCTCACCGTAGCGATCCTGTCAGAACTGGGTATCTTGCTTAAAACCCTGCGCTCAAAAGTTCTAGAGTACCGCCCAGACAGCGCCGACAGTGAAAGTTCCCGTGCGGTAGGCCAGGTATTGCGAGTCAATGATTTGGCCGAAATACCAGATCCCAAGATTGTCGACGAAGCAAGAGACAACCTAGACGTGGTTCTGCGGCTGCCAGATCCACCTCGTGATCGGAAGAAGCTAAGAGAGCGATGTTGGATCCGACTGAGCCAGGCCGCAAAGGATGCCGGGAAGGTTGCAAAGCACCCCAAAAGGTTCAAGTGGGCAATCAGTGACATGGAAAAGGTTAAGAATGACTTTACTCATGTCCAATCCCTTGTGAGCTCCTTGACAGACCTCAGCCGCGACCAAATGACAATTCTCGTTGACAACACAAATTCCTTTAAGCTGACCCTCTTCCAGCTGGCCACTGATGTCAGTGAGATGAAAGCATTGATGAAAGCAGACCAAGGTTTTGCGGAGACTGCAACACTGTCGGGTGCCACTTTGGTCGAGGCTGTGGGAACCCTCAAACCGGATTCATCGTCGGCAGAATCGTCATTCTTCCGCGCCGCGAGTGCGTTTGCTGTGGACGCAAAGAGTCTCAATATTGACACTATCGAGCCATGGTCTGATGATAAGCTGACGTGGAACCGATTCTCCGACAGACTTGCACAGACTTATGCGGTCACATCTGACAACCGGAAAGTCTGGATCGAATGGAAATCGGCACCACCAGCTTCAGGGCGGCACAACGGAGAGCCCAGCGAAATGGGCTTTTCAGACTCAGCCCAGAGAGTGAAGAAGCTGGTGGCGCTGTTGCAACTTCGAAGTCGGCCAGAGGAGTTTTGCGTTCCTACTTGCATCGCTTATATCCACGATGGCCCACGGTTCGGTCTCGTATTTGAGCCTCCTCGAGATGCCGAATTTGCACCCGATTTCGACCACTCTCTACGTGCTCGCTTTATCGATACGAGAGCCATCCTCGAGGCGCGAGTTGGCATTGCTCAGAAGCTCGCAAAGTGCCTGCTTCATTTGCACACAGTAAATTGGCTGCACAAAGGGCTTCGAAGTAATGCGATCCTCTTTTTCCCCAAAGACATCAACTCAGGATGTCGTCCACAGTTATGTGGATTTGACTTTGCCCGCGCAGCGGACGATGCCGATGCCACGGTTCCGCCGTCTGAAGATCCCGGTCGACGATTGTACATCCATCCAGAATACCTTGCTGAACCGCGACCAAGTTTCAAGAGAACATATGACATCTATAGCCTAGGAGTCATACTTGTCGAGATCGCGTTCTGGCAGCCTATTGAGATTATCCTGGGACTGGATCCTTCCTTAAGGATGGGCCAGATCAGACAGGTTCGTGGGAAGCTGTTGGACGAAGAGAATGGCCATCTGAAGTCCATCGAGGCAACAATGGGCAAGCGTTATGCGGATGCCACCAGAGCTTGTTTGAGTGGCTTGTCTGGCGATGATGGTAAGGCCGTGGGAGACGGGCAGGATCAGGCGAATCCGACTGTGGCTGCTGTCATCAAGCAGGCATTTGAAGAGAAGGTTGTCGATAGTCTTCGGAGCATACTTGTCTGAGGTTCCGCCACCGAAGAGTTTTGCGGAGACGCTTTATGGATATAGAGATGATATATGAGGGGTACCCGGGAGAGAGATAGAAATGAGGTGGAGAGTTGGTCGGAAGGTTTGTGCTGTGGAGCGTATCAGCAATGTTGCCAGTGCAATACATATAGCGCTAGAAGAGTCTTCACCTTGACGAACACCGCGTGTCTGATTTCCATGATACTTCGATTTCGAGAGCTCGGAGAGCGCTGAGTCGGCTAAGGTACTCTCCTGCCCTTGAGAAAAGAGGTGATGTCGGGAATGGCGGCTATCTCGGCTACTCTAGCCATATTGGGTCAACCGGCCCGCCAATTCGCCGATATACCCGATTCCCCTCTCTTCACTTTCAACTTTCCAGTCAACCAGTACTTCCGCATCAGGCACAGACAGAACATCATCGGAATGATGCGTCTACTGTACTGGCGCTAGACCTAAAGACGCATCTTATAGGTGGAAGTACCTATTCTTCCGCCTTGCGTTGTTCTTGCAGATTCAATCAAACTCTACGAACCAAGATGCGGGGATAATGCCGATCTATAGTGCTCGGCGACCTGTGCCCAGCATACCTGGGCCTACTAACGGACCCAAAACCTCCGCAAGAGACAAAGTGTGCTCCTCCAATGTCCCGACCATCGGGTCAGGAGGGAGAGAGACTCTTGAATGTGGAGGAGACCGAAGAGGAAGAGACTTGCCCAGCTCTTGGCCCGTCACTTTCCAAAGATGATAAGAAGGAGAGCGCAGAACATGATACCGAGCACAAACTATCTGCTCTCCAGCCCTGGAAAAACATCATGCTGTGTGTATTGGCTCTAGGAGTCGCCTATCTGGCGCTCAGCACGGCATTGCCCTCTCGAAGACAGGATGGATGGCCATATGCTCCTTTTGCCACGAGTGGGAGAGACATAGTCAACAGCCAGGGCGAAGTAGTCACTTATGCCGGGGTCAACTGGAATGGACACGGTGAGACCATGCTTCCAGAAGGCCTCCAATATCAAGTAATTCGACAAGTCCACCCTAGCCTCGTTTGCAACAAAGCTGACCACGTCTGTAGTCGATCGAGAGCACCGTCACAAAGATCAAAAGCACTGGCATGAATGTCATACGTCTGACTTACGCCATAGAGATGATCGATGACATCTACGACAACGGCCCAAACCAGTCGCTGGAGTCAACTTTGATCAACGCTTTGGGATCTCAGAACGGCAGTACAGTTTTGCAGCAGGTTTTGGCCAACAATCCCCAATTCACAGCGGGTACTACCCGACTAGAAGTCTTCGATGCGGTGGCCGCAGAGTGTAACACTCAGCAGATATACGTCCATCTCGACAATCACATGTCGAAGGCAGAATGGTGCTGCAGTGTCGGCGATGCCAATGCATGGTTTGGAGATACTGACTTCAACATCCAAAACTGGAGGCGTGGACTGGCATATATGGCCGATCATGCAAAGTCGTGGCCAGCGTACGTCAGTACTGCACTTCGCAATGAACTGCGTGACCCTGGGCCGAATTCTCCAGTGCAGGCAAACTATGGATGGCAAGACTGGTATCCGAACGTGGTGGCGGCTGCCGACGGCATCAATGCTGCAAATGCGGATCCGTTGATCTTCTTCTCTGGCCTGAACTTCGATACAGATCTTCGCAATGTATTGCCAACTCCAAGCCCTTTTCCTCTCGACACTGGCTAATGTTATCCCTTCATTTAGGTCACGCGTGGGATCGATCTAGGCGGAGGTCAGATCTTCGACATCGGATCCTTCTCCTACTCCAACAAGATCGTCTTCGAACTCCACAACTACAACAACAACTACAACGGCTCTTGTGCAGACTTCGGATCGGGACTCTACAATAACGGATGGGATGCAATGGACAACAGTTCGACCACGACGGCAAAGAACATTGCGCCGGTAGTGATGACAGAATTTGGATTTCCACAAGACGATACGACGGACCAGAATCCATATCCGAATTGTATCAAGGAGTACTTGACAGGTATTCGAGCAGGTTGGATGCAATGGGTGAGCTATCTCGTTGCCGTTATACCAAACCATACCGGACAGATTGCTGATACGATTGCAGGTCATTTCAGGCAGCTACTACACTCGACAAGGCACTCAAGACTACGAGGAGACTTGGGGATTGCTGAATCACGACTGGTCCGATTGGAGGTCGCAAGCTGCTATCGACGGCTTCACGAAGCCCTTCGTTGAGGCTACACTCAGTTGATGGGGATACGTATAAATATTTCATGTCCATGTCCCCTTAGGTGAATTGAAAGGTATTATGGCTGACAGCGGGCCGCGCAGCGTGTCTGACAGGCCATACCTTTGTCGTAGACTCAAAATTGTCAGCTCCGCTGCAAATATCAGACAGTTTCCAAAGCTCAAATGGAGGCGTATTTCTTTGCAACTTCTCAGACGGTCTCGTCGCGGCGCAGAAAGACCTCGTTCACGCATTAAACACTGAAGCATCTGGCATTCGTCCGCTGCTTCGCACATCACACATTCTGAGCCTTGGGCTCCGGACAATCCGCCCTGGACGGCAAGGAAGTATTCCACCTCGCCATACGTCAGTAGTCGTGATAGCGAATATGTCCCTGGAGCGCTGGAGATTTCGAATCAAAATCTACGGACGCATTTGGTTGAGTGGTCAAGAACGAGGTTGATACAGGCAAAGGTTGATGAGACGTTCACAAGACACCATGGTGGAGCGTGATTGATCATCTACACGCGGTTCTTATTGGCTGGTCACTATAGCACGGCGGGATTCATCGCCGCCAGTCTATGTTCCTCAAGCAGTTCTTTCACTTTGTTTAGCTCAAATGCAAAGTTCCAGATTGTCCCAGCAACCGACATCGAATACTTCGCGCCGTGGCCAAAGTCGTTAGGTTTGGAACTCTTTCCTCCAACGTGCTGCAACACGCTCGGAGTCAATGCCCATCGCTGTTCCTCATGTTCGTCGGCATATTGCTCCGTGAGCATGTCCGCAAAGCCGACTCGCGACGATGTATACCAGTCGATCAGATTAGTGGCTTTGTGTCGAGGATAAACGAGACCCTGTGCGCAGCATCCAAAGTTGTTCATCTCGTTGACTCCTTCGGGTAGAGGGAAGACAGTGACTCTTCCAACCGCAAATACCAAGACTATTGCCCAAGGTATTAGAGCAGCGCAGATGAACAGCAGGAGTCGTGGAGTCAGGATTCCTTTTATCACGGCAAAGCTTGATCGAGCCCAGCAGAGCAATCCAGCCGAGGTAGCGATAGTCAAGATCGACCAAAACGTATAGAATGTCCAATACGCGCTGTTCCAGCCGAGGAATTCTTCTGTGTAGAACATGCGCAGGTAGAGAAAGCCGTTTCCGAATGTTCTTGCTTCGGCTTGTTTGATGCCTTCGATCGTACGATGATACCATCCGTCCATGGCGATAACATCGTCCTCGATCATAGCGATATACGGCGTACCAGCGGCATGACAAGCTTTAAGCAGGTATGTATAGTCGTAGAGGCCCTTGGTTCGATGCTCCACATCATCACGCTCTAACGAGTCGACGTACAGACGTTCTGTCTGTGAGAGGTTGTAGAGCAAGACCTCATCTGCCAGATTGGAAAGCCATGGCTCTTGGTACGCAGGATGTGTCGTTGCGTCGGTATGAGCAATAAGAACAACAAGCTTGATTCCATCTCTTTCTGGTTCGTCTAAGCCCGCCAGCAAGGAACCCACGGTAGTGCGAAGATAGCGGGCGCCGCTCCTTGCAACAGATGCTATCCCCACACAGATCTGCGGAGTACGGGTGCCACTGGATCGAGGTGCGGCATGTGATGCGGAGGCGATGAAGCGCTCGGCTTGCCACTTTCGAACAGCACTATACTTCGGAGCGTACGCCACGTCGGGGTCGAAGAACCAAGAACCTGGATCTCTGGAGGCAATGCTGCGAGCGAATAGGGTACAGATGACGACGAAAGCAAACAGTACCCAGTAGCTAGTGAAGCGAGAAGGAGTGAGCCCACATTTGGTGGCGATGCAGCAATAAGCCTGGTACCTCCTCCCGCACCATATTTTCGCAGTCAATCCCGGAGTGTTGTTGGTAGTCCGCATGATGAAGCTGGGAGGCTCATAAGGCCTTTTTGAGAGGCGTGTGAGCGTAGTGGGGGTGAAAGACTCGCCTGCTAGCTGTGAGGGATTGGAAGGAGCTGATCCAGCTACGGAAGAGGCATGCGATCGAAGAAGGTGATGCGACACAGGAAAGAGTCCGAGTGAGATGTGCTCAAGTAAGTTGGCAGTGCAAACAGGCAGTGTTGGCTCGGATCGGAAAATCTTTCCGCCATGCGCAGCGGCTTGCTGCCGGCGTTAGAATGAGGAAGGAGCTTGGGAAGAAGATGTGAAAGAATCATACCCTTCAAACCACCTATTTCACCATTTCATGTCGGCGATCCTGGTATCTTGTCCATATTCGGCAAGTCTGGATGAAGATGCGCCGCTCTGGGCGGGCGCAAAATCCTTTAGAGTGGACGTCTTGATTGTTGCATAGTGGAAGGCGTTCCGGCAGCAGAATGCTTGGATAAACCATCGAGTACGATCATTCCTGCAGATGGAGAGTCTAACCAATGCAGCATATGTGCTGTAGTCCTAGCTCCGCCATATCGGAGAGACTCTAGCGCGCGCAGTCGGCCCAAGTGGTAGCCTTTCTTGGGCACATCCTCGTATCCTGCGTCTTGCGGCGGCTCAGCCAAGAGAGCTCCTAGGTATCACTATTTCACGGCGGAGGGTTTATGATCAGGCCCAAGTGGTACGCTCCACCCCGCTTGCGAGGCGCTGTGTTTGAATGGATCCTGGTGTGAATTAGAAGGAGAAAAGGGCACGACATGACATTGAGAGAAGGCTGGACTAAAAGCGGGCTCGGGACGCGGGCCGTAGCTTTAGCCCGGGTTTCCCGCTCAGGCATCCAGGCGCATCTCCCAGCAGCCAGCTTGCACTTCACATGCCATTGATGGCTTCCTCGAACTACGACAGCCTGTCTTACGCACCGAGACTTGAACCAGCCTCGCGCTAGTGATGCCATGGCGGCCGTGAACGGGTTCATTGCCGCTCCAGATTCGCTGGATGCAAGTAAGTCAACCAATATGTCTCAGCAAACCAACAACTCAAACCCCCTTACAGTTGACTACGACCCGATTGACCATTTGAACGCCCTCTTCTCCAATCCGTCTACCCTGACCGCCGCGCCTCACGTCTCTGCCTCCCTCAAACAATACTCGTCCACCCTCGATACCGAGATCTCGACCCTCGTCACGGCGCAAACGACATCCGACTCTGATTCCGTGGAGCGCATTCAAAATGCCAAAACGGAGCTCGCCGAGTTGTTCGCCAAGATTGAGGGTGTGCGCGAAAGAGCGCTGGAGACTGAGAGGACGATTACGGAGATGACGGCGGAGATCAAGAGATTGGACAGCACGAAGCGGAATCTGACACTCTCCATGACTGCGTTGAAGAGACTGCAGATGTTGACGACGGCTTATGAGCAGCTGCGGGGTCTGAGATCTACGAGGCAGTATCGAGAATGTGCACATCTACTGCAGGCAGTCATCCAGCTCATGGCGCATTTCAAGAGCTATCGAAGTATAGATCAGATTGCGGCTTTGAGCAAGAATGTTGCGGATGTGCAAAGAGAGTTGTTGGAGCAGGTCTGCGAGGACTTCGAAATTGCATTCGCCAAGGGCGAAGCACAGCAGAAACGAGGGATGCTGGGCGAGGCATGTCAGGTCATGGATGCGCTGGGCGAGCACGCAAGAAGCAGGCTGATTACATGGTACTGCAACACACAACTGCGCGAGTACCGCCAAGTCTTTCGCGGTAATGACGAAGCCGGAAGCCTGGACAACATCTCGAGGCGTTACTCCTGGTTCAACCGCATGCTCAAAACCTACGACGCTGAGCATGCGATGCTGTTCCCACCAAGCTGGAAAGTGAACGAGATGCTGACGAATGCATTCTGTGAGAGTACGAGGGATGATTACAAGGGCATTTTGCAGCGATCGATGCGGCGGGCCGACGGGCAGCCACCAGATGTGAATCTGCTGCTTTCTTGCTTGCAGGAGACACTGGATTTCGAGCATAGTCTGGAGCGTAGGTTCTCGTCTGGAGAGTCGAGATCGTCGATGGACACCGTCACTTCCGGGGACGACAGGCGGCATGGCTTCAGTCAAGCCATTTCCGAGGCCTTTGAGCCGTATCTGAGTATATGGGTCGAATCGCAGGACAAGCAACTCGCCACACTCATTCCACGGTACCGACAACAACAAATCCGTAACCAGGAAGAAGAGTTCCATGCTCAGATGGTGACACCATCTTCAACAGAACTCTTCCACAGCTACCGAGTCACGCTCGCTCAATGTGCGAAGCTTTCGACAGGAAGTAGGCTCCTCGAACTGTCAAAAACGTTCGCCAAATACCTCGATGCATATGCACAGCAAGTGCTGTTCTATTTTCTCTCTGAGAAGACTGGTGGACCAAGCGTGGAAGATGCCGTCATCATTCTTAATACTGCCGACTACTGCTACACTACGACAAATCAGCTCGAGGAGAAGATCAAATCACGGATCGACGAAGACTTGCGAGAGCAAGTGGACCTGCAATCTCAAGCCGACACCTTCATGGGTGTAGCATCTGCGGCAATTCGTGGCCTCGTGCACAAGACTGAAGCAGATTGCGAACCTGCTTGGCGAAGCATGCGGTCCGTCCCCTGGAGCAAGATGGAGAGCGTGGGCGATCAAAGTGATTTTGTGTCGACACTCCTCCAACGAGTCAAAGAGCGCGCCAAGACTATTCTCATCCACCTCTACAAGCCGCAGTACGCTCGTGCCTACTGCGACAACCTCGTTGACGCCCTCACCACGTCGTACATCACGAACATCGTCGCCTGCCGTCCAATTTCGGAAACAGGCGCTGAGCAAATGCTTCTGGACTCCTACGTCCTCAAAAAGGGCTTTTCTGAACTTGCCACCCTCAACGCCGAGACTGGCACTCCCCTTAATGCCGCTTTTGTCAAAAGAGTCAATCAAGCCATGGCGAGGCTCGACCCAATCCTCAAGACTCTGCAAGTCCGCTCGTCGCCGCCAGAAGGTCTCGTCCAGGCATACCTAATACATATCCGAGATCGTTCAGAGCCAAATTTCCGCAAGGTTCTTGAACTCAAAGGCGTCGCTCGAAAGCAAGATCAAGCTCACCTCGTCGAGCTGTTCAATGCGCACAAGTCCAGTCCCGCGAACGAGAACTTGCAAGTGTCGAATTCACTAATTGCAGGTCTCCAGCTTCACACCCAACCTTCTGTGAGCACGAGTACTTCGGTCCCTGGACTTGGACTTGGCGCGCTGAAAGACAGCGCAGCAAGCCATTCCACCCCGTCTCTCGTGCCGGGCAGGTTTGACCTTTCAACCACCAATTTTGGGACAGGCTTGATGAACGCAGTCAGAGACGCTGGTGACCGTTTCGCAAGCCCAGGCCTAGGTGCTTCAGGAAGCGTAACTACCAACGTCGCCAGCAGGACTACGTCTCCTCCACCCAGCACCGGTGGCGTTGGCGACGGTGGAAGTCTGAATGAGAACTTGAGAAACTTGGGTAGGTTCTTCAAACGATCTGAGGGTGGGAATGCTGCTGGCTTTGGCGGCTTTGGCGGTCGGTGAGCCTCCTGTCAAGACCTTCCCACGAAACCTCGCACTCTGTCAACAAGCTGTCAGATGCATACATACGCCGCAACGAGTGAATATCGCGCGGTCATCGCCAGCTCGCCCTTCCAGTCGTCATGCGTCTGTATCCTGACTCAGCCTCATGTGCTCAATTGTTGCCTGATATCCTCCGCGCGTCTCGTGGAGTTGTCGTTTCTCGTACAGCGGCTGTGGTGGCAGTGCTTCTGCAGGCATTGAGGCCAGGCAAGCTCGCATTCGGCTCGCTTCCGGTGAGATGTTCTGGACCTGTGCTCAACAACAGAACAAACGACAAGAAAACTCATCGTTGCATGCTCAAGAAACAGCACAGCCAACAACCCCAATTCGAATCATGTATAATGGATGCCGTCTTGGTAAGCCCTTCAGATCAGCCCTAGGTGGTACCGATCGGGACCACCTGTAGCTATCGGAATCCTTTCCTGCGAGCTGTTACCGCTGCTGGTGCTGTTGTGCGCAGATCCCTGCTGCCGTATCGCAGCCGCACGCCCCTTCAGAGCTCGCCAAACGAACTGCCTGCAGTCTGTGCTCTTCTGCTTCTTCTCTTTCGCAGAAGTGCTTGCGAAGGATGAAAAAGGCATCGCGTGCGTCCTGCAGTACCGTTCAGCTCTGATAATCCCGCCCTCCACGGGCTTTTTACATCCTTTGCACAACGTCATCGACATTGGAGGATGCTGCCATTTGATCCTTGATTAGAGAGCTTGTTGCTTTCTGTGCGCCCCGCATCTGGATTTCGACTTCACTTCTCCACGCTTTGGTGAGGGATGGAGAAGAAAGAGGTCGTGGTGGACGAGGCGCCGTCTCTTCCACCACGCATGCCATCGCGCATTCCAACGAGATTGGTCATCTGCGTGGACGGCGCTCGCTACGATCCGAATAATACCTCTGAGACGCCCACCAGCGTGTACCGTATTTTCAGCAGTATCCAGCAAGGCAGATGCATCGACACGCAAACCGGAGTCGCACACAATCAACTTCCTCGGTACTTCCCAGCCATCGCTTCTTCAGACGAGGTTTTCTCCGCTCAAAAGCTCCAGGCGACTCTACCCGGCCAAGGATATCATCGGCAGATTCAAGACGTCTATGAGGCATGCTGTCAGCTGACTGGCGCTGAGGATGAGTTGGTCTTCTTTGGGTTCGCGAGGGGTGCATATGTTGTGCGAGCAGTCGCTGGGCTACTGCATAATTTTGGGCTTTTGAACATTGCGGCAGCGCAGAGTGACTTTGGACGAAGTTTCAAGAAGGTGCTGAAGGAGTCTGATAAGCTCTATATGCGACCGCAGTTGGCGCTGTCGAAGGTTTGTATCACTTTAAATAATGTCCATTGTTCTGTGTACTGATCCCTCCAGTCAAATTCCGTGTCCAGCGTCTCAACAGCTTCATCTGGAGATTTTCGAACACCGCCGACGATCAAGTTTCTGGGCGCTTTCGAGACCATCAAAGCTGTCAGTGACGACAGTGCATACGATATCAGCTTCAACACATCAATACGACATCTGCGCCATGCTGTCGCGCTCCATGAAGATAGGAGAGCACTTTCGCCGGAATACGTCTACCCTGAATTCCATGGCCAGGAACTCCGAAAAGAAGGGAAGAGCTTGATCCAAGCTCAGTTCATTGGTAGCCATGGAGACATGGGAGGCTCTGCGCCGAAATCTGGCCTTGGACTGTATCCCGCGCAGTGGATGATATTCGAAGGTATGAGACTTCATTCACAGGTATGCGAGAACTAGTACTGACTTGGTTCTGCTTCCGCAGCTAGTGCCTGCGGTGTCATGTTTGACTTTGATCACCAGTCAGTCTCGGTCCTCTTCCCCAAAGACGACAGATCCAATAAGAGCCAATCTACATCATCATTCCAGGCAGCCAACGGCGTGGTGACCACGATCCAAGATATCAGACGCATACACGACTCGTCTCAGCCGGCTCAAAGTCACTACGGCATCAAGCTGAACACACGACAAGGCACGATCCGGCAGAAGAAGACTCGAGCTCCGTTCGAGTCCAACGGCTTTCTCAAAGGCTACTGCGAAGATGCTCCCCAAGGAACGATCATCCATCCGTCAGTTTACATGCTTCTCGACGAGCACATCAATGTAGCTCTCGACACCAAAGAAGCTAAATTGCAGCGTCATTTAGAGGAATGGCGAGAAAGAATGCTAGGCAGTACCAACGGCCTGGTGAACTTCGGCTTTTGGGGAGACGAAGACAAAAGCGCTGCTCTGGATGGCGTATCCGCCCTACGCATCCTCGTGTGCGGCAATACAGGTGTCGGAAAGTCGACGTTGATCAACAAGACATTCGGCGTCGATGTCACACAGAGCTCAGATCGTTCGAGGGGAATACATGATGTTCGCCAGGAGATTCGCTTCGAGGGGCGGCCGGATTTGGTCGTGCATGACAGTGGGGGATTTGAAGCCGGTGCAGACGCCGAGTTCATTGCCATCGAAGAGTTTCTGAAGGAGAAGAGTGAGGTGGTGGATGTCAAGGATCGGGTGCATGTGATTTGGTGAGACAGACGCCCGACATGGAGAGGCTGACGCTGATGGGAAGGCAGGTTCTGCATTGAAATCAACTCGGCGAGAACGAGTAAGGACTTTTGCCTTGGAATAGTGATCTTCAGACAAAGCTGACCGCTCTTAGTGCAAATGGCAACGGAGAAGCTGTTCCAAACTGTGTCGAAGTACGCAGCAGAAGTACCAATCGTGGTTGTAGCAACGAAGAAAGACGACCTGCTGGACATTGAGTTCTCAAAGCGAAGGAAAGAGCTGAAGAGGCTCAAAGAACCATTTGATGAGGAGGATTGCGACAGCTACGCTGAAGAGCAACTCAATACCAGGCTCGAGCAGATCAGAGAAGAGATGTTGTCAGTCGAGGGTGGTAGACTTGACGCTCTGGTGGCGGTTTCTCAAGGTACGCACAAATCCAAGGGTGCAATGGATTGAAGACCATGATGACCGACTGACATATTCGATCCGTAGATGACAACCCCTCAATATCTGAGCTCAGCAAAGTTACCTCCCACGTACGCATACCGAGCACCAGCAACACCTTCCCGCTCTTCAAAGACCGTGCTGACGTATCTGTTGCCCACTATAGACGTTCGACTTGGACAAGGTTCGCATTCTCTTCGTCCGCGCGCAGACCGCAAAAATCGATTTAAAGGTGGAACTAGCCGAAATCGAACTCATCCGCCGATATAAAGCGCTGATACGCACTTCATCCGGACTCGGATTCATTGCTGGAGCTGGGTCGATTCATCGTCGAGCGGCTGCGAACAAGGTCTGTCAGGCTATCGTGGGGTGTTTTGGTTTGTCGGTCTCGGCGGACAAGGCTTTGGCGGCTATGAAGACGAATGTGTGGAATCATCTTGGGTTTGATCCTCATGTTGCGCTTGGTGGGTCTTTGCACGAGCTTTGCATCTTTCGCAGGGCTGACTCTTCGTTCAGGCGAATTCCTGAATGTCATTGGGGCTATAGGAAGCGGCAAGAACCCCCGTCGGACTTGTATCTTGAAGGTCACACTGACATTTGGCTAGCAGGGTTCGCGGGAGGCATTCCAGCCTGGCTCGTGACAGGAGTAAGTTCGTTGGGGGTTGATGATCCAGGCAGACGCTAACTACATTCTAGAGCATTTCAATGCCACTCATCGTTCCAGCCACAGCTCGACTCTTCTTGACCATGTCCTGTGATCTCATACTGGTATTGGTCAGATCTTTCCGAGAAGTGGCCTTCCGTGGCAGCGAGGGCCAGCCTTCGGAAAGAGATGTCGAAAAAGCAGCCCGCATGTACCGTCTCAAGGGGTACACGACCCATGTGCACAAAGAGGTCAAGCAGCTGGTGCCGAAGAAGAACTTGGCCGCAAGCTACAAGTACGATAAAGTGCAAAGCACCGTGGAGGATATGATCGAAACGTACAAGGAGAAACTGATGAATGACGAGAACATGCCGAATCCCGCTCCCTCGTCGAGAATGAAGAAGCTATCCCTTTCTCTCCGAAGAGGCAACAGGAACAGCGACGCGGACTCTATAACATCCAGCATCCCCGACATCACCTCCCCCGTCGAAGACTCCTCGGAAGACGACGACGGTGACAACGCCGAGAAGGACTTCTACGCCGAGCTCCACGAAGCGCATAAGAAAGCCGTGGAACTGGAGGCTCAGGGCCCGATGTCAGGACTCTCTCCTACCAGGGATCCTGTGGAGATGGAGAGTCCGAATGTTATGAGGGCTGAGCTGCCGAATACGGAGAAGGCGCAGCAGCCGCGGTTTGAGCTGGAGGGGACGAATAAGGTGGTTGAGTTGGAGGCACAGGGGAGTGCGCCGAGGGTGCATGAGTTGCAGGGTTGAAGATGTCGAGAACGTATTCTGAGGACGTTTTAGTGCTTCATGAGTGCCCGCTGTCCGCTCGCATCGACATGGTCAACCCGTGCACCCTTACACCTCGTTGGCCGTGACATAGCCCTCCGACGTGGCTCCAGCATCCGCCGAAGAGAAGCTCCCTGTCCTGGAAATCCGTCTACTCGAAGGAACTGAGCCAATGGCATACGGGAGATCTGCGCCAGACACTTCAACCTCGTCTTCGTCTTCAAATTCGGGGCCAATTGCGTCGAACTCGTGAAACGGATGTACCAAATGTCGGGAGATGTAACATTTGTAACAACTGGCATCTCGACCGTGATAATGAGCAACCGCAAGTGGCGTCCAACAGCGATCCACTCCGTTTCCACAAGCGTGGACATCGGCACCTTCAGCGACCAGTGCCCCGATAATGGTCTTCTGTTGGTCAAGGGTTGGTTCTGGGACTCCAAATTGTGTCCAACCACGCAACGCCCACAGCAATGGAGTCCAGCCGTCTACGTCGCGGACATCCACAACCCACAAACGAAATCTCAGTACACGGTCCAGGACCTCTGGATTGCCACCGGCAGCCGCGAAATGGAGCAAAGTTCGCTGGAAATAGTCCCTGTGGGCCAGGTCGTTTCCTGCTGCTTTGGTGATTAGTTGAAGTGTTTCCAGCCCGCCAAATGCGGCGTACAAGACAGCAGGCCGTCCTGCTCCATCCACGACTTCAACTTTGGCTCCGTGATCTAGCAAGAGCCTCACCATGGCTGGCGTTGACCACCCGCATGCCGCATTCAGGGCCGTGCCATTCTCGCGCCCTTGGACGTTGAGATCGACTTCGGCCTCTTTGACCAGATACTCTGCCACAGCAACGTTCTCCGCGGGACTGTCTCCCCTCAGACGATGTCGGAGAAGGAACTGAAGAGCTGTGCCTCGAACGACATGATTGTTGTCAACGCTGATACCCGCTTCAACAAGCGCTCTTACGATTTTCAACTTGATCGGAGCAGAGCAAGCGAGATGCAGTGGTGATAGGGCGTCACTTCGCCAGTTGACAGAAACATTTCTGCTCAGAAGGAATCGGACTGCTGGGAGATTACCTGCGCCAACAGCGTAGGGTAGGGCCGAGTATCCCTTCTCGTTGATCGCTTCGCAGTTTGCACCTCGATCAGCCAAGCGACGTAGCCACGATACTGGTGTCTTTGAGCCAATAACCTGTATTGGGACATTTCCTTCCATGCTCATTCCATTCAGATCAGGTGTGAACTCCAGAAGGTCCTTGAGAATCTGTTCGTCAGAGTTCAGCTCATCCTCGTCACTTCCCAAAGCTCGCATCATCGCAAGGTGCAGGACGTTGTTGTTCACGCGAGTCTTGTGATGCACGTTTACACCTGCGTCCAAGAGCACACGTACCGCAGATGTGCAGTCTCGGAGGACAGCAATAGTCAGAGCACTGTGCCCGGACTCATGTAAAACCTCAAGATCTGCTTTCCAAGCAACCAAGGTTTTCAGCGTGTTGACATCGTCGTTAGATGCTGCCAAGTACAGTGCAGAAGCGTTGGCCTCGGGAATCGTGGCATTCACGTCAGCACCACGCTCAAGCAAGAGACGGACTACTGGCTCATGGTCGAAAGCCATGTGTAAAGGAGCCCATCCGCGTCGGTTCGTTTGTTCCAGGTCAGCACCATAGTCGACTAGAACGGCAGCGATATTGCGGTCGCCGTTCTGTGCCGCAACTAGGAGTGGCGTCCATCCCTGACCTGTGGCATGATCGATTTCTGCTCCGTTATCCAAGAGCAGCTTTGTCATTTCCAGATGGCCCCACGACACAGCGTAATGCAAGGCTGTAGCGCGGATCTCTCCTTCCTCTTCATCGTTGATGTTGATAACCTGCTCGATGAGCCACCTTAGCATATCGACGTCCCCTCGCCTGGCAACACCCTGGACGACCTTTGCCCGCCGACAGACCTCTTGGATGTTTACGTCATGTACCGCCAGTGTTCGACAAAGTGCCACGTTTCCTGCATAGATGGCCTTCTCAAGCGCTCCTGCTATGGCTTGGCTTGCAGAATGCTGAAACAATACTGTCTTGAGCAGGATTTCTGCAGTCTTATTATGCTTCAGTGCAGCACAAGTTGCCAGTGCCGTTTCTGCCGCTAAGCGCATGGTCGTAGGCTCATCCGGATCAAAAGTGAGGACTTCGGCTGCGCAGAAAAATCCGGATTTGGCAGCGGTCTCAAGGGCGCTTGCTGAGCTTGATGTTCTGAAGACGTTCATCTGGTCCTCCTTTTGCTCAGTCTCTGCTTTGATCAGGGCCTGCACAGTATCAATATCTCCTGAGAGACAAGCTACTTCAAAGGGAAATGGTGGTCTCCGCTTTGTAGCTCTGTTGACTAAGGCTCCATGTCTCGTCAAGCATCTGACAGCAGAGGATTGCCCATGTTTGGCTGCAATATAAAGAGGAGTTGTGGTTTCATCATCGTCAATAGTAGCATCCACGCTAGCTCCAAGTTCGATGATGTTGTGCATTGCTTCCTCGTGGCCAAACTGCGCCAGCCGGTAGAGAACCAATGGAGGCCACACAGGCCGAGAGCCTGCATTTACGACAATCTTTATCACAGAGGTAAGGGTTTGAATGTCGCCGGAAAGTGAAGCCTTTTCCATCAGCTGTGCACTCAATTCATCGTCAGGGCTATGATGTGCTGCAATGGCCTCGAGCGTTTCGCAATTGCCATTCCAGGCTGCCTCTAACATGCCTTCTGCAAGTTCGTGAGGGTCTGACACTATGTGGCCTTGATCTTGAAGCGAAGCAGTGATGATGCCACGCAATCCCAAGCCTGCAGCCAACGTCAACCAAGGTCGAGACACTTCGCGCCGTTGATTTCGTCTTGAAAGCCCTGGTAACGATCGTTGTCGCTAAGAATTCCATATTTTTCTACTCTGAATAAGTCTGGCTATGGAAGCTGCGCCGTCGTTGGTTGCAGCCGCGAGTTTGAAGTGTTCTGGCCAGTATGCAATCACGTAATCCCACAGGTGATGAAGAGATGTTGCCAGGCCCAGATTCTCGATGGGCTGCGGCAACGAGCATTTCATACCTCTGCTTGAGCAAGGTGCATGTCGTGTGAGGTACGATGCACAGGCCTCTGCAATCAGGCTGTGGGCAAAGGACTTTATGTTGAACCACTGCGAGTTGTTTTCGCCACAGCCTTGCACAAACCATTCCCTCAGATGGGGCCTGGCCCATCGAATTTCGCCGCCTCGAGATTCGAAGACGTTGCCGACGGTGTCGGAAAGGTCCCTCAGAAGGTTCTCAGAGCCCAAAGACGCGTTTCTCGAGGCGTTTCTTGAGTTCGTTCCATCAATCGAAGCTGTCAGTGAGATTGCTGCATCAAGCTCTCTTATCGCCAATGGCCTGAAGCTATAGACCAGCCACGCAAGCACGGCTTTTAGCCAAGGGCGCCTGATTCCAGGGGTCTGAGCTAGCCTTGCTGACAACACCTGCTGCTGCGTCTGTAGTGATAAGTGCAGAACAGTCTCTGCTTCCCGAGTTGCCATCGGCAAAGAGATTCCCGCGAGAATATCAAGGATCAATCGCTGCTGCGCTCCATCATGATTCCATTGCCGCAGCGGTGTCACGATCGTGTCTCTCCAAACCGTCAGATCTGGCCTTTGGAGGAACAGAAAGGATAATAGAGCTTCCGTGCCGGAACTTTGAGTCAGAGTACCCTGCTCGTCACTCATCAGAAGATTGTCAATTGTCTCGGCATCTTCGAAAATCGCGTTACCGCAAACGAGAAATTTCAGAGGACCTTCAAAGTTCAATTGGTTGTGCCAAAAGCGTCCAAGAAATCCACGCAAAGGCTCATTGTCCTTGTTCAAACAATCGATGATCACGTGTAGGCGATCAACTGTACCCCTGAGATGCCGCACTGTGTTTTGGAGTAAATGCTCGAGCTCCAAATCTGTAAACCGACCCATAAAAGACGTCAGCCGTTCGCTGTAGGTGTTGTAAGATCGACTTTGCCTGGTTGCTTGTGCTAGCAGTGTCATCAACACTGGTCTCAACAGAGACCTTCGAGCATCAGACTCGAGGCACCGAAAGTATAGCACTCCTATTCGCCGTGTTTGCGTGGCTTGCAAATTTCTTGTTACAGATCTGGCAATTGCGCTTGCTTCATCGGATTCGGCACTTGGGTTCCACAGCACGAGGAACTTGGGATCGTCGTCATCTTCCCATTGCGATATCTTGTCAGGGTGGAGAAACGAGTCTTTGGACCATGCTAGGGGCCTGATGTCGAACGGCACTGCCGACGAATACATCTCTTCAGGGGTGTCTCTGTAGCTCGCCATCGAAGCATCTGTCGCTGCCGGTCAGCCTTATCTTTTGCGTCTCTTCGGATTGCAGCCTACACCTGAGTGAACTTTTCATCGTGTCTATGAGTACCGTGGAGATGGAGTCTCCAAGCGAGAAATCCACTAGGTCTTCATGGCCAAGCGACACAGCCTTGTTACAGCTAAAACTCAGACCTGCTGTCCACGAGGTTGTCGATTCATGTTCGAAGATCTGCTGACAATTAGGATATGGACTTGAAGCTCTTGTAATGTGCACCAAAGGACGGAACCTACGTCTTCATAGCTGGAGGTCACATTGACTACGGCTTGGAGCATTGGTATGAAACAACGATCGTACGATGCGTTCACCTCTGCAATGGTCCCGAACAAACTCTTAGCTATCGCCCGTGCATGATCGGGAGTACTCTTTGCACTTGTAAGTAACGCCAAAAGCTCAGCAAATGAGTCTTCTGTTCTATCGAGTCGATGAGGAACACCAAAAAAGAACTGAGCAAAGGCCAGTCAGCGAGCATTTTGCAAAAGGACATTGGCGAAGCACCATAGCTTTATCGCAAAGATTCATTCGTTGATCATCCCAAGTGCCCGTAGGTGGATTGGTAAGCGCCTATTTCGAGAGGGTCAGTGCCGCAACGTAGTGTCCGATAGTGAAGACATGCACCCTACCGCTTTCACTATCAAGCCGCCTATATCATGGGCTATGAAACACATGGACCCGTAGGCTCTCTGGTGACTTTCAGCGATGGCTAGTGATTGCAGTAAGTATTTGTCTAACCTCGAACTTGGTCCTCTTCTCGCGAAGTTGCTGCCAGAGCTGGCGAGCACATATCGCAAGGAAGGACTCTACTTGCGTTGCTTGGCGAAGCTCATGGGCTTCGTACTCAAACTTCAGAATCCGACACCTGAAGCTGGAATCGGTTTCCATCAGTCGCAGGACGCTGCTCGAGAGCATATCGTTGCCAGCCTTGTTGTGGTTGAGTCCTTTGGCCAGCCCATCGTTTATGCCAGGCACGAGTATTACGCTAGGAAGCGTCAACCAGCATTCAATCAGCAAGCGCAAGCAAACGTACTCGAAGCAGTCCCAGAGGCCGACATCATCGCTGTCGATGTCACGGAGAACTTTGAGATTGCATCGGTCATCGACAGGCTTCTTCGTCCGCCAGCCAGGCATGCTGTCATCGTAAACGACTTCTTCACGCGCTGAATCTGCCATGATTGTTGCTGGACTGCCATGGCTTCTTGGCATTGTCTGTACCTCAGGTTATGGGTCAAAAAGGTACTTGGAGTGGTTGAAGATTGGGAGGTCCATTCAATTCAATCTCAGCCGCGTGGAAAGACTTCAGCTGGGGCTGCGAACAGAATGCATGGGCCGTCCTCCAAGCGAGCAGCAGATGGTGTGTTGCACAGCATGAGCTATCAGTACGTTCTTCCGCAAGCAGAACGCGGCGCATTTCAAGTGGCATGAGAGGGCGTGCCGCGCAACAATCATCTGATCACGAACGCTCACACCTCTGCAATTTGCTCCTGTCTTCGTTTTACGGCTACGAAACGACTCGAACCAAAATGTCCTACTCAGACACCCATGGCGACCTCCACGCTGACTTGGGCGAAGACCCGAACGATTCAGAGTACCTTGCAGAATTCTCGGTACCACTTCACCATCGAACGGACAGGGGAAGCTCCTTTCGAGTCCAGAACGACCCTTCCAATCCGTGGCAAAGAGCAAATGTCATCGAGAGAAAAGGCGACCTCGACATGCGGTGCTCGCTGCTCGACGTGGTTCACGGAAAGTTGACCGCTGAGGGCAATGAAAAAGCAACGCTCTTGGTCATTCGTTTCCGTTTCGATCCTCGAAGACGTGCAAGACGATTCAAGAGTGCCAATATCAACCTGAATTTCAAGGGCATAGACAAAGACGAAGGACCAGCAGTGATGGCTATCGCTCCTGATGCTCATCTTAAGCTTGGGAAGAGCATGGCGCACACGGAGTCGAAGCAGTCAGCTGGACTCCAAGTCAGCGGCGGAATGCCCGCCGCTGCAGGAGGCACGATCTCTTGGGAGACCTCCACCAGCATGGACGTGACTACATACGCCTCAAACACGGGCTCCATTGACCTCAGGGGCAGGAACTGGGGCAGCGCAAACTGCGCGTCGTGGTCTCTATCCGAAAACGAAAATGGAGAAAGGGGTATACCGCCTTTCTTAAAGACAGCCGTCCTTCTGCGGCGGGAAAACTATGAGCCCTTCCGGTGCATGTTTACCATCGACGCTGCTGTTGACATCCGAAGCAAATTGGGGCGTTATTTTGGTCGCAAGGACGATCTTACAAATGACGACCCGGTTCTGTTTGACCCTTCGATCAAAGCCAACAACATTTCAGAGCGCTATAACCAAGACAATCTTGGAAGCTGTGATCTATACAGCCTCAGCGACATCACCTTCCGCACAGATGTCCATGGCACCGTGAAGGAATTGCAACAGACTGGTTGAAACGAGACGATACCGAACCTGCAGAAGCAGCACCAAACTCCGGTCAGAAAAACGTAGTCACGAGACGCAAAGTAGCACTGATCATAAACAAGGCTGGCCACACCATCTTTCTTTCATCAATCACATGTACGCCCGAGCCCGAGCCACGTGCATTACAGAGTAGCCCTGATGTAAAGCTAGCGTGTTCTTTATCTGCCAATAGCTCAAGGGTCATGTGGCTCGTTAATGCGCGTAAGAGCTGGCAGCGAATAAAATCTCACCCCTTTGTTGCAGGTGAGTGAGGCTGATGCGGCCGGCTATAATTAACTCGATGGGAGAAAAGGGTGTACGGAATACTTGGAATGGACTCCCTTCGTGGTGTCCATATCTTCCTCTTGCTTGTGACCAGCGACTATTGAAAGCACCGGGTAGAAGGTAAGCACGGCGTATAAGGCTTTCCTTTGTGAGCGTCAGCATAACTCGTAGCGAAGTCAATCTGGTTTACACTAACTTTTCGCAGTGTCCCAGGCTCTGCTTGTGGGACGTGGGCCCAACAATGGCTTCGCCAAAACCTGAAGATGACATTGTCAGCACGTCAAGAGTTAACAGCGGTACAATGTCTGTCGAAGACGAAGAGGATGTCTCTGCCAAGTTTAGAGCTATTCGAGACGATCTGCGAGCTTCCAATCACGTAAACGTGGACAGCATCCAGCAGGACTACGATGTAGACATTTTTACAACCCTCGAAAAAGAAGGCACACTATTGCACATGATGATTGACAGCCTGAAGCATGATTTCGCAAAATACGAGCCGTTGGTCGAGACGCTCACGAGCAGAGAAAAAATCATTTATGCCAAAAACTCTTATCAAGAGACGGTCCTATATAAGGCAGTTCGAGAAGAGGCATACCATCTGGTCAGATTCATATGCAGGATGAACGGTCTGGACATTGCCAACCTGCTTGCTTTACAAACTGGGGACCTAACCAATTGCCTGCATACGGCAATCACAAACCGCAAATTCGATCCTGACGTTCTACGCCTGCTGATAGACAAGGCAAACGACACCGCATTGGCAGGGAGGGACAAGGATGGCAGAACAGCATTGCATCTGGCTGTCGAATACCGACGATGTACGCCAGCCCGAGTACCTATAGTCGAGGCTCTGATCCAGAAGTTCGATAAGGCCTTAGAGATGGAGACCACAGCGGCATCTAGAAGTCTGTCTCCATATAGAGTCCACATGCTGTCAAGAGCAGCTATACTCAGCAGACTCCAACAGTCTCGTCCTCAATTGAGTGAGGCGTCTCGCTCCAGCATGAGCGAGTTGCGAAAAGAGTTTGCAGAAGTCACTCTTAGAGAGCCGAACGCTGTGCCACAGAAACCAACGACGCCGTTGTTAAATCACAACGCGAGACCTAGGCCCGAGTCGAAAGACGATGGTGGTCGGGAAGGCAAGAGAGATGCGCAAGCCCACAGACGGCACGAGAGGGAAGACGAGCGTCTCCGCAAGACCTTTGAGCAGGAACCTCATTTCAAAAGGGGGAGTGATTCTGTCCACTCTCTCGGGTTGGCGGCGCAAGAGTCGGAAGAGGGTCATAGGCGTTCAAAAGACGAACCCCAAGCAACGACAGGAGCTGAACGAGAAGGCAACAGCACAAAGGTGCAGCAAGATTTGACCACCGTACAAAAGGACAAGAAAGCTGCGGATGAAATTAGAGAGCTCATGAGACTTCACTTTCTGCGCAGTAGAAATGACGAGCAGTGTATTAGGTTCTTATACGGACCGAAACAAGGTAAGAACAGCAACTTGTTCGGATCGGGCAATGACCGCTAACAACTTTCGACAGACCGGGAGATCTATCTTAATCTACTTGACCACACTTCACTGGAGCTCAGCCGCAAGAGCCTGGAAGACAGCCTGGGACATTTGAAATTTGACGAGATTCTCCGATGCGTCGCGCTGCCACGAATGATCCTCCACCCAGATCCTGCGACTGCTTCAAGCTCTGTGTCGCGGAAAAATGGTCGGTCAGATGTCCTGCGCTTGTTTCAGTATCTGAAGGAGGACAAATCCTTGAAGGAGTCCAAGGAGACGCTTCCAGGGGTCAAGCGTGTGCTGCGTGTCATTGTCGAGGACCTATCATCACCATCGCACGCGGATGAGGACATTGAAGCAGCCTTAAAAGATCTCCACGTCGAAGACCTCGACTGGAGAAAATATGACATGTGCCCGAACACTATCAAGACAGCCGCACCTGAGGCAAAACGGGTCTCTCTTTACTGGAGCGGCAGTAATGCTGTTTTGAGGGGTTGGAGTGAGAACTGCACTGGCGGTGGACTGAACTCGATGCAAAATCTGAGGCATGTCCGCCTCTACTACAACATCGAGCATGTATTTGCGCTGCCGTTAACTGCGCCGACGCTAAACGCTGACTGCTGCTTGATAGGTGCTCGAGTCGAAGATACGTGTCCGCGAAAATGTCAAGGACTTCAAAGAGAGGCTGATAGACATCACTGTCGACGAAGAGGAGCATCTGATTCACGAACGTTGTGACCTTGGCCACGGCTCAGGCCTCGTCGGTCCTACCGAAGCCGAGAAAGCAGACAAATGGTTGACACCAATGGACTCGTTCGCCGACTTTATCCAAAACGTTACACTACCTGCCAAATTTGTCCTGGAAGATGTCATCGTGGGTCTGGTCGATGATGGCGTGAACCTGAACGAGCGATCGCTACAAAGCAGGGTGATCGATGGCCGGAGCTTCGACGCAAACCTTGGAGAAGAGGATTTGACAAGACCTTATTACGGCTCTACCCACGGACATGGCACAGCGATGGCAAGTCTTATATGCCGTCTATGTCCTCGCGCTAAGTTGTTCGTTACGAGGATCGAGTCAAGCCCCGACGGTGAGATTAGCGCAGAAAGTGCCGCGAAGGCTGTGCGTGCGACGATAGAACAAGGGGTCCACATCATCTCAATGTCATGGACTATCGAAAAGACGTCGGAGAATGTGAAAGGTATTGAGCAGCTCCAAGACGCAATACTGGAGGCACGGAAGAAAGGCATATTGATGTTTTGTGCTGCCAGTGACCAAGGCACGGAGAGAGATGATACATACCCAGGAGCTTCCAGCACGACGGAGATTTTCAAGATCGGCGCAGCTCGAAAATGGGGCAATGCCTCCAAGATGGTGGGCAACGGAAGTTCCATAAGCTATTTGTTCCCAGGGGAAAAGGTCGCTCCGCACCGACGATCGATCGACCTGCTCAAGAATATAACGTTATCTGGCTCCTCCATTGCAACGGCCATAGCCTCTGGACTGGCGGCCATGATCCTGTTCTGCGTCCAAGTGGCTGCGGTGGATCGAGAGACGGCCAAAAGGGGCACGGTAACACCCAGAGACTACGCTCAGGTCAAACGACATGATGGCAGGCGCAAGGCTTTCAACAACATTGAATCAAATCCCGACACCTCGCCAAAGTACCTTGGAGTCTGGCGACTTTTCGATAAAGCTTCACGCAAAGGCGATACGAGGCAGAATGATGGAAAGATTGAGGTGATTGCGGAAGTTGCTGCTGCGTTGGTGAAAGGTACCAAGTTTGAGTATGACTAGCTTCTACCAGAGTGGAAAGTCGACTGAATTGTTGTAATCGATGTTGGAATCGGCAGCTTCGATGCGTTCACCGCATGTTCCAAAGATACGGTCCCAAAGTCTGGTCTGGGTAGCACAATGATGTTAGCGATGTCCAAATCACCGACGACATCCTTCGTGCCTTACCTGCTTGCCATAGTTCTGACTCTTCCTCCAGCCCTTTCGGTGATGCAGGTCATGATCTTCTACCACGAGTTCGCAGCGGAACAACTTCAGCAGTGGAGAGACGATGCTTGGGGTAGTGGAGTACACTCGCAAGCCACTGTGCCCGAAGGCTTCGGCGAAGATGATGTACTCGTGGCAGATCCACCAGTCGTGGAAGCCCTGTTCCCTGGTCAGTACGGGCTCAATGATAGTTGGGGATATCTGAGGCTTACCATCGGCAGGCCGAAAACGTATTTCAACGTCCCATACGTGAGAAGAGGGATGAGTGCAATCTCCAAGAACTCCTGCTCGCTATCTGCGTAGGATGAAAGGAGGGGCGAAGGATGCTTGGTAAGATGGTGGGTTCGGTGGTACTTCCAGAGACCATCAAGCTCATGGCAGCCCCTGTGGTAGAGGTAGAACCAGAAATCCAAGACGACGGAATACAGGGCCAGCTCCAATGGCAGCCACCAGCTCAAAGAGAAAGGCTCCTTCGAGCGGTAGGCAAGGAAGATTGTGAACATCGGTCGAATCGTTGTTGTCATCTGCACCGACCAAAAGACTTTATCGACGCCTGCATCAGGTACTTGGTCTCGCTCGTGCTTGTCTCCATCGAGGAAGCCGTATTTGTGAGCCAGTCGTCGAAGAATCTTGACTTCTCGGATCGAGTTGAGTTGCATCGCGACGGTGTAGAGGAGAAATGCACCGACGGGGTGCAAGCGCCAGCCAGTGAGGGCAATGTAGAGATATTGGAGGGCGATTGGCCATAGTGCTCTGAGAAGGATGTATCGATGGGTTGACCTGAAGAACAATCATCAGGTTTGCACAGATGAGAACAACGTTTGACCCATAACGACTTACCATTGAGACAGCGCTGGGAGTGGATCTGTCTTTGCATGGACAGGAACTTCTTGGTCTGGGTATTGATGGAAGGCGTCGAGGGTGATGAGGAACTTATGGGCAAAACCCCACTGACTCTTGTCGTTCCTCCATGTTGACTTCATGGAGTCGCGTGGTCGTCGTCCTTCGAGATGCATCTTGTCGTCCTCGTTATCGAATTGGTATGTTGTAGAAGTCTCGAATTGAAGTACCTCGTGGCTGAAGCAAAGTCATTATATCTTGTCGCTCAGCGATGATAATATCGACGCCTGTTTGCATTTCAGACTAACATGTGAAGGTGCTAAGCGAGGGAATATGTGGCGTCGTTATCGGATTCTGTGATCGCCGAGGTGCATCATGGCGAAGACGAATGCGAAGCCTAATGAGGAGACCTGGGCAATCCGTTTTCGGATGAGGGCTCTTGCAACGAACGAGCAGGCCAATACAAGTCTATGGCCCTACGTTGCGGAGCAATACGATGACAACTCTCATATATTACCGCCCAGATCCGACTCCTCATCAGCAGGGGAGGGCACTCTGTCTTTTCGACAACGTTCCTGGCGCCTTCGGATGAATGGCATCGTTCTCGCTTTTTCATAGGCCCAATGACGCCGTTGTTCCAGACTTTGAAGGGGGCCCCTCTGCAGATGTCGCCGGCAACGATTGGTATGGCATGATGACTGACCTATGGGCTCAGCTCTGCTCCTCGTTTTGCGGAAGCCGCTCGAATTGCCGGTCTCTCGTCGTTTTCTTGCCGGAGATCAAGTCACCGCACATGCTACCCAGATACTCGAAATGCAACAAATGTTTTCTTCGATGCCTGACAAAGATAGCCTGCAGAAGACATGCCAGTGTAACCGAGACTGTCGAGATCAGCGTCGGCCATCTGAACTCAGCAGGGCTCGAGAAAACGATCGTTGAAGCAAACGATAGCAGCTCAAACGCGTTCTGAAGAGCAGCTTCCACAGAAGAGAAAGCGCCGCGCCGGCTGGCTTCGACATCCTCTTGTACGATGACCTGTGCACACAAATCGAAGCCAAACAAACCTACTCGACTCAGGATTGTGCCCATAACGAGTCCACTCGCTGAAGCCACAGGAGTCGACAAGAAGGCCCAGAAGACAACGAGTCCCGCAACGAGAGTAGTCAACTGCCAGCTGCTCATCCACAGACCAGCTCTGATGGGACCAATCTTGCTCATCAGCCACGGTGCTACCCAAGTCGCCATCACCTCGAAGGCAACGCTGAATGTCCGAGCGACACCGACTTGTGTGGAAGAAAAACCAGAAGACAGAAGGTAGGTCACCATCTGACCGCCGAAGCTCAAGACCGTCAGATAAAGCAGAGCTCCCGCAAGGGATGGTAGGAGAGCGCGGTGCTTGAAGTAAAACTGGAGGTCTTTGGCAGTCTTTGATGCCACCTTAGTGAACCTCTGCAACTGACGCCTTTCCCTGTTTTCTCCACTTGGCCGCTCGATGTTGGGCGATTGCGGTCTTCGCTTCGGCGCCTGCAAGGCTGGTACCTCATGGTATACTCGAGCAATGGCGAAATACTCAATGATGATCGAGAATACGTTCATTCCTAGGTTGACGAGTATGGCAAGTTCAGTGGAAATGCCGTCGAGCAGAGCAATCCCAAGGGGTCCGAACAACTTGCACAGTAAGTCAATTCTTCTCATCTGGGAGTTCACCACCCGCAAAGAGTCATGATCATCCCCAGCCACAACGACAACCTGCAACGCAATGTCAACCACATCTACCCACAAGCAAATCGTGATATTCATACCCAATCTTTCTCCACTGCTACCAAATTTAGAATGGAGGCCAGTTTCTCAAAGGAAGCAAGTGCTGCTAGCAGTGCGAGCATGCCATTTTGTACAATTGCGTTCGGAAACAGATCTCGGTAGAGAAGATAGAATATGACGCAGGATGCGGCTACCACAAGTCTCTGCACCACAATAGACAGCCTTACCACCTTCAGACGGTTCCCGGAATCAATGTATTGACCGACAAGTGGGCTAAACAGGATCGCAGCCAGACCGCGGGCGAGGGCATATGCTGACATCGGAAGCAACGTGTTCGGGTATATCTTGGCTAAGTATAGTACGGCGCCGAACTCGAAGACTCTGGAATTCCATGTCGACAGAAAATGCGAGGCGTAGAGTCTCCGAGTGATTCGGGGAGGGATTTGATGCTTTGTTGCCGGTTCTGGGGCATCTTCGTGGCCTTCGTGGGCCTGGTCACTTGTAAGGAGCGGAGCCTGATCCTCCAGAAGATGGCCTGAATCCGTATCAGTCGACATTTCCGTACAGAAAGCGTTCAGGGGCCCAGAATGTTTGTTCAATGTTGTCTATCATGGTCGATAGAAGTTTGAACGGTTTGGGGAGGAGTGAAGAGTGGAACGATTTACTAGCGCCGGCTGGTCCCGCCATTAGCGCCAGACAGTCAACGTCATCTCCCGATTCTCAGCCTCACGCACACCGATTTCGCCCAAGTCCAACTTCTCGGAACCGACAGGACAACAGCAACAAAGGCATCATGGGTAGGGGCCTGATAGAATCCAGCCACTTGTCGACCTGGCGGTATGACTTCTGGCCGACGTATGCAACCCTTGCGCTGGCAAAGGACACAGCTCTTCTCACAAACGTAAGAGCTGGGGCGATTTTGATCTTGATCTGTCTGAGGTTCACGAGTCAAATCAAACCAGTTGACTGGGATCCTGACGCTGTCATTAAATGCTATTGTGTACCATTTTTTTCCCTCTGTGAACGAACACATCGCGGCATTCCGCATGCTGCTCATTCTTGCAGCTCCAACTTACACGCAGAAAACACCATTTAGTAACATGAAAAAATAGCCATACTTGCCTCAACACAACAATCTTCACCTTTCACGGAAAAGCGGAGAGCCGATCCCGACTTGACATGGTACACAGCATTAGTGTGGGTTGTCGAAGAGCTGAGAACGAAAGAGGATCCAAAGCGTGGGCGGCCTCTTCAAAACCATGATCAACACTGCCACCGCTGCAGCTTTTCTTTGGTCTTGGGATGCACATTCGATTATGAGACCTGTTCCGGATACGCACACAAAGAAGACCACAACAGTACCGCTAAATGCGGCTTATCGATGTCAGAACGCTGGAGATTAAGACATTCGGAGACAAGCCACCGCCATACGCAATTCTGTCGCATAAATGGGGCGCCGAGGAGGTGACATACCAGGAGTTCGTTGCGCATCAAAAGCAAAACGGAAAAGGGTACCAGAAGATCCTAGACTTCTGCCGAACCGTCCAAGAAGTCCAGCTTTCGTCTGCTCACCAATGGCAATGGATGACCGATTCCGAAGAACAGCTGGCCGCCGCAGATGAGTCTTCGATGGACTGCGAAGACCAATTCCCGTGGCTAGAAAAGCAATACGTCGAGCGTGCGGTCAAATGGGCTTGGATTGATACCTGCTGTATCGATAAGACAAGCAGTGCTGAACTGTCGGAAGCCATCAATTCGATGTGGCACTACTACCGGGGCGCTGCATATTGTATCGCATATCTGGAAGACGTCTCATCGCTGCACCATATAAACGATATGTACAAGAGCGAATGGTTCACGAGAGGCTGGACATTGCAGGAGCTGCTCGCCCCTCGGTTGCTGGCTTTCTGCAGTTCGGATTGGAGCCGCATTGGATCTATGCGAGACTCGGCAGTCGTTCGGGCTATCGTGACGAGAGTGACCGGAATACACACCAAGTATCTCACAAATCACAACAGCATCAGTAACGCTTCTGTTGCTCGGCGGATGAGCTGGGCTGCCCGCCGGAAGACCACAAGGGAAGAAGACATGGCTTTCTGTCTCATGGGCTTGTTCAATGTGCACATGTCTCTTCTCTACGGTGAAGGTGGGCGGAATGCCTTCTACCGCCTGCAGAAAAAGATCATCAAGCAAAGTAACGACGAATCCATCTTTGCATTCAACGCAAATCACATAGGCGGAATACTTGCCGCTCGCCCGACAGCTTTCCGCGACAGCGGACCTGTTCGTCAGCAGCTTCGTGTTACACGGCCTCCGTACACCATCACACACAAAGGTCTTCAGATCGAGAGCCCGGCAATACTCATCACTGGTGGTCCTTGGGAAGACTGCTTCCTGATCAAACTCAACTGCGTCTTCATGCTGGAGCTGCCGACGTACGAGGCAGGGGTTCAAGTTAGCCCAGGTGTTTCGCGAGGGTGTGTGCTTGGTGTGGAGAAAGTGGGCGATGTGTTCGTCCGAAGATCAAGACTGGAGAAAGCAGCCATCAAGTGGACTACGACTGAAGTGATGCGTAATTTGGAAGCCAAGCATTGGAAAAGGATCGAGTCGAAGCGCTTTCTCATAGCTCTTTCCGACGATTCCGTGTCAGAACTTCTGAAATACCACGATTCTGGCCCGGTCGAAGAATCTCTTCAACCGCCTCCTCCTCGTGGCGTTGATCTTGACGGCCCATGGTTCTCGGGACTTGAAACGCATCCAACGAATGACGAGGTTGGAGCTCAGCGTGCAATGCACTATCGGATGCAACAAGCCCCAAACTTGACAAAGTCGCATCATCGCGTGGCGGACAGAGGCTCGTGGGCTTCACTTGTGAGCTCTACCGTCATATCAGTGAACACGCATGCCGGCCCGAGCCAAATCACACCAGCCCATAATAAGACCAGGCAAACGGTCACGCAACCCGTCAGCCCGGGCTCAAATTTCAGCTTTAGTGACTTCGCATGGTCTGCGCCGGCTTCGATTTTCTCACTCATTGCTAGGCTACCTTCAGATGGTCAAGGTCCCGCCGCAAGATCCTCCAGATGCTCTCCAGCAGCGAGAGATGGCCAAGTGGAGTGACTTTCGATCGCTCATCTGACGTCGAGAACGATCTGTTGTATGCTTTCAGATACCACATCGGGTGACGTTGCCCGGCATGGAGGCGTTCGAAGCTGAACAGGGGGCATCCTCGGACTGCAGTCCTGAAACTTGACAGCTCGCCTCATGAACGCCCAACGCTGGCATCACCTCGCCCAATAGATCTTGATCAAGAAGGTCGGTCGGCATATCTGAGTTCGCATAAGAGCTTCCAGATCATAGATCTCTGGTCGCATGGAGCGGTTGAGCCGGTTTCTTTGCCTTGCTCACGTCGAGCTGCGGTCAAGCTGACCTGCTCTGCGATGGCGACATAAGATGAGCGTTGCAGTCACTGTTGTTACAACTTGTTTTTGAAGCTCGACATCCCAATCGCTCGACGTTCACTTTGCAATGCCTCATACGCCTCACGAGATAGGTACAGTACCTTGCAACTTTGACTTGGGAAGAGAACGGTGCTGACGAGGGTGACGTGCAGGTTGGATTGGAGCCATCGTCGGCGGCGCATTGTTCTATATCTCATGGCTCGCCGGCGCAAATGCCAAAGCTGCAAAGAGCGAGAGGAGGCAGAAGCGATGAGCAGTGTCGACTTGCATGGAGGCAGAAAACTACTCTGAGGACGTCGTGTGCATAAGTGAGTCAACAAATCGAGACTGGCGCATAGCCCTTGTGCCAAATACAAGTGCCTGCGTATTGATCTATTCAGGGATTGAATCGGCTTGGAAGGTAGTCAGATGGGATAGTTCAAGAGTAGAATCTGTTCACGCAGAGCGCAGCAACACCTGAAAGACTCGACAGGGAGAATTGACGACAATGAGTGTATTGTACAGAATTGCGACACCCAAACAGCACAAGCAACTACTCGAACGTCAAAGACCTGCTAAGGATCTTGCCTTCGCCTGTAAGCATTTTCAGCTGATCATCCATGGTCTGCCCGCTGGCATCTTCGTCCTCTCGCAACCAAATGCCGAACGAACCCCGGTGATGAGCTATCTTTGGAGGATCGCCTGGATAACACCACTCGCCAGCGATACCACAAGCAGTGAAACTTCCCTTGTTTTCCCAGACGAGTCCCTTGCACTGTCCTTTCACATACGTTTTTTGGAAAGAGATGCGCCGGCCGGATGGATCGATGACTCCCCTGATATTGGCAGTCCCGCCGGTACCCCGCGATGTCCCAACGACGACGTTGTCAACGATGCTCAGCTCGTAATCGACATGGTTGATCCTCGGTGTTCCTGGAACAGGCTGAGCTGTAGCACAATAGTCGAAGAATCCACGAGCTGCGATTGCCGGTTTGTGGAGAGACCAGAACGTTTCTTTCTGCTTGGCGTGTTGAAATGCAGTCACCCATTTCTGTGCCGGTCGCTCCACTGGGTAATTATTCGTGGATGGTGAAGACTGCAGTGTTCCAATGGCATTGATGGTGTTATCCGAATGCACAACGAGTTGATCAGGCTCATAGGGTTGCAGCCTTGACTTCGTCACAGAATCACTAGGCAAAGGTAAGACCGTTTATTCAGTGACATGCGTACATATTTCGTTTACGTACCAGATAATGATTGCCATGCAGGTATTCAGCATTGAGACCCGAAGCGTAATTCTGGACTCTGCCTCCCTTGGGTTTTCTAGAAGTGCAAACTTCATTTTGGCTCTTCTTGCGCCTCCTGTCGACGACGAGGTCTTGTTGTACTCGCGCAACTCATCCGATATGTCATTGGCGACGCTGCGTAGACCATCGAGCGTCTATGCTATGGTCGTTTGATGTATCCTGGGTAAAGCAACATAGATGTCCTGCAACGCTATTCGGGCACTTCCGACACAACACTTGGCGGTATTGATGACTTGACTGAGCTCGTGGAACTCCTGAGATGCTTTGCTGCAATCTTGGCACACACGGCTGAGTAGTTGGCCGACGGCAATGAAGTCACCGATCGAGAAGCCGAACGACATTATTGATATCCTGTGCGAAGCGCAAGTTGACGGGGTAGCGGTTGAATTGGTGCCTGTCGAACTAGCTGCGTTACTTCTATTGTGCTCGACCGTGACCTCGATTGACTTCGCCACTCCTCTTTAACCATGAGCGAAGCTGCGGTTCATGTTCTGCCGAAGGCGAAGTGCAGGACTAGCGGATTTGTCTTTCAGCCGCTGGCAGTGCTTGTAAGCATTCTGTGCACATCACTGCCCTACATCGAAAATGCTCGGTGCAAGGCGAGACGACTTTCGAAGTGTTGCCGGTCGGCTTCAATTGTTGCTGCTGAGCCACGAGTCGTCGTGGGTTCTTTCTAGGCTTCACTCAAACCTCAACCTTGTCTCGATCAACATGGCATATGATGATGCACCAGGGAAAGCACGCCTACGATTGATCAGTTGGTGCGGACTCCTTTTTGCATATTGTTCAATAAACAACTCTCATTCTCTAGCGCTTGATTCCTGCCCACACCGGTTTGCAAATGTGCATGTCCCCTAAATTTCCTTCACAGCACTATCTCGTCTATCCAGCGGGGGTGTTGGAAATATCTCAGCACCAACACTCAACTGACTATATGGTGTAGGAGCAGCTGGTGGCTCTCTCGGCGTCAAAGAGTCATGAGCATACTCCCGCCGTTCAACAGTGGCTACGGTGGCCCCATTCTTTCCCGAAGACCCAATGATACCCGTCTCGGATCCAGTAGGGGAGTGCCCGATGATGGCAGTATCCGTCATACGAGCATAGCTTCGCTTCGACTTCTCAAGGGTCGAGAGTTCGGATGATCCGATGGTGTCTGGCTTTTGTCTACTTCGACGGGAGCCTGATCGATGAATGCTGGTCTCTCCGATGAGTCGCGGGGCGACATGCTTGAGGAATAGTCGCATGATCGGCAGAGCTGGTAGAAATCAGTCAGGGAGAGTTCATGGGCACCTCATCCCAGCTTTCGTGCACTCACAAGCAGTCCAGATGAGCAGCGATCCCTCAATACAAATCCAAGTTGCTGTTTTCGTGTCAGCATCTTGAGATCGGCTGTACGTACGGATATGGTAATACCTGGCGCTGTCTAAATCAGAGAATCATGATGTTAGCGTAATCTCGATATTCAGATCGGTTTTCATGTCTCACCAACTGCCAACTCATGTCCGCCGCCTTGACCAATGGAGGCATCAAGCAGAGGCGAACGATGCTTGTAACCATAGTGCACGATCCAATGGCGAATATTAAACCAAGGCCCACCTTCTGCCTGAAAGGAACCTGGAGCTTCTTGATCATTGGCATGGGTAAAACCTGCGTGTGACTTAGCGATGACACCCTCTAGCATGGGAAGTCTTGGCTGAAGACCTACAAGCATGATAATATCTATCGGACGTCAACATCGTATTTCGATTTCGGTGTATTTGAAAGCACATACCAGTCGCAGCATTCAGGCCAGCGGTTGCGAGATATATCTTGCCTCGATTGATACCTGCCGAGACTCAGCCCACGCTGACCAAGTAAGAGCCTCAATGGAAGTACAATGGCCGTCGGTAATGGTCACATCCCACACCATTTTGAGCGGGATACAGGCAAAGATCAGAGAGCACGCCAATGAAAAGCTGTACCCCACGACAAGTCCCTACAATTCGGAGCATCGGATGTCAGCAGGTTGCCAGATCGTTGGAAAGCGTGCTCACCATAGTCGCGTATATGGAGTACGTGAACCACCGTTCGCGGGATAGCCTCAAGTAGAAGAGCAGGATCGAGAACTTGCAGAGAGCCATGACAACGAGGTACACCTGGAGATGCTTCGTCACTCATTGTCCAATGCAGGCTGAGCCAACATCTTGTCATACCACGCTGTCCACTGCAGTGATTCGAGCCAAGCGTTGAAAGTCCGCGACACTGAGATCCCAAATATGGGCGCCAATGACTTCGTGAGCCATATAGTATACGATGCTAATCTGGACCTGCCAATCGATTACAGGTCAGCAAATGACCCAAGACAACAATCGAGTCTGTGTTGGGATCCGAGCGTACGACCATAGAGAGTATCTGTTCCAGCAAGAATGATCAGCCTCGAGCCACTTTGTCACGATGTGGTCTCTTACCCAAGCAATAATGAGAAGCACATCGTCGACCCCAAACAGCTTTGCCAAGACAGCCTTTGTGTATATTCTGATGATGAAGAAAGTAGTAGATATGAGCATCCCGACAATCGCAATTGCGATGCTTGAGTCCGTATCTTTCGTCATTTTTCCTTTGCTCAAGTTCGACGTGAACCCAGGCGGTGCCGGAGCCGCTGGAGTGCGATTTGGATCGGTTGGTGGCATTTTCGGCTTGAGTCTTCGAGGAGTTCGTTGAAGAACGTAGCAGGATTGTGCCGCGTTGAAATGTGCCGCCAGCGGTGTTCGTCAATCAAGCAAGAAGCCCCGTGTTGGTGAAATCTGTATGGACACATCGCACCTTCAAAGTCTGCTTCGGTGAGGCCTTGCGAGATCACTGCTGCCGATGTCAAAGCACACCAGGCTGCAAGCATTGTGCAGGCTAAGGACTACAAGGAGTGCGACTGTAGGGCTCATCGCCAGGTCAAGCGGTCTGGATCCCAATCTCATTGGCAAGAGGATGCTCTTGGCAGACAGAGTTAAAGATTCTGCGCTCGAGATTAATTAGAAGCTTTGTCACCTGATACTGAGTGTTGCTTCCGTGGGCGTACACAGGGGAAGGCGATAAAGCTTCTCAGCAAGCCTTGCAAACCGTGAGAGACCCACGAACTGCGGAATGCAAGGCACTCCTCAGCTTTGCCTGCTCGTGAAGCTTTTGAAGACTATAATGCCCATCAAGGCTAATCGTGGGTGCGCTGATTGCACACTCAACATGAAGTCAAGTGGAAACGGACTGATCTCCACGTTCCGGCGAGATGGCCCCTAGGTTTGCAAGGAACAGGGAGCACTCTTCCCTGCACAGTGTTGACAGTCGAGATCACCGTCATCTTGGTCGAGGTCGTATCAGGGGTCGCATCATCGTGTGCATTATGTACCCATGAATGAAGACATTGAGTTCGATGGGAATTAGCAATTTCCATGGCAAGAGAAATCCACATCATGCCAGCGCCTGCTTCCTCCCTCCCCATCCTTCCCTCTCTCGCGTGGCAGAAACTTCTGAGTTGCTCCTGCTTTTATCATGCAAACCCACACCACAACATGAGACTAACATTGACCGGCGCTGTGTTGGCTGGGACGTTTACCTCTGTGCTAGCCGACGACCTGTCGTACTGCGTATGTAACTTGGGACGTAACAAGGCTGCAGGCTAATAACACGATGTGAAGTGCAATGCATTAGCAGCCGCAGGTCTTGCTCAGAGCATCGTCGCTCCTGGCGTACAAACTTATGAGAGCAGCGTACAGAAGTACTTCAGTCTCGCAGCCGATCTGAGGCCACAATGCTTCCTTCAGCCGAGAGATGCGGCAGAAGTTTCGCTGGCAGTCAAAACTCTTGCCGCCGCAAACAAAACTCAGCCATGTCAATTTGCCGTGCGGTATGTGTTGCACAAAGCTCTTGCTGAACGTGCTGATGTGAGCTGCATGTAGGAGCGGCGGTCATACGTCTTTTCCGGGAGCTGCAGGTACTGATTGCACGCCAATAGAGTCAAAGGCAAATCGCTTATGAAAGTAGGTATTGAGGACGGAGTGACGATTGATTTGCAGAATCTCAACAGCACCATATATCACACAGAGAACAGTACCGCGTCCGTCGGCCCTGGTGCAGAATGGGGAGATGTGTATTCGGCACTCGACAAGCTCGGAGTCATGGTGGTAGGCGGTCGGTCAACAACGATTGGTAATGTATAGCGTCCTTTTATAGCCAGTCTACGCTAATATAGACTGCTCTCCAGGTGTTGGTGGCTTGACTCTCGGAGGCGGCAACTCTTATTACGCTGCGAGGTATGGTCTCGCCTGCGACAACGTAGCTCGTTTCACTGTGGTCCTCGGAGACGGCAGTATTGTCACTGCAAGCAAAGATGAACATCCAGACTTGTTTCAAGCCCTGAAGGGCAGCAGCAACAATCTTGGAATCGTTACTAACTTCGATCTCATGGCGTTCGATAACGGCCAGAATGGCACAATCTGGGGCGGTGTGGTTCTTTACCCAGCGCAGAATGTGTCGGACCAGCAATTCCAAGCATTGCAAGTCTTTGGAGACAACATTTCAAACGACCCCTATGGATCTGTCATTGTGATCAGTACGTTCCTCAGCGACACAAAGACGCCGATGTTCATGAATGCGTACGACTACACCAAGCCAGGGGCCACTCGATCGGATGCAGAGCCAACCTTCAAAGACTTATGGTTAATCACAGGTAACTTGTCAGACTCAACTGGACCGAGGAATATGACCTCACTGGCGTATGAGTTTGAAGGGCCCAAGGATCATCGAGTATCTTTCAGCACTTTGACGTTCAAAAACGACATCCGGGTGATGAAGAAGGCTCACGAGGCATTTCTGAAAGTGACAGAGACTCTCACCGCAGATGCAAAGGGGGACTACGGTACGTAACATTCACACTCCAAAGAACGACCGCCAATCTTTGATCTTGCTGGCTGATCTAGTATTGCCCTTTCTTAGGCTTTTACTGCCTGTATCAGCCAATTCCAACCCTTTTTGCGAAGCATGGCTTGGACAAGGGAGGCAATGTTTTGGGTCTGGATCGCTTCAACGAGACTTTGATCTTGTGGGAGGCCTATCTGAAATGGGTGAGTCGTTATGAGGCATGTGTTGGAGTCATCGGCTGACAGTTGATAGCAAGGCCAAGAGCAAGACGAGCTATTTCAGGCACAGGCGACCTTCTTACGAAATGAGATCTCTGAGTACACCAAGTCGATCGCCTCTGACAACCCTTGGCTTTACCTGAACTACGCCGATGCTGCACAAAATCCACTGGAAGGCTACGGCGAAGCCAACGTGAACAAGATCCGAGCAGCCTCGAAGAAGTATGATCCCAACGGTGTCTTCCAGTACATGGTCCCTGGTGGCTTCAAAATCTCCGCTGTAAGCATGACTTGTCCATGGAGCAAGCACGTCTTCCACAGCTGACCGTCCCACAGGTCAAGGAAGAGAGCGTGGACGCAGGGAAGAGCCATGCAGGGGCAATTGCTGGAGGTGTAATCGGAGGTTTAGCTGCTATTGTACTCGCAGTGGTTGCCGGCTTCATCTGGCATCGCAAGCGATACACTATCACTGAGCCTGAGCCAAGGCCAGTACCGCTGATCGCAGATTCGCCACCTTCGGAGAAGACGGGAAAGGAGAGTGACTCTACGTAGACCAGATTGGATAATGTGTCGCTAATAGTAATGGATTTTTGGAAAACACATTAATTTGATATTCTCAGACCTTGATACTGAATACATGACCACGAAAGGACCTTGCACGTCCTTGGGGCAGCGCATGTGACCGCCAAGACAGACTAGCGTAATGCACAGACATCCACAAGTTGTCACTGCAGGTACAGAAAATCAGAAGTCGACTATTATGGGCATTTGATGTGATAACGATTTCGCTATCAATCAAGTTTGTGACGGCTGCGCTGATTGTACCGCCTTGCAGGTCGAGTAGCATATCTGACCAATGTCTGCGCTTTTCGCAGAGCAGTATGCGAAGGCTACGACAACTCTCTGAGGAGAAAACATCGGATGTAGTTTCAAAATCGATACCCAGCAGTAGCAGTGAAGAGATATCATCTCGAAGGAAACCCCGCTTGCTGTCTGCTTCCGAGCTCGGAGAGGATGGCAACTGCGGCAGATTCGAGACACTCCATTGACTTCTTACCCACATCTACAAGTCTCGCACGCAGGACTTGCGAAGAGCCCGTTTTATCAAAATGGACAATGAAAGAATGTTCGAGGAGTTGCGATCCAATTACTCGCCTTGCGATGTAGTCTTCCCTCCAGCTCGTCATGACAGGCTGGCTGACGTCGACAGATATCAGACGCTCTGTTGACATTGAAGAGCCCAGGGGCAGGTCACTTGGCTAACATACGTACGTTTCTTCGGCCACCCTTCGATTAGATGACCCGCTCCTAAGTCATGCCACAGACCCTTTGCCCGGCCACACACGGAACAGCCGTTTGGTGGCTCCAGTCAGCACCGTTCTGTTCGTGCACCGAAACATCGAGACCCTTCCCAAACCCTCCTACATACCTGACAAGCCGAACCTGCCATCCGATCGTCACTGGACGGACGTGGCGCCTCCCGGATCTGTAGTGATCATGCAGCTTTGGAAGCCGCACGGTCACCCCGAGATTGTATCTGGTTTGTTGGGAGATATTGTTGGAACTCGATACAAGAAGAGAGGTATCAAAGGAGTTGTGGTCGATGGGCGAAGCAGGGACATTCAGGGTGTGAATAGGTTGGGTGAGGATGGGACTTTCCAGGCTTGGACTCGTGCTTTGACGTCTGTTGGGACTGGTGAGATGAGAAATGTTAACTCATACCTCGACTTGCTGACGTTGTCGTAGGCATGGAGGCTAAGCCATGGGCAGTGGATGTACCGTAAGTTGCAGTCTTTGCTATCAGAGCACAGGGCACTGATATGGCTACACAGTCTCCGCATCGGCCAAGTAGAGGTCAAGCCGGGAGACATCATTCACGCCGACGAGGGTGAAAGGGTTGCCGCAGTCATACCCCAAGACCGACTACACGATGTTGCCACAGTGCTCCCTAGACTGAAGAATGCCGATGATGCTGTTCTTGAGGACGTGGTCAGCGGAGGAGACCTGAAGAAGGCTTTTGGTCAGTATCTCGTCTTGTCTGGCCTGGATGAAGACGCGGTTGCTGATTTTGTGCCGAGCAGCTGATCATCCTGACCACTACACCCACTTTCATTGATCCTACACATGGTATGAGGACAGCCAAGGCCAAGATGGCGACTTTGTACACATTCTTGAAGTTTGAGCCGCTACAAGAGGGCTTTGTCAAAGCCGACGGCATCTTTGCCCTTCATCGAACAACGACCTTCTGCTGCCCCTGTCCCGAAGATTCCTCGACTCGATCATACAAAATGAGCTGACCATCAAGACTCGCCTCCTGATCAATGCCCATCCTTACAGGCCTGTTGTTGGCATCGAACCGGAACTCAACCTTGATCTTATCAACTTCTTCGCCGTCAGCCAACATATCGTATATCGTGCCCAGGAAGTATGTGTTGTTGGAGATGTGCTCCAAGTCGAGAGCAAAAGCCATGGTCCTGTCGCTTGCGTCGATGTACAAACGTTCGTCTTTGATCTGGACGACCATCTCCTTGTAGCCAATGTTCCAGTACTCGCCAACGTACACATCGAGTGGAAGTTTGAGAGGTTCTGCAAGGCCATCATCGTTGGCCGATAATTCTTTTCGAAGCTTCTCCTGGGACTCTTTCTTGCTCTCTTCGTATTCATCGTTCTGCTTGTGTTGGCGGGCGTTCCAGTCAGTCCGGTCGGACTCGGGGATCTCAAGAATTTCGTCGATAATTTCCTTCACCAGAATGCCCGACCCGACGGTGCCGGCGTTCTCAGAATTGCCCAAAAAGACGCCCCCGACTTTGAACTCTGGGAAGAAGAAATGGACCGAACTGAAGCCTGAGATGAGACCGTCGTGCTGTATAATCTGATGTCCACGGTAGAAATACGATTCGAGACCAGCAGCGTAGCCTTGCCACGAGCAGAATGGATCTAGATCGTCATCCTCAGGGTTGGAGAAAATCCGAGGCCTAGTCAGTCCTTTGTATATTTCGTCGTTGATTGGCGCTTCCTTGTTCATGATTGCTTTTACCCACAGTGCGTAGTCTTTGCTTGAAGTCCACACAGATCCAGCACCTGGCTTGGAATTAGTGAAAGCCAGGTCAAAGCGGCGGCCACCGACTGACCTTGTGCCTCTGGAGTCTGCTCATACTCCAAAACTTGGAATCTCCGACTCTCCTCCTTCCATATATACGGCTTCGACATCCTATCCCCGAGACCGACCTCTCTGGTTTTGTCTGGCTGTAGGTTTGTTGATGACATGCCCAGTGGTTTCCTTCGATCAGAGTTAGCATGATTCTTCTTCCTCGTTAAGAGGATGCACCACGGGCTCACCAGATGCGCTCATGCAGGAACTCTTCGAATGACTTGTTTGACAGCTTCTCTACCAGGTAGCTAGCGACCGTGTATAGCTAATTGCGGATGAGTATAAGGAACAGTCTAGGGCTGCTTCCAAAGCTCAACTGACCGAGTTGTTGTATTGTTCTTTAGTGCGGATTGGAACGCTAATTGGAAGATTCCTCAAATTCCTTGTGACAGTCCGGGGATCGTCTGGATGAGAAGATCGCTTGCTGAAGTAGAAATCGTCGTGGCTGGCGATGATCAGTTTTCTTCGAAATGGTCAACTTACTTCAATACGTACGATGGTAGTCCAGATCTGTAGAGGAACGGTGTTAGCTAAGTTCGAGGCTGCAAGGAAGTCTTTGAATGGCACACCTGTGGGAAAGAACATCCTCTACTGTGACATTGTTGGTGTAGCTATCGCCGGCCATGACGAAGTCGTCAGGCAAGAGTTTGGACATGGTCGTGTCCCATTGCACGTGAGGATAGTTCTCCTCGTCGTCGACAAGAAGGGCCACGGCTCCAGCTGTTGTGCTCTTCGAGGCAGAAGCAATGTCGAATAGAGTATCTGGAGTACAGTTTCTGGGCGGCTCGAGCGTAGCAAAACCGAATGCCTTGGAGTGTAGTTCTTGCTGGTGGACGAGAGTCAAGGAAAGCCCTGGGACGTGCCTATACGATATCAGCTCATGTCAACTACGGCATATAGTCCAGATGAGGTACCATTCGTTGATCAATGCATTGACACGAGTGTCGAAGGCGGTGGAGTTAAAGAAGCTGACGGCATTGGTTGCATTGGGGGCCATCTTGCCACTTGATGCTCGATCACTTGTCTTGCCTTGGCCAGAATGCTGCTCTGGTGGACTGGACATGATTTAGAGCAGCCGACGTCTGATATTTCTATGCTCGTTGCCATTCCGTGGCTGTGCCAAAGCACGACGTTGTTGTGAGTCAAAGACAGTATAGCGCAACCGCTTCCATCTTCGGTGGCTCGAACAGGCAATCCATTAGTTCAAATACCGCATTCAGCGAGTTTCGCAGATTGGCTTGTACAACAGCGTACTAGCCAAGGAGAACGCCAGTGAGAATATAGACAGAGTGGACGTCACAGCTGGCATGGCAGTGAACGCAAAGACTCATTCCGACTCCTGCTGACTCCGCTGGCTCTGGACCGGCGACTTTCCTGGGAACCCATCCTCCCAATGCAGGTACCGCTGGCGTCATTGGTCTCAGAGACCAGACGGCTTCTTGATGGGAGCTAAACTCCATCCTTCGTCTTGTGAGCTGAGCAGATATAAGGACACAGACTGATGGAACTTCGAACGAAAGCATCGACTGTTGAAGTGAGAAGAGCTTCAGAATTGGAGCAGGTCCACCTGTATCAGAGCAGAACGCTTATCAGCCACCGAACTTAATGCCTGAGGCATCACGTCCAATGGCATGTCATCAACTCGCTAATCATCAGGCCTCCAGCTTCCTTCATCTACCAGGTCTCTACTCTGGAAGAAGCCGCAATACGAGGCTTGATTTACCTGTGGCTACATATGGCCTTCCCTAACGCCCGATTCAGCCAAAGGAAAACAAGGACAATAGCGACCGAGCAACGCAGCCAAAGACGACCTGATACGTCGTCATACCAAACAACGACCAATATGGCCATATGACAACATCGGCAACAGCAGCAAGTTGTCTCAAAGATAAGCTGTCGAAAAGCTCAACGGTCGACCCTTCGGAGGTTGAGCTTCATTCGGTGGTGGTGTAATAGTAGAGCAATAATGAAGCAAGTCGAGCCGTTCTCCAATGCTATCATATCTCTTGTTACGAAGGGTACGAAGTTACTTGTTCGTTGGCGACTGCTGTTTTGCTTCTTTCAAGCTGGCGGAAGGGTCTCTCTCCGAGGCAGCGAGGCATGGCTGGTTCTTGGCTTGACCAATCCATGCAAGTAATCCGTCACGTCTCCGCAAAAATGACATTCTTGGCTACAGCTTGAGTAGTGATTGCCGCGGCTCGAAAGGTACGAAACGTAGTCGTGCAGCGGCGGCGTCCAGGTACTCAGCACCCAAGAGCTCGCAAGCACGGCAAGCTGTGTGACTTGGAGGTCAAATGAAGCTTATATCCCACTCCAACTGGCGGAGCCGAGGCTGTTGTGAGACGTTGGCGATCATTTATGGCGGCGAGTCGGACGGCGCCAGACGCTTCAGCCCTTTGCGGTCACGGATCATCTGACGGTCTGGCAGTAGTGCCAAAATACCTTTTTGCGGGGTTGGGCCATGGACGACAGGGACGCCAGAAACAATGGCCGAAAGTTTGGCTTCATGGCTTAATATAGGGAAGCTTTTGTGTGGTAATTGTTCTTCAAGCATTCACTGAGGGTTCATTCCAGGAGTCCTTGTGCCTGTTCTCTTAATCTTGCTCGACCGGACGTCCAACGAGGAAAGCCAGGAGGCATTATTGACCGGACTCGATACGCACGGCCAGCCGTTATATAACCTTCAGTCGCGACAGCAACGCGTGGATCGATAGCGACCGCGACCATGGACGTGAGGGACTTTGTACAGAGGCCTGAGGCTGCCCACAGAACGCCAGTGTCTTCGACTTCGCCTGCAAACAACAGCCAGGGCTCGCTGGCCACCACTACAGACGAGAATGGTAGCAATGAAGGGAGTTCACGAACCCACACCAACGACGAGAAGAAGGACCAGTACGCATATCTTGAGGAAGAACGATCTGCCTCGAACAGCTCAGCATCGTTCCCGGCTGGCGACGAGAAGGCATTGGAGCATGTCGACACTCGCCTAACAACATACGACCAAGCCAACGATGGACGTCTCTACCACGATGGAGTGCTTGTTCGCCAGCCAGCACCGTCGATGGACCCTCGAGATCCACTGAACCTCCCTTTGACGAGGAAGTTGATCGCGGCTTTCTTCTTGTGCTTCTTCGGCGCCCTGGCAGCTTCTGCTGAGTTGATCCTTGGCGCCATGTTGCCCGTATTTGCGCTTCAATATGCCAACATCAATCCCAAGTATCTCCTCGAGTGGACGACTTCGTTGCATGGTCTTCCTGCGGGCAGTGATCCATTGAAGACTCTGGAGGAGCTGCCAAACGCACCTCCGATCTGGCATGTGTATCTTCTGGTAGGTGCAGTCGACAGATAATGATGATAACGAACATGGCTAACGTTCTCTCAAGGCATCTCTTCCAGTCTTGATGATGGGCGTTGCCAATCTGATCCTGATCCCATTGGCTATCTCAATTGGACGAAGACCTGTTGTGATTCTGTCCGGTCTCATTGCCATCGGTGGAGCGTTGTGGGCAGGCCACAGCGGTTCGCTAGGATCCCACATTGGTGCGAGGGCTGTTCAGGCTATCGGCGCCGGCACAGTTGAGTCCCTAATTCCGTTCATCATCCAGGACATGGTCTTCGTCCACCAGCGAAACACTTGGTAAGTCAAGTCACCTAGCTGTCGTTCCCGATAAGGCTGACCAGATCCTCTCAGGATCTCTGGCATCTTCGCCGCCCAAGGTATCATCATCATCGCGCTGGGTATCTCGGCGCCATACATCATCATCTATCTCAACTGGCGATGGGTCTATTACATGACTGCCGCTGCGGCCGGATTCTTCCTCCTCGGCGTCATTGCATTCATGCCAGAGACCAGATGGCACCGTACTCGTGCTGAGATGAGTACGCCGCCAATCCGCCCTCGACTTTGTCCGTACAACTGCTAACCAGACAATAGACGGCGTTCCAGTCATCAACCCAGCAGCATCGCAAGAAAAGCGTAGCTTCAAGTACGACATCGCTCTGACCCATGGCAAGACGGAGTGGCGAAAGGGCTGGAATGCCTTCATCGACACCTTGAGGACTTTCTTCTACCCTCAAATATTCTTCATCACCATGTTGAACAGTGCCATGATTGCCTGTGCGTTTGCTGCTGGATACACAGTGGCGCCGGCCTTGTTGACCCAGCCGTGGTCGTAAGTCGTAACCAGATCGAATGATGCGATACCTTTTCTGATCACGACTCCTAGGTGGCCATTCCTCCACGTCGGCCTCTGCCTGATCCCACTACTCATAGCTGCTGTCGCTACCGGAATCGTTACTGGGTAAGAATATGCAAGGCTTTGACCTCCAAGTGACCTTGCTGACAATGACTCTCCAGCTACTTCGCCGACTGGACAGCCAACCTTGTCGCCAAGAAGAGAGGCAAGCGAGTTCCAGAGAACCAACTGCTTAACCTTGCCCTCCCAACCGTCTGTGCGTTAGTCGGCTCCGTTATATTCGGCATCGCAGGAGAGCATCCAGCAGACTACAGCGCATATCTGTTCTTGTTCGCACTGGGTCTCATGGCCTTCGGCTTCCTCGGAGCCAACACCATCGGAGCTGTATACGTCCTAGAGTGCTACCCGCACCTTGCCGGCCCGGCTTTGGTCAACATCGCCAGCTTCAGGTGTTTGATTGCTTTCGTGTTGAGCTTCAAGGTATCGGAGTGGGTCGCCAACTTGGTAAGTCTTCTTCTTTCCAGGTCGAGCAAAACACCAGTTAACAATCAGACAGGGTTATGAAACCAGTATGTTGATTTATACGGGCATCATCGCCGGCTTTGCGCTGTTCACCCCCGTAGTGTGGTTTTACGGAGAGTCTTGGAGGAAGAGGTGGCCGGCTGAGAGGCTTGGTGACCATTGAACGGCTCCAGCATGATGTCGACGCCTCATGTGTATGGATGGCCTAGATGTATATAGCTTCACGAACATTGACGAAGGAATGTCCGATCATGAGCCTTCTTCACTCTTTCCAGAGCGAATCCATCCTGACTAGGCGTCCTCTTGAAGTAACTTCAAGGCCGAGAGATCTCCTGGGTGCCTCAACTGAAGACGATTGCTCTTGCTGCGTGAAGCCGTCCCACTCCGGCTCGTACGGGATACCATGGGCAAGGCTGCCAAGGGCTGGAACGAAGACTTCCCGATCGTGAATTGCAACGCCACGATGGAGAACAGTGATTCCCTAGTGACTTGGGAACTCCGAAGAAAAGACATCAGAAACATGCCGCGCCAGCAGGTGTGGTGAGGTATGAGGTATATACCTGTCCGCACGAAAAGTGGCTGCCTGAAAGCTAGTGGAAGTTCATCGCTATCGCATCGTTCCAATGTCGTGCCGTTTTGGGAACCGCTGCATCATCCTTATTCATGACAAAGCACCAATCAACAGCTGCGACTGTGCCTCAGGGCTGCTTGAAGCGGTTCGGGCGAGGTGGTATAACGATGCTCTTGTTCTAACCTATGATGGACGTGTGCGCGAATCCGATTTCTGGGAGAAAGTTAGTACAATAGCACACCTTCGAGAAATCTGTCATTGGGGACGGTGGAGTCCTGATATTAGTGTCTGGTCAAAGGGAATCTCATTCTTTGATATGCGTAATGATCTACTCAATCATTTCTTCGTAGAAGTCGTGTTGGCTTTGGCGGCTGCATACGCAGTCCTCACGCCGGCTTCCAGGCCCCGGTGCACTTTTCCAAACTGTTCCAATAGTGCGTTGAAGACTGCCTGGTTGTCAAGGTTCACCTGACTGCAGTTAGCAATCCGCACACAGAATCAAGCTATAACAACATACCAAAGTACCAGCGATGTTGCTGTACAGGTGATCCTTATCCGTCTGCGAGAAGCCCTCATAGAACAGTCTCGGCTGCTCGTAATCGATATTCTCGTCGATAACGCTCTCCCAATGCACTGTCGAGCCGTTCAGCTCCTGCTCGATGACAGTGCCAGGCTTCTCGATCACCTGGATTGGGTCGATGTATTCGGCTGGGAAGTTTTTCCTCCAGCCTTGGTTGCCGTGCTGCGTCAACCAGCCGTCTCGGTCGAAGTTGGCTACGCTTGCGAAGGGGCAGTTGACGGGAACGTCGTCGACGTTGACGCCGACTCTGTATCGTCCAGCATCTCCGTATGAAAAGAGTCGGGATTGCAGGACGGGATCGTTGGAGGGTTCCCAGCCTGGGACGAGGTGTCCAGGGGAGAAGTGGGATTGTTCGATTTCGGCGAACTGCGAAACCGATTAGTATGCGTTGGCGGTTGGGGGTAGGAATGGAATAGGAAAAGACCTACATAGTTTTCTGGGTTCTGTGTGAGCGTGATGCGGCCAACTTCGTGGTACTCTGCATCAGGCCAGTCCTTAGTGAGGTCGAGAATGTCATATCTGTATGCTGCAGCCTCTGCTTCCGTCTTGGTGGCGATTCCAACTGCAAATTGGCATGTCAGCAACAAAACTGTCAACAGTCTCGTCCCACTGACCAGTCCAAGAAGGGTAGTTGCCGTCTTTGATCGAATCGAAGAGATCTGCCGTCGCCCAAGCGTCGTTGTTGCCGGAGACCTTGAATTACAAACGTGAGCGGATGTCGTGATTCCATGATCTCAAAAAGTACCTTGGCTGCCTCAGCAGCAGTGAAGTTCTTGACGCCTTGATCACTCTCGACATAGACCCTGCAATATACCCAGCTGCCGTCTTCCTGGACCAGTTTGTAAGTGTGGCCACTCCAGCCGTGCATATGCCTGAACCCGTACGGAGTGCCTAGGTCGGAAAAGAGTCGCAAGAACTGTAGTAGAGCTTCGGGGAATTGAGCTGGCCAGCTCCAGAACGTCTGGAAACGAGCCGGTCAGTCTGCACTATGGACGGCCTTGATTCGATTGAGAATTGCTTACATTCCAATCCCTGGTGTTCGTCGCGGGATCAGTCTTCTGGGTGTGAATGAATCTTGGAAATTTAACAGGGTCCCGAATGAAGAAGACAGGCGTGTTGTTGAACCTATTCAAAAGTCAGCGTTTGATATTCAGCTTGATGACATGCCGATAAACGTACACCCGATCAAGGATTCCTTGCTTCGTCCTCATCTTGATAGCGAAACCGCGAGGATCCCTCGCTTCATCTGCCGAGCCTCTCGCACCACCGACAGTCGAGAATCGCATTGTGACCGAAGTTCGAGTGCCCTTCTTGAAGACGTCTGCGGCCGAGAGCTTCTCGGCAAAATCGGTGGTGACTTCGAAGAAGCCATGCGCACCAGCGCCGCGAGCATGCACAATTCGTTCAGGTATCTGAGATGTGTTCGTTAGACATCTGATTCGTCCAACCACACATGTTGTCGACGCACTCTCTCTCGGTTGAATGACGCCAGGGTATCGATCATATGGACGTCTTGCAGTAGAAGGGGCTATATGACGTTAGCGGGTTCTGGTCACGCAGTCTCTTTGTTCGTTTGCGTACTCCCTTCTAAAGTCATGAAAGTCAGCCAGTGATCGAGAAGCAAGATGTGGTATATGTCCAACATACTTCACCGGCCCGCTGAGCTCCAAGCGGCTGGAACCATGGCTTGCCATTGCGGAGGGTGTATTGGAGGTCGCTGTTGTTCAAGACAGATTGTTCTTGCTTCAAGTTGGTACCAGTGAATAGATCCGTGTGGTATACAGCATTGCTTTCTTGGCGAGGCACAAGCGTTGCTCTCTTCAAATGGCTGCCAGTCGCGACGACCAGAGGAGCCAACAGAAGGGCTGGAGTGATGAGCTTCATGGTGTCAGCAGTAGTCACCAAAGGATTCCGTCCAACGTACGAGAAATATGAGAGCGTGGTCTCATATAAATAGTGTCCAAGATGGCACGGTCTTTCATGCGAGTACGACAAGCTTTCGCAGGACAGGCAGGTCAGACAAGAACCACTCTGCCGGTGAGGTGATGCCAAGGGAGCCGCACAGATAGTCGTCACGCAGCGAGATTTGTTCGCAACCAGTGGCCGTTCTTGGTTTGGTCAATACCCCCCTGTTTCGGGGACCTCCACCGAAGTTGCACACACCCACGCCGACTTTCTGTCCCATGTCTCCTTCCCATCTGGACATGGCGTGTCTGTTTTATGGAATCACTTGCCACGTGCGAGTGGGCCTGAGGACTAAAAGAGGCAACTTGGAGCGGACTTGAATGTCTTCCTGCAGTCAGCGGTTGGTCAGCACCAACGTACGTTGGTTTTGCAGTAGAGTGTTGTTCAGGACGCTATCTCCCCGGGGTCAAGAGTGTTTGTTTCGCCGTGGGAGCAATGAAACATGAGCAGATCATCTGCCAACACAAGGCAACAACGCCAGGCTCTAGCTGTACTTGTGCCATTCGCCTTTGGGCTGGCTGTTTGAACGTGGCAGTTGAATGATTGGAGGACGGTCGATCCTCAAACCACACTGCCCGTTGGACAAGGCCGTGAGAGTTGGCGGTTGGGATGACAGCTGCCTGTCAGATGCAGGGTTGAAGCTTGACAAATGGAGTTTGTTGCTCGTGCCATTGGGCAGCTGTCACCACATCATGCCCTACCTCTCGCGATATTGTTGTACGATCGCGAGTAGTAGCGACCGTCTCGGCGGCCTTCATCCAAGCTCCAAGAGTCAAGAAAATGCAGACGACGTCGCCGTTCGCTATCAGCGCGGCGGCTCGCTGGCGAATTGCCTGCTTCGGCTCAAGTGGACGGGTGGTGCGACGTCGGAAACGACTCTCGCTGGCTTCTCGCTGGCTTCTCGCTGTGGAGATATATCTTTGCCAAGGTTCGATGCTGAGTGTTTTGGTCTCGTCGACGCAATTCTTGTCCAACCGACGCTTGGCTCGCTGTGATCACTTTCGATCGAGGCGAAGAGCGGGTGCGATTTCATCAATGTCGCAGTTCAATATTGCGCTGTTCCAGAGCGCCGAGGAAACGCCAGGGTATTTGTGGCCAAGCTCTGCGGTGTGAAGTCCGGCGTTTGAATGGCCCGGTGGATTTGCATCAACACCGTCCATCACATGCTTGGCCTTGTCTCATAACGGCCACCGAAAAGGGCGGCTAACCATTGCAATCAGTGGCAAGCCTCAAGGTATGCTCGAATATGCCGGCGTGTAGTTCTCGAATGAGACGTACTAGTACTGACGGAGAGTCACAGGTTGTGGGGTTCGTCTGAGTTGCGCGTGATGTAGCGCGTAACATTGCATACTACGATGATCGAAAACACTCGGCGACTGTCCAAAATGTTCGTCCAGCTGCATTCCACCCGCAGGAGAGTGTAATGAAAGAAAATTTGCAGATACACCACGGCTGGGGAAGAAAAACGAACATGAGAAAAGAGATGAGGGACGATTGGCAAGGGAAGAACAAAGGGCGTGGCTCTCTGATCTGATCAGGACGATTCTCCTGCTTGCATGCGTGGAGCGAGGACAGAGGAAGCAGTGATGAGGAAGGACATCTTTCAGTGGCATTCTGCAGTCGTCTCTGAGCCCACGGCGAGGCCGTTCATCGTCCTGATGGCCGGCCTGAATTCACCACGAGGGCACGAGGGCACGAAAAGCATGATGCTATTTGATCCTGCAGCTCTCACTTGGCGTGGAAGAACAGCATGCCAGCACCGTTTATGCTGTTCAGACATGGTCGCCAGTGAGATAGCCCAGGGACAGAAAGCCCACAAGCAACGACATTCATCAGTGCCTCCGAGATACCACCATGTTCGTCCACGCGGGCTGCGCCTGCTCTGTGATTCCCTCTCCAGGATGGATATGTCGAGATGTATGACGGGGTGCATGGCTGCTCATATAGGCGAGATGTACAATCCGCTGTCGTTGACACGAGCCCAATACGAGCAGATGGCAGAGGTTGGTGATATGCAGATGGACGCCTCGGTGGTGGAGGAGGACGAGGAGGAGAGGAAGTTGTTGCGGAGGGAAAAGATGGCGTTTGTGGCTTGCTGGCGGTCCGTGCCTTCGCAAACCATGCCAGGGCACACACGCCGATCTTTCCACGCCTCGGAAGGAAGATTTGTCCAGATGACGACTCCGCTTTGCGTTCTCTTCATCTCACTTGCCTTCTCCAACCACTTTCACGGAGCACTTGGCGGATGTGGAAGGTGGAAAGACCTGAACGCATGTCACTGAGCATCACATGAGGCATATGTCGGCAGCAGCATGTTAGCGAGGCCATCAGGCTGGCTAACGGGGCATCGACGCCTTGGAGACGAACCACTGCCGATAGAACCTTAAAAGTCACGCGGAGAAGATCATCATGCACGTCTGGAGTTCAAAGTACGACGGTGCCTGCCTCTCAGACAACTCCATGCGGAGAAGAAAAGTAAGGGAACACCCTCTTGTACACTTGTACCTCTCGTCCATCAACACCGTCGTTCGTCAGACATGAGAATATCACTGCTATCGTTGGCGGCCACCGCCTTTGCACTTCCTGCCCAGGATGTCCTCGAACCAAGGGCGACTGGATCTCTCGACTCGTGGCTGGCTGCAGAGAGCCCCGTTGCTTTACAAGGCATACTGGCCAACATTGGGGCGAACGGAGCAAAGGTAGCTGGAGCCAAGTCCGGCATTGTAGTTGCTTCGCCCAGCAAGAGTAATCCAGACTACTTTTACAGCAAGTTCAAGCCGCATGTATGACATGACAACTTGGCTAATTCTATTTAGCATGGACGAGAGACGCTGCATTGACTATCAAGTGCCTCGTTGACCAGTTCTTATCCGGTGGTGCTGCGAGCCTTGAAGAGACAATCGAAGAATACATCAATTCTCAAGCATTCTTACAGGGCGTCAGCAATCCATCTGGTAGTCTATGTTCCGGCGGTCTTGGCGAGCCCAAGTCAGTAACTGTTCGCACTTTTTCCACGTTGAGGCTGACCGTGAACAGGTTCAATGTCGACGAGACGCAATTCACCGGCGCATGGGGCAGGCCTCAGCGTGATGGCCCTGCTCTCAGAGCGACGGCCATGATTGCGTACTCTCGCTACCTCATCTCAAAAGGGCAGAACTCGACCGTGGCGAACATCATCTGGCCCATAATCTCGAACGACCTTTCGTACGTCACTGAAAACTGGAATCAGACAGGCTTTGACCTGTGGGAGGAAGTCAACAGCTCGTCCTTCTTTACCACGGCCAGCCAATACCGAGCTTTGGTTGAAGGAAGTGCTCTGGCTGCTCAGATTGGAAAGAATTGCACCAACTGCGATTCTCAGGCCCCACAAGTTCTCTGCTTCCTGCAATCATACTGGACTGGGTCGTATGTCTTGTCCAATACCGGCGGTGGCAGATCTGGGAAAGACGCCAACTCGATCCTGGCATCCATTCATTTGTTCGACCAAAGTGTCGGGTGTAATGCCAACACATACCAGCCATGCAGTGATAAGGGTGCGTTGTTGTGGCAAGACCATCGTACGGAGGGCAACGACTAATAATCCACCAGCGCTGGCAAACCACAAGGTGGTCACTGACTCGTTTCGGTCGATCTATTCGATCAACAGCGGTATTGCTCAAGGCACTGGGGTGGCAGTCGGACGATATCCAGAAGTAAGAGCGCAGCAAGTCAAGATACCCCAAGACCGATGACTGACACTCCTGCAGGACAGCTACCAGGGAGGCAACCCATGGTACTTGAATACCGCCGCAGCTGCCGAGCAACTATACGATGCTGTCTATCAGTGGAAGAAAGCCGGCAGTATCACGATCACCTCAACCTCGCTGCCATTCTTCAAGGACGTTTACTCGTCTGCGGCAGCGGGTACTTATGCTTCATCGTCCTCGACTTTCACGTCAATTGTCAACGCAGTGACAAAGTACGCCGACAGCTACATGGCTGTCGTCGAGAAATATGCACCACAAAATGGGTCATTGGCCGAGCAGTTTTCTCGATCGAATGGCGGTCCACTATCTGCTGCTGACTTGACGTGGTATGGAACATTGCCTATGTCTTTGCGCTTCTACCCTTTGCTGATCTAGTTGACAGGTCGTATGCAGCCTTCCTAACGGCGTTGAACGCTCGCAAGGCTGCAATGCCTGCAGCATGGGGCGCATCCTCTGCGAAGGTTCCAGGTAGCTGTTCTGCCACTTCTGCCACTGGCCCATGCAGCACTGCGACCGCCACCTTGCCAGTGTCTTCTGGTACCACTGGCCCTACGAAAACACCGACAACGACGGCTACGACTACCTCCGGTGGCAGCTGTAGCCCAACGCCTACCGCCATCAACGTCCTCTTCAAAGAGACCGCAACGACGACGTATGGCGAGAATGTGTTTATTGTGGGAAGTATCTCACAGCTGGGCAACTGGGATACAAACAGTATGTATCATCCCAGCTACGGGAATCTACAGAATCTGTATAATGACCTCACTCAACAGGTGCCATTGCTCTCTCGGCCGCAAACTACACGAGCACCAACAACGTGTGGTTCGTCACTGTGAACAATCTTCCGGTAGGAACGACCTTCCAATACAAGTATATCAGGAAAGAGTCAGATGGTAGCATTCGGTGGGAGAGCGACCCAAACAGGAGCTACACTGTGCCCGCAAGCTGCAATGGGGCCACGGAGACTGACACCTGGAGATGATTGATGTGAACACGCCGCACTACGTAGCCAAGACTTACGAAGATATTCTCTGCTCGAATGAAACTCTTAATTCAACAGGAGACCGCGCCTGAGGCGGTGTTGGTGCACATCATTTGGACATCTGCGCTTTGTCGATCTCAGCAGCGTCCTGCTAACTCCCAGGATCGTCGTATTGTGGCTTCTATGGCATCTGCAAATAGCAAAATATGACATCGCTAATTGGCATTGTCCGAAAGAACACCACAGCTGTACGACCCGTGGACAGTAAACGAAATCAAAGCATTGTGGCGTTCAAATAATCCCTCCAATTGGAAAAATGGCTCGATAAAATAGCAATGATGGTGTGCGGCCTCCATGGATCCTTTCAACTTCTGGACGCCACCATATGCAGTGAAACCAGCTCCAGCTCGATCGGTCCCGACACGGGCTGTACTATGACGGCAGCAAGGACATCCCTCCATTTGAACATCCACTTCAAGGCGGGCTGAAACCATCCCGGTGGCACAGTTCAGAAGTATTAGTATCGACAAAAGATTCGCATTTGGCTCAACACCCAGCACGAAATCTACTCAATTTTTCGAAATCATGCTCAGAATCGCAGCTTTCTCGGTCCTGGGACTCCTCAGCCTGAATGCCCTCGCCCTGCCTCAAACCAGCGGTCCACCAGCACCACCCGTCTGCACGGACGGCGGCCAGCTCCACTGCTGCCAGGCCACATTCTCAGGCGGTCTACTACCTATCGTACTTGCAGCCGATCTCGCCTGCTACGACCTGACGCCAGCCGTCGTCAACTGCATCATAAGTATGTTCTCTTATATGACCCAGAAGCCGTTCGCTGACTGTTGTAGCCGATGCACCGATCGATCCTGAGACAGGCTGCATGGGTACATATTCCTGCTGTCAAGTGAATGACTTTGCTCCTGTGTTGGGATTGTTTTGCAGCAAGCCACCTGGTGACTGTGTTGATAGTGAAGGGGATGGGAGGTGTACCGATCTCATTACTGGGAGGTTCAACTGCACGGATGGAGATCGTGAGAGGGTGAGGGAGGATCTCGAGAGCCTTGGAGGGACGCTTACTGGGCTGTTGTCTTGAAAGAGCTTGATTTGCTGGATCGTCAGAATCGATGCTCAGGACTCATACCAGATATGTTACATCCCATGCTTTTCTGCTACCTCTTCAACCGCCTTCATGACCTCAAAATCTCGCTCATCCTCTTTGCCCGCCGCTTGATGACTTTGTATCGCTCCACTTCCAATGACTGCCAGCTCCTGGAGCCAAAGTCCCTTGGTCACCTCCTATACTCGAGCTCTCCGAAGCCACACCTCCTCGATTCGACGCAGGATCATGATGAGACTCCTGTCGACCCTGCTGCGAGAACGCCTCTGGCTCTGCCGCATACTTCTTCAGATCCTTGTAGCTAAGCACATCCAGAGCTTTGTCCTGTGAGGCATGCAGATGCACTTTAGGTACGGCGTCTTTCTTGAGTTTGCCATCTTCGGCAGCTTGGAGGGCGGAGGCGAAGTGCGAGGCTGAGAGGCAAGTTCGGTCGCCGGAGTGGAGGCCTTGTTTTGAGGCTTCGCTGCCGTATTCGGATTTGAGGAACTCGTCGGTGAGGGTGGCGGCGATGGTGTGGTTCTCGCTGTCTTCGGGTCCGGTGCGACAGTAGCCATCTTTGTAGAAGCCGGCTGGAGGGTTCTTTGAGAAGAGGCTTAGGAGGCCGCCAGCGACTGGTGATGTTAGATATGGGGGCTTTTGAGATTGCCGTTATGCTCACCATTCTTGTGCTGTAGCGTAGGCTTCGTTGATGTTTGCGGTTGGTGTGCCATGATTCTATTTTAATTTACACTGGTTGGTTCGTAGGGCTTGAGAGGTGATACTGGGATGGAGTCTGTTGTAGTGATGGAAAGTAAAGATAGCACGCAGGCCACTCGAGAAAATGATGTTTACGGCACTAGATGGATGAGTTACATCACCATTACCTCGACCGCTGCAGGAACACGGATGGTATCTTCGATCCAGTCCTTTTGCGCGCTAATGCAGGAACAGACCCACTAAGATCGTGGGGAACTCGATCGGCATGTGAATGACACGAGCGTCGGGGTAGTCTCCGGCGGACACGTATATCATGAGAACTGGCCAGGGCTTTTACTTCTTGCTCTCCTTCTCGACTGTCGTCTCTGCATACGTCTTCGGACGGTCTAGGCTGCGTATCGAGAACGACGCTACACAGGCCGCAGCATTCTACCACTTCTCGCTGAAAGGACGCAAGTCCAGCTCGTGCGTAAATGCCGACGGAGGTTGGCTATGCAAATACCAGTAACTCTCGGCAATCTAGACTGGAGTCAGCATCAACGTGGCAACACTGCGCCGCTCGACATACCGCATTTGGATCCAACTTGGCATTTGGACCAGCATCTTTCAGCAACTCCTTCGAGCCCGGCAAATCAATTATGCCGTCGACGATGACATGAGCAACATGCACGCCTTGAGGCCCAAACTCTCTGGCCAGACTCTGAGCGAGGGCACGGCCGGCAAACTTGGCAGGTGCAAATGCTGCGAGATTGGCCGAGCCACGGAGAGCAGCAGTTGCTCCGGTGAAGATGAGGGTGGGCGAGTATTCAGGGGAGCCATTCTTCGCGTCTTTCAATAGCCACGGAATTGTAGCTTGGGCGAAGTGGAATGCGCCTTTTCTGGTAAGGTGTAAGTGACCTGGGAGCCAGCGGCGAAGGTGATCTCGTACCCGCTAATGGCATATGATGCATCGAAGTCTGCTTCCGTCAGATCCATGAACGGCTTCCACGCTGGTCGTGCACTGGCGTTGAACAACGCAGCCTGGCTTTCCTGTTATCCTCGTGACTTCAGTCATGACCATTTTGGCATACCGCACAGCTGGCATCCTTTCCGACTTTCTGCTCAATCTCATCAAGCGCTTTCTTAACATCCTTCGCAGAGCTGATGTCCGCCGAAACGCCATACGCCTGTCCGCCACTGGCAGTGATCTCTTCTACCGTGGAATTGTAGCTGTCAGGCGATCTGGCCAGGAGAAATACTGGATACTTTTGGGCAAATCTGCGCGCTATCGCGGCTCCGGTTCCTGCTCCAGCGCCAGCAATCACGGCGAAGCGACTGGTGGCCATCTTGACGAACGGACACGATGTTTCTTTACTGGAAGAGTGGGAATGTAACAGGCGATGAATTTGATGGTGTTGTAAGTATAGAGAAGTCGGGGTGTCTTGAGTCTGCATGGATGCTCTGAGAGTTCCCGCCGGAGGAACAGTCTCGCCGATCCTTCGAGACGCTAGTCGCAGCCTTAGTCAGTGCTTTCGGTATTCGGGCTCATTCGGCATTATATAGTCTGCTCAGTCTCCTGACTTCCAGGTTGCTCTTGGCATCTGCGACCATGTCTTCCAACGACAGACGCCGCCTCATTGTCACTGGAGCTACTGGAAAACAAGGAGGAGCCGTCATTCAAGCCCTTCTTGCGAAACCTTCCCAGCCATTCCAGATTTATGCCGTCACCAGAAACAAAGAGTCTGCCCCTGCCAAGTCGCTTGCAAGCAAGGAAAATGTACATGTCATTCAAGGGGACTTCGACAATCCAAAAGGCATACTCGACCAGGTGCCGAGCCCATGGGGCCTCTTCTCCGTCACCACGCTCCAAGTTGGGAAAAGTAACGCCGCTGGGATAGAAGAGCAACAAGGCAAGGCCATGAATGCTGCCGCGTTTGGAGCTGGTATTAAACACCTCGTATACACTTCTGTCGATCGAGGCCTCGATAGCGACAATACTGAAACGCCGATCCCGCACTTCCGCGCCAAGAAGCATGTTGAAGACGACATCAAGGAGAAGGCCGCCAAGAACACCGGTACCACGTGGACTTTCATTCGCCCCGTCGCCTTTATGGACAACATTGGAAGAGACTTCTTTGGAAAGGTTTTCGTTACGATGTGGCGCCAAAATGGCCTCGACACTCCACTTCAACTAGTCAGCACTAAAGATATTGGTCGTGTTGCTGCGGAAGCATTCCTTCACGCCGACGAGGAAGAGTACAAGAACAAGTCTATCTCCCTGGCAGGCGATTCTATCACTCCTCGACAGGCTGCCAAGGCATTCAAAGAGGCTACTGGGTTGGAGATGCCGTCGACATACGGAGTCTTCGGATCTCTTTTGAAGATGATCATGAAGGACGAGATTGGGACGATGTTCGAGTGGTTCAAGAGCACTGGCTATGCAGCTGATTTTAAGGCACTGAGGAAGAGCTATCCTTTCCTAAAGGACTTCAAGTCTTGGGTGGAAACGGAGAGTGCGTGGAAGAAGGCATGAGTAGTGGGCTTGTACGATTGGGAGAAGGGGGTTCATCGAATAATGCGTAGAGTATATGCCACTTTCGAAAGTTTACTGTTGAGCTCAGTCCGAGAAACCTGTGTGTCCTGGTCTGAAATAGCCATAGCATTTCGCGTCACATCCAACGCCTTCGTTTTCCTTGTTCACACCGTCCTTGCAGTCGCTCCGAAGATCTCCAAAGTCCTGACAATCTTTCTCCGCGGTGTTCCTTCCGTCTAGGATGAATATAGAATTGTCAAGTGCTGGGTGCTTCAGAGCTTTGTCGTAGAACTGCACTTTGATGTGGGGGGCGGTATTCCGGAAATGTTCCTTTGCTGAAAGGCTGTGGCTCTCCATTGGGTACAATGTACATACCGAAGGTGCCTAATGATGTAACAAAGCCAAGCATGATCCAACCCAAGACCGTTGGCGGAGTACGGCGGCTTTGAGGCCTTTGGATCTTGCGGGCAGGGCGCAGCATTCAGGGGGCGAGGACGTCTCCCTAAGACAGAAGTATGCATGCACGGGCGTAGAGTAGCGCGTGATACCAGCCTCGGAATCATTCGAGAGGAGTATAAAGGAATATAGAGGGAACCTCAGTTAAGTGGTGTGTCCCTGGCTTCGCATGCTGTCTCTGCTGTGTACCCTCAAATTCCAACCATACGTATCACAACTCAGACGTTATCAAGAACTTTCAGGCGTCTGATGATATCAAGTCGTTCCTGGAACCAAAACGAAGGCGGCCAAGTCAATGATCGAAAGCCTTCAGGGTTTGCCTGCCACATTGATCCTCAGCGCTCATGAAGACGTAAACTACCCAACATCCGGGATATCTTCTCGGCTGGGCTTCTGAAAACTATGTTTCAGTGCAGTGACGCTGCATGCTCTACGTAACCATATCTGTCTTATCAAGCTGTACGATAAGGACGATCAGTCTACCCTGGACAAACATTCCAAGCGCCGGGCCGGCTTTCCAAGCGAGGACTCAGCCTCAGCCTCATCTGGGCGACGTTAGCCGGGAGTCACAACATCAAGATAGACGCCGGCCCGAGCTTCCAGATGGCTGGACTCGCATCTCTGTGCCAGGTGTGGTGGACGGATCGCCTGGTTTGTGTAGCAACCTGCAAATTGGTCTGCACCGGCCCGCTGCTGCCGGCATGTGAGCACAAGGCTGGTCGATCTCCCAACATCCATTTTGCTGTTGATATCTGGAACAGTGCCCCGATACTCTTGTGGACAGGCTCTGATCTTCATTGTGATGCATGGTGGCGATGGTCTTGCAGAGTGATACCGTATCATCAGCAGTGAAACGATGCCTCAGAAACCGCCCGGACTCGAGGCATATATAAAGACAGCTCCGCGTGGCTGGTAGTCGCATCACTACTTACCTGCTCGCTCACCTTTGTGACAACTCTCAAAAAGGGGAATCAACGCACGCTCATCCGATTCGTGTACGCAGATTCGTTCCAAAATCATAGTCGTACGCTTTGAGACTTTGCTGCCCTTCATATGCCTCAAGGGCGCTTACAAGACAAGCAGTAACCACAATAACTTCGAGGAATAATACGATAGATTTTGGAGCATGACGGACGCAAAGGATCCTTCAATTACCTGATCCAGCTCTACTGAAAACATCTCACCAAAGGAGAGGACCTATAGCTTCGTCCGTCGATGGATTGATACCTTGGATATCATAGGCAAACCCCTCTCAGGAGGCGAGGCAAGAAGGGAGGATGCCACAACCCGAATTCCTGTCCATCCACCAGAACTGTGCGGACAGCACATCCAACGAAACTTATCAACGGTACGAGACGTTCAAGACAGTACATCGGAACATTGGAGCATTCTAGTGCAGGCCACGCCGGGCAGCCAATTCTCTACATCAACCTCGGAGGGCTCAGTCGTGGATATGCAACAGTGGCCTGGTCTTCTGAACTGTGTAGGAGGCCAATTCACGGAGGGAAAAGAACCGGAGACTTGTAGCGCAGATGATAGCATCTGCAAAGGGAAAGCAATAGACGAGACGTCCGAGAAGCTATAGACAATCATGATTGCGTATTTTCTATCTACTTGACAATTTACAATGAGTGTCCCAAAACATGTCCTTGAAAGCTCAGTTGAGCGCCGATTGCATCCCTGCATAGCAGTCTTCTCTACGTTGCTGGCATCAACGGTCCCCTGGTTGGCCGAAGCAGGGCCTCATCCTCGCCATGAACATGGCGGCTCATCTAAGGGGCGATGATGCAGGTGATCTCGTCGCCGGTGGGGAAGTAGTAATACTGATTGCAATTTGTAGTCATTGTCGTTGTTGACGGCTTGCTGGAAGAATGGTCCCACGTCCGATTGACTCGCGGCGTAGCCTTCTGTGTTGATGCAGTTGGGGCCCTGCTGGTCGGGGCAGGGGATTCCATTGCCGTTCAGGTCTTCATATCCACCGATGATCTGTTCGGTATTGTTGGCCACGCACCCAGCGGAAAGGGAGTAGCCATCCACCAAAGAGATGTCACAATTTGCCTCTCCAGTGGTAGGGAAGAAGCATTCTAGCTTGGTACTACCCGGGCCCGGGTTAGACTATTAAGGTGGTAAGTATATATTGAGCGAAGGGTCTGGATCTATTGTCATGTACCTCTGTACCAAGATATGCGGCTCCACCGGCGGTATTGTTAGTTGGCACACAGATCGATCCACTGGTGCCGGCATGTCCATTGCTGCTGCCCCAGGGACCACTGAACGTGTAGTAGAAGCCGGACAGGCCATCGTTAGTGAAGACTGTGAAGCACATTTGATCGACATCAGCCTCTGGCTTGACGTCCGTTGTGAATTCCAAGTTGGGCTGAACAGCTTGCACGTTTGCAATGCGGGCGGCGAGGGCCACCATGGTGAATGAAGCCTTCATGATTTCTGATAGACTGGAAACTGAATGTATGGGAAGAGTGCAGAGTGACCGAGTTTGCTTGATGCACCAGGGCAAGATATGGGCTGAGAAGTCCATTCTTATATCTCTCAATGCTGAACATGACGACTGTTGATTGAGTCGTCGTCGACAGACAGCACGTCGCATTCAGCGAGCACCACTTCCAACTAGTACTTGGATAGATAAGTGTTTTGAACGATGGATGGTAGAAACATGCCCACATTCCGAAGATGTTGGTACTCCGGCAGGGACACATCGATCGACAGCCTTGCCATATGTGGGTTCGGGCAATGTGAGGTCAAGCAGACTCCGAAGTATAGTGACTGTCTTTCTCATTCCAGGCTGTTTCATATAGCCCAATCTTGTGTCAATCCAGTTATGGCCTCAAGACAGTATTGATCGGAAACTCATTGTGGTGTCAGTCTCGTATTTCATTGCCTCAGGCTTGCTGGCATTACTGTCAGGCTGCAAGCCAAACTGCGAACCATCGGGATCCCTGCCCGCCAAGCAGCGTCTCATCAAACCGAGCGATCCGGATAATCATCGTCTTTTGACGGGGCCGTGTTCAGAACCACGTGCAATATCTAATGGACTACGGAAAACTCACAATCCATAGCCTAGCGCAACACACTGTAGGCAGATTGCGCGAGCATGGTTTAGATACGCTACTCACCTGTTACTCACCGAGAATGAACTTGGACGGCCGCTCAAAGCCGAGTACTACGCAAGACTCCGCTACTGTGCACTGTCTTGGCGTTTTGAGAGTGTAGTAGCTGGTGAAGTGTCCCCATCCTCTGGTGTGGGCATGACGTCGAGGTAGGACTGCTCACACGGACCTGAGTGATGTTCAGGGCCATAAAGGGCCGTTCGGTTCTCTAGCTGCGTGAAATTTTGTCCCATCCATGCTCTGAGACGTCAAATCGAGCTACTAAAGCGAATCTGTTCCACAGATGTGTCAGTATGACCGAATGTTTGATCCTGATCGCCTGTGCCTTTCGGAGCGCAGCATTGCCGCTGTCTTCCAAAGGGGAGAGAGCAACGCCCCATCGATGGATATCGCGCCCTTGATAAGCATCATGCATAGACTAGCAAAGTAGGACACCTTTCTATCCTTTTACTCCAATAAAAGAGTGTTGGATTGGCAATGGAGGCCAGGCTACTGCAGAATACATCTTGTACCTGCATCCGATTGGCGACTATCTACTAAGCAAGCTTTCACCCAGGATGCACTTGCTTGAGTTGGGACTCTACGTTGGCCAACGTAGCCAATCTGGTCTGGGATCTTTCGCTCACCGAGCATGCCAACAGGTGGAGACATACGCGGCTGCGAGTTCTCAGCCTTGTTCTCCGCTTGCATCGCAGAATCTGCCCCTTATGGTGTGTCCAATGATGTAGCCAACACAGGCAACGTGCAAGTTTGAAAACTTAAATCTTGTACTTTATGGGAAGAAGACACCTGTTCTTTTGGATTCCTGACTCTATCGATGGACACTCATATTTGAGGACATCCAAGTTTGCGGTCTTTCTTCTCCCCCTCGCAAATTCTTGTCAGATATCAGATACAAAGCCAAAACCTGAGTAGCCTCTGTCAAGCCTGGAACTGGCATTACGACCTTAATCTCAAGCATGAACAGCACAGTTCTCAACTTAACATCATTTCAGCGCGAGAAGGGTTTAGGAAAGCGTTCCATATTCCATGCCCATTTCGGAAAAATTCCACAGGGGTTTAGGTACCACGTAACTGGCCTCCTGAACACCGCAGTGGGAACCATGACACCCCATATCAGCCCAAGGAAACTTCTCAAGGATCCTGCATGTACCAGCGCTGACTGAAGATGCTCTTCTACGATGCTGTGACGCAGAGGCTATCTCGTCTTGCATTGTTGGTGAATCGCCCAACAACCCAGTCCAAAGTAGCATAAGTGATACTCCCGACGGCTGGGTTCATGACCGTTGCTTCCAACTTGGCCGGATAGATGTATATTTCCTGGAGAAGACTGACAAACTGGACCAGTACGTCGGACCAGTCGTTACCGTCCCAATGCCCATAGCTGAAGCCAGCCGCCGTCGTGACGCCCAAAGCGCCGCGGTGGTTGGAATTTGTGCATGAGGCTTCGCCCGATCGTTGTGACGGCCTGCCCGTGAGTACATCGAATATTGTTTGGAATGAGGCTTCGACCAGGGCAAGATCGGCTCCAATACCTGGCGATGTCCTCGCAGCTTGCCTGTGATCGGAGGCCTTAGTGTTGTGCCTGGGGATCACGTGAGTGCCAAGAAGGCCACATCTTCTGAATTCACAGTCCTTGTAGATACCTGCTCCCGTAATCAATCATCTATGAAGGCCTAATAACCGCTGCACAACAGGTTATGAGCCCGGCGCTCAAGATTGATTCAACCATACTCATTTGATTATCTCTGATTGAGAATCCACAGTACCCTTGTCCTTGTATCTACCTGATCCACCTTGTTCTGCTATGGAGACCCAAACAAGCGAGAAATCTATCAAGTACATCCTCAAGAAGGGAGCCTCCTTTCAAGCATAGAGAGACATGCTTAAGGCCACTCTTGTTGACAAGGATTGTGCAGCATATGTCTTTGAAGACATCCCATGGCTAGCATATAAGCCAAAACCAGAAGCCCCAGAACTATTGCTCCCAATTGCTGTCCCTATTGGAGAACAAGCAGCCGAAAGAGCAAGGACTCAAGCACTGAACACAACTGCTGAAAATGAATACCAGGAGAGGCTGCTGGAGTGGTACAAGAAAGACAGGATTGCCT